ACTAGTATCTTTATATTTTAATTTTTTATTAACTTTATTTAATAAGGTCTAGTATAATTTCTATACTAAATAGTAAGTATATATAGCTAGTACTCTTAGGGATATTTAGTATATTTCTATAAATATAGAAAGTTTTAACTCTAGTAATTTTTCTTATTAATTTAGTTACTTAGGTTAATTTTTTTAGAAGATATTTATTAAGGCCCTTACTTTTATAAGCTTAAGAGATATATTATAGTATTTATAGTAATATTAATTATTAAATATAGCTATTTAATTAGAGAAATATATCTTTAGATTATATATAATAAGCTAGGCTAGTTCTAGGATAATTAAGTAGTAGAAGAAATAGGTAATATAAAAGATAGATTTTTAATTATAATAATTATTTAATAATAAGTTAGCCTTTATATAATAAGTTACTATACCTTTTTCTACCTCCTTACTATAGAAGCTAGATAAGAATATTAAATAAAGAAGTAAAATAATTTTTAATTTATATATTTTTACTTATTAGTAATTTATAAAGTTAATTTTTTTAATTCTAGAATTAATTATAATATAAGTTAGTATTTTTAGATTTTCTTAATATAATTATACCTACTATACTATTAGATTAGCATGTATATAATAGGGATTAGAGAAGTTAGTTAATTTAATAATAATATAGAATAAATAGAATAATATATCTAGTAGTAAGGGCTTCTATATATATTCTAGTACTAGATAGTAATTATAATTAGATAAACTCTATTTTCTAAGTTAGGCAGGATATTAAGAAAGTATAGTTAATTAGGTTTTTCTAGAGTAATAAGATAGTTATTTTAAGCTATAATATAAAGAGTAGGTAATACTATAGTAAAGATTAGACTAGAATAGTATACTAGTATATTTATTTATTTTTAGATTTATATAGAGTATTAATTAGATAAAGGGTAGTTCTTTATATAGTATACTTTATCTCTATAGTAGAAGTATTTCTTATACTTATATTATCCTTCCCTAGGGGAGTATAATATATAGCAGGCATGAAATAAATCTATAATATTTAAATTTTTTCTAAGTATAGGGGGTATAACTAGGTAATTAGGTAGGATAAAACTAGGGAGATTCCTTAATACTACTAGACTAGAGTAATAGGAACTAGATATTAAGCAAGAATAGGATACTTATAGCTAGTATTAGTAATAGTAGTTTTCTAGTAACTAGAGGTAGTTAGTATATTCTTAAAAATTTTAGAATAAGGTAGGATTATAAAGTAATATATTTTAAAATTTAACTAAAATATTTTAGATTAAAAAAAATATTAAAAAGTTATTAAATATTTCTCTTTCTAAAATAAGGTAATAAAACTTTATAAAGTAAATATTAAAATTTAAATTTCTTTATTTCTAATTATAGAGATAGTTTTAAATATTTTAAACTTAATTAAGATCTCTAAATATTATTTTTAAATAATTAAGTAAATTAAAATAGTCTAGGAACTAAAAAATATTAAGTCTTATTTTAGGTAGGATTAGTTTATAAGCCTTTCTAGTTAGATATCCTACTATATAGGTTAATTAGGCTTTAGTAGCTAGGAAATAGTCTAGGTTAGTATCTATTTTACTATAAATTTATTATATAAAATAATAAAGATTAAAATAAATATTATTAAATTCTTATAAGTTAGGGAGTTTCTTACTAAGATAAATATTAAAAAGAAGGCTAGTAAAAATAAATATAGATATTTTTATTATATTAGTTACTATAGCTTTAGTAAGAAAAGTATATTTAATAGGAGTAGGGATAATAATAGAAATAAATATAATAAAAATAATAATAATTTATAATATAGTAAATATATATTTAGACTTAATTAATTTTTATTAAATTATTTTTAATTCTTCTTTCTAGTATAGTATTACTCTTTTCTTCTTAACTAGCTCTAGGCTAGCTTTATTAACTTAATTTTAAAGAGTATAAATCTTCTCCTTTAGGAAATTAATATATCTATTATAGGATCTAAGATAAATAATCTAAGTAGTAAGATTATTAATAATATAGCTTATAAACTTCTTAATTAAATCTATAATTAGGAGTAGTTTAGGTTATTTTAATATACTAGTAATAATTATACCTAGAGTAGGAGCTATATAATATTATAGAAAGTAGATAGATAGTAAGTATAGTTAATAGTAGGGTATATATTTAGGCTATCTATATATAGGTATAACAGGTAGAAGTCAGGTTAAAACAAGAATATAGCTTAAAGAGCTATAATAGGATTAAGGGCAATATGGCTTAAATACAGGAGTAGAGGTGGACAGTTAGGGCAGAATCTAACCAGATAGGTACATGGCTACACCATGACATAATATAGTTTTAAATTAAGTATTAAATAAAGTTTTAACTTTATCTTTATTCCTACTTTTTATTTAACCTACTTTTTAATTATTTCTTTCTTCTAGTTATTTTAGATCTTATTTATTTTATTCTTATTTCTTTACTATCTTTTTAACTAGGGCCTTATTTATCTTAAGTTATATATTAACTAGCTTCTTTATTATACTTCTTTCTTTAAAGTCCTTGGGTACCTTTTTTAGGAATAAATAAAAATATTATATTTATTTATACCTTTAAGAATATATATTATATATAATTAATATAAGTTTTTAGAAGTACTTCTTTTAAAGTCTATTTTTTCTATATTATTATATCTATACTTATATTTTATTTCCTTATCTTATAGTAAGGATATTTCTTTATTACTAGTTATATCTATTATATCTTTAGTAATAAATATTAGTCTAAAAGCCCCTCTACTAGTCTTACTATACTACTACAGGAATATATTAATAGTATTATAGAAGTTATTTACTATAGTATAGAATAATAATATTCCTGCTAATATCTCCTTCTTATAGTCTGATTAATAAGATATAATCTAGAATAAAGCTAGATAATATATTATATTTAGGAAGTCTTTTATCTAGTCTAGTAATAATATTATAACTTTAAGATTTACTTTAATTACCTGTTAAATAATAAATTCCTAATTATTTAATTAACTAACTAGATTATCTTTTAGGGGTTAGATTACCTATATATAGGTATTATAAACTATATTTTAAATTTATCTCTAGTTAATTACTATATACTCTTTTAATTTGAGGTACTACTTCTCTAGGATTTTTATTAGCTTATAGTAAAAATAGTAGATCTTTAAGAAAATAGTATATTAGATTTATTCTTTTAATTTCTTAAATTCTATATTCTAATAATTATACTTATCTATTTCTATTTTATAGAGTACTATTTTAAAATTAAAGTCTTGTAATAATACTATAGAACTTCTAGTATTATTTACTAGTAGAGTCTCTCTACTATCCCTAATTAATCTAGTAGGTTATTATAGATAACTCTTACTACTTTTTATTATTTCCTATAGATAGTTGTCTCTCGCCCATGCTTTAAATAAAGATTACTATATTAGTTAATCTTCCTGCTTAGTAAGTCTTATTATATTATCTTTATTATTAGTAGTTAGAGATATTATGCTTAGTATTTTACTAATTAGTAGGTTTGGTAGGGGTTGTTAGTATTTTAATAATTAGTAGGTTTTAATAGAGGTTATTAGTATAGATTCACGTGCTTTGAGCAAATATAAGACTCTTAATTATTAGATATATAATAATCCTAGGGGTAGCTTAATAGAAGCAGGTGATTGGATATATTGTTGTGTGTGTCTGTTAGGAGGTTGTGTGCTTGCCTAAGGCCTTAATATAGGGTAATAACCCCCCTTTGCTTACTAAGTACATCACGAGATACCCCTTCAATTCAACAATTTGATAATGTCTGCTGATTCCTCTGGTAGGTGTATCGTATAGTTATGGGTAACTTAGGGTTGATTTACAAGTACTGACTAAATAACTCAAGGACTCTCTCTCTCTCTCTCTCTCCCTCCCTCTCTCTCTCTCTGTGTGTGTGTGTTAAATATCTGAGGACATGTTGGATATATCGGATGGAAGAGCTATAAACACCTATACTGACGTTGCTTCAAGACAACATAGTATAAACTACCAGGAGATTGATGGAGTAAGAAAACACAATGGGAAATGTATATCTGTTGCCTATTTCAGGTTCCATCCATCCATCATCATGGGCATACGTCAGTGCAAGTAGTTAACTATTCCGTATGGCGTGGAGTGCATTCGGGTAGTGGATCACGATAATGATCTGATCAAATCGGTTTGGTTCGCATGGAAGGACATGGAAGCCTCATCTTATCATCATATCAAATATCGACCTTATACCTAGATAGTTCCTCTGATATAGAAATACATACTCGGGAGTCTAAGCCAGCGCCAGAATACCTGTGTCCATAATGACGCGAAATAGGAAATTAATTGACCTTCTCTTCTTTTCTTCTCTTCCCTCGTAGATACCTACTACTGGGCATGTATACGGCGATGACCACTAACCGGTAAGTTCCGGGTACTAGTATACTCCGTACTCTCCACTCGACTGATAACTTGCCACGCAATTGGAATTCCATGAAGTTAATTCGATCCATTTTCTGGTGACTTGGATCCGAGCCGGAATTGTGGAAGCGAGTACATCTCGGTCCCGAGGTTTCAGCTGCGAATGGCGTCATGACTCAGGAGGCAAACAGTGATTGGGGCCCTATCTAATTTTTGGAATGCAATTCGTATTGAAGTCTATTCCGTCTATCCTTTGGTCGTGTTGTCTAGTCTAGTAAAACCGTATAACGGTAAAAAGTTACAGGTGAGGTAGGAAAGATGTTGTTTGTTAAACCACTCATAACAGCATGTGTCCGATGTTCCTTGCATCATGACCACATTAGTTAAAAAAAGTGAAAGTAAGATTGAAAAGTCCGGTCCACAATCTAAAAAAACATAAACCAAGAAAAGAAAAAAAAAAAAAAACGAAATCCGTTCACTCGCACACTGGATGGGTGGCAGCGAAGGACAGTGGATATCTGTAGTCCAAACCCGTAACCCGTAATAAGTTAAAAAAAAAATGCGTATCCGTCTAACATGATAGGAAATTTGATATGTATGTGTGGTTTAAAGAACCAAACGCCAGCATGGGTCTTTTCTTCTTTTCTTCTCTCTCTTTTTTTTTTTTTCAATTTGGTCCAACCGCTTATTCGACAGCAGAAGTGCTGTTGCCATGCAGCACAGGGTTGACCTTGGGGTTCCACTTCATCTTGAATTCCTGGCCGAGTTCCTTACGAACGGCAGCCTTGACAGCCTCAAGAACGTTGGGGAAAACACCAAAGTTGGCAGGGTTGTTGTCGTCGTTCACCTCACCCTGGAAGACACCGGTGCGAACTAGGCAGGTGTTCCACCCGTACATGTTTCCACCGCAGATATCGGAGGCTGGGTTGTCACCGACCATGTAGATGTTTTGGGGCAGGCGGTTCTCGTTGTGGATCTGCTCCATCCAAGAGCGGAGCACTTCATCGGCGTAAGTGTAGGTAGCACGCTCGGGCTTACCGTAAACGACACGCTCCAGGTCGACACCAGTGATAGCCTTGTACTGGGCTTCGATAGAGATACGGAAAGCACCCTGGGTGAGACGGGGGGGCCCCTTGTGGTCAGTAGGGAAGACCAAGTCACCCTGGGAGAAGTAGACGGGGATGCGGGAGGCAATAGGGTCCTTGGCACGGGTCAAGAGCTTTCCATCCTCAGCGAGCAGGAGATCCATGATTAGCTGGAAATCGGTGGCGTAGTCGCGGGAATCGGCAAAGACCAAGATGGCATCGAACTTGACCTTGGAGAAGTCACGGGGCTTAGCCTCCGCGCGGTCTTCCTCCGAGAAACACCTCCAGGGGGAGATGGTGGGGTCCCAGGCCAGGATATCCTTGGGGTGGACGACGTTCTTGAAACCGTAGTTTTCCGCAACCTCACGAACCTTCTGGCCCTCACCACCGCAAACCAGAACAGTGTCGTAGTACTCGGACAATGCCTGCATTGGAGTGTGCGACTGGATGAACTGGTCGGTAGAGATGGGAGTGTCAAGGACCTCAGAGAGCTGCTTGCAGCGGTCTGTCTCAGTCTTACCACCACCATTGGTGAGCAGGATGTAGGGGATCTTAATGCCCAGCTCATTATCACCGTTGAGCATTCTGAGCGCTTCCTTGGCCTCTTCAATGGGCTCGTTGCCGTGAGCCAGCACACCATCGATGTCAAAAGCAAAGGCCATGTTCTTGGCAGCGGCGACCTTCTCCTTGGACATATCCTGGACCTGAGAGGCCAGGATATCACGAGAGACAGTGGCCCCATCAGCCACGTAGGCAGAGGACAGGCGAGAGATACGGGGAGAGCGGGGGATAGGGAGAGAAGTGCCAAAAGAGTTGCGAGAACCCCGACGATCCCTTGTAGAGGGAGCCAGGCTCAGATTGTGCATGTACTGCGCAGCATCGCTAATGGAGCTTCTGGTGGCAGGGATTTCAATGGTGCTACCCGCATCGTGAGGAATAGGCAGAGAGCCGGCAACACTGCCACGATCTCTGGGAGAACGGGTGTCTGGGGCAACGGTACTGGCATCAGGGACGGTAGTAGGGGCGTCCACGCCAAAATCAGCATCGTCAAAGCGAGGCATGGTGGATGATGAACTGAACGGGGTACAGTAGGGAAGAAGAAGAAGTTTAGCAAGGGAGAAACCACTGGAGAGGAGGGGAGAGATAAAACAAAAAAGGTGATATCACACAGGCAAGCTAGTAGTAGTAAACGGGTAGCTTCACCTCTGGAGGATTGAAAGGATAGAGGAGAAGAAAGAGAAGAGTTAGATGAGAGAAAGACATGGTACAAACAGGGGGACATCCCGATAATAAATATACCAGTGGCGGTCTAATCACCAACAAAAGTCCAAGAGGAGAGACACAGAGAGAGTCTTTTCCCTGCGTGCAGCCATTATTCACACCAGGCTCCACCCGAGGGGGGGGCGTATCAATGGATCATTCCAGGTAGGAATCCTCGTCATGATTTACGTAGGATTTGATTAGTCCAGCGAGCTTGGTATCTCTCCATCTTTATCCACCAAGGCGGGTCAGTGACTGGATCTGCCTCCTGTGGCTGCAGTGTGGCATCTGAAGCTGGGAAGGAGGAGAGAGAGAGGTGAGGTTTTGACGGCGCCAGTTCCAGTAATTAAGGTATAAGACCCTGTATTACCTTTTTTTATTATTCTTTTATCAATCCAGTTTTTTTTTTTTTTTCTTCTTTATCAGTCTCTACTGAGCATATTTTATGATAATATTTTCTCATTTTATCTTTCTAGATAAGAGAGTAGATTATGCCGATATTCTTCTCTCTAATAGAAACTTATCAAAAGAGAGATGATAGATGATCATCTCCTAGATTGAAAACTCGCAAAGTTAATTTTTTATAAAATACACTGAAAATTACAGCGAACCCACTGGACATGAAATCTCTCGGACCAACATGGAGCCAATCTTGTTGATGATTGGCTGCAGAGAATTTCTCCCAGGGATACAACCAGAGATCGATGGAGCCGATGACGATCAAGAGCGGGCGAATTGTGAGCGGGTCAAACGCTCGTGCCGTTTCGAGACATGATGTCATCAAATCCATTTCGATTTGATTTGAATTTTCGGATAATAATATGAATTGAATTGAATTTACCTATACAGAGTTACGAGTATATCGTTACGGAATTATAGCATATACATAATATAATATACCTAGGTACGACTGTGACCTCCTCCTCTCTCCCCTCTTCTGCCACGCCGCTTTCCCCCTCTACCCCACCAAGCTTTTCATCACCCATTAGCTTCACAACTCTTCTTTCTTGCCATCATTTTCTTCCTTTCCTCTCCTCCTTCTACATTTTCTCTTACTCCAACCTCTCAACTCCTCAGTTCCTTTTTTTCTCTACACAATGTCGTCCGGACAGACTTTTACCCTGAACAACGGTGTCAAGATCCCAGGTGTGGGGTTCGGTACCTTTGCCGATGAGGGGGCCAAAGGCGAAACCTACAAGGCCGTGACAAAGGCTCTCCAGGTTGGATACAGACACTTGGACTGTGCTTGGTTCTATCTCAACGAGGACGAGGTTGGTGATGCTGTTCGCGACTTTCTCAACGAGACTCCCTCTGTCAAGCGTGAGGACATCTTCATCACTACCAAGGTCTGGAACCACCTCCATCGCCCCGAAGATATCGCCTGGTCCATTCAGAACTCTTTGGACAAGCTCAAGACCACCTACATTGATCTCTTCCTCATCCATTGGCCCATTGCTGCGGAGAAGGATGGCCAGGATGGACCCAAGATTGGCCCTGACGGCAAGGTAATAATTTCTTGATGACCCTAAAGCTTCAAAGAAGAAGAAAGAAAAAAAAAAAAAAAAAAAAAGCTAATAGAGGCATATATAGTACGTGATTCTCAAGGACCTGACCGAAAACCCTCAACCCACTTGGGAAGCCATGGAGAAGGCCTACGCAGAAGGCAAGACACGCGCCATTGGTGTCTCCAACTGGACAGTCGAAGGCCTGGAGAAGCTGCTCAAGTTCGCTAAGGTCAAGCCTCAGGTGAACCAGGTCGAAATCCACCCCTTCCTGCCCAACACCGAGCTTGTTGACTACTGCTTCAAGAACGATATCCTGCCCGAGGCCTACTCCCCTCTGGGCTCGCAGAACCAGGTTCCAACCACTGGCGAGAGGGTCAGCGAGAACGCCACCCTCAAGGCTATTGCAGAGAAGGGCGGAAACACATTGGCACAGGTGCTCATTGCCTGGGGCCTGCGTCGCGGCTACGTGGTGCTCCCCAAGAGCTCCAACCCTGCTCGTATCGAGTCCAACTTCAAGAGCATCAGCCTGACTGATGCCGACTTTGCCGCTGTCAACAAGGTCGCTGAAGGTCGCCACTTCCGTTTCGTCAACATGAAGGATACCTTTGGTTACGACGTGTGGCCGGAGGAGTCTGCAAAGCAGATGTCCGTTTAAAACAAAATTTTAATGCCATTTTTTACCTTTATTATTCTTTTTCTTATATTTTCTTTACCTTTTATTTTCTTTTTTATTTTCTTTCTTTTTTTTTTTTTTTTTTTTTTTTTTTTTTCAATATTGGGCTTTGGTTATTCCCATTTGGGGTTGGCAAAGCGGTGGCAAGCAAGTGAGATATTCCCATTTATGCAGGTCATAGAGCAAATGGAGACACTTCTTACCGCAGCCACCTGTCTTCGGTTTCCCTCAATATAGCAAGAGAGCATGTGCGGATGGGATAGCCGAACTCAGGTACCAACGCGGTCTACCAGGACATTCATGATACCGAAGGAAGGATTGGAATGTAACATGGATAGAAAGAAATCTACACCCTAATAGATGTTGCCATGGGCGTCCAAGTTACTTTGCTGTTACACTGTACTACTTCTGGTATCACCGTATCAGAACAAAGATGCGAAAAAAAAAAAAAAAATTGGCTAACAAGAGAAAATACAGGAAAATAAAGAAATGAAACCAAATAAAACCCACTCATGAACCAAAGGACCTAGGAACCAATAGCAGAACAGAAAGGAAAGGAAATGAAACATTGTATGAAGCTTGATGGCACCATCCCAGGACTGCGTACTAATAATGTTAGGTGGTTAGTTCTGTTTACCTATTGTCGGCAAACAGTGGAGTCGGAGGACTGTCCTCCTAATGTGACATGACGTAACTTCTGTGCTCTACAGAAAGGAAGGACAAGAAGGAAATTAATTAATTACAGAGTACTCCGTCCCCCCCTGCCTTTGAATCGAAGTTGGGAACTTTGATATACATAACTTATCCTGTACTTCTGTAGTAGTTATAGGCCAAGATGAGGGAACCCATCTTATCTAAATTAAGCCTTAATTATTAAGGTTACTTCCAAAAAAAAAAAAAAAACCTTGCCTTGCCTTGCCTTGACCATACTTTTCCACAGCTCTTCATCCCTACAACACTGCTTCCACTACACGTTACAAGATACTAGATAGTTAGTTAGAGGAACCGGAATAGGAATAATTCCAATCCGGAGATCACGGAGCCCGTCGTATCGGAATAATTCGGAATTGGCCAAGTCCCGGTGGGCAAATCCGGAAAAGCCCTAGCAGTGGTCTATCCCGGATAGGTATGGTGCGGTGGATCTCGTAGGTCCTTTGCGACATACCCTAACCCTACCTGAGTATGTGTACATCTGCTAGGTAGACTATGTACGTGCAAGTCAGTACCTAGGCACGGAGAACGGAGGACTAAAGTACTGTACTCTAGAGGACGTGCCTAATCGGTGCGTTGGTTTTGCTTTGTAGTGGAGATAGATAGATAGATAGATAGATAGATAGGTAGGTAGCTATTACAGAGAGAGAGATGCCCAGAACTTACGAGCACAGGACTCAAAGGGAGCTGATTGTACTCCATACTAGTATATTATCTTGCTTCAAAGGATTATGGAGCACTACTTGGCTTTGCAATGGATGGTTAGGAAGGGTCGGTAGATAGTTCTTGGTTTTTGTTCATTAGATTGGACTATCTGAGTTTCATCCTGGCCTATAGATAGAACTCTCTCTACGGAGTACTACAAGAGTTATCGACTAGTTAAGAATACAGGTACAGTACCTGTGTGGTATTTGCATTTCATCCTTTCTTTACTTTACTACCAGTACGTACTTGTCCATGCATATGGACGGACGAGCTTGGAATAGAATAATTCTACCTACCACCACAACAACAACAACCAAAGAATAATCCTGCAATTAGAACAGGACCCCAGTCCATATCTAGAAATAGATAGCCCGTAAACCCTTCCATGCTGACGGAACTGCCCGTCTGGCCTTAGAAACTCGTAGATCATCACATCCATCCCTGATCGCGAAGGCGGATCAGTCCAGTCAGACAAGCACCGCGCAGGGAAAGTCAATCCCTAACCTGGCAGTGTTCTTGTTTCGAGACTGATACTGATATCATCGTGCATTGCTCCCTCTCTCTGAGTCTGTCTGTCATTAATGCATAAAGATGGAGCTAGCTCTATGTGCTGTGCGAGTGGATGCACGGCTACTGCATGAGGCTGTTTCTGCTCTTGGTATGGGGCCTTTGTATTCTTCCATGTACGGAGTCCTCCGTACTAGTCCACTGGTTTCTCTAGGATAGTTACTGCTGTGGTGCGGTGGAAGAAAAGAAAATACACACACACACATGTATGTATGTACTCTTTAGGAAGTCCAGCATGCACTAGTATAGCTATGTATACCTAGGTATAAAAACGGGATCGGATCATGGATTGTACACAATGTGTCTGTCTGTCTGTCTGTAATCTGTACGTATAGTGAGGGTACTGCAGTTACAAGTCTAATAAATGAGGATGGTCCATGCGTACGCCGTACTGTACCTACTACTACTAGTACTAGTACTAGTACATGCATGGATGCATGCATGGTCAAGCCACAGCCGGGATGGAGTATGTACTGTACTTACTACCATGTCCATAGGTACTACTACTAGTATATACAACATACATAGGTAGATACATACTAGTAGTTAGTGCTTGCTTGCTATTACGCCAGTCGTGAGACAAGTCCCTGGGTATTCTGCATGTACTCCTATCCTCCTCCTCCTCCTACATACATACATAACTACTACTTATATCGATGGTTTTATTTGAGCCTGGCGTCCTTTTATTTACAGAATTGTTGTGGGGACTGGAAGGATTCATGTCATGTTAATTAATTAGTAGTAGTAGTACGGAGTACTCCGTACTAATAGTAGTTCACTCCACCACCCCTACCTAACTGGGTATCTAGGTAAGTAGATAATTGCAGTAATAAAAGTTCAATATAATATTAATATACAGACATACCATACCATGTCGTTGTGCAGTAACTTTTACTCCTAGGTTCACTGCAGCCAATCCTAGAAAAAACTTGATACTTGGTTGGAGGTATTTTTAATTAGCCGCGGATCTTATAACAAGACATACACACACACAGAGAGAGAGAGAGAGAGAGAGTGTGTGTGTGTGTCCGAAGCTGGGAGCTTATCGAATGTCGATGTGACGTCTGCATAGAGTACTAAGTGTAGATGAATGATCAGCGCCCTAGAACTGGAACGCATTAGTTACCTCATACTGACCTGACTGCGAGGTGGTTGGAAAGAGTACTTTCGGTCTTTGGTACAATCTATGGAGGAGTAAAGAACGGCGGCAAAGGATGCACAGTACATGCATGGATTGTACTGCATGCGAGACCGACAAAGGTACCGTGGAATCCTCCCTACCGACTAGATTTACTTTAAATAAAAGTAGTTGAACCGTTAAGAATGACGTGGGAATCAATTAAGCAAACCATAACCTCGAACGCCTAAGCCTGTTCCTCCAAATCCCCGTCCACACATTATGTACACAAACAAGAATAATACGAAGAAGAAACCCCTGTTAGTATGCACATTGCGTAATAGGGAGCAAAGTGATAATAAGAGGATGAAAGAATTAAAAAAAAAACTAAGACCGTGATCGAACTCGTCGGGGCATCGGAGTCGATCCGGCGTTCACCTTGAGCAGACTCGTCTTCACTGAACGACCACCACTTAATAGGGAGGGTTTCTCTTCGCTCGAACCGGTACTGGTGGCCGCCTTGGATGGTGTGCGCATCGTCGTGGGCTTTGGTGACTTGGGCGTTAATTTCTTACGCTTGGCAATAGGGCTGGTAGTTGGCGACGATGGTGATGACGATGCACTGTCCCAGTCCGTTGTGGTGGTGGAGTCGACTCTGGATGGTCCCAACCGCCGCACACGCCGCCCTCGAGACGGTGCAGTAGCGGATGCAGTAGTCGCTGCAGCTGCAGCCTTGTCACCACCAGTCTTTGATGACGTCTGGGAACGAGAACTGCGGTTACTGGCTGCCTTTCTTTTCTCTGGGCTGTTTGTCGTGGCTTTGCCCCCTTGGCCAGGGGTTTCTTCACTACTCTCGCTCCCCTCGAACTGGACCAGCTGCTCGTCATTCCACGAGACGTGTTTCTTGGGCGGCTTGTCAGGTTTCTGGCTTTTGGGTTGGTTCTCGCTGTCGGAGGGACTGCTACTTGTTGGCGATGTCTCTCGGGTCTGTCGTGCTAACCCTAGCAAAGTGAACTTGGGAAGTGTAGAATCTCCCTTGTTCTGGCGTGTGTTGCGGCGGGTCAGTAGGGCTAGCTCTTGGGCCTCGGTGCGCTGCAGGAAGACAAATTCCGTGCCTCTTGCACGCCGGAGGGAGAACGCATGGCGAACAGCAGTTGGCGCGGTTGCTCGCTGTAGGGGTCTCGAGCTACGGGCTCGCGTGCTCCGGCGCCCGGCCGGGCTGGCGTTGTCCCCCGCATTTTCGTCCTTCTCGTCAGCAGACTTGGATGGCGACTTTTGCGGCGATGGCGAGTTTGTATCGAGATCCTCGAGGACTCGACGAGCTTCCGGAGTGGGGATCTCAACCACTGAAACTGGCACTTCCTGGAGCTGCAATTTTTCTTCAGGGTCCTGGGCGATGGTGGCTGATGCTGCATGGGCCTCCGCAGCGGCTTTCGCTTCGCGCTTCGCTTTGGCCTTGGATAGGAAGTTATTTAGCAACTCGGTATCTTCGCCATCGAGAGAGCTGCGTAGTGCCGATCGGACGAGGGTGGACTCCAGTTCTGCAGTCAACTGTTGCTGAGCCGGAGCATCCATTGCTGTATCCTGATCTGTGTGTTGAATAGTAATCGTAGCCGCGCTAGGTTGTCGCAGCTGTCGATCGTCCGTCATTGCTACGATTGGGCTGGCATTTTTGTCGGTCGCTGCTGCACCGCTGCTACTAGAGATGGTAGAAAAAGCCTTCTGAATTTCGGTCTCGTCGACACCATCGAGGGGTTTTATATTCCGAGTCACACCACGTCCTTCACTTAGTAGGCGCTCAGGCTCGCCAGGTAGCGCGTGGGGATAGGCTGCCTCAACAGCGGGACTACTGGGGGTAAGCGCTGGCGATTCGTCCCTTTCTGCACCATGCTCCTGCGCAACACTTTCAAAGCCTGACGTGGACGTATTCAGACCGCATTCATTGCCACCTATTTCCAGATCAACGTTCTCTTCAGATTGTAGGTCACCGTCGTTTAGTTGTTCTGCATCGTGTACGAGGGTGTCATAGTATCCTGCAGGAAGCTTGCCTATTCCGGTGGTTAGCGCTGCAACTCATCACCATCCTCAAGAACGCATAGTGATTCCCCTGATTCAATATGTTGGAAGAGAGCCGAAAAAAAAGTAAGGAAAAAAAAAGAAAGGGGGGGGGAGGGAGCGGCAACTGACGTTGCTTGCGCGAGACTTCAGACTCCCATTTCGTCTCGAGGAATGACCTGCCTCGCATCGCAGCAGGCTCAACATCGCAGTGCTCAGTTTCGTTTTTGCACCCATCATCAGAGTCTCTCTGAACCCCAAGGCATTGTCGCTTGACACCACGAGAAAAGTCTGTGTTGCGCCTGGTGTTGATTTCCAGGAAGAGCTCGTTCTCCTGGAGACTGCCGGACTCTGTGCCAATCAACTGCTGTAGGGCCTTCATGCTGTTGAACGAGGAGCGAAAGCGCTTCCACACTTTGCGCGACTTGGAACGCGCCAGGAAAGACGTGGAGGGTTTGCGGTCCCATACACGAGGGGCGTTGGATATCTTCACTGGGGTAAAGCGGACGCGAGTTTCGTCGAGATAACGGTTACTGTAAATGCATCACTCTGTGTTAGTGATCACAAAGTATTCAGTGTTACTTTCGCGTGGTGACCGAAAGCTTGGAAACTCGCGCAGTCAGGGGAAAAGGGGGTTTGTAACATCCGATCCTTTCCATCCCAGAGAGATTTCCGATTGCCATGTTCGCTGAGGAATGCTCTCTAGGAATGCATAGAAGGGTGCTACTATTTAGATACTCACCATAACTGTGGGGGTCGAGGTGCTGGACCGATCGAGTCGGTAGTAGTATCCATCTTCGGTGGTGCGAGGAATGCTGGTCGTGCGTGCTGTCGGAAGGTGTAGGAATGGAAGGTATCAAGGAAGGACGGGGATTAATGAGGGTTATGTAAATTCTTAAAAGATAAAATGCAGAATACAGCGCCAGTCGATGTTGAGCTGCGAAAGAAATGTTGTCGGAGTGGGCGCGTTGCTAACAAGTGTAGAAGAACGAAATCATCCATACAATGAATATTCAGTTGTTGTTTTTTTAGTTCGGAGTGGGCGCGTTGCGGGATGGTTGCTGTGCCAACACCACGAGACTACGAATAACGGTTGAGCGGCACTGACACTACTCATTTCCACTAGATCAAGAGATGATAGACTGACTATTCATGTGCTTCTTGTCTTTGCTTGGGTCGTTGTGGTGCCTAGCTATCCCAGCCATTGCACCCATCATCTAGCTCGGATCGAAGAGCTCACAAGTCATTCAAAAGCTTGCAGTAGATCATACTAAAAGAAAAGACACAGGGAGAGAACACCAAACACCGTATTATGCTAGCCCAGTTCTAAAACAGCTTTTCTTTCATATCGCTCTCGTCGAACGGGTCTCCAAACTCATCTAACATGATAATAGTCCTCCGTATTAGCATCCACTACCCCACCAGTAGAAAAAGAAACAGAATACCTACCGAGAGTGAAATCCTGATCAATCACATACTCCATCGCGCGCTGGTACTCCTCTTCTGCTCGCTTATTCATCCACGATGCTCCCGGCTGTTGGGCTGACTCTGCTACCCCCCCATCAGGACTAGAGAGTCCTTTCCCTAGTCCGACCATCTCGGCTGTGGTCTGAGTCTGTGAGCCTGGTGGAGAGAGCTCCGAGACGCCAGCGAACTGCGAAAGGGTGCTTTGTGTTGGATGAGTCGGCGTGCGGGCACGGGGCTGCGAGTCTTCGACATCGGAGGGGGAGTGGCTAGATTCGGGAGAGGAGGCCATTTGAGAGTCACCGTCCGGGTCTATGGAGGGCACTGAGTCAGGCTTGAAGATTGATTAATTTGTTGTTGGAGTTGGCTCGTTGCAGAGGAGTGGTGGTTGAGCCGGTGGTGAAATGCGGGGAGGGGGGGGGTCGCCAGAGGGTAGTTGAGGAATAATACTTGAATCAGCGAGAGAAAGGAGACAGACGTACCTGTAGCCATGGCGAGAGGATCCTCAGACAGGGACAGAGAGAGAGAGAGAGAGAGGGAGGGAGAGAGCCAAAGTGAGACAAATTAAACGCAGACAGAACGATCGATGATGGATGAATGTATCTTAACTAAGCAAAACTATTCTCCGCCAAACTCGGCCGCCGACTCTCATCTTCTTCTCATCTTCTTCTCATCTTCTTCTCTCTCTTCTCTCGCAATCACCACCTGCTGTACTCCTGCCCCCCCGAATTTTTTGGTCTCTTTGATATCTTGGACCTTGGCCCCAAAATCACTCTCCTATCCGCCGTATACATCGGGGTGTTTTTATCCCCTCTCCTCGCTAATATTCAATTTTTACCCTGCCATGAGCACGAAAGCTTCAATGGACGGAGACGCTTGGGAAGATGATTGGGAGTCCCAAGCTGATGTACGTTCTGGCCTTTTTCCTCTCTCCCTCCCCTTCTTCTTCAGTTGCGCTTCTTTTTCAATATCAATCAATTGTGGGCGCCGTCTGACCCGGGAACATTTTTCCTTCCAGAAACTAACCGCCGAACCCACCCCGCCTCTACCGGAAAAAAAAGTATCGTCCAAGGTCACCAAAGCCCAACGAAGAGCCCAGCAGGCTGAGTTCAACCGTCAATTATGGGCTGAAGCGTACGTCATATCCCCCCTTTTGGGACTGGATTAAAACTAGGTCTTAATTTTCTAACTCAGTTTTGGTTTATGAATGTAGTGAATCCCCGCAAACATTTCACTTTCTCGAAACCCACTCCAGTGTCCCGCTGAAACAGGAGTTTAAACCCACCGTGACCCTCCTCAGTCGGAACCCACAGACCGCGGCTCGGCAATCATCGTCACGAGGGGTTGGCGCAGCTGCAGCCGGTCTCGGACGCCTAGATTTAGGTGCCAACGACGACGACGATTCAGATGAGGATAAGCGAGCAGAACCAACCCCCGAGGAACGCCACGCGATCGCGTTGCGCAATCTGGAAGAGAAGCAGCGCAAGTACGAAGAAGCGCGTGAGAGATTATTTGGAACACCCTCCGCACCCACATCCGGGGCGTCTTCACCGCGTAGCGCCACTCCTCCAAAGCACGAAGGCCGGGGTAAAGGAAGGAGTCGAGGGAATGGGAGGGACAACAATAACCGAGACAAGAGAGACCAGTCTACCGCATCTGGGAGATCGAGACAACTCTACGATCCAGCATCGCCTTCCAGACCAAATGCACCTTATGTACCGCAGAGAGACAGGCCGCAGAGCGGCGAGAGGAGCGACAATTCACAATCCCCGCGGCAACCAATTCGCAGCCCCAGGGGCCCGGACAGTAGTGGCAGAGGCGGCTTCAGAGCAAATAGAGGTGCGAAAACAAGCTAGACTACGCGCAAAACAATTAGATAAATTGCTTGCATCAAACGATCCAGATCCTCGGTCACTCAGTGGATTTTTTTTTTTGCAATCTAAATCGATAGCCTAGCAACATGATTTATGTGCTGACAGGAGACTATCGTTGGAAAGCAGAGAACACTGGTAGATCAGCAGGAGTTTAGGGCAGACCTTTTCCGGAGTTAATCGCATTCGCAAGCTGGGAAGTGTTTGGACGATTCTCTGCTCTGTGGTCAGGTTGATGGCCACGACACACGGTCGATGTTTTACACTTACCTGCATATCGCTCGTAGCTGTCGAGATAGAGATCATCCGTGCTGGTGGTCGCCTGGATATGCTCGTTGGCCTCGAGTGCGTCCACCCAAGCGGCCCACCGACTTCCTGGCTCCGGCTCCGGCCAGCCACGATATGGTTTTAAGACACGGCTCAGTCGAACCATCCATGGGGCCACTTGAACATCCACAAAAGAGATGTCTGGTCCCAGGAAGAACGGCCCCTGAGTATCCGCAGCCGCAACCAGCGTGTTAAATGCATCGTGGAGCTCCTGCGCATTTGCAATTTGCTTTCGCTGGTCTTGCTCTTGGAGAAGACGGTAAAAGTTGGGCACAATGTGGCGGTTAATCTGGATTTGTTAGGGAGCCGAGAGAGCGGAATATGGCTAGGAGAGGCAGCTCACAAAGTCTGTCCACAACCGGCAATGAGCACGCAGTTTTGCGTCCCCCTGTGGAAGCAGGGGAGGGTCGAAATTCAAATCCTCAATCTGCCTAAATTATCAGTCATATGTCATCGAACAAAGCCAGGGCGAAGGATATGCATACATATTCGAGCAAGACCGAGCTCTCATAAGATCCCCAACTTCCATGCCGCAATGCCGGGACAAGCCCCCTTGGATTTACTTCCAGCAGGGACTGGGGTTTCTGATATGGATCTACTTCGATATATTCATAGGGAATGCCTTTGAGCTCCAGAGCTATCCACACACGCTGCACGAACGGACTGAGGCAATTTAGTTTGAAGACTAACGAATCCACAAAGGAAGGCATCAGAGGACTCACCAGAAACAACTCCCGTAGAGCTTTAAATCGGATTCTTTGGAATGGTTCGCCACGGTCTCGGCGGCCGAGCCTGTGGCTTTGGTATGGTACGTTTTTGGGACGGACGGGGGTTGAGCGGACATTGTCCTAGTCTGAAAATGTAATGGTTAGAAGTTGAAAACAATATAGCGACTATCATACGATAGTAGAAGGTTGGAGCGAGACAGGTAGCATCGAAAAGCGGGGGAAAACAAGTTCCACGGCGTGATGTGACGTAACAGCCATAGATAGATATACAGCAATCTCCTGTCACTTTTATAGATACAAACCTGCAAAACAAAAACCAAAAAAACTTACAGCTACCGATTTCTTCCTTTCTCGCACCTCCTTTAGAAGGAACCGCTGGACGCTGTTCTTCTTCACGCGATCGCTTTCTTCCAAGGAATGCCGATGCCCACCACTCACCCCATCATGTTTCCCATTCGCCCCATTGCCATTGACGCGCTGAATCGTGAAAAACCGCTGCCCATTCGCGCCGGGATGGCCCTCCGGTAAAGCCGGACTGGGGGTAAGCACGCCGAACGGCTGATTCAGACCAGCAGTGTCTCTCGCCGCAGGACACTGCAGCAGCAGCGCACTCACCCCAGGCAAAGACTCCGCCGGGAGCGGTGGATCGATGGCGCCAACATCGGCACCGCCGGGGGGGGGAGACATCGGCAGCGGGATAAAGTCTGCGTCGCTGCCGCTGGTATTCCCGGCCGCGTACCCTGGGAAATACTCTGTGATTTTGATCTTGACGTCGCAGAGGTCGCGTTGGCGGGCTGTGCGTTTGCGCTTCTTCTTCGCTGGGTCGTCGGATTTCGGGGTGCCGGGGGGCCGGCCCTTAAGGCGGCAGTCCCAGTAATGCGAGACGAGCGGTTTGCGTTTATAGTGCTGGGTTGAGCGGTGGGAGTAGATGTTGTCGACGTGGGGGAAGTAGGTTCGGAATCTGGAGGGGGGGGTGAGCTGTGGGTGCTTTTTTTTTGGGGGGGCAATGTGTACTGCTCTTCACTTAGGACAATCATGTCATCTAGATGGAAGAGTCGTTCCCTCCAAGCTTCTAGATCTGGGGGATCGACAATTGACTCTAGATCGCGTAGGTATCCGTGTTCTTTCGAGGAGAAGATGGATTTGTTCGGGTTGTATGCTTCGGGTTGTGCATGTGAGTCTAGGACGGGGGGTGATGGTTCCTTAGGCTGCGCGCATATGTTAGTATTTCGACATGGATGGATCATTTGAGGCAGACGGAGGTCGTAGTCCATGAATGAGTGCATGGTATTGGAGAATCCCACTCACCAGCAGCAATCTGTATTGAGATCCTTGTGGAATCGACTGCGTTGCGTGGTGTTGCTGGCGGAGATCATAGTGATCGAATCCCTCCACTACAGACTGTAGCGGCTGCAGCGATTGAGCATCGTGATCGACTTCGTCATGGGTTTGCTCTAGAGCATGTGGATGTTGATGTTGATTGTGGAGATTATGGTGCTGATGTCTCTCCTCCGCAGCGAGATTCGACGCGTTTTCCGCGACAGAGGAAAGCAAGGGCTGCAATGGAGGAAGGGGATCCGGAGAACGCAATCCTGAATTACTCATTGCGGATTCAAGCAACGAAAGATTCTTCCCATGTACTCTCGTGATCGATTTGCAATCGCAAGCCACTGGACGCTGCTTTTAAGACAGGGGTCGAAGGGGAAAAGGCGGGGGTTGAAGCGGCGTGACTCGGCTGATTAATTCCGTACGGCGTACGCTTACCTAACTAGAAAAGGGGAAAAGCCTCACTTTCCAGATGGAACGCAAGAGAGTACTCCGTACACAATAGGGAAGATGAAAGTGGTTACATATGCAAGTAAGCCGAGATCACTGACATTTTATTTGTCTATCTTCCTGAAAGAGGAAAGGAAACGGACCAAAAAAAAAAAAAAAAAAAAAGCAACCCTGTTGGCAAGTCATGGCTCACCCATAAAGTCTGTGGCACATAAAAACAGACACTCACTACAATCTACCCAAGGAGGGATATGATTCCAGGTAGCTCATATTCAGTTACTACCTCCTACCAAGGAAACGAAATCTAATACCCATTTTCATCCACGCTGTGCTCATGGTACATGTTCAAGCTGTACTTGGCGAACTTGCTGCGGGCCCGAATCGTCTCCCCAAATCGGGTGAATAGTGGAGGCACGAAGCAGAAAACTGTCGCCATTGCCGCAATCAGGGAGACGGCAACGTTGGCCCCAAGTCGATCGAACATGGGTGCCGAGACAAGGGGTAATATACCGGACAACAGCGCCCGCACGAGGCTGAGGGCAGCGAGTCCGCTGGCAGCGTAGCTGAGGTAGCTGTCCGCGAGATACCCACTCAGAACGTAATCGATCTCGTTCAGGGCGTATCCAATCAGCACCAGCGCCAAGACAGAAACAATCCAGTGTAGATTCTTGACGTCTGGCGGAATCGTCCAGGCAAAGATCCAGAGCGCACCCGCGAGCACTCCGGAGCCGATCCAGAAGCCGGTCAGCTTGTGTTCGGGCTGGAGCACGCGGCCGCACCTGCGGCGTCTTTCAATGATATGCAGGTCCAAGTAGCGCGTTAATAACCCCAGACTAAGCCCCACGCCTATGGCGATGAACGGAAGACATGCCTGTCTGGGCGTGAAGCCGAGAGTTTCATAGATGGGCGGAAGAGCCTGGGTGAAAAGATATACGAGGGCGGTTGCCACGGCGCTCATTACTGAGACGGTGAAGACGATGAGTTCGGTGAAGAACAAGCGGATTGGACGGCATAATGCTACACGTGCAAAGGTTCGAAGATCCGGAGCGCTGTCTGGATTCAGGCTTACCAGGGAGTCGATGTTGGTTATCTTCCGCAGCTTGGCTACCTCTCGATCGAGCAAGAGTGCTGGCCGAGATTCACAGATACCCAGCAACAGCAACGTTAGGATGCCAGTCACGATGGCGGCAATGTAGAAAAGCCACCTCCTGAAAATTCTATCGTTAGCCATGTGTGTATTACGAGAGATTCGGGGAAATCCAAAAAAAAAAAAAAGGATGGTGGACAATCGTTTTTCTCTGCCTGCCCCAGCGTACCAATTGAGATCTGCCGTGGTAAATGTACCGAAGATTGGCCCAACGACCAGGCCCAGATTGGCCACCAGAGCCCAGAACCAGATCATCCAAACGCGATCTCGGGAGTTAAACATGTCCTCGATGCTGCCAACGACAATAGTGCTTGGAATTGCGGAGAGAAACCCACTGAGGAGTCGGCCAAAGATGACCCCTTTGAGGGATGGTACGGTAGCGATGATCAGACATGAGATACTGTACAAGGCCGTACTGATGACATATAGCTTTTTCCGTCCAAATGCTTCCGAGTACGGTGGTAAGACGATACCTCCCAGCGCCTGGCCCAGTAGATACCTTTTCCCACCCAACCCAAAGTTAGCTAGCCGGTCCCTTTCTTTCTCTCGTTTCGATGACAAGATACATTGTCAGGTATAATAACATACAGCGACACAAACACAAAGATCGATAGTTCTTCGGATAGCTCGAACTCGCTAGCAGCAGCGTTGGCAGCGGTAGACTGATAAAAAAAAAACAAAAAAAAAAAAAGAAAAACTTTTTAGCAACTATGACGAGAGTGCGGGGATTTGGCAGATAGATGCAAGGGACGTACACCGGCCGTGCTGACAGCAGTTCTACATGCATGAAATGATGCATAACCGTTAGCTCACATCAAAGCAACCACGAAAACAAAACAACGGAACCACATACGTAAAGAACTCCAGAAAGATGAGAAGTGAAACATTGTAGACCTTTCGAGAAATGTGCCAGTTTCGAGGATGTCTTTGATTTCCCACAGCCCATTGGATATGAAATCCATCCGCAGCCACTTTGAGCCCATACTGAGCGAGCGACTGCTCCAGGGAATCTTTGTCGGAGTCTAGATGAGACATTCTCTCTCTTGTCGATTCCAGAAGTATAAGAACGTGAGAATGGTGACCTTTATAGGCATCGACGGCGGGAAATGCAAAGAAGAAGAAGAAGAAGAAGAAGAAGAAGAAGAAGAAGAACAACTTGCGTCTCAACTCATTTTTCAGCGTCCTGGATAGTTGATAAAAACCCACCCAACCAGACAAGGGGGGGAGGGAGGAGGAGGGACCAGAAGAACCCACGAAAAGAAATAAAATAAGAATGATGAATGCAAGCAAGCAAGGGATAGCTGGATGGATGCACTGTGAAGCGGTACTGCGATGCACCCAAGTAGGTACAGTACAGACTGCATGTCGCACCCGAAGCCCTGGTGTAAAGTCCTGTGCCTCCATCAATAATAACAACACCTGGGAGAGGGGGAATTCTGGATTGATCCTTTTTGGGTTCCTGCATTCCAGCTGATGAACATCCATCGGGACATTTGCAGGATACAACAACGCCTCCTCCTACAAGAACACGTAGGGTAGGCAGTTGATAAGTGAATCCATCGTGAGTGGAAGAAACTCGCCAGGTAGAGGCTGCTGGGACACAGACACACCCGCAAATACTGGACTGGGATTTTCTTCCCCGCTGGTTCCTTATCTTGCACCTCTTCGAATTTCTTTTTTTTTTCCCCGAATGGGGATCGGCAGGTTTCTTTGGCTGCAGCGTGAGAGGTAACCAGGATGGGAAAAGTTGATTCCATCGTGGATCTAGCTAGGGATAGGACGAGAAATGTAGAGACTGGCTCACATTGTGGGTTAATGCCAGCCACTCCATTCCATAGTATCAGGTGAGGGACCACTACGTCAGCTTCTCTACACTATACGCGCATCTAGAATCCGAATGGCTCAAGGATGTCTTGTTTCGAATCCAGATGGGATTCTATTCTACGGATCTACAAACCGGTTCTTTATAATAGAGAAAAGAATATGTGCATTTGTAACAAATACCTACTCCCCGCTACCACTTACTGACTTCTCTCTATGTCATCCGCATCCTCCACCGCGCGTCAATCCTGATCTCTCTTCAACCAACCCGGAGACCTACGTTCAGCTGCCATTTACGCGTTGCCATTGTAGGCGAGCAGGTTAGGGCTGCCAGAGACGCTCGTGAGAACACCCTCTGTGGCCAGGGCCTTGATGCGGGCAGTTACGGCAGCAGGGCCGGAGAGCCCCTCCAGAGCCATCAAGTAGATGGACAGACCAACAATGTGGGGGGTAGCCATGGAGGTCCCCGAGATGGTGTTGGTAGCAGTATTGGAGCCGATCCAGGCAGAGAGGATGTTCTCACCAGGAGCAAAGATATCGACCACGCTGCCGTAGTTGGAGAATGAGGCACGGGCGTTGGAGCTGGTGCTCGCAGCAACGGTGAGAGCGTTGGGAGCAGAGGCAGGGCTAGTGCCAGAAGCATCGTTCTATGCCATATGTCAGACAACTTTTGTGTGTGGTAGCCCTGAGTTTATTGCGGGAAGAACTTTACGTTTTCGTTACCCGCGGCAACAACGGAGAGGACACCCTCATCGAACGCAGTTTCAACGGCGTTGTTGAAGGCGTAGGAGTAAGCACCACCTTAGAAGAATCAGTAAGAGAATCTCAAGCTGCAGCGGTTTATACCTACCCAAGCTCATGTTGATAGCAGCCTTGCTGGTACGGTTTTTGCTAACAATGTCGTTCGCAGCCCAGTTGAAGCCATCCAGAATAATGGAGGTGGTGCTGCTTTCGCCCTGGAAGACCTTCACAGACAAAAGACTCGCCTGCTTGGCAACTCCATAGGTCGAGCCGCCAATAGTGCCGGCGACGTGAGTGCCGTGTCCAACACTGTCAACGTGCTGGCCCCCAACGGCGTTGTATGCAAGACTGGCACGACCGCCAAACTGCTCGTGCGAGGGGTTGATCCCGGTATCCACCACGTAGGCATAAGTGCCACTTCCTGCGCTGGTGTCATAGATGTAGCTGGTACTGGCGGTACCCTTATGAGAAATAGCTCCAAGGCCCCAGGGCGCACCGGTTTGGTTAGTCAGAGCATCGAGGTACCAGATCTGATCCTCCTCGACATAAGCAACCTGTTTCCGAGTCAGTCGCGGAGCTTTATTTTTCGTTAGAAAGGGTTGATTCACGAACGTCCTCGCTTTTCCGAATCTCCTCGATAGTTGCATCATCAAAGGATCCAGAGTAGGCCGCAAAGTTACCGATTCCGAAGTTCTTCTCAACACCGGAATAAACGTCATGGTCAGCCTGGTCACGGCGCTCAAGGTTGCGCTTGTGAACGTTGGTAGCCCAGGTCGTGTGAGCCTCAATATGCGCCGCTTCGAGGCCAGACTTGAAAGTAACAATATACTTTCCGGGCAGCTTCTCCGCAGGGCGACGGGCCTCGAGGATGGGAGCAGCAAAGACGGCGGGAAGAAGAGCCCCGAGGAGCAGAATACCGCGCTTGAGGGAGTGCATGATGAGGAATTAGGAGAGGGCCTAGTGAGAAAGAAGTGTGCTACTCGGGGAGGGGGACTTTATTGTGAAGATGAGGATGTTGTAGCTCTGGATGAAGCAAGAGCAATGGGCACACCTTCTCTTATAAGTTTCTCAAAAGCACTCCCATCCCCCCCCCTCCCCCCACTTCGAAAACCCGCGTCATGAAATCTCCATGGCCATGAAATGGCAAGGGTCCAGAAGCAGTTGAAACCCACAGGGTGACATTGCGTCTTCAGACGACTCCATTGTGCTCCATCGGAGCGAGCACTATCAGGAAGCACGCAAACGACTGTGATGGTCACCCCAGCCCAAGGCCTTCGAGAGAGTTGGATGGGCGATCGGGAAACAACGGACCACTGATCTGTTATCAAAGTCGTTGATTTTGCTTCGAAGCTACTACAGCTTTCTTTTCTTCTATGCGCTCGTAGGGACCCACCCTGGTCTCCGCTTGGGTCTGCCCTACATCCTCATCAGGAAGGTGGTACATTGGACCTTTGGCAGCCGTTATTAGTGTCGTGCGAGCAAGCCTTGGAGAGGCGGAAAGTCTTCAGGATTCATCTTGAAGGACTCAGTGTGACTTGGTCTAGGCGCTTGGCACCTTCACGAGATGTGTACCGCTGTCCCGCAGATATTGGGTTCCTTGTGGATTTAGTCTGGGTGATTTGGATATGAACGGTGATGAGATGTTGGAATCATTCTAGAACAAGCCGAGAGGGAGCGGAGTCTGACTGTGCCAGGTGTTAAAATCACAGAAGAAAAAAAAAGCATAGATCACTTTTGTGCCCAAAGTCAAGTCGTCAGATAGCTCGAATATCTGTACATTTTTGGCTTGCAATAAGCTCTCTCGAACCTCTCCTCCAAGAGCCAGAACTGTAGTACAACGTACAAGATTTACATGTGTCTCAAAAAGGGTCTCCTGATGTGTTCTGGACGAGCAGAACGGACTCTCTCTTATCTCTATCGGCATACAGCCTCCCCCTGGTAGGAAGAATAGGGGAATCAATCAACACTGACCAAGACTTCAAGGGCCAAGAGATCATTCGATTCCGGGTAAAAAAAGACATATGTAACTCTGGGTTCAGGGCGGAGGAGTTAATCCTCAGATCCTAATCGTTACGCCCGCTATGGTTAAGAATCTGAGACAACATTGCATGCAGAACGGGACTACCCAGTCTAGTCCGTTCATAATTAACTAGCCACTGCATTCTGGCCTGGTCCAGGGGCAGATAATCCGACCTTAAATCGTGAAGATCTTGCTGGCCACTCCCCTATAGACTGCTTCTGATCCCATTAATACATAGAACTCAAACAGGATTGTATTTCAACTGTGGCACAATGGTCCATACTTGATTCCAGTAGTCTAGTCGAGTTAATTCTGGGATGTGAATAAAGCTTCCATTCCATCCACTGATTCTCCGCCGTCTCCTGACCCAAGTAGCCCTAGTTTCTCGTTCTCTGGTGGCAGCTCGCCAACCATACATACTTCTGTAGTACTTTTTAGATCGCGAGCGAAATCATAACCCAGGCTCTGTTATCCATTTCAGCTGTATTTGGACTTTCTCGCAGCGTATCCACTGAGACCACCACGCATGGGTTAACCGTACGATGCAGACACACACACACACACACACATATGAATATACCCTGCAGCTAAACAAACATCCCCAGCGGCACAGAATCAGCCAAAGCCCGATACCCTAGCACATTCGAATGCAAATGATCGCCCGAATCATACTGCGCCGCCAACAAAGCCTGCTCCGTCCTATTCCTCAACACGGCATCAAAATCCAACACGCCATCGAACACCCCCGCTGCTCCGAATAAACGAATTCACGCGCTGCCGGGTCCGCTTCCCGCTCGCCGCTCGAGTAAGGCTGCACGTAGGCCCCGAGAAGACGGTCCCCGGTGTCGGTTTGCGCGGCCGGAGTGCTCTCCGCGACGCCGATGTCGTTGACGTCCTCGAAGACCACCGCGTGGGTTATGGCCGAATGGGCCAGCACGTCGCGGTCGAGCCTGCTGCTGAGGGTGTTTGGACCGAGCCCGTCAGCGAGAATACGGTTTCCGCCTGCTGCTTGGTTGACGAGGGCGATGGCGATGGCGATTTGGGATGGGGATTTGTACTTGTTTAGACGGGTTTGAAGGAGATCGGGCCAGCTTCCCCCCCCTTCTGATTAGTTGCGAGAATGCACTGTAGGAATATACGTGAGAGAGGGTGGTGCCGGTTGTTCTTGTTGGTGTCGCTTCGTGAGGGCCACAGAGACATTGGTGACAGGCAAGTCAGTGAGACCAAAGGCATTAGATAGACGCAGACGAATAGTATCTGTACCCAGTGGGAGGCGAATGGTCTGGCGAAGTGTGGTATTCTTTAAATACCGAGTCGGAGGCGTTCTGACTTGATTAGTCCCGTCTCACATGAAGGTGGAATTTCCCTTACAAACGGCGGCGCAGGGAGGTTCGCTGGCTCGGTCAATTGGGGCATGGCTGTCCAAATATCAACCCAGTGAGCATCCTGTGCAGGTTTCCATGCCCACGCCGAGGACTGAAGCAGAAGGGTTAATATTCTAGACTAGGGTATTGTACTATAAAGACGATCTTCCTGATAATTGGATATTATCCTGTGCCTATCCATGCAAAACATACCTTATTACTGATACTGGCTGTTTTAAAACATTGGGGACGAAGACTCTAAACTATGTACAAGGCGGATATCATCTAGTCCGATGTAGGAAAACAAGGTATAACAAACTGGATGGACTGATCAACCTCTTCGTCTTGGACACATTATCTCCAAAGTCAGGGGTCCCACCAAGAGTTCCGAAGATATCACCAATATAGCTAGACGGCTTCACTCCCTGAGCGAACACGCTGTCCCACTCCTGAAGAATACCCTCCACAACCTTGACACCAGCACGATAGAGGTTCTCCACGGGCTGGCTCAAAGGCACCCTGATCCGCATAAAACAAGTTATCCATCGCTGTCTGGTTTGAATGCGCTCGGTCAAAGTCCGAGGCTGTGCGCATGATAATGACTCGAGCGAAATCGGTCACACCATGGGCAGCAGCACGCAGCAGAGCTTCCAGGGTCGCATTATCCTCCTGTTGAGTGCTGCAGTATTGCCCCTTGCCGCTTGTCATCAGGGTAGTGAAGTCTGCGAATGCATCGCCGAGGTAATGGCCGCTGAAGTAGACGTCGCTCGTGGCGGTATCGCACTCGAGCACGGACGGGTCCTTGGTAGCAGCAGCGTAGATGCCTTCTGGAGTGGCATACAAGCTACGGTATTGCTTGGCTATGGCATTGTCTGCTAGCTGAGCTTTTCTGGCGAATGCAGCGGCCATTGAGCGAAGCTCAGCATTAACCTCGAACACTTCCGTGCCGTAGATGCTTGTAGGGTATTGGTTTGGCGCATATGCGCCCCTGGGGAATGTACCCGGTGGTCATATTGGACGGCATCTCTCGTATATCAATCTCATACTGCAGGGCAACTTGGACTGCGAACCGAGCAAAGGTGACCGAAGAGGCTAGTGGCGACCTTAGGGTTAATTCCCGCAATCCCGGCAATGAGGAAATAAGTGTGCTGGAGGTCGAAGAAAGGCGAGAAAATTACAGATGACACGGTGACCGCGGCATTGATTTCAGTTTCACCGGTCACCAGCTGGCAGACCTGGAAGTCTTCTGTGCAGTGAACATTGGGGAAGAGAGGAGATGCCCCAGGGACGGTGATGTTATGCGCCAGCAAGTTGAATTCCGGAATGCCCCACCACACTTCAGCTTCAGGCTCAAACTGGTTCAACTTTGATTAAAAATATGGCATATTCTAATACGAAACTGAAAACACACCATGGACAGAATGAACACCTTGGGAGCGATCTTGCGATCCGTGGCACGGGCAACTGATTCCCCTAGGGTCAGGGGCAGCAGCCAGCTGCTGGCAAACAGCGACGCCGCGACAAAAGACTTGAAAAGCTTCATGACGTCTGCACGACCGCTTAAGAGGTCCTGATTTTGTCCCCTTTAAATATTCCCTCTTCCTTATCAACTTGTATTTGGGGCTGCCGATCGCAAGACCCACACCACACGCGACGAAAGGTTGGTAATGGATACGAAACATTCGCCGCAGGCTTAAACCCAATCCTTCATCATCTCCAAACGTAAGGGGAAAAAAAAATCCATATCTGTAGATCGACATGGAAGATAGACTAGAAAATCTTTCCGGAATGTTTCTTTGCCGCCTCGCTATTCTTGAACGGGAACCCTGCGGTACGCTTGTCTGCCCCGGTTCTTCGACTGATCCGTCCATTATCACTCCCAAATAAGAGACACCACAAACCGATTGACGCAATGAGGGAGTACCCGGCGATCGCGAATATGAAGACGCCTTGGTTCGTATTTAGGTATCTCGTGTACGCATAGGACGCGCTCATAGCGTGATAAACAGAAGTCACCATCAAGGTGGGGACGGCGTAAGGAGCTTTCGGATCGGCCTCCTCCGTTGAGACTGGCGCGGAGATGGTCGACGTTAGAGGAATTGATCCGGTCAACATGATTGTTAGGGCAGCGATAGTGAGGAGACCTAACCCCAGGCAGCGGGCGAAGTAGACCTCGATAGCTAGACGGGCGAATTGGGTCAGCCACCAATCTGTGCAACTCTAAGTGAAACCAGGAGACTGCTGAAGAAATTACTGACTGGTAGCAGGTCTCGCTTCATCAATCAGTATTGCTGTTATCATTTGTGGGACTGTGAGAAGTGTGATGCTTTGGAGGGAGAGCCATCCTGCCGTGGCATAGGTGTAGGTGTAGAATACCTATTAAGGTTAGCAAGACGGTTCCCAAAAGCTCCGAATGGGGTCACATACATCCATGATGTCTGTAGGAACAATATATAGCGAGATATGTGCAGGAGCTGAAGAAGCCGACCTCGGGAGCTGGAGATGGTGGGTGATAAAATACGTAATTGCCAGGTTGTTGAAATTGGCTGGAGGTAAATGATGTCACTCACCGCAGTCGCATTGTAAAAAGTGGCTGCCTTGACCACAAAACTACCCAACTAAGGAATACAAACGACCCTTTCATGATTTCATATTATGTAGCTTCGTATAGTCTATGATATATTTTCATTCCACATTATTCTTTATGATTCAAAGACAATAAAAACACCTCGCAACACCAGGTAAATGGGCAATATGATAGATCAAATGTGCAGGGGGAAATGCTATTGGTTGATGTTGCTAGAGCGTAGGTATCTGGCAAAGCTCAAGTCCTGATCAGATGGCATACCAGTGGAGTCAGAAAGTGCTTGTTGGTATCGCTGGCTGAGACCTTGATTATCACCAGCCGGAGGAACACTCGACTCCTCGTCGCTGTCATCTTCCGATTCCTCAAAGGCACCTCTCCTTGCAGCATTGTCCTCCGCCTCTTCTTCGGCCTCACTGACAGTCTCAGCCGCGTCGGCGCCTTGGGCTCGACTGGAGCTAGCTAGATTCATATCCTTCATTAGTTTCCCGAGTTCAACCTCACGCTGTGTTGTCTTGGCTTCCTCGCGTTCTTTCTTCAAACGTTCGAGTTCAGGTTTATAGTCTCGTTCAAATTCCTGGCGCTTCTCCTCAACCGCCTCAAAAAATTCATCGATACCATCGCCTGTCATTGAGCTAACACCAACGACGTTCAAATGTCGGTAAAACTCTTCCAGCATGAGACTCATGCTGTTGAGAAGAGAACCCATATATCCACTTCCAGCCCCAAAGCCCCCGGCTCCACCTTCAGTTCCAAAAGCACCGGACTCCTCCTCCTCCCGGAGAGCCTGTTGGAATGCATCAAAATCGGACATCCATTCCTTCGCAAACTCAGCATCCTGGACATCTGTCTTGTTGAACACGAGGATCATTGGCAGCTTAGTCTTGTATAGGATACTACAGGCGTACAACATGTTGCTCATAAAGGTGCTAGTTGAGCTAGTACGCGGGGTATCGATAATGTAGGCAATCACAGTAGGGAACGATGATGCCAAGGTCTCGAGGAGAATGCTACCAGATGCACTCCACACGAAAACCTCGATCTGCCCTGGGGTGTCGACTAAGATGTGTTCGATTGGCTTTGCGGCGGGGTTGGAGGGATTAGGAGCGGTCCGCTTCTCGAGTAGGGCGATGACCTGGTCGACTTTGGTAGCGAATAGATTCAATGACGTTAAAATACCTCCGTTAGGGCCGAGATTGTATTGTTTCATGACTTCCTTATAATTGATGGAGTCGCGAATATCGATGTTACTTTCGAATGGGACCGAGTGGACTGCGGGGTCGAGGTTGAGCACATAGGGCGGGGATTTCTTCGAATGAAGATGTGAATTGATTCTCTGCATGAAAGTAGTTTTTCCTGAGCCTATATTAAAGCGCATAGTTTGTGAGCATTGTATTTATTATAAGGGCGAGGATATTGACAGACCTGCCATGCCGACGCAGACGACGGAGACTGGGGGGTTCGCCATCATGGAGGAAGTCTGTGCACTGCTGTATTTGAAATATAGTGGCTTAACAAGATTTTCTTTTTGTGTGTAAATAAGATGCGCCCTTTCTATACAACAAAATTTGCGTTGATATCTGAGCTAAAGATCAATGAAGATCAAACCGACTTTTTTTCTTTTCATGATGAAAAGTGAGGGGAAATTCCCGCAAGGCGGTGAGAAAAAAAAGGTCTCGACCAATTCTTTCGACGTCATTCATTCATTTCCGTTTGCTCTCCTGACCACCTCTTTTTTGACTATAGAGCTGTTTCCCTCGAGAATATGACTCTCGAGGACTTTGAGAAATCCCTTGTGGAGGAACGGGATCGGGAGAAGCGTCACGAGAGGAGTGACAGAGATAAACGCCGCCATCGCGACGATCGGGATCGAGATCGAGACCAAGACCGTGAACGCAGCAGGGAGCGCCGGCATCGACACCATCACTCTCGCCGTCGCCATTCACGATCCCGGGAGAGAGGCTCCGACAAGAATGGCGAGTCTCGTCGAAGGGATGATAGCAGGCATCGACATAAACGATCGCGTCACTCGGACCGCGCTGATGATCGGGATCATACGCACAAGCGCCAAGATCGAAGAGAAAGTAAGCAAGAAGGAGAGTCGTCAGCTTCAGTGATGGAGGTAGTCCAGGAAGAACCAGCTCGATTGAAAAGAGATGCGTGGATGGAGGCACCATCTGCGTTAGATGTTGACTATGTTCATCGACGCGACACAACACGTCTGGAGGAAGAACCGAAACCTCGAATGCTTCAGGCCGACTTTGAACTCAAAATCCACAGCAGAGAATTAAATATTCATTTACGGGATCTGAAAGATGGCAAAGCGCTGGAGGAGATTGAGCAAGAGCCAGCAGAACATGAGGTCGATTACACTTTTGGTGACGCCGGTTCTAATTGGAGAATGACCAAATTGAAAGGGGTCTACAGAGAAGCTGAGGAAAACGGACGATCTGTGGAGGACGTCGCCATGGAGCGCTTTGGGGATCTGCGCTCCTTTGATGATGCTCGTGAAGAAGAAGCCGAACTGGACCGCCGCGAAAGGTACGGTGATGGCTATGTAGGCAAGGAAAAACCTTCCGGGGAATTTTTCCAGGAGAGAAAACAGAAAGAAAACGTGCACCATAACCCGCACGAGCACCTTCGAAACCCCGAAAAGGAATTCGACGCGATTGGACAAGGCAAACCGATGGTAACCCAGACATCTGCGCAAACTACTCAACATCTTGACTTGACAGCCCTTAACCGACTCAAGGCTCAAATGATGAAAGCAAAACTCAAAGGCACCCCTGATGCAGCGGAACTCGAACAGCGCTATAATGCTGCTGCTGCTGCGATGGCAGACCAGAAAGAATCCGACGTGGTCGTGCTCGGAGTTATGGAAAACCGAATGCTGGCTGGAAAGCGAAACGAGACCAAGGCGGTTGCGACAAGGCGTGGTTTAGAACGAGGAAAGGTGGAGGAGAATGAGGACATGACAATTGAGGATATGGTTCAAGAGGAGCGAAGGACTCGGGGCCAGTTTGGTGGAGAGGGCCGGCGCCTCGCAGAGAGGATAGCAAAAGATTCCAAATTCGAGGTACGTTTGCGATATGCCCTAGTCAAGGAGGTATGGCAAAGCTAACGCGGGCCTACCAGAATGATTTGGAATACATGGATGACAATGCAACGAAACTGGCTCGTCGGGTCCACAAATCCGAGATTGACATTAAGAACACTACCATCAACGAACTGCAAAAGATGAATCGAATCCTAGATAACTGTCCTCTCTGCCACCAGGAGGATACTAACACCCCTCCGGTCGCCCCGGTAGTATCCCTAGCGACGCGAGTCTACCTAACACTCCCTACAGAACCGGAAATCAGCTCGGGGAGCGCCACCATTGTGCCAATCCAGCATCGGAACAACCTTCTTGAGTGTGACGATGACGAATGGGAGGAGATCCGGAACTTCATGAAGAGTCTAACTCGCATGTACCATGACCAAGGTCGCGATGTCATTTTCTACGAGAACGCCGCGCAGCCCCACCGCAAGCGACACGCCAGCATGGAGGCGGTTCCTCTACCCTACAGCCTTGGAGAGACATCCCCTGCATTCTTCAAAGAAGCTATCCTTTCTTCAGATGCAGAGTGGACACAACACCGCAAGTTGATCGACACATTGGCGAAAGCCAAGCAAGGTATGGGTCGGAATGCTTTCCGGCGCACCCTGGCAAAAGAAATGCCCTATTTCCACGTGTGGTTTGAGCTTGACGGGGGGCTGGGGCATATTGTGGAGGATGAGAACCGGTGGCCTCGAGGCGACCTCTTTGCACGAGAGGTCATTGGAGGAATGCTGGACGTGGCTCCAGGCGTTATCAAGCGGCAGGGACGCTGGACTCGAGGAGGAGACCGACGGGTTGGCGGCTTCCAAAATCGATGGAGAAAGTTCGACTGGACTAGGATTCTTGTAGAGGAATGATGACCTTTATATCCAGAGTTCAAACACATTCATGTATATCAATTCCACTCCTGGAATAATTCCACAACCCTAATTAGCAAACTGGAATATACGAAGTGCATCATGAACCCCAAGATCTGCCGTTTGCGCCGCGTTGGTATTCTTCCGATGAGTGTAGGCGACGAGGAGTAGACACAAGGATTTCGCTTCGGAAAAGGATCTTTTCCTCATGACCCGGCCGAGAGAGATGCGGGGAGTGTCGATTGCTGGAGAGCCCCGACAAGAAAGCCAAAGAAGACTGGAATGATGGACCAACTCCCAATATTGATCCATTCATGGAGCGGAAGAATTTGTCGTGAGATGAATGATAACAGGTGTGGGCACGTGGGGGAAGTCACTTTCTATCCTATCTCCTTTCTTCTCTCTCTTTCTTTCCCTCACTCTCTTCTTCTTCTTCTTCTTCTTCTTCATCCTCATCCTCATTGCCAACGGTATTACTCCTTTATATCTTACTCTCCTCAGATTCAATTTCCAGCTTCTCTCAAGCGCGATTGAACCCTTACTCCGTGCGCCGCTATCACTCTCCAAGATAGAGTATACCCAACTTATAATGAGTCACTCTAACCGCATTACAAAGCCTTGTCTAACAGGAAAACACAGAAAGCGCAAAATAAACAATAGAATAGACCTGAATCAAAATGATATCTAAGCCAAAGGTTCTCCTGCTCGGCGGAATTGTCCAGTATGTTCCGCAGCCTACATCCATACATACATACTCCTTCAGCTAACAACCCCCGCTTCTCTCTTCAGTGCCCATAAAACCTGGGAATCTCTCGGCGAGATTGCCGAACTCGTTACTCCAACAGCTACCAACCGCGCCGAGTTTATCGAAGAATGCAAGTCCGGTAAACTAGACGGCGTAGTCGTCGCATACAGAACTTTTGACTCTGCCACCATCACTGGCTTGATTGATGGGGAACTAGTAAACGCACTCCCCAGCTCAATGCTGTTCCTTGCTCATTGCGGTACTTGGCCCCCTCTGTTTTCTCCTCGATATCCATCCCCAAGCCCGTAGAGACTAGTGATGAAATCAAGATAGAGACGAGGGAAAGAGAAACCTAACACATCCCCAGGAGCCGGCTATGACCAAATTGACGTCCACGCCTGCACCGCACGCAACCCTCCACTCCGCGTCTCTAATGTCCCCACCGCCGTCGATGACGCCACCGCAGATGTAAACATGTTCCTGATCATTGGTGCCTTGCGTAACTTCAACGCCGGCATTCTGGGCCTCCGAGAGGGCAACTGGCGCGACCAGCCTGCCCTTGCTCTCGGCCACGACCCCGAGGGCAAAGTCCTCGGAATCCTGGGTATGGGTGGAATTGGCCGTAACCTGAAGAAGAAGGCCGAGGCCTTCGGAATGAAAGTCATCTATCATAACCGGAGACAGCTGAGTGAGGAGCTTTCCGCGGGGGCGCAGTACGTCACCTTTGATGAGCTGCTGGCAACGAGCGATGTGATTAGTTTGAATTTGCCATTGAACGTATGTTCTCCCCTGCACTGCTTTGTTTCTTTCCCCCAGTTTACTACTGTCCCTCTTTCTTTCTTTCTTTCTTTCTTTCTTTTTTTTTTTTTTTTTTTTTTTTTTTTTTGAATGTGCCCCTGATACAAGGATAGAAACATACCCGTCACATCATTGGAAAGCCTGAATTCGAAAAGATGAAGACTGGTGTGGTGGTTGTCAACACGGCCCGTGGCGCAGTCATGGATGAAGACGCTCTCGTTCAAGCACTCGACAGTGGAAAGGTCTACTCTGCTGGTCTGGATGTCTACGAGGAAGAACCCAAGGTCCATCCCGGTCTTATCCGCAACCCCAACGTAGTGCTGGTTCCACATATGGGGACCTGGACTGTCGAGGTATGCTCCTTTTCAATACCAATTTCAACCTGATGTTGTGGATAGGCTCTGTGAACTAACGACTGTCATAGACACAAACCGCCATGGAAGAGTGGGCCATTGAGAATGTACGCTTGGCTGTGGAGACGGGCAAGCTGAAGAGCCCTGTCTTTGAACAGGCAGATCTATGATTTCTACGTTCTAATGGCGAATAAAGAATACGACCTTGGATTTTACGATATAACCGTGTTTGATAAAATTTATTGGATATATATAATCGTCTGGGAACGGTGGATATGTATGTACATAGATTCGATTCATCAACTATTTTTTTTTTTTTTTAGGTTACCATCAAGGCAAGACGAGGAGCTACTGTAAAGTAAAAGCAGAAAGAAGGATGTAAGAAAATGAAAATATGTAAGTAGAATTGAAACCGATGTTAAGATAAAAGGCAGCCGGAACGCCATCGTACTGCCATGTCCCAGCTGCAGACAGAACTGAATTAAAATGAACTCCTGAGCCATGAATATCTTCCCGCAAAGACAATCCAAATAAACGGGGAAGGATGTGATATCGAACATAGGGTAAATAGATTCCACCTGCCGCGCAGGGGATCAGCAAACACAAGCGGAAAAAGAAATAGTCTAGTAATCAAATCATCATCACGATAGAAGCCTGCCAGCGCGCAATTTTTCATATTACATACGCAAAACTCATTTGCAGGGAATTGGTAGAGGGAGAAGAAGAAGAAAAAGAAAAAAAAAAAAAAAAAAAAAACCAAATTTCTTTTTTTACTCTCGTGAAACGAACCAGGATCGCACAACCATACCACATATGCGTTTGATCACTTGTGTGGTGCCTTTACCGCCGGCTTCCTGCTCAAGGAACTTTTGCGCCACGTACAGTTTCGCCCCAGCGTCCTTCTCGTTCGTGGTGATAGGTTGCGGGAAGCTGCGCGGGAAGTCGGCCCACCGCTGGCCTAAATGTCGCGCGATGGCGATGGAGTATATAACATCGCGGTTTTCATAAGTATCCAACAATGTTCGACAACGGGCCAGAGTGTCATCGATTTCTTTAGCCGAGCTAGCTTCGTTGTCGTGAAGAGTGAGGAAATACCCAATCGCGCTCCAAAAATCCAGTTGTCGCTGCATCAGCTGGTCCGGCAGCGAAGGTGGGTTGGCAGCGGGTTCCCGAGCCGGAAATTGTGCAAGGGGGTTCGAATCCAGATGCTCGCCAGTAATCATGGATTCAATCACATCAAGTCGTTTGGACGCCGCGAGCAAGTCGTAATCCTGTCCATGATTTCCATTCGACCCATTCATGACATGGCGACACAAAGTCATTGTACTCCAGACGACAGACGCCTCGAAGCTCTCGAGCCGGGTGACAACATTAGGATCGCTCAGATTGCGGTCATTGAAAGCCTCGATTAAAGCAGAATATTCGGCCATCAATTGTGCGTTTGCGAGAAGGTGATTCAACGCCCGCTCCTGGAACCAGCGGGTCTCAAAGAATCTATCGATAGCGGGAGCATAGGTAGCAAGGAAGACGGCCTGGATTTCTTCAAGGCGATTGGGTGGTAAGGTGGTGATAGGATGCGGAGGTGGGGGAGGGATGCCTCTGAGGGCGAGGAGGTCGCTAATCTGGACCTGTTTTACTAGAGTGTATGTTAGCTACAATTCCGGAAAAAAGATCAGCATTTCAGACATACGTCTAAAGCTAGTCGGCTCTGAGTTGCCAGTTGTAGTAGTGGCTGGGTTAACCGTCGGCTGCAAGCCTCCATCTGTAACACTCTGCACACTGGTCATAGTGGAGGAGTTATTTCGGTCAAGAGAGGGGTCAATGGCTGCGCCGTAGTCGTGACGGTCGGTGGGTGTAGGAGGAGGCTGAGAGGGAGCAAACGGCTGAGAGGCGGCAGGGACGTAACCAGGAGGGGCAGAAGGATAAGAAGACTGGGAGGAGGATGGGTCTTGAGGGTTGACGACCAGCGACGGCTGGGGATTAGGAGCCGGCTGTATAGCAGAAGGAGTGGGCTGTTTGAACACCGGGTCGTAGCCCAAACAATCACGCTTGCTCTTGACGCAGTTTCGGCAGACGGGGTGTCCTTCGTCGCACTAGTGGGGGAGCATTACCAGATTAGTGGGGGTATAGAAAGGGAGAAAAGAAGAGAGAGAGAGAGAGAGAGATTAACGAGAAATAGGAAAAAGAGATGAGTGCGCAGGAAGAATGAGGGAAGGGCGGGATTGGGGCGTTGAAGGTGGGCTCGACAAACAAGCGACAGATGCGAATGGCGGGGTTTCTGCAGCTTTGGCCGCCGCGTTGGTGGTGGGCTGGACGCGAGCCGAAAGATTTTTTGGCAACGCAAGCGAAAGCAACACGACCAACCCTTCCACTCTTTCTTCAAATCCCAATTTCTTTGCTCGCGGGATGATAATTTTTTTTTTTATATATTTTTTTGGACCTGACACAGGGTGGGGGAAAATAAATGGGCGGAGGGTTTTGATACCCCTGGCTTTACGTACCTTGATCCGTCGCTTGCGACAAGTTAAACATCCGGTCTTCGTCCGTCTCTTTACTTCCTTCTTGTGCCTTCCGCCAGACAGCATCTTATTTGGATCTCCTGGAAGCTGGTAGCGCATCTGTGCACCGGGGCTCATTCCCATCTGCGACACGTTTGTCGGATAACCTGCCATGTACTGGCTAACGGAAGCCATTGGGGGCATATTTGAGGGCATGGGCGATCCAATGGGAGCTTGTGGGATATGCGAAGACTGTCCTTGCATAGACGAGCTATTCATCTGAGAAGAAATGCCTTGATGGTTATGATACATGTCCGGCGATTGCTGCGACTGCTGATGTAGTTGCTGGTGCGGTGAATACTGCTGTTGGGGAGGCTGTTGCTGCTGATGATGTGGAGAATGCTGTTGAGAAGGCGGCTGTGAATGAATGCCGTTGGACAGCGCCGGGGGCTGAGAAATCGGCGTAGAGGAAGACTGAAGCTGCTCTAATGGATTGTGTCCGGAATCCGTAGTGGCACCGGGGTCATCGCCCATAGCCTCATCGAATTTTGCATCGGAGAATGAGAAGTTCGTATCAATTCCATGTAGACCATCCGTGGCAGGTAATGTGGTATCCAACGGCGGTAAAGTTGTATCAATCGGCGGCAATGACGGGATCGTCGGGTCTATCGACGGCAGCGTCGTGTCTATGCTAGGGAGTGATGTGTCCTCAGTTGGCAATGTCTTATCAATTGGAGGTAGAGCCACGTCCGTAAAAGAATCGATTGAATCGATTGAGTCGATTGGATCGGTTGGATCGGTTGGCTCGGTCGCATCAGTCTTGGTAGGCTCTGCAGCAGAAATATCTCCCGACTCTGCAGCCAGTGTTGATTGCTCGCTAGGTGGTTGAGTTTGTTCCATCGTGTCCGCCATCACCGTAGCCAAATCTCCTGAAACTCAACAAAAGAGAAAGCCGACAAGGCGGAGCGGCCAGGTGCAATCTTTTCAACCGGATACTCGATGCGCAAGATACCAACGACGACGAAGCAATTCTATCAGAATGCACGGAACTCTGCGCCAGAGATATGATTGTGCGGTTGGTTTTCCTATAACGCTCCAAAAAGGAAAAAAAAAAAAAAAAAAAAGGCAGTTAGTGAGAAGGTTCCAACACCAAGCAACCCCCAATAGCCAGAAACCCCCGGGCAAATAGATATGGAATCTCGCGTAGATAATAAATCTCGATGAACAAGTGCATCCAGTATCGATTTCCTCCGGTTGCACATTCAAGAATGGCGTGGAGTTGTAAATCGTGTCCAGTCAAAGGTTCCATCGGATGCGCTCCATGGCAGGCGCATTAACCATATCCCACCGTCACCATTCTCTCCTCAAACAGAAACTCTCCTTTTGAAAAACTCACAATCCGCTCCATCTAAGACCATGGTGCCCATTCACATGCATTCAATCTAGGGTGATTTGGAACGCGACCGTGCGAATCCTCGCCGATGCCGCGAAACACGAAACCAGCAGGGCGCAAAACGAGACGGCATCCTCCATTTGCAGCATCCGGCCAAACCTGACACGCAAGAAAAAAAAAAATCTTTTCCAACGAATCCAGGGAGTCGAAAACCAGTATTCACCCGAGGGAACAGCCAAAGTGAGGGGGAGGAGGTGACTCGGGAAGGGGAGAGAGGATCGGGGTAAACGCAGAAGCGAGATGTTCGAGGCTCTGTTACTCACCATGTACTGGTCAGATAAGCGAAAAGAAGCGAGCCGAATGAACTATTCCACCAGAACTCTCAGTTTGGCACCGAACAGGCTCCGCATCTGGTTGGGAACGAGGACGGAAGCGTTGCGACGAAAGATGTTGCGCGACTAGAAGAGAAGAGAAGAGAAGATTGAAAGCTTCGGGAGCGCCGAAGAACGAACGAATCGACCGACTCTCCCCGGAATTTGACAAAAAAAAAAAAAAAAAAAAAAAAAAAAAGGCTGTGGCAAGAATTTGGCTTCACCACCTATTACTTTATTTACATATATTTATAATGTATATATATAAATATATAGATAGATAGATCACAATTTTTAAATGGGGTTTCCTTAGAGGAAATTACAACTGACAAGAAAAAAGAAAGAAAGAAAGCATTACTGAAGGTGTTTTAGAGCCGCATTTCCTATACTCAACTCTAACAACTGAATAATACTAACTCATGGGAAAGAATACTCATACTTTTTATGTTTATAAGCAAAGTTACACTCATCAAAGGGTCATTTAAACACTATAGAGTCTGTCATACTTCTAGATATACTGCTTCAGACATGTCTGTCTACCTGTTCACTGACGAATGCTCAGTTCAGTCCCGTCAAACACAAGATGCTGTATATTCCAGGGCGAGGGAGTATGTTGCTTGTGTTGGGCAAAGTGGCTCTGAGATTGCTTCAGAGCTAAAAAATCCTAAACTAAGGACATGGTATGATAAGTCAACAAAGTAGCCGCTTGGGTGAAGTTTGGACATCTCCAAGCAGCTTGAAAAGGTAAAGACCTCACTTGAGAAATTCTTAGCTGAATCAAGCCTGTAAAACTTGCAGACAGTCATAGCGAGTCGGTCCATGCGGTGCCATGGAATTGTCTTGGGGAAATGTGGCATATATACACAGTTGATTGGTGTGATCCACCCACAGTCAATGTGAGGTTAAAAAAAGCCATGGGGCTTATTATGGCATCGGCTGTTGAGCTGTATGGTCTTGTTCTGCCGTCCTCGGGGAATGGCGCGGGTGTGCCTTATCCTATTCGATCGGATTCCCAGTAACTGATATTTGTAGCAAGTGGAAGAATACAGGAGCACCCCACTGGCTACAAACTTAGCATGATTAGAGAAATTGATGCTCAGCTAAGTACTGGGGTATCAAGGTCTCACACAGAGAATAAACAGACCAGGTGTCTATTTTCTCATGGCCTTTGGCTTGCGCTTCTTGAACACGACACCCGCAGCTGTGTCTTCCGGTTCAGTTTTCACGTCAGGAGCAGGACCAGCAGCTGACTCCTTCTCGATCTGCGCGGGCTGATCTGAAGGGTTGTCTTCTCTATCCTTTGCTGAAACATCCTCCGCACCTTCCTCTGGCGGAGACATCCCCGTGCTTTCCTCGGGAGGATTTGCCTTCTTCATATCCTTCGTGGACGCAAAAAGAGCATCCAAATCTGCGTCATCCTCAGCGCCAGGGTATCGCCTAGTCTTCGAGCCCCAGCCCTTGCTCACAAAACGCTCAGCCTCCCTCTTCGCCTCCTGCTCTTCCTCGTCAACATCAACATCGTGTTTCCGTTTGCGGACTCCCAAAGTCGGAGCTTTCTCAGACTCCCCCTCTTCTCGTATTACCCTTTCAGAAACAGTCTGCCACTCGCCAGCTAACGACATATCACCACGATACGCCTCCGGGATCGCGACGCCCATATCGGCAAGTTGCGCCATCTGTTTTTTGCGCTCCTCCACGGAAACCGGTCGTGCCCGTGGTTGAGCAGCAGCGGTAGTTGACGTAGATGAGGCGCCCTTCCCTTCACCCCCAGATCTCCCTGCCACAGTTTGTCGTAGACGCTCAACTTCATTCTTTGCTCGCTGCGAATCCCGTTGCTGCCGTTCATTGTCGCGGTGGATATCCCGGAGGAATCGCTTTAGGTTACCCTGGTGTTTTCCTGTCGCTTCATGTTGTGTTTTTTCGAAGGCAGTGTCGCGGATGAATATCTTGCATTGTTTGCACCAATACTTGGGCTGGACTATTGTTAGAAGCTGAGCTGTAAGGCGTGCAGAGGCGCTCGGGGGGATGGACAACTCACTGCTGATTTCCAGTATTCAGCCATTACTTAGTGTATTGGATTTTTTTTTTTTTGGGATCGCGTTAAAGTGGAGGAAGCGCAGGAAAAATAACCCAACACTAAGCACAAGTTGATGTAGGTTAACAGATGAGTAGGGGAATGTGCTTGTAACTTTGGATGGAGCTCGAGACAAGGTTGAAGTCGCCGATTTCCTGGTGTGGTCACAAACGTCGCCGCTTTAACGCCCTCTCCGGAGTATAAAACCCATAAATCGAGTAAACTTAAAAGGAAAGCTTCAATTCTACTATGTGGGATAAATTTACAGAAGAATCTCTAAAGTATATTCAAAATATCGTAATTCGTATCAACATACCCTCATATCACGAACGAGAAGTAAGTTCCACTCTGACCCTCGCCTCCTGCAGATCAGACTGGAACCAAAACCCAATATCCTTGGTCGAATCCACGAGCTCAAACTCTCTCTTCACGAACTTCGTTCCATCGCTCGGTTGCAGACTTGCAGCCTGGGGATCCTCATCGTCACTATCCCATTCATCCTCAATATCCATATTTTCTTTGCTAACCGGGTCCAACTCATCCGTTTCCCAGATCAATCGGAATTCGAACGGAGGGAGGTTGAAAAGCCGAGAAACAATCGCTTTGACTTGGTATGTGTCGAAGGATCGAGGAATCTGTTTCACTTTAGTCGTGTCCCTGTCCCAGGGCATTGCAGGCGTTTTGTCCGAGTTTGACCCGGGAGAGCTCAGACGAAACACCATTTTGACTAGGCGCGCAGCCACGGAGCGCGGGTTCACGATAGCGTCTGGTCCAGTTGAGGTTGAGGCGCGTTTGATGAGGGGTTCCCCGTGGGTCTGGCAAAGAGCCTTATAGCGAGGGTGTGCCGCCAGGATATCCGGCTCTGCAGTCTCCGGGGAAGCGGACAGCTCTTTACCAATGAGGGATAGGTAGTAGAGCTCTGCATTGCTGCGGTCCTTGGCTGAAATCTTACTGTAGTTGAGGGTTTGTAAGGTAGATAGCCGTGACAGAGTTAGCATGTATGCCTCGTCCACTGTCATTGGCTTCTCTGGCATGCCGGTGACAGATGACGGGCCGACAGGTTGATTGAACAGGGGGTTTCCGGAGACGCGGAGACTCTGTAGCCCGGGAAACAGATCGGCGAGCTCATTTATGAATAGCCACGAGTTTATTTTGTTTCGAGATAGATCTAAAGAGCGAAGGCTAGTTGAAAATTGGAACGACTCGCCTTCCGAACCAGGCTCGAAGATGGTTTCAACGCAGTTCCCGCGCAAAGACAGATGCTGCAGTTTGTCTAAAAGCGATAGTTTTCGGAGTGATGACATTGCAGAGATCTCATTATTCTCCAGGATGAGTGCAGTGATAGTGTTAGAGATGGGTGTTGTGATCATTGAAATCTGGTTCGCAGAAGCTGACAGAGAGGCCAGGGAAGGGCATTGAGCAGCCACCGCTGAGATCTGCGCAAGTTAGCCAGGTACCTTTTAGAGATTAAAGATACCCTCCTACCTGTTCCCAAGGAAGCAATGTGTCAGCTAGATGTAACTCTTCAATCCCGTCGAAAGTCAATCCTTCGACAACTGGTCCAAATCGATTTGAACTGTTCCGATCCAAAGTCAGCCAGATCCTCTTCGCTTGGAAATCAGCACTCACTTGAGTCGTAAGAGCTTCAGCCGCCCTAACCGGCGGCAGATATCAGCTAAATCGGTCCAAGATGCCAAAAGGTTCCGACTAAGATCAAGCTCTACAATCTTGGGGCAAGTCTGCTCGACCTCCTTGCCGGCTTTCTCTCTCCGTTCTGTCTCCGCCGCCTGCGCAAGAACACCGGCAACCCGCAATCCATCCAGAAGCACAATCTTCAACTCTTCAAGCTCTGCAAGTTGCTTCCGAATCTTGTCAAACCCCACTTCCTCAGCGACCTTGCCATTGAACTCAATAGGTCTCGGGAAATCTTCCGCAGACCCCGCAGCCCCGGCCTGTCTTGCTAGAGTTTGCTCGAATTCAGACGCGTACTTCTCGCGCAGTGCTTCCAGAAAACTGCGAGGACTATCTGCAGGCCGCGAGGGCCGCACAAAAGAGCCAGCCGTGGGGTGTTTTCTTGTACCTATCGATAGTATAAGCAGATATCCAAGGTCAGAGCCAGCCCGTGGCACAGAAAGTATTGGTTCTGCTTGTTCTTCTTCTCCTTGAGCAATACAGAAGAGAAGTGTCTTACATGTAAAATAGTTCACTCCCTGATGCTTTCCTGAGTGCTTCCCCCGAGTTGGGTCATCCCATTCAACACCCAGCCATTCTCCAGCGGTACCGTCAACCTTGCCCACGTAGCGAATGGTGCACAAATCCCCATTATACGAGCGACGCTGATTCACCCAGTCCTGATGATCCATAATAGGATCTCTTTTTCAGTTTTCAATGATATATATAATAATATACGGAAGTTCTCTGTTGTTGATCGAAGCTTCATCTCTTCCTCTCTCCAATCGGAATCCCACCTCCTTGCTTATGTAATCACCAACACCGAAGCTTCTGCTTCATATCCTGGAATCAATCAATCAACCTGAGCACTCCCATCGCTCAACCCCCCTGCCCCCCACAAACCCAAAATGGATTACCAGGTAAGTCCGGGAAGAAAAACAAAACCCGGCAGATATTCTTTACTTGAAAAAACACCTGCTAACATTTCCGCAAAGAACCGCGCGGGTTCCAAATTCGGCGGTGGCGGCGTGGCCTCGCACTCCGCAACAAACGCAGACCGTCGCGAACGCCTACGCAAACTCGCCCTAGAAACCATCGACCTAGACAAAGACCCGTATTTCTTCAAGAACCACGTGGGCAGCTTCGAGTGCCGTCTCTGTCTAACCGTGCACCAAAACGATGGGTCGTATCTCGCCCACACCCAAGGACGCAAGCACCAGACGAACCTCGCGCGGCGCGCGGCGCGCGAACAACGCGAGGGCAAAAACCAGGACCCGGCGTCGCTTCCCGGGGCGATGGGCGTGCAGGTGAAAAAGCAGACGATTAAGATCGGACGGCCCGGTTACAAGATCACCAAGATTCGGGACCCTCTTACGCGGCAGCTGGGGCTGCTGTTTCAGCTGCAGTACCAGGAGATCACGGCGGGGGTGCAGCCTCGGGTGCGGTTTATGTCGGCGTTCGAGCAGAAGGTGGAGGAGCCGCCTGATAAGAACTTTCAGTATCTGGTTGTTGCGGCGGAGCCGTACCAGACTTGTGGGTTTAAGTTGCAGGCGCGTGAGATTGATCGGCGCGAAGGGCGGTATTGGACTTGGTTTGATGAGGATAGTAAGGAGTTTTGGGTCCAGATTATGTTCAAGACTGAGCGTGAGGAGCGGTTCAGTGGTGTTCCGGGGTTGGCGCCCATGGGGCCCAATTAAGACCTACCTACTGTTCTCTCTGATCATGTTTGGTGAATGAAATGGTACACACCATTTCTCAACGGTTCCTCGGCGTTTTATTGGGAGGGGGAGGTGTTTAATGATAGCATAATTTTGGTACTATGTCTTTCTACTACTAAACTTGAGATTTTTTTTTTTTAACTTGACTTAATCCTCTTCAAATGAATACCCGGAAATATCTCTCTCTAGTCTACAGATAGCGGCAAACCACATAGATATGTAGCACCATCAGAAAATTCGATTCTAATTTTGCAGGTCTCTACCAACTATCCACTCAGAAAGATAGCCAGTATTCATGATATGCATATGTATGTAGGTATCATAGAGTTAACCCCCCCCGGTTTAAATTGACAACGCACTCATAGGTGGCCATTTGATGCTCAATACAACACGCAGCTAACAGGAGTCGGCTCGCGACAATGAATGCAAAGATATAAAGGAGGGCAAAAGGGAAAGAACACAAATTGAAAGAAAAATGCCCATGTTCCCGGTAACATGACAATATATTCGCTATATGCGTGATTGATGAAAAACCAATGAACAGGGTCTATACCGAGGCTAGAACCTGGATGAGCTGCTGAAAAGCTATTAACGCAAGCCCGCCCGCTATCAAACTTTCCAAAGACACTCATCATCGGCTCACTAAGAGAACTCGAACGCTGAAACTATATTCAACTTGCCTGGAAGGCGTTGAATGCTTTGTACGTGTACCCGATGAAAGGCAGGCTCATCTCAGCCTCCTGCTCCTCGGGCATAGCACGTGCCTGCGCCCGGTGAATAGCACTAGTGTCCTCCTGAGGAATCTCATCAATCGGGAAATATGAAACGTCGATGTTCGAGCTCAACCTCGGCTCGAATGGGGCACGGATACTCCGAAGCTGCTCCCAGACCACCCCGCGGAAGAACGGATGGTTCTTAATTTGCGTGGCTCCTCCATACTGGCCGCCCTCGTTTCCAATACGATGCTCTGCATCACACAAGAAACTATCGAATGTTAGGCCTTGCAACGATAGAACAGGGTTAGGGAGAGCTTTACCTTCGGATCAGGCCTTCAGACTCCCGCGACAAGGTCAATTCCTCAGGGAAGTAGAGGCATTCTCTCCAGTTTACAATCTTGCGATAAGTGTCGGTGGTGTCCTCAGCACAGAATGGAGGCCAGCCCACCAGACATTCGAACATGATGGCACCAACCGACCACCAATCGCAAAGATAAGTATATCCTTGACCGTTGAAAATTTCAGGCGCGATATAGTCGGGAGTTCCGACAGTTGAGTACGCCATAGCACGGCGAGACTTCCGCCAAGTGTTAATCTGTCCACGGTTCGATACCGTCAGGTTAATTGCATCACTGAAATATCCAGAGTTCCTATTCTTGTCTTTGGAGGTGGAGTTCTTAAGCAGGTTTTGATAGTAGGAGTTGTCGTGAGTCTTCTTGCCTCCGGTGGAAAGACCAAAGTCAGTCAACTTCACATGGCCGCCACGATCAAGGAGAATGTTATCAGGTTTAATGTCTCTATAGGACCGCAGAACATTAGCCGCCCGTCGCTCATAACGCTAAACCTTAACCGTGAAAATTTTCAACTCACCGGTGAAGGAACCCGAGTTTATGAACCGCTTCAATAGCCATCACAATTTCCGCCATATAGAATCGGGTGATATCTTCGGAGAAAATTTCGTATTTAATGAGCATAGTCATCAAATCACCTCCAGGCAAGAATTCCATCAGCAGGTAGAGATATGCGGAATCCTGGAAGGAAGCATGAAGCTTCACAAGCCATGGGTTATCTTTGGAATCAGCCAGGATATCACGTTCTGCGCGGACGTGGGCCAGTTGATCCTTCTTAAACATCTCCGTCTTGATCAAAGACTTGAGCGCATAAATCTTGCCATCGGTTTTCCTTTGCACAAGCTTCACCTCACCAAAAGCTCCTTTTCCGATAATCTTGATCGTCTGGAAATTCGAGGGAGTCTCCCGAGTCCGGAGGAACCGAAGGAAGTTCGATTCTTTCTTCGCAAGTACTTCAGCCTCCTTTAACTTCGCGTCCTGCGAGGTACTAGGGTCGCGGATCATCTTATCCAGTTCAGCAGAGCTGTTTCCGTCCCCGAGTCAGCTAGGCCCAATTTTACATGCCAATATCAGGGCCACGAGGGTTACTCACCGCATATTACGATCGCGTGCACGTTCGATATTCTCGTGGAAGAACACATTGACCAATTCTTTGGCGGCCTTCCCACGCTTGTGGACATTCTCCGAGTACCGTTCTGGGTAGCGTTGGAGTTCTTCATTCTCGGCGGGGGATCGGGGGCTGCGAGGGATAGGAGGAGCAAGGTGTCCAGGCTGCTGCTGTTGCTGCAGCTGCTGTCCAGGAGCCGGGGAGCCAGCCGTCCGGGGTCTTTGAGCAGGTGAGGCGGAGCGACCAAAAAAGCCAGTTCGGTTCGCATTTAAATCCTGGTTGGAGAACTGCTGAATAAGACCGTTTGTTCCATCATTGGCATTCGCATTGTATCCCATCCGAGACTGATAAGCGGGTTGGGGGGACTGCAAATTGGGCTGGCCGTAATGCTGTTGGGCGTACGCGGCCTGGGGAGGGTAGGGGTTTGCCATAAAGTATCCTTGGCCGTAAGCACCATTTTGAGCATCCATATAGTCCTGAGGTCCCTGGTTCTGATAGATTGGCTGCGGAAAGGCGGAGGGGGTAGTGGGATACGCGCGATTGTTTGCGGCCGCATTATTGAAGGCACGATCATTGTACCCGAAGTGCAGGTGGGGACGATTATTGTTAGGATCCATCCTGAAAGAGAGCCCTCCCAACGATCGAGATTGGATGAATGGAGGGAAGAAAGGATGGGTGAGAGATGAGAGAGAAAAGGGGGAAGGAGGTTGAGATGAGAAGGGGGAGGAGGGGGGGAAGTTTCGTGTTGAAAAGGAGCGGTGGCTCTCAGGAGACGAATAAGTACTTGGTTTGAGGGGAAGGGGTGGGATTTAGTGGAGAGTCGAAGGAGGCTCCCGAGTGGACAGTCACGCCCAAGCAAAGGCTCTTTTTCGTGATCCCTCCAGGAGGCAACTCAGGTCCTACAACGTTCTTCTGTACTTGGAATTCCGGAGCCGGAGGGGAGAAAAACAGAAAAAAGAAAAGGCGAGAGAGAAAAAAGCAAAAGGCAAGAGTTCGTCGTATGTAAGAGCGGAGGATTTGCACTCATCCCGAGTCCAGACGTTGGGTATGTATGTGATGTATTTCAATTCAGGCTATATATAGTACCTTTCCACACTATACAATAACTTTGATAATCTTAAAAGGTACCTGGAACTACAACTAGGGATATTCCCCAACTTTCTCTCTCCATTTTCCCGAATATACTGAGTTCCTGGATAGTAATACGGACAGCTCGTTTCCTAAGGCCCAGTTAGCTTAATGGTGCGTCATTCCACTGGAGCAGCATTCAAATTTCCAGCTCAATCCTGACATATCGTCCATACAGTCACTCTGGGGGGGTCTCAATTCAAAAGAATCACCTATATCCAGGGACCTACATGGTAGAGGAGAGCAAAGCCGTGTCTCTGAGAGGAAGAATGATTCTGGATTCCGGACTTGGCGGAAAAACTAGGTTCCGAGGGTCCGTCGAGATCCCGAACTTTTTTCAATCCCATCATTATTGGAGGCTGCTTGCTTGCTGGTGATACTGCAGGAGGAGCGGTGATCCGGTATTCCATTTTATATATTTATTCCAGTCTCTGATACATATTCTTATTTCCAGTCATGGCGGAATCATCAACCTCCGCTGCGGCTTCGGCTCAGACACAGTCTGCTGCGCCAAAAAGTGTCCCCAAACCACAGAACCCAGCCCTCAAAATGATGGGTAAGATTCATTACACACACCTCTAGCTTTATAATGTGCCTAACATTCAATCGACTGCAGGTCTGCCCCATTTCCGTTTCAAACTTCCCTCCCGGAACTGGATGATTTTTCTCACCATCACCGGATCCTTCACTGCCGCCATAATTTACGACCGTAGAGAGAAGAAGCGCGCGCAGAAGAAATGGTGTGACCTCGTAGCCCATCTCTCTAAGGAAGCCCTCCCTATCGAAGAGACACGTCGAAAACTGACCGTGTTCCTGTCCGCGCCGCCCGGGGATGGCCTCCGCACCGCTCGCGAACATTTCAAGGAATACGTCAAGCCGATTCTGGTAGCCGCTGCGCTGGATTACAATGTCATCGAAGGAAGAAGGGAAGGCGACGTAAGAGCCGCCTTTGCAGAGCAGATCCGCAAGCAGAGACGCCGCGCAGGCGAGCCCAGTTCTGTAACAACAGAGACCACCGTCGAGGACGTCGTTGCTGAAGCCAGAAAGAGCATCGGAGTAAAGGAAGAGCCCGGTCCACGAGGAGACCTTGTCATCGGCCGACACACATGGAAGGAATACATTCGCGGTCTTCACGAGGGCTGGCTTGGTCCTCTTGACCCTCCCCAGCCGCCCGTTGAACTCCCCACCGAACAACCCACAGAGGCACCGGCACCAACAACACCGCCGCCCACCGAAGGAACGACTACCGCAACCCCAGAAACCCCGGGAGAAAATAAAGACACCCAAGAACCTAAGAAAGAAGAGGAAAAGAAGCCCGAGAAACCCAAGGGCCCAACCCCCGCCTATCTCGCCCCCGTCGACTACTCCTCCCAACCGCTCCCCCCATCCATGCCCTCAACTCTCGACGGCGCCAACCCAATCAGCTTCCCCCACATCCTCGGCTTCCTCAACACCCCAATTAGAATCTACCGCTATCTGAACCAGCGCCACCTCGCTGACAGCGTCGGCCGCGACGTCGCGGGCATCGTCCTCGCCTCCTACGCACGCCCATACGACGAGGGCTTCTCCACCCCCAGTGGAGAAGCCCCCATAGGCGGTACCTACGAGCAACAAAGCCAACTCGAAGAAGAAGAGGGCGACTGGCATAAATCCGTGCACAAGAAGGACGAGGCCAACCCCGATAAAGAACGCGAGTGGCTTGACGACATCACTCTGGACCCGCGCATCGCCGGCCGCATGCAGCGATACGTTCTCAGCCCCGAAGAAGAAGCTCGCGCGGAGCGAATCGTCCAGGGAACCGAGTATATTCTTGGTGAGGAACGGCCCGAACATGTTTCGTTTTGGCAGCGGGCGTGGATCAAGTATGGCTACGGAGAGGATCCGGAGGTTGCGAAGCGGAAACCCATTCTTGGGGATTTAGATGGGGAGGAGTAAGTAGGTAGATGATCCAAGGGGAGAAAAGGGAATGAATGGTAGGGATGGGGTGGATTGGTCGATGACGGTTTAGAGATGGGATAGATAAGATATTTGGTTGTTGGGATTGCATAGAAAGAGCAGGTCCTGAACTGTACCATCAAACTCCGATACACTGTATATTAGTTCATGCATATTTTTGTTCACTAATTTCACGCATCAATTTCTCGCAAATGTGATTTTCTATCTACATATAGGGTAGTAACGACGGTATGTAGACCTGGTAACAATCATAATAATAATAGGGTATCGTATCATTTATTTACTCTATAGGTCCACCGAATATCACGGGTCTTGTACCCAGTAACACATAAAACAACTCTGCACCAGACTTGCATAAAATTCCCATTTTGTTCCGTGTCAGGGCGCTTTTTGGTGGAGTAAGTAGATGAGGTATATATACACTTGAGGACGCAACCAATTATGGGATAGCCAGATGTTGTAAAACAAACAAATTATTCCCCCGAAAAAAAAAAAAAAAAAAAAAAAAAAAATCAAGATCCCAAATAAAAAGATCTAGTCAATAGGACTAGAGTGGAGAAATAACGACAAGCTCGAATTTTTATATGTTCGATCAAGATCCGCTAAGATTCATATTGCCCAACTCCAAACCCACGATATCCCATATCTGTCGATGACATTACTGTGGGCGGTACGGTCATGTAGGGTGGTGGCGTCGGGGTATAAATGGCAGGAGGGGTCAGCAAGTATCCTTGAACAGATGTCGATCTCTGCTGGAAATCGTGCCGTAGACCGTGGAGCTTCCATTTTCGGACTCCAAACTGGAGGATTTTGCCAATTTTAGTCAGACATTCAAGCGCTTGGGTATAGCAATCCAAACAATCTTCACAGTCTAGAAGAGGGGGAGTCGGGCAGTCGTCGGGCACCTGTGGCAAAGCTGGAACAGATTGGCTCATGATAAGGTCAAAATCCTGAGTGAGGATGTCGATGAACTTTCGGCTGATTTGGTAGGTTCTCTGAATGTCAAGAAATGTGATGACAGGCAGCCAAGTTTGACTTTCCAGGACTTGATGCAGCTGGCGGACATATTCAATACAGTTTTTAAACAAAAGGAACTTGGTGTAGTTGCACTGCGGCAGGTGGCGACTAGAGGGCGACAGAATGATGATAGTAGTGTAAAGATACTCTAGTCTGTATAGAATGGGGAAGTATTGAGTGGCGTCTTGAGGTGTGTTCTTATACCATTCATGAACTTGCGAGCATAGAATCCACGTCGACGGTGGAGGCAAAGAGGGCGATTCAAATTCATGGAAATACTTTCTCTGATAAGCCGCAGACAGGATTTGTCTAATTCTGACAATGCTCCACGCGGGCTCCGAGCTATGTAAGAAAATATGGCTTTGCTCGACAGGAGAGGATCCGGGGGAAGAGGAAGAAGATGGGAGTGCAACATGGACGGATTGGTCCGAGAATGAGAAGGTCCGATCAAAGGCGGTACTGGTCGCTCTGCATTGTTTTTGATTAGCATTTTAAGTCCCCGATCACAAAGGGAAACCAACCTATCCAGAATAAAAAGACAATGGAAAACACGGCGGCGAAGATCCTGTTGGAGAACAGACTGTGCAGCCTCCGCGTGGTGGTCCTGGTGGATTCCCAAGTCAACTAGAGCTCTGGCAGCCATACCCACTAGATACCAGCTTCGAAAATGATTCGGGTCAACCAGGGAGTACTGAGCGAGAAACATGATTGCCTGAATACCAAGCAAGGTTCCCGGCCGGAGGACATCTTCGGCATATTGCAATGCCTCTGAAACAAGAGCAAGGGCTTTCTGGTGGCTCTTGTCATTATAGGCATTTGACATAGAAGCATAGGCCGTGGCTAACACCATTCGCAGAATCCAGTTATCAAATGGCTTCGCAAAATGGGCGCCTTTCTGATAGACGATATCAACCGAAGCCCAGAAGCTGACTTCGGGAAAGAAAGGCAGCTGGCTGAAGAAAGTATCGAAATAATGCTGGACGAGTGGAGTGATCTCATGTCGAGGCGGTAACGGTTGAGGTAATAATCTTGGAATGGGCTCTCCAAGAGAAACTGACAAGAGGAGATTGGCAAACGACGTATTCGAGGTGATCCCGTGGAAATCTCTCGAGGTAGCGCTTACAGATCTGAAAGATTGGATGTTAGTAAAAGGAGCCTGCATTAGTTGATAGTTGAAAGAGGGGACAGACAGATAGCCAAAATCCCCAACCAGGTCATCTATATCCGAAACCTCGCGTCGGTGGGTATCTGAGACAGGACGTGTCGGCGCGGCGGACGTGATTGAGCTCTCCCGAACGACGCCATCATCGTCACTGATCAGCAATTCTTTGCGCTGACGGAGTTCTGTAACTCTTTTCTCCAGTCGTTCACAATATGCCTCCAAGGAGGCGACGTAGCTTCTCTCTTTCCCTCGTGCAAACTCATCGCTGGCACTGGAGCAGGTAGCTGCTTTCCCGACCCTCTCACATGCGGAACAGGCAGGCAGCTTCCCGTCGCATTTGATTTTGGCCGTCCGACATCTCGAGCATGCAGCGACCGGCCGACTGACTTTAAGCAGTGGCTTGTCCAAAAATAAGGCCGTGGACATCTTAGTGGCACATGTTCCCTATGTCAAAAACAGAGGATTAGACACCAGATTTGTCAGTGGTCCACAATGGGAGAGGAAAGTATGCGGGTATTGCTTCATCTCCAAGGTTAAAACTAAACGGGAGAGAAGGGGTGGAAGTAATTCATGTGAAAATGGGGTACGTGGAGAAGAGGTCGCTCTGAGTTTCTGGAAAGTTGACTCTCAGAATTCCGCTCTCAAAATACTTACGGAGTACTTACCCACTGGAAAGTATTGGAACCACTGGCGCCCGCTCCGTGGTAAAGATTGGGCTGAACTGGGGGAGCTGAGGGGGGCGCGCGCGGGGGATGGATATTTCTTAGAGGCTGAAGGATCAAGAAACAGAGCCGCTATCAGGATGGACAGAAGCCCAGTGCCATTGCAGATCGACTAAGAGAGGATTAGTTGAGTTTCCAGAATGACAGGAATTAGCCCGAGATGTAGGGAGAGCTTGAGTGGATGGAGAGCAAAAGCAAACACGAGCAACAAAGGGATGGTACGAGTAGGATTAGCGCCTCGGAGCACAAACGAAGCAAGGTAAAGTGAAAAAGCTACCGACATTTGATGGATTAATTAATGAATGCATGCAGCATAGCCATACCTGAATTATTGTGTACTCGTATGTATATATGTTAGTGGTAATCATAGTCAGTAGTAACTAGTGATGGTCTTTCTGTCTGTCTTCAGCCCCGCCAGTGTCAACGCTAAACTATTTCGGGCCCAGTCACGGGGCCTCTGGTCCTACAAACAAATTTCGGCACGTGATTAAACCGCGTCTACTCGTTTTTTTATCTTCCATCATTTGCCAATTACTCCATAGAGAGGTAGAGAGTTGAAATAGAGGACAACCACTCGGATCCGAGCGAGATGCAAAACTGGAGCTCGCTCCCACGGTACTAGTAAGCCTACTGCAGAGTACCCAAGGTACATCCTTCCAAGTTCAAGATCCTCGCAGTTATTTTTAATTTTTGCTGGCTGGAACCCCGCTGCCACCCCACCACTTACCGAAGAAAGCCAAGATCACTTTCTGGCAGTGCTTTCGACTGATTAACGGGGCTACACTTGAGACTTGAGACTCGTCCTCTATCCTCTCTGTACTCTGTATAGTAGTATATCCTACCTAGCGAAGGGGGGGGGGGGGGAGAGAGAGAGTAGGGACTAGGGTGGTACAAAGAAAACACAACCTACTGGAGTAGACATGTAAAAAGACGCGTTGTGAAATGCTCATATCTTCTATCCCTAACTGAATGGTGCGGAATTCAAAGGATACGAAACCCACCTTGTCAGCTCTTAATTCCTGGATTATGCAGGATTCGGCTAGGCTCCTCTTTCGATCTTCTTCCTCTGTCCTTCTCGAAAAACTGAAACGATCCCTCTTGGTGAGAATTTAGCCGTCTGGGTCATATACCATAAATTTTTTTCCCCCTAGTCTATTCCTCATCTCCATCTTTGTATTGTTTTGTCCTATTATCATTTTTATTCGAGAGATCCCATTATTCATTCTATTCCAAACGGTACTCCCTACATTCTTCCTCTAGTTAACTAGTCGTGGATCGTGAGTTGGTTGGTCACTGTCGCCCTCCGTAGGGCTCGTCGATCCAAACGGCGGCTAAGTGGGCCGAGGCCACAGAGAGTCGACCACCTCTGTCCCTCTTTCAAGTTCGCGCGAGACCCTCCAGGCTCTTGCTGAAACGTTCCCCTTCAAGGAGATATCACATACGCTAGCACCCATGATTTCGCTATCCCCAGACTCATTCTAGCCCTCTCCCCGCGCATTCGACCCTCTGTACCACCCTCATGCTCTCCTTCAGTCACCATCACTCCCGCCTTGCAGCCAGGTCACGTTGGGGCAAGCCCTGACTATGTCCAATTCGCAACTTCATCAGGTGTTCACTCAATATCGCACAATCGCGTGCACTTAAAGACCTGACCTGAATATCTCATTCGACAATAATATTGTGGAGAAACGTGGAAAGAAACGGTCTGGAGCGTTGATTGCATGGAATACTAAACGACCACCGTCCGCCCGTCGATCGAAACCCTCCACGTTTTCTGGCCCCCTCGAAAACAACCATGGCGACCAAGCCTGACCCAGCAGCAACTCAGCAACCTCAATTCACAAATCCATGGAATCCACCGGTGTCCAAGCCATCGGATCCGTCGGGTCATACCCCTGATGGTCGAATCGCTCACACTTTAACCGCATGTACCAGGTGCAGACAGGTATACTCTCACTTCCCCCGTGTCTCGCGCCCCCTCTGTTGCTTTGTTTAAACCAGAGATTCACGTTAATGACTTGTGTAGCGCAAGTCCAGATGCGACCCGGGGATCCCCAGATGCGCCCCATGTGAACGCAGCAATGCCAAGTGCGTTTACTATGATTCGGCTCGAAAGTCGACAATATCCAGAACATACATTGTTCAATTGCGCGATAGGGCTCGAAAGTTGGAGCAAGAGTTGCAAGATGTTGAAAAGGACTTCCAACATGCCGCCGATGCAGAATTGATGGTGAGAGGAGCCGGCCGCATTCGCTTCAAAGAACATGACGAAGCCAGATATTTGGGGCCATCTAGCGGCATCGCAATAACTCGTCTGGTCATGGAAATGGCTAAACAAAACACATCTTCCAAGAGCATTAAGGATGTCGTCCCCGACTCAACAGCTCAAGTGATCAAATCAGCATTTAGCCAAGAAAGCGGGAAGCCAACGTCCAAAATTTACCCCATCATCAGTTCAATGCCCCAGCAAAGCTTGCCATTGAAACATGTGACCTATCGACTGATCGATGTATTTGTCGTTAAGGGTATGTTGTATTCTTACTACTGGCCTATCTGATGTTTCTTTGAGTTGACTATTCTCCCAGCACAAACAATGCTTCCAACACTCCATATTCCCACCTTCCGACAGGAGGTCGAGGAGGTGTTCAACGGGTCCAACGACCCGTGTCAAAACTTCCAGTTGCGAATGGTGATTGCCATCAGCATGCAAAAGATGAGTCAATCCTTTGCAGGACTCGCGGACAGCTACTACCTTGCCGCATTACCGTATCTCGAAGCCTCTTTGAACCGAATGGATCTCAAGTCCTTACAGTGTTTAGTCATGATCGGCCAGTATTCTTTGTTGACCCCTACACGAACCGCGGCTTATTGGGTCGTTGGAATGGCTGTTAAACTATGTCAAGAGTTGGGCCTCACAGAAGAAGCCACCATCAGCCAGTCGCGGGATGGGAAGCCGCTGGACCCTTTGGAAATCGACATGCGAAGAAGACTCTTTTGGATCGTCACGTCGATGGAGTTCGGACTTTCTCATAGCCTTGGACGCCCCAGCTGTTACTCTGTCAACCATGACCACATCAATGTGAAATTTTTCGAACCGGTAGATGATAAACACGTCACCCGGGAAGGAATACACCCTGACGCAAAGTTAATCCTACCCAAGTGCATCGCCATACACTTCTTCAAGATGCGGCTACTCCAACTGGAGATACGGCGAACCCTTTATTTGAATAAAAGGGAAACTCCGCTTGATGACCAAGACCCGTGGTTCGCGCATATGCTTGATAAGCTCAATTACTGGGTATCCTCTTGTCCGAAACATGACAGTGGGAGCGGCCTAAGTGAAACATGGTGAGAAACTGTTCACCCTTGAGGTTATTCTAGAGTGCTTATACATTCTCTGTAGGTTCCAAGGTCGCAAAAACACAATGATCGTTTTCATGTTCCGACCCTCTCCTCAAATCCCAGAGCCGTCTGTTTATGCAGCGCAGATGTGCTTTGAAGCCTCCGTCTTTAATGTCGTCATGCAGAGGGAACAGATCGCAACAGGCTCGGTAGATTTGACTTGGATCTTCACTCAATCGCTATTCATGGCGTTAAATACAATCCTTTGGTCTCTTTCGTATCCCGACATCAGGAAGGAACATCCATTGGACCAAGTGGAAGGGTACATTTCAGTTGCCCTAGAGGCGCTCTCACTAGCTTCCGCCAGATGGCCTGGAGTCCAGTCAGCCCTCATACTTTACGAAAACCTCATCATCGCATGCCTCAGAGCATACAGCACTGATGAATCGTTTGTGGTTCATTCTCCCTCAAACCATTCGAGCCATCCGACACCTAGCTCCTCTCAAGACATCACTTCTCCGCCATCGATCGCTAGCCCCGCCAGTACCTCTGCCTCACTCCCCTCACAGAACATCCGGCCAGCCACCTCTTCCGTTGCCGGTAGCACACCTGCAGGGACATTCTCAAGAGGTCCATCAGTGGACCCAACCTTGCCTTTCCCAACGTCCACCACTCCGTCGGTTATTAATGTCGACCCGGTGAAGGCGGTAGAATCTACTTTGTGGGATCCCAGTATCCCACCGCATGCGCCAGCCAGTGCACAAAACTCACTAAGCTTTGAATCATATGAAACCACTCCAATTTCTGGTGCCGAACTCCAGTTTGATCCATCCACACCTTTCAACTCGTTTCCTTCAGTAGTTCGGGGCCTTCCAGGCTGGGATCCCAATTTCTCCTTGGCAACCACAACGGGTGCCGAACTAGGACATTCGGATGCGTTCATGGATCCAATGGGCTGGGTAGATTCCATTGGAGACCAGTACTCGCAGTATTTCAATGGGGAATACCCTCAGGGTCCATGGCGAGGAAGGGCGCTGAGCCAACAAGAGCAGCTTGAGTTGATGGACTCGTTGCCAGATCACATTCCTGATGTCACAACTCAGCTAGCAATGCAGACATCGACTGCATATTACCAGTCGTGAGGCGGCCCTTTTTTTTTTTTTTTTTCTCTCTCTTTTCCCCTCACATATATACGGAGCATCTCACACTGGGCCTCGAGAAACTGGCGAACTTTTTTTATAACATTTATTTGATTTGGTGCAATTGATCAGTTACTCATAGCACTGTATTTGAGGACTTCCGAGTCCACTTACAATAACGAGTAATATACTTTTAAATTCAGATACCATTTACTGCATTTACTTTATCACGAATGAATGTCTTATAAGCACTTGTAGTAAATCCCACTTCTCCCTTCCAGTAGGCTCTCTTGGGAACTTTGGTATGTAATGTTCCTGCCGTTACCGGACACGCCCCCGGCGAAAAATAACGGAACGCTAAAACCATGCCGTGACGGTAAATTACAAGCGCGGGTCAACCCCCCAAAAGGGCTGGAATCACGTGTTCTCCGGCCTCTTGCCGTCATCCAACATCTCTTTCAAGTTCCTCTGTTTCACTCCAATAGTGCGGATCAAAGAGCATCGATCTCTCTACCCTTCCCAACCCGCCGTTTATCAACTCCTCCACCCATTTGCTATACCTCGTCGTGCCGTCACATCTCCGACAACTCTGCTGGCGCTCAGAGTCAACTCATTGGCATGTGTGACCTCTAAGACGGTCGTCCAAACGTCGCTTCAGCGAACCCTCGACCGGCTTTTTTTCACCCTCCTCCACTTCTTACTCTTGCCTGAGTCTGCCGTATTCTGCCCTAAGCCAAAGGAAGCTCGATTGAGATCTTCGACTAGGGCTTTAGGATAAGGCTGCTCAGACTTTCGCGGCTATTCTTCCTCCGTACCACCCTTTCCACCTGGGGGACCCCATGTCCAATCGCGCCTCCTCGGCGTCATTCCGAGTAGGACCTCCTTCACCCTCATCTCCTGCCGCTTTTTCTCTCAAGGAGAATTCTCTTACGGCATCTCCCCCCGGTCAGATTCCACAGACCCCGACATCCCCTCCGTTGATGTCGGGAAGCGCTTCGAACAATGCCTCCAGTTTCGCATCCTTGCAAGCATCTCCTAGTCAGGCGACATCCCAACCTGCGAACCTCTCCTCCCCTCCTTCCTCTACGCCTATGTCTACCCAGGCCTCCCAGCAGCCGACAGCAGGCATGACGAATTCGTTCCCAACTCCAGCCAGCAGCGTGGATCCCGACCATATAGACAAGTCCTTCGGGGCCAGTGTGTCGGAAATCGGAGCCCCCTCCGCTGCTAGTACCAGTGCGGCGCCCAGTCAACAGTCAGAACACAGACGGACTGATCACGATCGGAATTTTGAAGGATCACAGGCAACAACAGGAGTTCGCGATTTGGCGAATATGGCCAGCTCTACGCAGGCTCATCATGGCGATGCCATGGACATTGATACAGATAACCCTAACTGGCCCAGCTTAGACTCACTGCAGAGAGATTTCTCATCGGCCTTCCATCTTTGCAAAAGCTGTAAGACCTCCCCAGTCCTTACTGTGGTTGTTGCCGCAGTACACACTTACCACCCATATTTTCCCCATATCTGTTTGGGTTGAGACCTTGTTAACGCTCTGTCCTATGATATTTTACAGCCCATATTGCGACTGGACCAGACCCTACACTAGACCTTATCTCGCTGTACGGGTTAGGACCTGTGGCGAAATCGGTTGCAAGAATGGACCCGGTCACGGGCGAGAAGATCAATAGGCTTCGGAAGTCATACGAGGGTAAACTGAAGGGCCTAGGTCTTGCAGGAAGGAACAAACCGGTGAAAATCGATTCTACTACTGCTGGTGGACTCAGGCACATGACGATGTGGCCGGAAGAAGAATGGCAAAACCAAAAAGTTTACGGCAAAGAAATTAAAGTGGCAGATATTGATTCAGCGTTATACAATCTCCAAATGAAGGCCATGAAAATGGAATCGGGGACGGTACCGAACAACGATTATTGGGAAGACGTCTTGGGTCATGAAAAGCCAGCGAAACATGTCAGCAATGGAGAAGTCGCCAAAAAAGTTGCTGCTGCCCCGAATGGTGTACGGGTACCTACTCAAACGAACGGTTCTTCTGCACCCACAGACCAAGAGCGATCACGGCCCAGCCGTGGGCGGAAGAGGCATTATGACGACAACAGTTTTGTTGGCTATGGTGAAGGCTACGCCGATGATGACGATGATGGCGCATACTATTCAAACGGCGAAGGAGTTGGGAAGAAAAAGCGAAAGAAGGTATTTCAACCCCCCCCCCCCCCCCCCCCCCTTTGGCAATCCGATGAGGACACTAACCGTCGGACTTTTGCAGGATCATGTCTCGAAGATATCTACGCCTCTCCCAGAGAGAGGCGGTAGCTATGGAGTGGGGATGTTTGGAATTGGAGCTAGGTGAGCGAATGGCACGGAAACACAACGGGAGCAAAAGCAGTTTTCTGCACGTTTTTCTTCGACTTTATGTTTATTTTGCTACGCATGCGCGTAGGTACGTTACATCCCAGGCGCATGTCGACTACAGGATGTGTTATGAACAGATGCTCCACGGGACCCAAGGACGATGGATTGGCCTTTGGCCTTCCACTTATTTCTCAGTACATTTTTGCATCACGGTGCTGGATATACCCGGCTTTACTCAATCGGAAACGGCGTTTAGGGGTAGCATGCTTATTTGCGGAAAGGATTGTTCTGGAATCGCTACCTTTTCTTTTTTTTAACGGCAAAACCACCAAGTGCTGTAATGGCGATGTTTTTTTACTCCTCGTTCCACTGTGTTACTTGTTTTGCGATTCTGGTTTTTCTTATTTTGATCGACGCCCATGGCGAGACTCTGTATTTCAAGGCTGAGGCCGAGTGATGGATACTGATAGTGACCGGCCCCGTACAAAGCTACGCTAGATAGAATCCAGTCTATCATTTATCCGTGGTACAGTAGATAATTTATCCAAATATGTCCCGAAAGCTCAAGCAATAGTTCCCTACATAGGTACGGACTACGGACTACGGAGTAGTAACGTGGGGCATCGCCACGAGTCTACTCATATTTCAGTATTCTTCTACCAACTCTACTCATTCACCACTCAACACACAACCCAAAAACAATTAAAAAAGAAGAAGAAGAAGAAGAAGAAGAAGAAACAATCAACAATGACAACCCCATTCCAAAAAACCCTCTCCCTAATCGACGCCGCACACGCACAAGACCCCAAAAAAATAACCACCCCTCCTCCTCCTCCTCCTCCTCCTCCATCATCATCATCCACCGCAACCCCTACCGAAATCCCCTACGAACTACACTACGCCAACAAAATGACCAAGTACCTCCTTCTCCACACCCCCTCCGCTTCAGACGCCCTGCGCCTCGCCGTTCGCGCGCAGCACCTGAAACGCTGGGAAGTGCCGCGGACAGAATACCCCGCGACCCGGGCAGGGTACTACGCGTGGCGCACGTACCTGGGGAAACGCCAGGCCGAGCTGGTTCGCGAGATGTGCATTGCGGGCGGATATGAGGGGGATGTAGCGGAGAGGGTTGCGGCGCTGGTGAGGAAGGAAGGGCTCAAGCCGGGTTCTGGGTCTGCGGGTGCGGGTGCGGATGCGGAAACGCAGGTGTTGGAGGATGTAGCGTGCTTGGTGTTTTTGGATGATCAGTTGGAGGAGTTCCAGGGCGGGTATGCGGAGGAGAAGGTGCTTGGGATTCTGAGGAAGACTTGGACCAAGATGTCTGGGAGGGGGAGGGAGATGGCGTTGGGGATGGAGTTGGGGGGGAAGGGTGCTGAGTTGGTTGCGAAGGCTTTAGCTTGAATTTTTTTTTTTTTTTATCTTATATATATATATGGTGGAGGAAGATGTTTTATGTATCATGAAGGTGCTATATTATTATATTATACATAGGGATATATGTAACTACCTACTAGGTAGGAATCTTTTTTTGGGGGTCGTGAGATCGTTCCAGTGTCATTATCAGGTTAATCAGTGGTCGTTAGGAAACTTCCCCCCCGTTAATCAATCGAACTAACCCTATAGCCGCACCTGCAGCAACCCCTCCAACAACACACATCTGGAGGCCGCCATTGATGCCCGCTATGATATTGTCCCTGCCGGACCAGCCGCGCACGACACCCGTCTTGATGTACCCAAACACCAGCAAGGTAACGCCCATCACACCAACGCTGGCGTACAGTGCCACCAGAACATGGGACACGATGAAGTAGGGGATAAGCGGGATAAAGCCACCGACGAAGTAGCAGAGTGCGAGAGTAATCGCAGATGTCCAGGCCTGGTTGCAGTCCGGCTCGGACTCCTTGTGGTAGAAGTGAATCAGGAACTCGCGTAGGCGGTCTGGAGACGCATGAAGAGAGGAGTTGATGGGCGCGATGGCGTCGTCTGGGACGCCGTGGGAAGCAAAGATATCGTAGACAATTGCTGCCGTTTCCGAAGGGGAGGATTCGATGAGTTCCGTTGTTTCCCGAACAGTGGCTTGGTAGGATTCGCTGCGAGGGGTTAGAACGGGCTTTTCTTTTATCTAGGTAGGTACTCTAGAGAGTGTGATGCAAGGGAAAAAAAACAAGATGGAAGACATACGCTTCGCTTTTTGCCCCAACGTATCCGCCCAACCCCATAGAGATGGCGCCCGCAGCAAGCTCTGCGAGTCCTCCCAGAACAACAACTTTTGTGTTTCCTAGCGCTGAGAGACCCGCACTCAGGGCAAAGGGAACTGTAAGACCATCTGATAGGCCGAGAATGGCATCTGAGACGATGCGAGGGTTGATGCGCGATCGCTGGGCACTGCCCGTGCTCGCTGTATCAGAAGTATGTGACGGGGTGCGGAATGTCTGATAAGACCTTTGGGCCTCGAGGTCTTGGTCATGATCCTCTGGGATGATTTGAGGAGTATTGGAATCATCTGCAGCGAGAAGGGGTTTATCTGGTTAATTGTCAGTTCCCTGGTGACTTTTGGGAGTATATAGGGTAAACGAACTATAGTTTGGAGATGCAGGGTTACGACTGCTGCTTGGGAACAGCCTCTGCTTAAGAAATAGAAAAGCCATTGTTCCTGGTTTCCTTCTTCTTTTTCTTCTTCTTACTTTTGAGACGAATTCAACCCCTTTTAAGTCGTCCACTGACCCCAGAAAAAAAAAGAAAAAAAAAGAGCCTTAGATAGGGAGAAAGTAATCAACGATGGTCCAGACTCGCTCTGGCAACTGACGTCACGGTAAAAGAGGCTGGATCTTAACCAAGTACGAATAGGAGACAATGCTGCCAAAAACTATCAGTCTGACAATGATTAAATCATCTCGAGAAGAAACACTTGATATTTATCTCCCCTCCTCTTCCCTCACTATGAACAAAATCTTTTTTTTTTCTGCGTCGCACCCACAGCAAGATCCGGGTGTCTGGCCAATCACCATTGCGACAATAGTCAGCAAATTTGAGGTATGCAGGCAAGTTTGCAGATGCGACAGTGAATATCCTCCAATCCATTGGTTCGCCCATGAGGGGATTACAATTACCTCGCTTGTCAATGGTCAGACCGTGTGCTAATCTTTCTAGATCGAATACCTGCCTTAGCGTTCGGACTCGGACTTGGGGCTCGGAGGGAACTAGTAACTATCTACTCCGGTATCGAGTACATCGATTGTACTTGCCTTCAAACTCGTCAAACGGAGAAATCATGAAGAAACAGGACGAAATACAACCTTATAAATCGTTAACTCTGAATTGCATGGGCAGCAATACTCGGGGGTAATTTTCCAGGATGGAACAGATCTTGGATATTAAAAGACATGGGTGATAAAGGACAGTCAAGATGGTCAGGGCTTGTATACTCTCAAGTAGTATCCCACTTTGTTTCAAGCAGACCAAGCGCCTCGGGAAGATTTTTCAGAGAAAAGATGAGGCCCCACTCATCTCTAAATGCTTAATGTACTGAGTACTCCGTACCTGTCTATCTCTGTGACCCCTCTTTCGTCTTGATCTCCTCGAAGCATTCTGGTTGTCTCGCTTTCTCCCAGTTGCATTTGGGTTTATCGTCTCACAATGGAGCTTTCCCTCGGAAATGCAGAGAAATCGATCTTAAGGGCAATTACCGATCTCTGATTAGTCTTTGAGAGGCTGGAAAGCCCAGTCCTTGATCTGTGTGAATGTTTGCAACCTCATTCAGAGAGAGGAACTGGCCATGGGACACTTCGTTTCCAACAACAAGAAGTAGCTCTACTTAACCGCAAGGATGGTGGTTTTCATAGCTCAGTAAGTTCCAGAGACTAATCACACAGTCCAGCCTGTACTGTGCATTTTCAAGGCCATAATTTGCCAACTACCTCACCTCCGCATACAATCGTTGATGCCAGGTGGTGCACCGTGCACTCAACTTTTGGTGTTCCTCGACGCTCGGGCCGTCCTCGCTTACCAGCCAATCACACCCCGTAGATCCTTTCCCGTCTTCCTATATAAGTCAACGTAAAGAGGTCCTGTTGCCCTTTGGGCATTTGGTCAATTTGAAACGATACAGAGAAGATTAGCATGGCCCCTGCACTAAGGATGACACGCTCAATCAAAGAGAAGCTACCAGTTTTTTTTTGAACACTTACCGACCTCATTTCGAGGTAGGAGTGTCAGCGATATAAACGTGATATTGGATAGCTCTGGGTTCGAAATGGGGGGGTTTCCTCGCCCTTGGTTTTTTTTTTTTTTTTTTGGTTCAGCTCTACCTAGGTAGCCTCGCCTACACATCAAATACTCTCTCTCTCTCTCTCTCTCCACGTAAATGGTATATCAACAGGTTTATTTAGCATCTTTACATACATACGTATACTCTGGTACAAATAACAAATAGAGATTCTTCTTTCACACAAGGAACAGAAATACCTGTCCACTAAGCACCCCCCTCCCGCTTCGCGTACTCCTCTTCCATGCGTTCCTCGTACAACCGGTCCGCCTCCTCTTTGCTCAACGGCTCGCCCTGGTCATTCAGGGCAGAGGTATAGCCGCTTCCAAAGCCGGTACTGGAAGCATTGCTAGCACTGTTGGTGGTATCGGAGGCGCGACTTTCGCCAGCTCGGGCTTCGCTGGAGGGGTGGGATTCTTGGCATCCCTCGGTGTAGTATACGGGGATAGGCATTTTGATTTTGATTTTGATTTTTTGATTTTTTTTTTTTTTTTCAACAGTAGATGGGATCTCGGGTTTGGAGGGCAGGCAGTGGGTGGGGAAGAGTGTGAAATCGATGGATAGTCAAGGAAGATATTCGAGTTGAATTATTTATTGCACCTTGAACGTTGGCGGAAGCTTTTTACGTCATTGAAGTTGCGGATGTTGGATGCTTTGCTTACTGTTGTTGTCAGGTGATCAACTGCTTCAGTGGCGAGTTACAACTTAGAACCAGGTGATAAATATTGTTTTGTTTTCAGCTGCTATATCTGAGGGGGGGTTCTATTGTTGCAGGATCAATGGTAGTGGGGGTTGTGAAGTAGTTAGTATTGCCAGTGTTGTCGATAAGGTTCTATCTGTGCTCCATAGGTTCATATGTATATATATTATCATCATACTTTTATACTTTATATTTCTAGGAATACAACGCGTGTTGCGACCGTCAGGTAGGTTACCACGGACAGCCTATCTGGGGAGCAGTTGGATGAATATCTAATAATATTCATTATATAGAATTCCCTTGCATCCAACTGTCCTATCAGAACCGACCAGTTTAAAGCGAAACCTGGAATAATACTCACTATCCTTGTAGTTGCCAACAGCAAACCCAACCCGCTAAATTCAACGCAGGAAGGACTACCATCCCCGAAGGCCAGTACTTTAAGGCCTTTAAGCTCGTAAGGGACGCCGCGTGCCAAGAAAATGCTTCTCTGACGCACGACTATACAGTGTCGGCTGACCTAGGATTAGTGCCTGATGGTTGCATAACCATTTGCCCAACGCCAACCCCCCAACTTGGGCAGAATAATACTGTTCAGCCAAAGCTGCTCAGGACAACAGAAAGAGGATATCAGAGGAAAGAATTGCGCGCTTGTTAGAAGAGGCTGTGGAGAAAGGAGTTTCCGAAGATCAGGGGCAGAGCCAGTGATTTATTGTCCCTTGAAGGCTTCTTGGAGCAGATGGTCATAATCTTTTCTGTCGGATAGCTTGCGTTTCAGGATTTGTACATTGTGCCGGTGCCAATACCATGTCATCACTTGATAGAATGAGCCATCGTCCGGGCAGTGTTTTGTCATTATCAGGCTGAATCATCTTGTCAAATAAGGTGAATAGCCCAGAGGGGCTTGTCAGTGCGAGGGTATACCAAAATGTTCCCATTTCCCAGGCCTTGTTCATGATGCCCGACAATTTTGGCTCACTAGGGAACGTATTTGTTTCCTCTGCTGCGAGGATCTCCATGAATTCTCGTCGGACATCATCAAACTCGTTGGCATCTATACGATCAACAGCATGGTCAACAAACCAGTGTGGAGGCTGTATCATCTCAGCGGGAAGAGAGCATCCCCATTCCAGATCAACCAGAGCTGTGATGTGCCACTTTTCATCAACGAAAATATTGCTCTGATGGAGATCAGTAAGACAGAAGAAGAATGGACCTCGACGAAGCTCCCGTCGAAAAAATAGTGGAAGTATTGTACGCATAGCAGTAAGAGTTGACGTTTGGTAGATGAAATCATGTGTATCATTTATTGCGTTAGGTTGACACTGTAGCCGACTATCGTGATAAGCAAGCGAATCAATTACATAGGAGTCAGTTGACGAGTATACATAACCGCGTGGCATATCAATAGGTATCCCTTCGTTTTCTAGGTCCTGACGTCCTAGGGATAACGGTCGGTTTGCCAGGCGCAAACTTTCATCATCACAGACGATAAAAGATCCTATTTGATCCAGTGGAAGCCGCGCAAAGCTCAGAAATATTCGGCTGAGGTCACGAAAGAGGTTGGTCCGCAATTCAATATTGTCCTTCTGTGCATCCCATGTCTTTGACAGCATAGTTCCGGTTGACTCTTCAATATACTCAATCAACAAATAACCTGGCATCCCCTGATATTTATGAGACAATCGGCTGTCGTAGCGAGCATAACGAGAAAGAGTCGCTAGACCTAGAAAAGGTCGTGTCCAGCGTAGCAAGCGGTGGATACAACGGGAAATAAATGATAGATTCTCGAGCCGGGTAAACTAGCATACGTGCCAGCTTCACACCTAATCTTCTCGTCCGCATTTCCAGGCCTGAAGTTTTCTCCAACACGGTAAGGTAAGGGCAAACGAAAGAGGACGCGTGGGCCCTGGTCGATGGTTACTGGTATGCAGACATTGAAACTACCGTGAAGCCATTCCGTTCTGCAGGCAATACTGATACCGCAAGATTGTTGATTGAAATGATGTGCAACAATATCTCGAATCCATTCTGATTTGCTCTCAAGGAAAGAGAAGAATCGTTCTTGTTGGCCGACGAACTCTAAACGATGTAATACATTGAACTCCTTGGTCTTCCGCACTTAAGTAGGTAATCTCGCCCCGTTTTAGTCGTCGGGTTCGTGGGGGCATGGGATATGTCTAGACGAATTCGCAGAGGATGCTGACAGATCAACATCAGCCGTCTAGGTACTTACTTGATATCTGTGTGTGTAGATGTTGTGAAGAACTGTCTCACCGTCGAGCCAACTGCCCTGGCTTTCACGTGACCCGAAAGCCAGTGTTGAAGTGACTATCTGAGACTCCTACATAGTAGTCATTGGCACGCGACCAACTCTGAAGCGATTGATGAACGATATCTATTCAATGACGACTACATGAATTTCATTTGTCAAAGTTGCAGAAGAAATCCCGAGTAATCGTCACTGATATAATCCTGCATACGGAGTACTACGGAGTATGTTGACAGTTAAGAACGGAGTCAGTACAAATCAACAAGTCCCAGGGAATAAGTTACAGCCAGGTAGTACTTGGACTGCAGCGCAATTACCATATCAATATACGTACATGCTGAACCTGTATAAGCAACATGGTTATTTCAGAGCCTTTCTTACAATTTACAAAACCACAAAACCTCTTCTCCACCCTCAAGCATATAGCCCAAGACCTGATGAAAAGGGTTCTTCTCTGAGAGAGGAAAGTGCCAAAGAATACGCCTGTCAATGACCCGAAGGCCGTTGAACGAAGTGTTCCGCCGCGCTGTGCAATGCAGGGACCAATCCGTGGTAAGCCGCCTTCTTGATCGCAGCCACCCAAACAAGGTAAGTATGAAGAAAGAAAGAAGAAAAGGGTGAAATGGAAGTCGGGGGGTTGGAGATTATATAGGGGCAGGTGGGGCAAAACATAACACGCTAGTGGTAAGCGAGGAATTTAGCGCTCTCTGATTTGTTGATTGGGTTGTTGTATGCTTCGATGATTGACTTGGGTGTGACTTTGGGCAGGTTATGGGAGTTCTGAATATTGCACAGGCTGCATTGCATGCTGGGTTAAGATTGGTTAAAGTGATTATTTTCAAGTAGTTTAAACCCCTAGGAAGATGGTATTGATCTAGCATTAAATTCACTCCTGGTCCCCCAACAGGAGTACTAGCTATTATTATGAAATTTTGTATGAATAACCCTCATCCAAGATCCAGAAGTTACAATCGAATGCCACTGCTGGCCCGGAGAAAAACCCTCGGAAATGCGGTGCGAATTCAGCTTTATAGCTAGTATGGTGAGTCCATGTTTACTCCCCCCCGCTAAGCGCAAGACACGCGTCTACTGCCAATCCAACCCTAAATGTCGACAGTTAGCACCATACACATAGAAGAGTAGGGCAGAAGCCTTGTGTACCTTCCCTCTTTCATCTTAACCACATCATCGATCACATCCCGATCTAAGTTGGGGAACATGTTTGAAAGTGTTTCAACCACGGTGCTGTGCTCTGCACGTTGGATTCTTCTGGCCTCCGCGTCCTCAGCACTAGCTTGGCGGGCAGCGGCATCTTGAGCATCAAGCGTTCTAGATGGCGAACGCTGCCCTACACGGGCCCGAGGTTTTTCGGCTGACCGCCGCGGCTCCTCACCACTAGTACGAGGGGGTTGGTATACGTTCGGAGAGAGCCGAGATGGCATTCCAGGCTGGGGTGTTTGCGCAGGTTGCACGGGTCGTTCTTGCGGTGAGTCGGGTTCCTCGGAGAATATTCTTCCTATGGTAGAAAGCGGCTTCTGAATAGTTCTCAATAGCCCCGCCACCGGTGCACTTTCTTCATCGGTTGGTTGCGGTGTGTCTCTCCGTCCAGGATTACGGGGTATATCAGTAGATTTGCGCGATGGACCTGGTGCTCCTGCAGAAGATTTTTTGGACTCTAGGGATTCAGAAGCACGGTTCTGTTCAGCGATAGCTGAAACAGCAGCTTCGACATTCCGCTCAAACTCCTCATCTCCTACCGTTAAGCTTGTTCGGTCGAGTGTTTCAATAAATTGAATAGCGCCAGACTGCAAAGACATTAGACTGTATATTCTAACAGTTGTATTCTAGGTCATGCAAGAACCCACCAAGGACGATAAATAATAACCTGCTTCTCCCCCAAGTTTATCTTGGTTTCGGAATCGGAGAATATACTGAATATTGGACACCAGGTGTTCCGGCCTGGCCTGTAGTACCACGTAGATCAGGAGTGGTACAAACGAGTCTGCCGAAGTATCGGATTTCTTTGCATTTCTCAAGAGGCCTGAAAGTAAGATTAGCCACAGCTTTAACATGACCTCCTAAAGGGGCCTGACTTACCAAAAATAACCTTGCAGCAGTTTAAAATACAAATGACTTTATCACGAGGTGCCCGATAGCCGTTGATTTTTAGAAGCTCTATGCTTTGTCAGAAGTAATCCAACAAGCAGAGTGCAAAACCTTGACTTACCTTGCTGAGCAAGATTTAGGAATCGACGGCCCGAGGAACTCACTGGAGCAATATCAAGATGCTCCTCTTTCACCCAGCTATATATCCGCATTTTTTGAGCAAGTACTTCATCCCGCTCGACGTCCTCCTGATGCTGCCCTCGTCGCCATGGGCCATGTAGCCTTTCAATTTCTCGTCGTTTGCTCTTGCTTGCACTTCTTGGAATTGACGGGGGGCCCGGTATAGCAGGCGAAAATGTTTGGGAGTACAGTCTATTCATTACAAGCTTCTCCATACCTTCTTTAGCGTTATCAAATTCGCTGTCCGACACATCGCGCCAAATTTCACAAATAGCCATTTTATTGGTGATGAAAGCTAGAAAGTCATTGATGATCTTGACTTGTTCGTGGACCATCCACTGTCTCTTTCCAAACTCATTAAGAAATGAGCGCAGGAACTTAGCAACAGGGTCAGCGGTACGGTGTCGCAGCTGTTCTAGGAAACGATGGAAATCGAACGGCTGATCGGACTCGGGTTCAGGAGGCGGGGGAATAGTTGATGTAGATGAACGCCTGGTCAATGATAGTTCACCAGGAGCGGCAGTTTTATGAAAACTATTGGCAATCACAAGGGGCGGCTCCCCAAGAGAAGGTGACGCTCCGGTGACATGCTTGGGGCTTTGAGGGATACCCCCCGTGGTCTTTCCATGATCCAAACTTGACTTGCGCGGGGGGAAATGACCTTGTCCACCACCCAGAAACTGCTCCGCCAGTTCCATGCGAGGCGACAGGACCTGATCTTGAGCGCCGTTACGGGTCACGTCCTCAAATTGGTCGATGATGCTTTGGATTTCCGACTGTGAATCGTCATCTTTAGCTCCATCTCTGCTAGTGTCCTTTGCGGGTTTCTCATCGCCACCATTTGGGACCTCTGGTAGCTCTTTCTCCGCCCATTCGTTATTCGGTTGGTTGACGTAGGCTTCGTCCTTTTCCGGAGGTGTAGGCGGAGCCGCGTTTACATCCGGCGAAGATTTCTGTTCTGTAGTGTTGAGTGATAGTGAAAGCGTCCCCATCTGCTTTGGAAGAGTGGCGTCCTTCTGGGGCGATGTGGTATCCGCGGGGTCCATGGTGGATGGGATATCTGGCGGCGCTTGCCTCAAGGAGTCGGATCTTGATTGAGATTCCTCCTTCATATCTCTTAACTGAGCACTTTGGAGGTCTGACATCTCGGTTGGGGTCGCATCCTGTGACTGCACTGCTGATTCGAGGCCAGCCGACGTCACTTGCCGCTCAGCCTCATCCCCCTCATTGGGTGTTTTTGGTCGAGTCTTCCCTTGTTCACTGGGAGTCGGATATTTCGAGGGACCTGGGACAGACATAAGATATCTGCATGTGCGTCAAAAATAATGGAGTAAAAAGGGATAGTTATTCGCGAGGTAGGAGTTAGACGGCGATAAGGATCATGGTGAGGGCGAACTATTTGGAGGAAAGACTTGGTGGCTTGTCAACCGGGACAGAGCATGTAAAACTGGGGCGATTAAAAGGAAAGAAATTAGAACACTGGCTGGACAAATAGACCGGGCTTCCTCAGGGGCTCAGTTCCCAGAAAAGACGCTATCTTCCAGTGCTGTGATGAGCTCCTGAAGTGAAGTGTTGGGTTGTGCATCATAATAACTGACAATCGGCGCCCGCATATGTAATTGGGACGGGATCATCATTTCCCCGGGATCCGGTGGCTCTTTTTCGACTTTTGAAAAATATCTTTCACATCGTCGCGCATCTGGGCTTCCATTTTCCTATTTTTCAAGTCCCAGAGACTTGGCCCTTATCTAGGGCTGGAAAGATAACATGTGTGGAATCTACTGTTCGTTGAGTGCGAACAGGGCTCTGCGTCCGAGAAATCAAACTACCTCCTACCTACGAGAACGAGGGCCGGATAGCCAGGAGGTCTGCCACCATCTGCTTCAAAATGCAAAACCCAACGTGTTTAGTGACTTGGGCAGTCACCAAATTTACCTCACCTTTTACTCAACTGTCTTGTCTATGAGAGGAAACCACCTTGTGAAACAGCCCCTGTCGCACCCTGCCACAGAATCTTACTTCTGTTGGAATGGAGATGCCTGGAAGATAGCAGGCGAACCTATCAGTGGGAGAAACGACACAGAGCTGGTTTTCGATTATCTCATGCAAGCTACAGCACGGAACTTCCATGGAGGGGATTTCCAGCCACCTAAGAACCCTGTCCAAAGCTTTGCAAAAGCTATCAGCACTATCTCTGGGGCCTTTGCATTTGTCTTTTACGACTCCATCAATGCCAAGTTGTACTTCGGAAGAGACTGCCTTGGAAGGCGATCTTTGCTCTGGGGACTTGACGAGGATGGGAATCTCAAAATTTGTAGCCTTTGTGACGGAGAATCTGCCCCTACTCACTTTCAAGAAGTTGAGGCGGACGGTATCTACATGATTAGCCTTGAGCCTGGTGTCGAAACTGCTCTTGAACAAATTGCCGAGACTCCAGATCCGGAATCAGATGCGGAAGGCAATAGTCCCCGGTTTGATATCAAGAATATAAAGAAAATTCCCTGGAGCCATGAGCCTCTACCGACACCTCACATGGTTCGTGACTGTACTTTGAGTACTTACCTTATTCGCCACTAATTTTTACACAGATAAGTCCCATTCCTCCTATGAATAGGGAAGTGCCTGAGGGAACACCTCCACCACTAACCACTACCTCGTCTTTTGTCAGAGAGTTGGAGAAAAAGCTTCGCCTGTCTCTCGCAATGAGGATCCAGAACGTGCGCCAGCCACCTGGTGCAGAGAGCAGCGATGCGAAAGTTGCTGTGCTCTTTTCCGGAGGTCTTGATTGCACTCTGCTTGCAAGAATTGCTCATGACCTTTTACCAGAGGATGAAACCATCGATCTCCTCAATGTCGCATTTGAAAACCCGCGAGTAGTAGCAGCTGCCGCCAAAGAACTAGGGGAACCTACTTCTCCGTATGAAAACTGCCCGGACCGTATCACTGGACGGGCAGCATTTGCAGAACTTCAACGGATCTGTCCAAACCGTAACTGGAGATTCGTGGCAATTGATATCCCGTACGCTACTACAGTCACACACCGCGATACTGTTAAACATCTAATGCGGCCGCATAATACGGAAATGGACTTATCCATTGCATGCGCCTTATATTTTGCTGCTCGCGGGGAAGGCACAGCACTAGACAGCCAGCAACTCAACGCCCAGCCAGTCCCGTACAGAGCTTCAGCTCGAGTTCTACTGTCAGGGCTTGGAGCAGATGAGCTCTTCGCGGGATACTCAAGACATGGGATTGCATTTGCACGAGGCGGATTTACAGGCCTCATCGACGAGATTGACCTCGATGTCAGCCGTCTCGGGAAGCGAAACCTAGGCCGTGACAATCGAGTGATTGCGCACTGGGGCCGTGAGGCACGGTTCCCCTATCTAGATGAAGATTTTGTGGCTTGGGTGCTGAAGGCACCTGTTTGGGAGAAGTGTGGCTTCGGGGTCCCTGAGTCTCTAGGGGAAGTTAGCATTAGCGCTGAAAAGAAAGCGCTTCGGCTCTTGGCTTTAAATTTGGGGATGACGTCCGTTGCCCATGAGAAGAAACGAGCTATTCAGTTTGGTTCTAGAACGGCAAAGATGGAAAAGGGCAAATGCAAGGGAACAGATGCGTTGAGCTGAGCTCAGTCTCACCCTGCCTCCACTGTCTTCCTTCCCAACACAGCGTTATCATGATTTTCTCCATCCCGAGGGGTATATATATGACTACCTCATATGATGAGGACCAGCAATGATGACAACCATGGATCAGATACTTCCGAGACCTGCCTCGTTCTCATTCCAAGCAATTTAATTGACCCACCTCCCCAATGAGACCTAAGCGGCTACTTCTCCTCCCATGAGTGGCGACTGCAACCGCCTTTCCATCTTTCTTTTTGCCGAGGTGGCAAGAGCTGGTACTTCCCACGCATGGCTGGGGGGAAATTAGCTGTGCATGTACACCTCATTGGGATGCGTCGTTAAATCTAGCTAATCTTGAGAAGAGGTCCAGGTCTATGAGGTACATTATTATGAAAGGCAAGTCTGAGCTGCGTCGTCATTTTTTTTTTTTGATATATAATTTTGAGATTGCATATACACCTTTTTTCCAGCTATACTTTTACCCTTTCACCTCTCTACACACACACACATGTATATACTTTGCAAGATGTTTCCGGCTTAAAAGTACCCAGACGAAAGTTTGGACAAAACCCCGGGGTGTTAAAATATATACTATACATAAGTACACACACAGCTTCCGTTGATTGCATTGCATGTACGTACATACATACATACAGCACAGCACCACCACCTACCTACCTACCTACCTACCCACATAAAGAAAGAGTAGGTAGGTACCTAAACAACCTTAAGGGACAAATTAAGCTCAAAAGGGCCAATTAGATTGATCCATGGATACCAATTTTCCATTCCTCTAATCAGATCGAGACATTCCCGCTTCGTCCAAAGTCAAACTGCTCATGCAAGCATAGCCTGTCTGTCTGCCTGCCTGCCTGCCTGCCTGTCTGTCTGTCTGTTCTCCACGTTGTCTCCAGCCCAGCCTCAAATAGATATACATAAATAAGAACACACAGTCTTGAAGGGGGGGGGGGAAACAACCACAGATTAATATAGATTCAAGAAACAAATTACACAAGTGGATTACTAAATCATATGTTGATCTTATTCTCTCAAGATGGCCACCCGCCCACTGACTGACTGCTAGCTATTTCAACTTGGAAAACACCCTGAATATCCATGATTCATAGTAGTTTCTGCTACCTTTAGAGTATTCGTTAGACCTCGAATAAAAAGTTCAAGTTCGAAGAAAGGATGGATGGATGGTATAGGGATTTGTTTGGCGCTCTCATGTATTATTATTAGGTAGGGGCTCAAGAGGACGAATCCGAGGAACTCCGTACTCCCTCCGCAGCGAGATATGCAAGCTGATTTCAGCACTCAATTGAAAAACTCAACGCTTTACGAGACGCAAACAATTTATAAAAGGACGTAAATGGAGCAAGTAGTGAGTGGCAATTTAGATTCACTAAGAAAAAGTACAGTTATTGCATATTAAGTGTAATATAACTTAAAAACAGGGCCACGAGTCAATCCCGGTTGCGGGAGACATCAGAACCGGCCAGCGAAGAAAGAGTAAAGACAACAAATGAACCAGACCACGAATAGCCATGGTGAATAATGAAATAGAAAAAAAAAAAAAAAAAAACCAAGGTCCGGTCGCAGATACGCGTTTACCAGATTGAGAGAAAAGAAACTTTTATCCTGTCGCAGGCGTCATCGTCAGGTAACCATTCGCTGGAGACTGACTGGTACTTGCGACATCCATGAGACGAGAGGCTCGACGCCCCCGCCCACCAACATGCCCCGCGGGACTGGGTTTGTTGAGAGACCAAAACAGTAAGAACAAACAGCATGAGAAACAGAATACACACAAGCGCACAGTTGATCAAGGGTCATCATGAAAATGGAACGAAACTTTTTTAGACATTAGCAGCCCTGCTCTGGGCCAACGACTTCCAATACTCTTCTCGCTGCTCCGACTCCTCCAGCGCCTTCTCAAGCTCGGCAATACGACGCTCCATCTCTCCCTGGCGTTCAAGCTTGCGAGCACGAGACTTACGAGCAGCCTCGGTATTTCTGGCACGCTTGGCAGCGACGGGGTCGAGGGAATCGAACTTGATGGGAGGCAGAGGCCTCCGGTGGCGGGCGTTCACACCAGCGACGGTGGAGGGCTTGGCACTGCCGCGGGAGACGTTGGGAGACGCAGAGGGAGAAGCGTCGGCAGTATCAATCTCCGATTGAGTAATGGAGGCTGCGATCTCCAGAGCGGCAGGGTCAAAAGGCATTGACAGGCCATCGTGGGGGGGGAAGAGAGAATCCCACTCCTCATGGCCAGGGGCGAGATCCATATCGGTACCGAACATGGGAGAGGTATCTTGGCTAAAATATCCGGGCGACTCGAACGAGGGGGTGCTGAGTTCGGTGAAAGAGGTAGATGGAGGAGCCGAAGCGTCCATCATCAGATCCTTGGGAGAGATAGTGCCCGAAGGCACTGCTCCCATAGGATCTTTAGCCGCCATGATACCGGTGGGGATCAAGTGGGGAGAGAGCAGGGTAGGCTCGGTGACGTGGGCGAACTCGTCACCAAAGTCAAAGAGGTCTAATCGGGGGTTAGTATTGAGATGTTGGAAAACTGGAGATACTCGATCTCACCTTGAGCAATGTTTGGAGTAGACATGATGCGACGGTGGTTTAGGGGTTGTGTGTACTGGTTCTGGATAGGAGAATTGGTGGTGCTGTTGTTGTTGTTGTTGAATAGAGGGACAGGTGGACGTTGGAGGTAGTTAGAATTCGGAGCCGCAGGAGCCGAATTCGATGCTGCGTAAAGACGCAGGAGGTGCTTCCGATTAGAAGGACTAGACCGAAAAGTAGAAGACAGAGGGTATCCGGTGGACTGCGAAGCAAGTCTGGTCACCCGAGGAACCTGAACTGGAGAGCCTGCAAGCTGATTTTGTTGTTGCTGCAAGCTGAGAGAATGACGACGCGCAAAGTGCCTAGATCGGACCAGAGGTCGATGATACGCAGACAGTCTAGGGGCAGTACTCTGGAGAGCTGGCGCACGCAAGTCCCTGGGTTGAGGTTGAGGACACGAAGGTGGATAGAGTACAAAGTCCTCGTGAAGCGAACTGGGATTGTTGTTGTTGTTGTTGTTGTTGTTGTTGTTCAGATTCTGAGCCAAAGGCTGTTGGGGCGGTGGTGTAGGAAGCCATGGTTGCTGGTGGTTATCCGTGATGAACGACGTTACGTCGAACGTTGTTATGGTGTTGGAAGGGTAAGAGGAGAGATTAGAAAATGAGGTCCGTTGAGGATCTATGATGTCTGTTTCTAATGAAAAAGACGAGCTTTTCGCGGGGGATGCGCTTAACAGTCCATTTTGAAATGGACGATGATATTGAAACGCTGGAGTAGACAGGGATTGTATGGTGGCGAGATGCAAAGAAACTCAAGAGATGAGTATTGAAGACAGTACACGTTCTCTAATGCAGATAATGAGAACAGAATGTATGGAGGGATGGATTATCGCGAGGAAGGAGGAAGATAAGAAGGAAAAAGGGAAAAGAAAAAAGGAGGAAGCAGAAGCGCCAGGCAGCGAAGGGAAACCAGGCCGCTTTTAAAACTGGTGTGTGCGCCGTGCACCGGCTGGTTCAGCCAATCAGGATAGATTGCATCTCCGCCTGGTGTACTAACCACAATAGGCATAGTGCATATTATGCGGTCAGCAGGTGTGAGTCATAAGGCCATTCCCCTTTGTGATTGGCGGGCTCGGGTCGGTGTGGGTCTCCGTAGAGGCCCCAGGCACCGGAACGAGCCTCTATTGAATATTCCTCCTCCCTCCGATATTGTGGATTACAAACCATGGACGCTTCGTTGCTCCTGTCTTCCAAGTTCAAACACCAGGCCATTTTTACTCGTGGATGACGTTCACCTGCTCCCTCGGGGAAATGCCTGGCTGTTCGTTCAGTCCAATTGACCAACCAGCCGCTGGCGGAGGCGCTTCGAGGTATCATTGACTGTACCAGTGTACCTAGCAGCCATGCACAGAACTCACAGCCTCCCCAGGCTGACAGGGATGCCAATAGTGCTCCTCGGGGAATGAAGCCGTTTTGTAACCACCGCCCATGTTGAACGGGGCTGAGCCTCTTTTTTGTCTCACCCCCTCTCCATACAACTTCTCGACCTTCATATACGCAGTCTACCTCGACTATGCCTAGCCAATCAATCTTACCGCCGGAGAAGCGAATGTGAACCACTTGGTGTCGGAGTCCAGGACGCATTTTTTTCTCTCCTGTTGCTCCCTCTGTAGTCTTTACCCGATTGACTCCCCGCCATGCACCGTCGTGGTTGGTGCTGCCGAAGGGCGTGCATTCCAAACTCTAACCATCCATCTTGCCGGGTTTTTTTGCCCCCCCCAGTGCCGTGGATAAAAGACTGCAACACCGGATTCTTCCGCCTACGGAGCAGATAATTTCTCTTTTTTTTTTTTTCGGTCAATTATAATTATTATATTATCATCTTATATAACTACTACTGGTAGTTAGATTACGGACGGCACATCAGATCCGATACCCGGAAAGCTGAAACTCAAACCAAATTCAGAGAAAAAAAAAACCTGTTCTAGAAACCACGCACCATCGCACCCTAATTATCTGTCTTCCTAACCATTCTCCATTCTACTAGAAAATTAAATCCTCTCTCTCTCCCTAACTACTAACTAACTAATACTACGTAGTACCAAATTCCACAAACTCGAGTCGCGCACATCACTTCCACGCGCGTATTCTTGCCCAAGTCCACCCACCACATTATGGGTGTGTGTGTGTGTGTCTAAGCGCACTGACCACTGCGGTTTTCGTCAAGGCCCCAGAGTAACAAACACTAACTAACTAACTAACTAACGACTCTGTATGTACTCCATTCCCATAGTCCATATACACATGCGAGGTGGTCGTACGGAGTACGGAGTACTAGTACTTCTCTCATGCAATATTTCCTACCCAGTCCTCTTCCGTACTCCGTACTCTATACTCTGTAAGTATATATATATATATATATCTAACCGATAAATAGTTACGTAGCTTGGGGGTGCCTACCGGCCCTACCCCCGAGCTGAAGCGTCAGGCGTCCAAATACGGTGTACATGTCATGTCTGTCATACCTACCTAGTGTGGACTGTGGAGGGCGGCTAGGTAGACAGTTAGTTGTTTGTGTACGGAGTATTAGAATCGACTAACTATAGTCAACTATAACTATAACTAGTGATTGTACAAAGAGTACTTACTCTGTAACTATGTAGTATGCATTCTCAGTATATAACTATATAAGAGTAGATTAATTACATAATTAATTTTGGGAGTGCTAGCTAACACTCCTACCTTAAAACTAGTTAACTAGAGATAAAAGAAGAAAGAAGAAAATGATTAATTTCTTAATAATCAGTAGTTACCTAACTAGTTAGTTATTTATTGCCTGATTTTAAAATGGTAGCTTCCCCAGACTCCATGCGACGCAGTGGGCAGTGCCGCAGTGGTATGCAACAGTTTTAGAATAGTCCAACTCCACTGCACGATGAAGGAAATGAATGAGCCTCGATCTTTTCCCCCATCAATATTCAGATTCCTATTTGCGCTGATGTCGAGCCTGCCACATCAGCAACGTGGACGCCGTGCACTGGTGCCAGCTCATGCGGCTCTACAACTCTTGCGCTAACGGAAGATTCATCTCATATGAGATAAGCATGCAATTCAGAACAGAGAATCTACAGTAAAAAAAAAAAAAAAAAAAAATACCAAACAATGCATTGATTCTATTAGCTATTACCTATCAGCACCCTTGTAACAGACCATGCACGATATATAGTACACGGCGGTCAATGGCGTCGATTTGAGTGGAGGGGAGCATCCAACGTAAATCACCAGACTCAAGCCATCCAACAAGCAAATAGATCACCCTTCTCCCAATGAGGTATCAAGACAAAGCATCAAATGGCACAGTTAATCAAGTCACAAAGCGAATAATAAACGGCAAGTGGTATCAATCTAGTTTGGACGGCGCACAACATGATCTCACAAGGCACCAGGGGTATACCGCCTTGCAAGACCGGATATCATAAAGGAATGAAATGTAGCACTTGACATCAGGAGCAATATCAAGCCACAGAAAACGACCGTCAAATTAACAGAGGGTATCATTTGACACTCCATACAGAAAATGCACTCCCAGAAAACGCAAGTTTGCCATAGGAGTAACAGTTAAGACATTAATTCAAAGAAAATAAAAATAGTAAAAAAAAAAAAAACTCGGGCGATTAGGCGGTAAATGATTTTTTTTAGGCAATGTTTTTCATTTTCGTTCCTTTTTCTTTTCACTTTTCCGTCTCGCAAGATGGTTCATCCTGATGCAGAAGCTTCGGCAGGCAAATAACGCTGATCCCACCATTTCTCAAATTCGACTCCGTTTGACCCGTTTCACGCGGCGGCCTGGACAGGGGTGGCGGCGGCGGCGGCAACAACCGGCTGGGGCTCCTCAGCGACAGGATCCTCAGCAGGCTTGGCGGCCTCCTCAGCAGGGGACTCCTCGATAGCGGGCTCGGACTTGGCCTCGGCCTCAGACGCGGGTTCCTTGGCCTCGGGCTTCACGGCTTTGCTGGGCTTGCGGAAGATGCCACCCAGCTTGTTGCTCTTAGTCTTGGCATCGCCCTCAGCACCCTCAGTGTCAGAGTCACCCTTCTTCTTGCCGAAGCCGCTGAAGAAAGAGGTACGACGCTTGTCCTTGGTAGAGGTTTCAGCAGCGGGGGGTTCAGCAGTAGCGGCCTCATCCTCAGCAGCAGCAGTCGCGCTCTCAGGTTCACTAGGCTTAGCAGTCTCCTCGACGGGGTTGTCAAGCTGAGGAGCGGTGCTCGCAACCGGGGCAGTTTCGGTGGCAGCGCCAGCCTCCTTTTCAGACTTCTCATGAGAGGGGCTCGTGACCTTCTGGAAGAAGTTACCGAACAGAGATGCGCGCTTGGACTTGGAGGCGGGAGCGGCGTGCTCGGTCTCTTCCTTGGGCTCCTCAGCGGGGGCAGGAGCAGCCTCGTCTTCAGCAGCCGGCTCAGCAGCAGCGGTCTCAGCGGGCTTAGCCTCTTCGGCCTTGTTGTCCTCCTCCTCCTCCGCCTTCTTCTCCTCGGTTTCTTCCTTCTTTCCAAGGAGAGAACCGAAGATGCTGGCCCTCTTGCGAGAGCGGGAGCGGCTCTTGGCATCGACCTTGGTCTCCTCAGCGGGGGCAGGAGCAGCCTCTTCCTCAGGCTCAGCGGCCTTCTTGGTGGGCTCGACGACTGCGGGCTTGGCCAGCTTCTCGAGCTCAGCCTTGTAACCCTCGCTGGAGGTGATGGTCTCCTTCTCAGCCTTAGCCTCGGCGGACTTGGCCTCGAGCGCAGCAATCCAGCTGTCACGCTCGGCAGCGCTGGAGGCCTGGAAGGTGTACTTGTGGCCGCTCAGCTTGAAGTGGAACTCGTTGGAGCCCTCCTTGGCGATGTCGGAGATCTCAGCCTATTACCAAGTTAGATTTTTTTTTTCCCCCTCCTTCCCCCCTAAGGATGCCTGTTATGGCAAAACGTACCAAGCTGATGATTCCCGCAGGGGTAGCCTTATCCTCAGCGCGCTTGGCGAGGAAAAGGAGACCCTTGCCGGTCTGGCTAGCCCAGGCAACGACGGGGTTGGCGACAGCGGGTTTCTCGCTGGCGCGGTAGGCGGAGAGCTGCTTGGACTCAACAGCGTCATCGCTGAAGTAGAAGAAGCGCTTGGAGAAGCGAAGACCCCTGCCAGTCTGTGTTAGCTCTCCCATGTTCTGTTGATATCCTTTGGCGCCATCGAAATACTTACTTCACCAGACCAGGAGCCTTGTAGCCCAGGACGCCCTCGGAGGCGGGGACGACCTCCTCCTTGGCCTCCTCCGCGGGAGCATCCGCCTTGGATTCCTCTGCAGCAGCGGGGGCAGCGTCAGTGGTCTCAGCGGGGGTCTCCTGGGGGACGGCCTCAGCGGCAGGAGTCTCCGCGGCGGGAGCCTCAGCAGCGGGGGTCTCCTCAACGGGTTTCTGGGTGTCAGACATGATGTTGATGGATGATCAAAAGGAGTAATTATCGCTATGGCTAGGTATGGATGAGATTAAAATAAGTCGTAAGGAGGCTGGGAAAAGCTCCGTAAATAAACTCTGGGGTTCGAGTAGGGTATCTTAAGGGGGTATCTCAACAGAAAGAAACAAGAGCAACCTCAGCGCAAGGCTAGAAGAGCTTGGGTATCACAACGAAGGGGAAGAAAAGAAAAGAACAAGGATGTTCTGATAGTTAAAAAAAAAAGAAAAAAAAAAAGGGACAGCTCTGATGGAAGGGAATGGGGTAGTCGAGGGAAAGAAGAGAAGAAAAGGAGGAAGAAGAAGAAGAAGAAGAAGAAGAAGAAGAGAGAAGGAGAAAGAAGAAGAAAAGGATGGAGCAGGGGCGCGACAGGAGGGGAGGAAGTGAAAGAAAGGGAGTGTGTGTGTGTGTGTGTGTGTGTGTGTGTGGGAGCTGTAAAGGGCAAGGAGCTGCAGGGGGTCCTCACTCTGTTGGGATAGGGTACTTCTAGCCTGATTGATGCAGATTAACGGGCTTTAAACGTGACCCTTAATTCCCTTCCGTCATGAATTCGAGTTCATTTCTCTCAGAAATCATGGGAAGGTCGTGTGGATCCAATTCCTGCCACTTGCTCTAAAAATTTGGTTGGGACCCATCAGCTCCATGAGTCTGTCTCCTTTTCGAAGTACTCGTCCCACACACCAAAATTCCAACCATCTTTCGTTCTGATGATATTCTCAGACTCAAATAGATCTCATCTTATTATCATGATATCATCAGTATGAACTGAAACTAGAGAACTCCCCATCTTGTTCCCAAGGTTATCTTCCAAGGTTAAGATAGGTATCAAGTCTGATATACAGAGTAGTCTCTTCGTATAGGATCCACCAATTCTCAAACAAGAAAACCAATAGTGAACTTTAAAACCCCTTTTTTTTTTTTTCCTCGAGTATCAGAGTGCGACCAGTGAAATCCAGGTAACTAAAGTAATAATATTCGTACTACTACTACTACTACGTAGTATGTGGGAAAAGCACGGTCCAGCAGAGGTCTGAATACCTATACAGCCCTATCTCCTTTTCACAACTTCCAGTTTCAGTTTTCCGCTGCAGTTTGAGATAGAGATATACAATTCCGGATGATCAGTTTGCAGTCGGAGTACCTAAGTTCCTGGAAAATAGTATTACTATCATGCGTAAAGATTGGACAGCCTCGTTCCCCCTTTTTTTTTTTTTTCTTCTCTGTTTTTACTGGTAATGAACCCCCCCCCCCCTCCCCCAACCAATCAGACCACCGTCGATCTTATGATCGCTGGGTAACCCGTGTCCATCACTTTTGCGTCATTATCGTAATCCATACTTAGTTAGTCCTTGCTCAGTATCTAAGATAGTCAGGTCGGAGTAGTAAAGCAATGATGTAATATTCATGATCATCATTTATTTTCAAAGGAGATCTCCAAAGCAAGACTGCACTGGTTCATCCGTTCCATTATGTTCCATTATGTATCTGGACAAGGACTGACATTGCATTCTGAACATGCTTAGACATCACCTGTTATTAACTAACTAACTAACTATTGAGGAAAAATTCAATCCGCAGAAATCAAAACAAACCCCAAAATGCAACAAATTCGGTATATGTGTCAAAATGATATACTGATCTCATCATCATGCCGCCATCATAAGAACATAACTATCGTCCCAATTAGCAAATAGACGAAATACACCAATCCTTCTGGCACTTACGAAGTAATGCTATCCATCCGTTCGGTAGTCAACTTCAAACTCACGGTCAACAGCTCGCGCGCAATCTCTGGCTCCTGCTCTTGTAGCGCAGTCCATTTCTCCGCATTAAGGCTCCATGTTACGCAGTCTTGTTCAGCCTTCACCGTTGCGGTGCGTCGGGTTTCACTGAAGAAAGGCAGCTCTCCGCAGGGTCGGCCGGCCACGATTAGCTCAAAGTACCGGCCTTGAGGCAGCTCATATTCCGCACGTAATATGCCCGACTCCAGTAAGTAGAATGCGTTGGGGAGATCGCCTTCTTGGAACAGAACAGTCCCTGCCGCGTATTTGTCGCGGATGAAATACGAACACGCAGGGAACCAGAAATCCTCGTTCCGCGATGTCAGGCCCTGGAATGTCTGTAAGAGCAGAGGTAGTGGCTGTCGCATAGCGGACCAGGCAGCTGGAATGATCACTGCCGTTTCGTTCTCGTGAAGCGTCGTAGTAGCGGCTCTTTGCAGATACTGGTGGCGGGGGGAACCCACAACCCCTTCAGATGACTGAGGCTGGTGCTGGGATACCGGCACCTCTAGATTTGGGGAGCCGGCGTTTTTGTGCTTCAGTAGTGCTTCGCGGTGGCTATAGAACACCTTGAGATAGTCGTTCTCGCAGTATTCCAATGCGGAGTTCAAATCCTCGAATATTTGGACTCCAAGCTTTGGCTCGAACAATCCAACGTTCTGCAGGCTTCTTCCAACATCCCCTTCCACGTCTAGACCAGAGATCGTCATCTGCACATTTCTCTTGCTCAGAATGCGGTTGATGCGAGTGAAAGCCTCTGCTGCAGAGAAGTCGATACCATAGACCCTAGCAAAATCCAAAATGATGAACCTGATCGGAAGTCGGGTGAATGCTTCCTCCTCGATGAGTCCTCGCATGGTATTCTCCACGTTCACAATCGTCCCAAAGAAGAGATAGCCACCAAGCTTGAGAATCAGGGTTTGTTGCCCTGCCTCTTTCAGGAAGCGATGCTGAATTGGAGGTCGTCGAACTGTAGACCCTGTAATTTTGCCCGAGTAGGTTGCCCGGATGGCGGATTTGCGTGACGTTTGGACGACGAAGCTCAAGCAAGCCAAAAGAATACCAACAAAGATACCAATGACAAAATCCCAAATGCCCATCGTCGCGACAATAATAACAACCTAAATCATTAGCTAGATGCCCGCTGCAACAAAATAAAAAGGATACTTACAGTCAAATACTCGTGTCGGTGCAGCTTTCCCCACGTGTCGACCAGGGCTTCCTCCATCAACTCAATTCCTAGTAGGAAAATAAGAGCTCCAACAACCATGATGGGAATATATCCAATGATAACTGGACCCACAAGGAGAATTCCTCCAGTGGCTGCTGCAAGCATGATTCCAGCCAGACGAGAATTACCCCCGCTGGCAATGAAAAGCAAGCTATTGGTATATACAAGATAATTCTAACGGTCGTCAGTACAACAGTGTCATTTACATAGAAATTATTACGTACCTGTACACTTCCTGCCAGCCCAGACAGAGCATTCGTGACACCGTGAGCTATGAGCTCACGGTCGACGTTCAAATTATCCTCTCCGGTAGAAATACCCAATGCTGGAACGTTGATGGGTACATGGAGGACTCCAAAAAATGTGAGGGCGAACATCGCGGGAATAGTGTCAACAAACGCAGACCAGTCAACAACGGAAAAGTCTAGAGATGATTAGTCGGGATCCATGTAAGGGTGCGTAGCAAACTTGCCGTAAAGCGTATAGAAATGGTACCACGGATGCGAAGACGAAGGAGCTGCAAAGACCCAGCCGCTGTTCCGCAAAACATCCATCGAAACATGAATGCTGAACTTGACGATGTAAAAGACGACGGTGATGGCTATGAAATAGGCGCCAACCAGATAATTAGACCTGATGAAACGTCTCAACACTAGAAGTCCAATTGCCAGTACCAAAGGTACAGTCCAAAGAGCGATTGTGCTTAGCTGGAAAAGGGTGTGAAGTGTTGCAAGATTAAATTCAAACGACCCAGACAATCGAGCCGAGACCTCGAGACCTGTCAGGATCAGGAAGAAGCCCACACCACCGATACAGCCGATCAGAATGTGTCTGGGGAAAAATCCGATAAGAGATCCAACCTTGCAAGTCCCCATCAAGAAAAACACCAACCCAGTGAGGATGGAGCTGACGGAAAAGGATAGAATCGTGGTGGCTATCACGGCCTGCGGATTGTCGGCACCAACACGATTCAGGATCGTGTACGCCATCTGATGGAAGAAAGGGACGACCTCAATCATCTCGCTTCCAACACCTCCACGGAAAATTGACCCTCCGCACGAGAAGACCAGCTGTGAAATGATTGTACTGACATAATACATCGAGATGCCGTCCGACCCCAGGTCCGAGAAAATTGATTCACCCAATGGAAACAAGATCATACCATAGGATAGAGCATCGAGCACGTTGAGTAAAAGACCGAGAAATACCGAAGGCAGCAGGCTCGCTGGATACACGATTCCATGCCGCCACACAGCTCGTCCGTTCCAAGACTTTGGATGGCCGAGTGTTCGGAAGGATGATGAGATCTTCGAAAGCGCTCTGGGTAGTGCTCTAGACGATTCCTTTTGTGTGAACATCTGTCCTTCGACATCCCGAGCTATTCCGTAGTTCCTGGGAGGTTCCGGCCTTGGCGACCTAGAAATTAAGGGCGTCCGCTCCGTGCCCGAATCCTCTTGTTCCGCATCACCCAGAGCAGAAGGGCCTGGAGAGGCTGTAGGCTCACTCAGCTCGTTCTGCTTCACTGTACTCCTGCCGCGGTTCCGATCGAGACCAGACTCAGGGTCGCGAATCATAGCCGTCAAAACTGACGATCCAGTTGGAGGAGCCACCAATCCACGATCTAATCCCTCTACCCCATCTGAGGAGGTTGAATGCCGGTCTGGCGATGAAGAAACAACGGAATTACTGGCGCTCTGAGCAGATTGAAAAACATCCATAGCTGTTCGTAGATTTCTCGGTTCCCGGGCCAAGGCGAGGGAGGCTAGCTCAGCCGTTTGTTCTCGAACACCATGGGAGGAATAATGGGCCGGGTCTAGATTCCATGGTCAGAATTCACTGTGATCAGCAGCTTCGGGGGTTGACGTGAATGAAGTTCATCCGCACCTGAGGAATTAATGAACGAGCGATGGTGAAAGGAACGGCTTGGTGTCCTATAACTCGTCCCATCCGCGACGACGGGTTCCGAACCTAACGTTCGAGGAGGGCTACTGGGTTCCGCAAGGGCATCAATCACATCCGTGGCGACATTGTCACTAGAGAAGGGTCGATGGCGGGACAGCTGGGAGTCCCTGCGGTCTCGCAGCCCCAGAACGCCCATGTTGGATGAAGGCGATGCGGACTCGTCAAGATGGGTGGTTCGCAACAATCGACGGTCCCCCCGCCGGTGGGATTTACCCTTGTATTGCGATTCGCACTAGAGGCGTAGGCTGCAGGGGCCTCGACTCTCGTTGGAGCGGAGGCCGGAGTAGTAACCGATGACGCAAGAGGTTTCGCAAGAACAGCAATTGGCATCGCTATGCAGTTGCTAAGTCGAGACCGGGAAAGCAGCAAGAAAACAGCGACATGAGAGGGATAGAGAGGAGACCTCCCGAACCAACGTCTGGAACCTTTTGCTTTTGGCAGGTTTCGCGTTGCTATCAGAAGAAGTGACTAAAAAGTCTTATCAACGGCGGTTTTTCGGTTTCTCGGTTTCGGCGGGTCCACTTGGTTCCGATTGAGGCTCAGGCCCATAAGGCATTTATTTTGAAGGGATTATTCTGTTCACAGACAATGCCTTTCTTTCTTTCTTTCTTTTGTTATTAAATGAGGGTGTCTCGGAAAAGAGTAAGGAGGTATCTATAGTAGCGGATGATCTCCGAGAAGAGCCCCAGAAATAACGTCGCCGTTGCATTTTTTTTTTCCCCTGCATGGACCTCCAGCACCAGCACGCAGCTAACTAACTAACTAATGGTCAGGCACTAGTTAGTCATGGAAACCCGCAGGTTTCTCTATACTTTAGAGTCATTGCTCTAAGTAATTCTCTCGTACAACGTCTTGTGGCTTCAATAATAACTTCAATCAGGTACAAATTGGGTATCACAATATCACATCATCATAACTTGATAAGCACCGCAACATCCCACCGCCTCAACTTAATCGCTCTAGGAATCCCTGAGCAATCAATCGCTCCACATCCCCTTGGCGTACATAGAGTTGACTATTCTTCGTCAAATTAATGACCCTGAAATCACGGTTAACAATCCAAATCCAAATCAAACTGAATGAGCAAGCAAATAAGAGAGAGAGAGAGAGAGAGAGGTTATACCCATATTCCGTCTGAATCTCCCCCGCATCCCTCAAAACCCTCACGTCAATGAATAAATCCTTGGGCGGCTCCAAACTCCCCGTAAGATCAATATCCGTCCATTGTCCCTTATACGTAGCGAGCATATCACTATACTGTCGAAAATACTCCTCCTCCTCGGGACTCAGCGAACTATGATTTCCATTCTGCGAGCTCATCGACCCCCCTGCCCCTCCTCCGGTTACGGAAGGATTTCCAGTAGAGCCGCCGCCGCCGCCGCCGCCGCCTCCACCACCTATCTGCTCCGCGGACGGTAGCTGCTGTTCAAGGACATCGATACCCGTCCAACACAGTTCCTCGAGTTTCTCTGTGCGCACACGGTGGTAGGCGAGGAGACAGCGCTTGTTGCGCCGGATGCAGAGGTGGTCGACGAGAAGGGCGCAGGCGACAGCGGGCTCCTGGGATGGATTGAAGCTGCCTTCGAAGGGAGCAAGGAGGTGGGCTAGGTCACGGTCGAGGTCGCGGACTTCTCGAGCGACGGTTCGGACCAGTTCGGTTTGATAGGGTGGGAGGTGGGCGAGGGATTGGGTGCGCTTGGCGTGTTGAACCTTTACGGAGGAGGAGGGGGAGGAGGAGGGTTAATTATGAAGTTTTCTAGCGTGAGGGAGGTATTAAATATAGAAGAGGGGAGGTCACTATACTAGTTTGTTTCCGAGTTCGCCGTACATGGCGGAAATGAGATCTGATCAGGTGCGAAGGCGCGGGAAGACGCGCCTGGTGTCAATTGACCAGGTAGGATGCGCAATTTTTTTTTCTTGTTAAATTGATTCAATGTATAATTAATCGTGCTTGATTTCCTTCTGCGATAGAACCAGCACAGTTAGTTGTTGAAGACAAATTCTGGATTGAGTGAGGTCTTGATCTCGACAAGCCTTGATGTCGGATTTATTGGTTTATCCGTTGAGTAGCTTAACAAAGGAATATGGGAATAACCTCATGGATCCGCGATCACTCCAGATATCTACCGGGCACCAGAGGCCCATCTTAAGTAGGCATGACCTGGGACTACAAAGTTGATATCTGGAATATTAGAAATAGCAGTAAGACAAATTACCTTTTATATATCTCGAATAACTATATCAGCACACCAACCCATTACAATGCTAGCAGTAAGCAAGATCTAGGGTCTACTTGAGCATCCCAAACAAAATTAGACGATGGATAGATATCATCTTGCCGAGCCGCAGGCTATCCTACCCTATGTACCGCCAAACACTGGAGTCTTGGAACTCCTGGAGGTACATATTTTGTCCCGCAGATGCTGCGACTCGCTTGGAATGTCGAGCCCTACCTGTATGTAGTACAAGCTTGAACGAGGTCTCCCAATCTCCAACAAACAACCATGTATCAAAAAGTTGGCGCGGCGGCACATGGTGCAGAGCCTAGGCAACAGATGAAGAGAAAAGGCCCAAGTTCTCTCTCTCTCTCTGCAATAAAGTCATTGGCTAGATTAAGCAGAGCTGGATGTATTAGTATCTACCCAATAGTGGTAGCGAGCGTCAAAGATCCCACATTTGTTAATGGACGTAGCATGAGTCTGGCCCAAAGTGAGAATATCCCTTATTGAGATGATCTAGGCAGTAAACCAAGCATGCATCCTTTACAGGGACATTCTACCTAGTTCCCAAGCTCCAGTTACGGAAGATATGTTTTGAAAATGATAATGAAGGTGTAGTATGGCACTTGTTTTGCCTACTCCATATCCATCCACATCACAACCAGCATGGTAGCAATGGTATTCGGAAGAAGGCCGCTTTCTGTGGACGGTGGAGGCATCCTATAAGGGACGAAATCGAAATCTCTTATACTGCATAATCACAGCGTTCAGTGCGAGTAGGCAATGCGGTAAATTCTTCCCTATGATATGGATTCGTGTATTGTAGGTTACAATGTAGAAATAGATGAAATTCTATGCGGTGAAACCTCGAGGGTTATCAAACAAAATGAAAATTAACCCAAACAGACATCCGCCTAAATGAACAAGCCACAGGGTAATAACGCGAGAAAACAGAAATATCAAATTGAGAAAGGAGTTCCGTACACTAAACCTTCAGACAAGAGACGAAATGCCGCCCAAATTCCCATCATGCTAGATTCTTGCACCTTGAAAACTCCAGTCACAAGGGTTTTTTTTAAACAGAGGCCCGGCCCAAAATCAAAAAAACAAAAAGAAAAAACAAAAAAACAAAAAAAAAGACAACTTATGTACCACCCAAAAGTGGCTGCGTTTGGTTCATGACTTTCATCATCGTAATCACAAGCATTCGAGAGAGAAATGCTGTTGTTAATATTCAGCGGAATGTTAGTTGATCCAGTTGTCGAATTCGCCGCCACTGGCGTCGAGGCTAGCTTCTTGGCTCGACTCCCATGGTTGCATTCCAGGGTGGAAGGGGGATGCACCATTGTAGGAAATCGAACTGGGCGCTATCGACGTCGTGACAGGAAGATAGCAGTTGCTAGTCGGTGACTCCTGCCACATAGAATAGTGAGAACTAGCATAGACTTGACTCGCGGGATTCGAGGATCCCCCGGTGTACTCCAGCAGCTGGGGGTCCAGCTGGCCACCAGGGCAGCTTTCGGATATCGGAATTTGTGGCTGAGGTCGGAGGAGGTCATGGTGTGCTGCTCCAGGCAGTCCTGCCAAAGCTGTCGATGAAGTGTACTGAATCTCCTCCAGCTCAACTTTTTTCAGTTGTGGTGGATCTTCCACGCTGTATCCCATCAGGCCCTGACTGGAAGAGGGATACATATACTGAGACGGCTCAGAAGCCAGCATCATACTAGAAAGGGGCCCTCCTGGGTTGCTAGTAGGCCACGAAGAAGCAAGATAGTTCTCAGTAGGCAGCCCGTGATCCAACATATCAAACGGGGTAGAATGACTGCTTTCCCACCCGTTGCTGTCAATCTCCGAGGAGCTGAAGGTGGCATGGAGTAAAGCTGGGCTGGATTCGGGGGTATTCTTGTCACCAAGGAAAGAACGGTTATCGTCAGGGTATGGTCGCTTTTTCTTGTCCTTTGCTGGGGTGAACTTGTATCCAGGGTGCGCTTGGAGGTGATTGTTCTTCTCAATATTGGCCAGGAGTTCGTACTTCTCCCGCACTTCGCGAGGCTCCTGTTTCCAACTATCGCCCGCCGCCTCGGATACCACCTGGTGGTTGTTTTGTGCGAACCATTCCTTGGTTCGGTCTGCATATGCAGAGCGATAAAGCATAAACGAGTTCATGGGCCTGGCGACTTTCCCATTCTTCTTAGCCACTTCTTGATGACGGACACTAATTGAGCGGTGCACCCAACTTTCCATATCCCTGATGGGAATGTGGGTCATATGTTTTGTGATTTCGCTCAATGGACCTGGTAGATTTGGTCTTGACCCTCTGTCCTTGGTTTTCTTTGCTCTCCTTCGGACTCTTGGAGACCTGGCTACTCTCGCCTTACTGGAAATTTGCTTCTGGGATGAGGGTGATGACCACCTTGCTGAGGAATCTAGGCTCCCGGAGACAAGGCTGTCATCAGAGGCGGGTGGCGTGTTGACCTGAAGGCCCTTGGGCATCATCTGTGTTCACATTAGCCCCGGGTCACGACCAGTCAAGTCCACCGATGGACTACCAGTGCTAGCCTTACCGAATTTTGCAGGGGTACACTGTGGGAATAATCACTGGTTGGCGCATACTGCAGTAGAAATCTGTTAGTCAAGAATATGGCGAATAGAATTTTTTTTTTTTTTTCAGCTATTAAGCTGCTTACCATGGGTTGTGCGCCGTAACCCTCACATTCGAACCCAGTGGGTTCCCCGGGAACCCGTAGTACAGCGCCTCCAAACGCACTGCGGCCGCTATACAATGAGGGGTGATGATATATGCCATACGACTCTGGATGGGACTCAGCAGCTGGGTCTCCATCAGTCGAATGAGGTGGAGAAGGCGGAGGACCGCGAATCAATCGCGCAGTAGCAGCCGCCGCCATAGTTTCGTTGCGCGGGGGAGGTGTGGGAGTTGGATTTAGGACCCGACGTTGGGGTCTAGGAAATGTCATATCCGCAGTTGATTCTTATGAGGTTCGAAGGCCGTCCGTAAAGCGCGAAAACCAGCTAGAGCCAGGAAGTCCTAGATTTGTTGTGGGTAGAAGACGGTGCAGGTATGGCAGAGCACCCGACTGACCAGAATTTTGGCGGGATATGAAGAAAAGAGGAAGGAGAAAAGCAGGAGAAATAATATAATGTCCAGTAATCAGGGGATTTCTGCATTTGAAAACCCCCGCTAAGCAGATCCTTAAGCGCAAAATGAGGATCCAGAACCAGATCGGAAGCAGGTGAGACACGCAGCTCTTTCTATCAATTGGGAGTTGAGACAAGAGATGCAGACAACTGTCAATGATAAAAGGGGGCAAGAGAAAGAGTGCAACAAAAGGGTCCAGAGCTGGGGAAGAAAGAGAGAAGAGGGAGGGAGGATGATGTTGGAAGAGGAAGATGATGGTGTACTTGGGTAGGGGAAGAGAATAGGAACAAGGGAGTATATGCAATAATAGAAAAAAGAGGTATTGAAAATTAAATCTGGCAGGAAGAAAGGAAGGGGACTGGAAAATAATATCTTATTATATGGCTCTATTATGCCGTAGAGGAAAGAAGTGGTTGAGAAAGAACTGGGGAAGGGGGATGGAACTGAGGAGGATATCCAGCTGTGTTTAAGGGTCACGATGATATTGTAGAGTGCCAGCCGTTCTCTGGAAACAGAAACCATGGGACAGACAAGCGGCTGAGATCCATCGACAGCTAGAGGGGGAAAGAGAGAAAAAGGTGGGAAAAGACCAGATGCAAAATAATTCCTAAGTGGAGGCGACGGTGCCTTAAGATGTTGATGTCTTTGTTCCAGTGTACTGGGACGGACTGCTGGACGTGGATGGAGGGAAATCCGCTTCTTTCTTTTTTATGTTACTTTCTTGTCTCCTGTTTGATTTTATTTAATTAATTATTATTATTATTATTATTTTAATTTTAATTTTTTTTTTTATAAATTATTATTATTATTATTATTAGTATTTTATTTCAAAGAATATTCTTTCTTTTTTTATTCCAGTTGGTTTCTTTCATTTTCTTTCATTTTCTTTCTTTCTAATTGGACTGTAGCGACATTATTTTCTGTCTATGAGAGGCCTCAATTCCTTCTTCTTAGGCAGAACTTCAGTACAATGGCACTTTAGATACGCCGGTTGTTTCTGAATCACCTTCCTTTCCAATTCCCTCCCTTCTTTGTGCTAAATCTATTCATCAGAGGATCTGAGGCCTATTCTAGATCTTCCGGGCAACAGTGGCATTTAACCAAATCCGGATGATGAAGAAGTATTTCTGCAGCAAGATTATGGATGATACTGATACTAAAGTATGTATGTACTCTCTCTCTCTCTCTCTCTCTCCGCTTAGGCATAAGGTATGGTTGTTAGTTTAACGCTGATTGCGACGGATTTAACATGGCACATTTACCTGATGGAGCACTCTCCCTTACATACTTCATAGGTACCCGCGGATCTACGCACGAGGAGTCGAGGACCCTACATAAATCGGCCACCGGAGCGATCCATAAGAAGAAGAAGAAGAAGAAGAATAATAATAATTTCCAATCGTCTACTCTACTGGTATTCAGGAGGGATTCGCCCGGAGATAGCGGTGGAGCAAAGAAGAAGGAGGTTCGGGGAACTGGGGGAACGAATAGACGGATCGCCCTTGGATTTTAGTGTTTAGATTGAGTAGAGGTCTGGCCATGAGGCGCAGTGGACCTATCAACAAGCGCGGACGAATTAACTGGAGACTTTGCGGAGGTCTCGATGAGGCCAAGAAGTTAAACCCGTAAAATCAAATCGGAATTCTAAAGTCTATACTGTCGCTACGTGACGGGTGTTAAGCAATAGTTGTAATAATTTGAAAAGTCTGATAGATTAGAGTATATCTTCTTCGTCATCACGGACAAGTTGGGTACTTAACCTCTCGCCATGGTATGCCATAGCATGCCATGGAACGCATGGAGAGCGGATACAGGCACTGTCTTATCCTAGTTGACCCCATAGTACGGAGAGTACCATGAACCGGTCCCATGGGTAGAAGCGGCGTGCTCGTGGCGGGGGGAATCATTGACGACAAGTCCTTCAGAGATATAGCTGGTCGTCTCTCAGGTGATGGGACATATCCTTGGAACCTCCGTGCTTCTTCTTCTTCTTCTTCTTCTTTCCCCTCATATGTTCCCCGAACCTAAAGGAGAGTACTATGCGGAGTACTCCGTACAGCTGGCCGTAACTTTTTACCTTGCCTTAATTTTCGCACGGAGAAAACTAGAGGCAGAAGCCATGTATTGCTCTCCACATGTCATCTCACTAGTAGATACTGCAAGGACCAAAAAGAGGAAATGGAATCCAGAAACTAACCCGATCCCGTCCCTAGCAGGAGGGTTGGAATTTGGATGTATGGGGCGAAAAAGGGTGGTTCGGATGCCAGCAGAATCCCCATGTTGGGGCCGGCTGGGAACCAAACAGATTAAGTTGAGTTGCATTCTATCACAGCAGTGTTTCATTTCTTTATGTTCTATAGAGACCTAAAAAAAACCTGGGGGTTGTATGTTCTTTTAGTTATCCTCCTTCATAATACTAGGTACTACGTAGATAGGGATAATTCCTTGTGTCTGAATCTGGCCTTTACTGTTGGGCAGGAAAATAGAATACCTCCGTAATACATCCCTATAAATACGGAAATTCCGTAATAAATAAATGACGGCTCCGCGGCCCACCGATGGATGACACTTAGGTAACACAGAACTGGTCGATGATTGGCTTTTTCATTGGGCCGGATGACTTATCCAGTCACGCTAACTAACTATCAAGTTATCAACAGGAGCAGATCACTCTCCACAGTGGGGTGCAGATGAATGAGTACAATCAGCCTTTTCCTCTTCTCTTCCTGTAACTCCCCTCTGGACTCTAAGTGTGTTCTTCTTCCCTTCCTTCATCTAGGATAGATACTTCCACCCACTACGCCCACTCCCACTCCAGGTTTGTACCACCTATCCTTACCTGTTTCTGATGTCTAGCAACCTTTCCGACCGCCCACCTCCCACCCAAATTGCCTATACATGTATAAATGTTGATCAATGGTCGTACCCAAATCTTGACTCCTTCCTGATTTTGACTAGCAGGAATTACATTAGTACTTATCCAGTGTCAAGGTACCGAATTCCAAATCACCACGCAATTACCAGAGCCTGGGCCAGCCACAAACCCCTTGCACTCTCATTTCCGTGCGGCTCTACAGGATTCGTCCATGGTCAGGTGACCCCATTCCCAATCGTCAACCCATGAGCATGCTCTGTCTGTCAGGCTTCAGTACCTCCTAACCACCAGCAGTGCGCCAATAGGATTTGGAACCAGAGAAACCCCCCGAGCCTACCCGCCAATAAATCGCCAATAGTACCTTTTCTAGTGCGTATGTAAGCGGAAAAGTTATCCTCAGTACGGACTCCGCCGTAATTTTCAACCTATGATGGAGATAACCTAATCTAGATCGGTGTTAACTCAATTTCGGCGGACCACTAGGCATGGGAGATTTGAGTTCATTTTTAATACCTAATTCTGTTTGGACAGGAGTGACGGTATGCATAACACACCTTTGGTGTTTCTGCTTCTTCCCTCCTTCTTTTTTTTTTTTTTTTTTTGTAGTTTCGACTGTGAGTACGGGGTCCAATAGGCTCTGCTCTCCTCGTCACTAGTATAACCGCTAGGATGGCTAGGTATCTAGTTACTAGTAGTAAGACCTTCAGTTTGGATACTTTTTTATCACGTGTACGCTTGACTCCATTAGGATGTTGTTGTGGAGATAATCGCAGCGATACTTTTATACTTTACTATCAGTATATACATACCTACTCGAGGTTCAATGTTGAGTACATTTGATTTGATTTGATTGATCACTAATTATCTAATCACCACTACGTGTCAACTATTTGAGTTCTATCTCAACCTTACCCTGCCGTTGTTATTCTGAGCCATTGGTCCCTGCACCAGGGAGTACGCAGGTGGCTGCTACAGAAACCAGGATAGCAGACTCGGGAACGTCAACGATGGGGCTGGGTTGGACTCGATGAAACCGCCATGAATCAAGCAAGACCAAGACTTGCTGCCAACAACGGCTTGCAGTTCTATGTTCTATTTTCGACCACTTGCATTTTTTTTTTTTTTTTTCCTTCAAGTCTCCATTCTCTTTTATCTACTCTGTATGCACTCCCACTCCCAATTGATCCTCGAGACCCTCGTTCGTTGTCTGACAAAGTTCGTTCTTAGCTTAGCGTTGAAAAGTGGATTTGGGCAGGAGGGGTGACTTACAAGGCCATGCGCGGCACACGAGCCATGATCTGCGACTATTAAAGCACATTCTGAATGGATTCGAATGGCTTGTGCAGGAACTGGAGCCAAAGTTCCTTTTTTTGTTTTTTTTTTTTTTTTTTTTTTTTTTCTTTGTTCCGTGCAGGGACGGGCTGTAGATAGAAGGTTAGTTGAGGAACCCACTTTTTTTTTTCATTCAACGGTCAAAACTAAAAGTAGTATCAGCCGCTTAGTGCTAGAATGAAGTTTAATTGATTAAATTATTCATCGAGCATTCCGGCGGGAGGGTTCAACTTGATAGGGTAGGTATTCACAACTAGTTACTTGTTTAGGATGTAGATTTCGAAGGGCAAGTAAGTACAGCAGCCAGCTCAGCTTACTTGTTCATTCAGCTCGATATACCTTCCGTCATAGAAGGGACGGCTGGTTACAGCAACCTCAGAACCAACAGGTAACCTGCTCAAGCTATTCGCCATGCCTTCGCATGCCTTTGTCCTAGACTGTGTTACTTGCTCCAAGCGTTCTACAGGACATGATGAAGGATGCGCAGCAGGGATCTTCCTCTAAACCCCTGGCAACAATGATGAACCATCTCCTCCAACCCCTCCCATTCCTGGTTGGCCGAGTCTATCCACCGTCACCAACGTTCTGGAAGACCTCTTCAGAGCGCTAGATCGATCTAGCAGCACGTCCCTTACCGGATCCGGCGTGATTGAGCGGGACACAGACCCTCATCAATGATCAGGGTTGTTGATTCTGTCTTGTTCTTGCTTGATGGAGGTCTGGTGACAAACGTCAGGGCTCCTACCCTGAGCCTTATGGCTGTTGTTACTTGTTCGTCTCAGAATGTCTTGCTCCACAGGGCAATGGCCCTACTACCTAAGAATACATTTTCTTTTTTTATTCTGTGCTGTTCACGCTGCGCCTCGTTCTTTCTAATCTTGCTGTTTCTTTGGGGTTCTTCAGCAGAACTTCTTTTTTTAGCCTGGAATGGTTTCTCTCTCTCTCATTCTCATGTCACCTAAAATCGTCATGGATGATGGCAACAGAAACCGTGTCCAAAATAAGACACAGACAACACTCGATCAATTGAGGGTGGTTAAGAATGTAACATCAAACTCAAAGGAAATAAAAGAGATGCCAAGATTGATCTGCCAGAATGTCTCCGAGTTCTTACTTTTCAGTTCTTCTCAGGGCTTCTCGGGGGGGGGATGTAGGAGGAAAGCTTTTCTGTCTGCACACAATCTACGTAATACGAGCCACCGATTGACTATTGAACTGAGGTGTCCATGCCTAGTCCATGGGAAAAGACTGGTTAGAGGCTGAAAATGACCCTTTTAAGGCGCCTGGGTCTGCCCATTTCTGTGATAGTTGGTTCCTTCCCCTCCCCCCTCCCCCCGGGCAAGGAACACTCATTCGGAGTCATTCCTAGTCTCTTCTGTTAATGAAGACTAGCTAAGCTGCTATGCTGCTCCATCTCAGTTTGACTTTTTAAGACTATACTCGGGAGTAGAATATGAAGTGATTCGCGGAACACGACCCATGTAGGCTTCGGCTTTAGGAGAGCTCATCTCCTTTGCGATGGTGGGGACTGAGGTATGTACTCAGGAGAAGGGGAAATGAGTTACACCGATATCTCCATACTTGTGGTCACTTTTCCCCTCCCTGATGAAAATCCGCTTATTGGGTATAATATATATCACCCAAGCACAGGTCAACAGTTCAACTTGAGTTAGGTAAGCAACGCCTCCTGGTGAGACAGACTCCTTCCTAGTCGGGCGCTCTTTCCCAGTCAGGCCTGCCAGACCTCGGACCGGAGGATTCGAAAGCTACGTTCCAAAAAATGCATAATTTCCGGCGATAAGCCAAAGGAACCCGCGGACACATTGGACATGGGAGAGTCCCATGGATCGTCAACGGGGTTTGCGGGCTCTGCATATTGTTTGGATTCATTTTGACGTCCCCAAAAAAAAAAAAATTTATTGGATCGAACCGGTCATTTGTTTCCGTTACCTAGGTCGCGATACATACATAGTCTCCGAAATACAGACGACGAGTATCCGTACCATCCGGCGTAAATAATAGCATTATCCAGATGGAGCTGGATAAGCACCTTAGTGACTTAGTGACTCTGTAGACATCCTGTAACGCTTAGGCTAAGTTCGATATCAGAAGATGACGATAATCATTTCATTCATTCATTCATTCATTTCATCTCGTTGAGATTGGAAAAGTAAATGTCAATCTCGTCACATCCATCCTCCACCGTTCCACAGCCTGCATGGGAACCAACAACTCGCTAAGCATCATCATATGTATCATCATGGCTTATCGAGGGCGGGAATTCCGGCCTGCAATCACTAGTGAAGGGTTCTCTCTGACAACGACTTGTAACCTTTGGTAGGTTAGTACTCCGGATACTCCGTCCGGTGGAACAACCGATACATACATAAGCAAGAGTAAGAGAAGAGAAGGTTCCCGGAGGAAAGGTATCCAGACCCCGAGAGCTCCCTATTTGCTCTATACTCCCTCTCCCGTCTGTAAGCCTTACATGAAATACAAAGTACTCCGTACCCTACTCAACGTACGTACAGGCTTGGTTCGGTTCCCATCCCTACAGATAGCTAATAATGCACGTCCATTTCTTCCGGCGGCTACATCGTACATCACCTTAGAGTAGAGCTTACTTACTTACTACTCTACTAGGATCAACTAAAGTAAGGAAAAATAAGGCACGAGTAAAACCCACCCCAACCTAAGCCCGGGACAGCATAAAGCCAAGGGATTCTTTACTCCGTACTTGACCTGCATACTCGTAACTCGAGTCCGTAGGTGCTACAGTGTACTGTACTCCGTACGTACATGGTTTCGCTGCCATCCTCGGCTGTTTCTAGTAGCAGCTGCATGGCACGGACAAAACCGGCATATTAGGTATTCCAAAGTACCAATCCCAGGCATTTAGGAGGATTTCGGGATCTCGTATCGGGATCTGATCTGGATCTACGTACTACCTACCTCCTGGTTTACGATTGCTACTTCAGATGCATGCTGTTTGTCCAGCTATCTATCTGGGATGGATGTGATATAGGTAGGTGAGTGTGAGCTCACATACGGAGTACATGTACCGATTTATATCAGGAACGATTCTGGAGGTACCTACCTAGGTAGCCTTCCTTCGGATTTTGGACCGAGACACACACACACACACAGAGAGAGAGAGAGAGAGAGAGAGAGAGAGAGAGAGCGGTGTCTATATATGTGTATTCATCTCGACTATCTATACCTACTCCACCTCCGAATAAGACAGCATTGAGTACTCCGTATACTCCGTACTTCATGAAAAAAGACAATACTCTTGTTCTAGTATACATATCACTCATCAAATAAACAATGCGTACCAGACAAGACAATGCACTTGTGAAGCCCACACCCACAATCCTAGTACTACCTAGGATCTATGTACGTGAAAAAAAAAAAATACTTCCCTCTCGAGTACGGAGAACATTTGTTTGCTGCCGAGCTCTAAGCTCACTGCAGGGATCCCAAGTCTTCTCAGTCAGATACCAGAACAGGTATATATACATAAGTTAGTGGTTTTAGCCTTGGGATGGGCCAGAACTTGAGAAGAGCTCCTCCCAGATGCACGTTTTACAAAGTATTCCTTCCTTCCTTTCTTTCTTTCTTTCTTCTTCGTTTCTTTTTTACGCCCCTCTATCCTCTCCTACACGACAAGGTCGACCGACCCCTGACTCTGAAGTGGTTTGCTACCGTTCTGTCATCTATAGGGTAGGGGCGATATAGGTGCTTTTGTGGAGAACAATAAGCATTCAAGATCCATACTTTAACTGATTGGGGCCGGAAGAAGCCAGCCAAATGACATATTTTGGATTTATTAGACAATTAATAGCGTAGCATGTTCATCCCAAACCCGTCTCATGTAAACGCCACCACCTGTAATTTAGTTGTATTGTCTGTATGCAGATAAATGCAAGAAACATGCCAGCCCTCCAAGTGTTAGTACATTAAGAAAGAAAGACTAATGCATGTCAGAAGGAAAAGAAAGAGGGAAAATGATAAGAAAATAAGAGGAAGCAGCCAATCCGATGATATCATACAGTGCCAGCCAACACTAGAATCAAGATCGAGAGGGTTGTGCGCGAAAGCATCAAAAATGTAATAATGTGTTTCGGATTAAACCGTGTTGACTGTTGGCGTATTGTATCCACTTCAAATCCACTTAACCGGAGTCGATCAGGGCAAAGAGTCTCTCCATTTGCTCGCGTTAATATTTCCGCCCTCTCAAGATTTGCCGAGCACAACTCCAGGCAAGATCTGCACCGGGATCAAATCTTTGACGAACTGAAAACAACCCGATTTAATATCACACGACCCCGTCGCACAATAGCGTCGCAGAATGAGTCATGACAGCCAGTAGCTGATAGCTAACTCATGCGGTCGCTTTTGTTGGAATGTAGACCATGGTGCAATTAAACCCCTCTGCAAGTACATCTACCACACGGGTTGCTGGTGCTGTCTGCATTCATCGCTGGCTAGGTTGGGTAGGGGACATTTCAGGTTTCGGGGCCGCGGATGGTTCTAAAGGTGGTATGCGATTGATCGACGGTGATGACATCACTGGCTGGCCATTCAAGGCTGAAGGGAAGTGGCTGTGGAAGCCCATGGCATTCTCCCTCTGCCGGCGCTCCTCCTGCTCTGGAGTCATGCATTTTACAGGCGGGGGAATGGGCGCATCGGGCGAGCTTCTGCCCATCAACTTAGGGCTCGGTTCAAGTTTCTGGATTGGTGGTAGAATAGGGGCACCGGTTAAGCTTCCAGAAGTCATAGGTCGTGGTGATTGTTTGGTTGGACTGAGGCCAGAAAGTAGCACAGGCTGCGAGTTCTGAGGGGTCGAGGACCGGTTCGTAGTAGGTGTGGCCATAAACGATACATTCGCACTAGAAATCGAAGAAAAGGACGGGTGATTGGCAGTGCTGGGGCGTGGAGTCTGATGGTGGCCAAACGGAGTCCACGGTGCATTACTGTCAGACGACGCCATAGGGGGAAATCCTGCAAGAGGCCCAACGTCACGATTACCCTGAGTAGGAGACATCGAGGGTCGATTTTGAATGGGAGATAGAAGAGCTAGGCTATTTATCGAGTGAGAAGATGAAGGCCGCCGTGAGCCAAAAGAGACCGGAGGAAGAGGTCCCCGGCCAAGAGGGGGAAGATGAGTTGCCTGTTGAATAGACGGTAATTTAGGAGGTTGCTCTTGGAAAGACGGAGTTAGTCCGTTCACCCCTTTTGAAGGAGAGAACGGGGCACGGGAAGGACTGAAGGAAGCAGCAAGCATGGGCTGAGATCGACGTTCGGGGGAAGGCGGGGGGAATGAAAGGGGTGCGGTATAAACTGGAGCTCGAGCATGAGATTGTGGAGATAGCACAGGTTGTTTGGATGGGGACCCATTAACTGCCATCGACGAAGCATCATGCATTTTTGTAGGAGTAGGCTTTGGTGCAGTGTGTGTATCTTCATGGCTTCCATGACCATGAATATCTTGCGATGGAGAAGAACCAAGGCGGAACTTAAGTGGTGGTATTTTGGGAAGTTTCGCTTCCTCCTCGCGGCGCTTGCAGTCCTTGCAGACGAAATGGAAATCCTCGCGCTCAGCCTCATCTTGTGCGATACCAAGGCACTTGCTGTGCTGCCACACATTGCACTTTTCGCATGCAACACTATGAGAGCCATCGTCCTGTCGAATACTTAGCAAATCTCATCTCCGATTCGATTAGTTAAACTCACCAGATTTTCTCCGTGAACACCACATCCGGAACAATCGAATATCCATTCGTCTTCCTGCGAAAGATCTTCCAAATTCTTCCTCTGCTTCTCCAACTCTGCCCTGAGATGCCTCTCAGAAGCCCGGCTTTCGCCTCTTTCAAGCTTCTTTTGCTCTTCTTCTATCCTCTGTAGCTCACTTTCATGCAATAAACGCTTCCTCTCACGATCCTTGATGCGTTGCTCCCGAGTCATCATGCGAGACCGTCTTTCGGATTCCATCTTCTTCATCCTCTCCTCCTCCTTGCGAGCAGCTGTCAATTCTACCTCCCGCTTCTGCGCTGCCTCGACAGTCTCGCGATCGTGTCGCTCCTTCTCAGCCTTTTCGGCAATACGGCTCGATCTTTTAGCGCCAGCGAGAAGCTGGAGGTTGGCGAGCTCCTTCTCACGCTTGGCTCTTTGTCGCTCCTGAGCTGCTTCCTCCTTCTCAATCACCGGCAATACCTGTTCCTCAATTCTATCTCTGAGAATCTTTTCGTCCGCGTCTCTCGTATTCTTTATGGAGTCTAAGAATTCCTGGTAGTCAGGAAGCGTAATGGCGATGCATTCCCACTTCATATTCGCAAAGGGATCAGGGGCAGCATCGGCTTGAATACCATTGGTATTCCCATCAGAATCGTCGTCAGATGCGGCGCCTACAACCCTCCTCCTTTTCGATGCCCTCACGGCACGAGCGCTCTTCCTCTTGGATTTCGACTTAGCAGGCTTCGGAGGGGGGAGGGGTGGATCGGTACGGCGGTAAAGTCTGTTGTCGTCCAAAATGTAGTAGTAGCGGCCTTCGCGATCGTATCCTACTTCCTCAATACGCTTGAAACAGGTGTTAGTAGGCGCAGAAAATATTCTTGACATATTGCACTCACCCATTGTGTTTGGTCGATCTCCCTCTGTTCTGGCATCTTATCACGGATCCGATCGGGGTTCCAAAAAGTCCATATCGTAAGCTGATGGAGGACCCGCAGTTTCAAGAAGACGTCGAACTCTGAGAACTTGTTTGGGGTTTCATCGTACCCGAAGGGATTGGGAACGTGTGGAGCTTTCGCATTATACTGCCGTCGCGTGTATTCGTCGAAGTTATCAAACCTATAAACACAAAACGTATTCTCGTCAGCTACTGCGCGTTTGAATCCACTAATATGACCACATACGTAAGGCCGCGATGCGACGAAACCCATTTGAGGAGACACAGCCCGATCTCGAGAAGCTTTTCTGAAGTGCCAGGTTTGAGACATTCGTTCTCCAAATCCTAAATTCAGACCAAAAAAAAAGAGAGAAAGAAGATTAGCTTATGCAGCATGGCATGCGACACATGGGAAGCACAGTGCAAGCAGGTGGCCCAAGAAGCAAAAGCTCAGCCCTGGATTTGCAAAACCCAATCACGTACTTCAATTCCAAAATCCTCATCGATTTTCATGAGTTTCCCAAAGATTGCGATATACTGCATGAGATTCGCAAACTCCCAGCTATTTCGAAGCTGGGTTAGCAAACCAGGCTCCTCGTGTGGCTGCTCTGGAGGAGCGTCCACCTCGGAGCGGGTGCGCTTTCGCGATACCATGAGGGCGGTTCGGGACCGTCAAAAAAAGGCGCCGCAGCGCAGGGGCAATATTCGCACAGACCAGGGATTCTGGTAGGGACCCGAGGAGAGGAGGAAGCGTGGACAACAAAAGACAAACGCGCACAGGCAGAATTGTTAAGCTGAATCCTAAAATCCAGAAAATGGCATCCTCCGAAAGTTGGTGCTGGCAATGAGTTCAAGCAAGAAAGAGGACGGGATGAGCTCACAGAATCTCCGGGAGGCGCGTCGAGATCCGGTTCCCGTCAGGTGATGTTAGCGAGCCGATTACGCCTCCGATAAGGCTGGCTGGGATGCAGCCCAGCTTGCCAAAAAGAGGATTTATATTTAAGTGTTTCTCTACTGCGAGGCTGAAATAAGATAATTCTCCCTATGAGAAATTTAAGAGGTACCTGTATTCCTGCGGACACTAAATAATGTTCAAGTACAGAGGAGAAATCAAAGAAAGAAATCCATTCAACACTATAAGGCAACCAGGAAATTCAACCGCAAAAGAATCACAAGCAACCAACGAAACACATAACTAGATCTTGGTATCTCTCGCTTAAAGAGGGTCTATCTCACTTGTATGGGTGATGGAAAGGGACTGTAGAAGACAAGGAAAATCCACTGAAACAGAGAGCGCCATCCATATCATACCCACGCTACCGAACAGCCATATACCATTATGACGGAGAAAGGAGTAAATAAACAGGGGAATAAGGTAATAAGAAACCTAAATTGAAAAATGGTAGCAGAAAAGGGGGAAACAGCAAGGTGGGAGAAAATAAGAATAGAAAAGCAAAAAAAAAAAAAAAAAAAAAAAAAAAAACCTGAATAAGAGTGGACAAGAAACCAGCCCCAGCCCGGTATGCAGATGAAACCTCCATTCTGGTTCATTATTTCAAGTGTATTATCTCTTCTCGCTCCTGGTGTTTCTTGCTCAATTTCTTTCGCTTTTTTGGGGTTCGTTTAAATGGTTTTCTTTTTGTCGTTGCAATGTCATTCCACAATTTGCGCCTTATAATCCGTTTTCGCCTGAGCCTAACCCATGCATGTCGTTAAGTGTATCAAATATACCAAGTAAATTGAAAGAAAACAAATGCTTTTCAACTTTTTACATCGCAACACCTGGTGCGCCGTCGGAGACGTTATCCGAGAGGTTAATGAGGAGCTGGGCGAGACAGCGTTTTGTGGCTGCATCATCGCGGAGAACCGAGGAGAAGGTGGCATCTCTCAAAGGTTCGGGGAGACACTGGCGTAAGGCCTCGCGGGCGCGACTGTTGTCGCTTAATCTACTAAAAGTCAGTACGGAGAGTTTGACAGATTTGTACTCCAAGACAAGTCTATGAGAGATTAGTTTGGAAAAAGATGGGACATACCGAAGGAAGCAGCGCACAACGTGCTTAAGAAGTCTCACTGTCTGTTGCTCCACAAGCTGAGTGACCATATTGCTCAAAACGGTTCCAACAGCATAGAACCTCTCGTATGTCGCACAGATATAGGCGAGGCCAATGTCATCCAACAGGATTTTCTGTACAATGAAAATAGCGACCGTTTTACTCAACTCGGAGCCAGTCTCCATAATTCGGAGGCAGAGGGGAATAATTTCGGTGGTAAGAAGAAAGTTGATGACATCAGAGGAATCGTTCTTGACTAACGCTCCAATAACTCCCAAGGAGGTGAGGCGGAGGTATTCAAAAGGTCGGGATTTTGAAGTAGTATTGAGGAAAGGGTAAAGAAAGAGAGGTATGTGAGCTGGGTTCAAAACGTCTTCTGTTAGCGGCAGTGTTCTCCCCATTGCGAGGGTAAAGTCGCCACATACCGTTCAGGAATAGAGTACGGGTTTCATTATGAGATGCAACGCACTGCAGCAAAGCAAGTGCGTTGCAGACCCGATTTGAAGCCGCAGCGGTTAGTTGTGAGGGGTTCAGCAGCGGATATACGGAAATGATTTCCTGGAGCAAAGCGGTCATGACACCTGTCAGTGCAACAAGAAGTTAGTTTCTAGAAGCAATAAGGAGCCATGGGGGAGGGAAGCCGTACCGAAAGAATGCCAAATGACCAGTGCCAACTCCGGCACCTGTTCTCTCTTCTTACTGAGCTCCATTAGAGCGGCCTCTCTGCGATTCGGGTCTAGAAGCTCCGCGACCCAAATAAAAACCTTGCGGTTCTCGTCACTAATTCCACCATCCATCATCGAAACCGCACTAGGCAGAGCACCATCTCCGCCCATCCCTCCAGCGCCTACTCCCTGAGCGGAGTTTCCTGCCCCAGCATTGCTAGCCATAGCAATGCGGGTGTAGTGTTGCTGCTGAGCTGCGGCGGCGGCAGCTGCGGCGGCCTGAACCTGGGCATGTTGTTGGGCAACCAAGGAAGAATGCTGCTGGGCTTGATGCGGATGGTGCTGGGCTTGATGGTGTTGCTGCTGCTGCTGTTGCTGATGCTGCAACCAGGAGGGATCAGCCTGCGGGTACTGATGCTGGTGAGAAAATACGTGCTGGGTTTGCGTTTGAAGCATGACGGGCCGGTGAAGAATCAGAGCACGACGACAAGAGTCGAAATCCTCAGGGTAATGATGCTAATGCCCTTACCAACCGGAAAATTTGAAACGAGGGCAGGAAGGGCTTGAACGGCGGTAGGAGGTATTAAAAAATTAAAGGCGAAGGAAAATTCATGGATCAATCTTTGGTAGCCGGTTGCGAAAGGTGACTGAGCGATGAGCACTGACGGTTTAAGTCGAAGGAGGAGTGATGGATGGATTTGAACCGATCGATCGAGGCGAGCGAAGTTCGGGTTCCGGGAGGCGGGGAGACGCAGGTTCCGACCGGGGAGTTCGACTGACTAAGGCCACACTCACCACCCACACGGCGCTGCTGCTCGAGGTTCGAGGATCTACGAGTAAAGAGGACCGTGTGTGCATTTCAGGTCCTTTGGTTCATCTTGACCTTCATGTTCACCAATAGATAACATCGGATTTTCTTCAGGATATACCTTTTTTTTCCAATAAGGGTTTTCTCTAAAGGTGGATTTCTACCACTAACTAGCGGCTACCTTGCGTGTTACACTAAAGGGAGCACGAGTTGGTCTGGCAGGTGCCTGATTGACCGTCACGAGTTAGTCTGAATACTGAGAATGCTCTGGCCGAGATGAATCTCGGTTGCAGATTGCATCTATGCGACCTCCCTTGCGAATAAGCGCCAGTGGCAGTCTGCAAGTTTGCTGTGCCTGCATCTCTGGTTCTTGTCCGATGTGTGCCCTCGGTGACAGGATGACACAATACCTATATGCAATGGATTCTTATAAGAGAAATCGGTTTATTCTTCACTATTGGCTCGAGGGTCTTCTCGAAACCATATCTTGGTATGCAGTATAAAGACATTGATCACGTTGCACTATATTCCGTCTCACATATTTACATCCATATCCGCCGCTCGCGAACCCAGAACCAGAGTAAGTCACAAGAAATTAAGAAAGTCAGTGAAAACATGATAACATAAAACATGGCTCATCATAATACAGGCATTTTCAACCACAGAGGGATGGCGAAGGGGAAGATTCGAAAATTCATACAGCCTACAAAGGCTTAATCACTGGAAAGAAAAATCACAAGAAATCATCATCATATCGACCAAAAAATAAAGACATTTATCATGCATTTTACTTCAGCATTGCATCATTAATCGTTAAGAATGTGTTCGAGACCCGGATCTTCTCGATCGCCTGCTCTGTCGGGTTCGTCGGTCTGAGCTGTCGCTAGCTATGAGACAGTTAGCAAGGTTCAACAAATATCACGAGGGATGAATGGAATCGCAGTGCATACTTGTGCTGGTGTAGTAACTATAGTAACTCGGGTAGGTGTAGTCACTCTTTTCATCCTGGTCTCTCTTCCGTCTCAAGCCCAGGCAAAGCGCAAGCGCGCCGATGATAATTCCAATAGTGGCGAGATTACTCCAGCGAGATTTCTTTTCGCCGCCCTGGTCGGGTCCTGATGGTCGAGCTCCAAACCAGGTACGGCCTTCGGGTCGAGCTCCATGTGCATGTTGGGAATAGTGCTCTTCAACATATGTTGTGTCTGTCCTCCTGCGCTTTCCGATACCCAGGCAAGCGAGAAGACTATCAATTATGCCACGGCAACAAAAACATGCGCAAACAAGAAGCAACAAAAACACGCCTGCGATTGTTCCAATCACGATACCCGCAATGGCTCCGCCGCTTAGACCGCCATGGTCCGGTGCGTCCACCCCATACGCGGCTACGCCGTCGGTGGTTACAGGAGCGTCGAACCCTTGAGTAACTGTTGGAGAAACGGTTTGGGTAACAGTGCTCGTGCTTGTTCCACGCACTGGGGCTGTCGCGGTTTCGGTTTCAGTGGCCCAAACTGATGTACTGCCCAAAACACACTGGTTGTTGGTGCAGACATACGCGGCGCCGCAGCAGTCACTACCGCAGGTAGTTTCACCGAGATCAGCTCGGCAACTTCCTGTGGTGGTTGCGACCCAGGTGCTCCATACAGAGGTGACCGTCGTCGCACCGGTTTCTGTCACAACGTAAGTGGTGGTATAGTATTCCCAACTCCCGCTGCCGCTGCTAGTGGTTGAGGCGACACAGACAGCTTCACCGGCACTATTTGTACTGCAGACTTCGCTTGACGCACAGCAAAGCTGTTGATAGTAACCGCAAAGGTTATCACAACGCTTCTCTAGGCCGTTTTCATCGGTTTCCTTGAATTCGAGCGGAGTCGCCTCGGAGAGTCGACATTGGGCCAGTAAAGCGAGGATCGATGCGGCCGATTGTAGTATCCGGGAGGAATGCATAATTGGTCTGATATATATCAGGCGAGCGAGCCTGAGAAATAGGATTCGAGGCAATCGACAACGCTCTCTGAGCCCCGATTGTTGGCTACAGCGGTCCCAAAAACTTGACCGCTTTAATCACCGATCGTATAGTTTGCAGCCAACAAGTTTGAAAATGCCACACAACGGCGACACCTTCACAACGACAAACAGCTGGAATGTGAAATGCCGTCGAGAAGTGTAGAAAAATACAATAAACGATAAAGTCAGACAGAAGAGTAGAGGAAAGAATGGAACGTTGAGGGTGGAACTAGAGCTATTGTGAGCGAGACTGACTTTCCCAGCCTCCCATACAACTAAAACATGTAAACCCAACCACCGGATTTACTGAGACCACTGCCACCAATCAGCCCAACAACGGTAGGATAATCAGATCAGGGTAAATTTGAGTATTCTGGGAGGAGAAAATTCGAAGGCTGGTATCTTTATTTATTATTCTTTTTCTTTTTCTTTCCCAGACCCCACTGAGATTAGTGACTTGACATGAAGTGTGGCATGGACTGGACAGAGACAGAGAGCCCCTCCTCGCATAATCCATCGAGACCGCTCATCCCCGCATCTTCCTTACCCAGGGTTTAATATGTAGTTAACTATGTCAGGCATTGTTGTCGGTCAGGACTTATAAGCCATTATTATAACTGTCTAAAATACCCAGTCAGGTACCTAAGGACCAGTATTATTCTTGCATCACCAGCAATAGGTGGACCCATTCTATGATCATCGCGGATCCCTCAGGTACCTACGGAGTACATCAGGTACTGACAAGTTCAGGCTAATCAGGCATCGAGACAGACCGCCGACGTGTCATTCTCCATTTATTTGATTTGTTGTTGAGGTGAAGACTCTGCTTTTGCATGTAGGAACAGCTTGTTGGCCCGGTCTTTATTGGGATCAAGCGGTGTGTATCTGTACAGTATGCCCTATATTGCCTTGGTCAGGCACTGTACGGAGTAAGCAATGACGGTATACCTCAAGTTGAGGGTATTGGAATGGGATCAGGGAATGTTGGTTTTTATCTGAATACTTTGGTGAACAATAATAAATGCCATAAATAAAACTAAAGATACAACTGCAAATATGAACCATCACTCATTCAGTCATTTCATATATCCATCCAGGAATAGCGGGTGTAAAAGATGTACAAAACCCTGTCAGCTCCCTGTATGTAGCTCATGTTGGAGCTACCCATAAGTCATATATCCATATTATAGGGTTCCAACTAATCAACATGTTCCCTTCAAATAAACATACCAGTAATACCAATAACCACGCCAAAGAGAAGGTCCTGGAGATTGGAAGCCCGTCTAGAGACTCCGTCGCTCGATGACCCGCCTGCGTAGTTCCCGCAATAGCCCAGATTAAGGCCATGGCAAGCTGCAAGACTCAAACTAGAGCAGGTCTCAACAGCCCCGGCTGCGCCTCCTGATCGAGTCAATTCCGCACCGCCACCACTCACTGTGACGCCGTAGCCTCCCCCTAGAGATGTGATGCACGCGGTATATTCGCTTTGGCATTGAGTGTAATATGACGAGCAAACATCAGCATTGGAGAATGTCGTCGGCACATAGACAAACGGGTATGCACCCGAAAGCGTCGAGCCTGTGATCGTTGCCTCGCTGCCTCCACTGGTTGTCGTTGTCGCGCTCGTGGATTGAGGGAACTGGAAGCTTCCTGTTCCTGTGCTTGGGTCCGTCAGAGTGCCTGTACAGCTTGCTCCAACGGGGCAGCACGCGATGTGATTTGCGTCGTCGCTGGTACATATAGCGTTGGTCCTGCAGCAGATATCCGAGTCACCCAGGTCGGTACATGGGCTGTATCCTGTCGGGCAGTTGTTCTCGGTCCGCTTTAGGAGTTGTAGAACCTCATATGCCCTCTTGTTTGTCTCAAGACTTGCAGTCACTGGTGATTCAAACTCCACCCGCTCTATCGATAATACGCTCGAAGCGAGGAATGTGACCCAGATCCACCCAGACGTCTTCATTTTTCGGGGCTTGGGCTATGGTCGGCCCGCCGCACTTGAGGAACGGGAATTGATATTGATCTTTTTTGCGACAGCTGAGCCAACTGTTTTCAAAAATGTCCTCGAGTCTTCAAGGATTCCGGCAGTATTTGATTGAATGCGATGGCGATACTGGGCGGCAGATCAACAAACTACTAGAAGCGGGAAGGCTGTCAGCAGACGTGGTGGCATAGAAAGCGGCTGATCTAAAAGACAGAGAAATTGTAACAAACACTATAGCTTGGCAGATGGTTGAAATGTGTCCAGAAATACTTTCTAGAATTTCAATGTTCAGAAAAGAAAGAGAAATACTTAGGGAAGAGACCCTGATCAGACATCGTAGTGGAGTGGGCAGCAAAATCCCACTGTGTCTGCGCTGAGAGGGCTGTTCTGCCAACGCAATCTCCACCAGAGTCCCTGCCACAGCAACCAACCACCCGTGCGGGCGAGGCCATTGTTACAATGGGCCTATGACGGTGTATCTTTCTTGCGTCCGGGTTACAATCTCGATCTGGGATTATTCCATCTAAAGTATTGGCTTGTTTTTAGCTTCTTGATGGGAATTGTATGGAGTACCGTAGAGAATGGATATTTCATCCACCAAACAACGGACTATGGCGAATTAAGAATCATCGGGAGCCCAACGAGTCTTCAATCCGACCTTTTTTTTTGTTTCAGAACAAGCCGTCTCCAATAATCTCTTGTACCGGGTATGAATTCTTAAACATATACAATGGGTTTTAACTGTGGAATCTTGACTCAGATGACGAGGAGACAGACCTGCAGACTGCAAAACATGTGACCGTCAGGCAACTTATCGCGGGTTGACATCATGTCAGATTCGGACTAACTATGTGGATTCCATCATGTATCTGTCTGTTATTCTTTTTTTCTTTCTCAGTGGGAAAAAAAGAGCAGGAAATAGTGATAAAGAATGGAAATTCCTGTCGTCGATTTCTCGTCGTGGCACCATTCCCCGGATGGAGCATCCAAACAACGCATTGCGGGGGAGTTAGTGGACGCCTGCCGAAAGGTAGGGTTTGTCCGTATTACAAACCACTCCCTAGCAGAAACGACTCTCGATGAAGCGTTTGACTGGATGAGACGGCTCTTTTCGCTTCCAGAAGAAGAGAAAATGAAAGCTCCCCATCCTGAAGGCTGGGCCGTGCATCGCGGGTATTCATGGCCGGGATTAGAAAAGGTCTCGCAAATCATGAGCACGGGACACGACGATGAACTACGAAAGAAAATGAGGGAGGTTCCTGATGTCAAGGTCTGTCCCATCTCCTGCATGACAACTTCGTTGAATAACCTACGGTTTACAGGAAGTCTATGATATCGGGAGTGAAAACGATACCATTCAACCAAACCAATGGATCCCCGATACCACACTGCCTGGTTTCCGGGAATTTATGACCCGATTTTACTGGGAATGTGACAGAATCGGCAATGAGATTCTGCGTGCTCTGGCCATTGGGCTGAGTCTAGAAAGTGAAAACTACCTGACGGAGAAGCACTCGGGAAATAACAATCAACTACGTTTGCTGCATTACCTACCAGTTCCTGCGGAAGACCTAGAGAACGAGCGAGTAGCTCGATGCCCAGCTCACACTGATTGGAGTTCCATAACCATGCTATTCCAAGATGACTGTGGGGGGTTGGAAGTCGAAGATATCTCGCGACTGGGCACATTTGTTCCTGCCCCTCCAATAAAAAACAGCATTATGATGAATGTGGGAGATCTTCTCCAGAGATGGAGTAACGGTTCGTTTTGTATTTGATCCTAGGGCAATGGGTGTGTTCTGACGTATAGGGATAGACCGACTTCGTTCTACGAATCACCGTGTTGGCGTTCCAGAGCTTTCAGGTCGAATGACGCGTGAACGGTACTCGATTCCTTACTTTATGTCGCCGGACGAGGGTATGGTTATTGAATGTATACCGTCCTGCATGAGCGACAAAGAGCCAGCAAAATATGAGCCTATCACACAGGGTGATTACAATAAAATGCGAATGTCCATGATGTACGAGTCTGCTTGAGAATGTCGTCTCATTACCTGTGCGTGTATTGAAATATGGTGCGATTCCAAGCCACATGATAGGAAAACAGAATGAACCGACCACGTGGAATTAAATTAATAGTTAGTTAGTATGCGATATCTAAAAAACCTCCAAATCTCCTGGTGGCGGTCAGGTCAGGTCATACATCCAAACACAGCCCTAAGCCCTAAATCGATGTCCGTATCAGTAATATCTGCCTGAGGCAAGACAACCTTGTCCATCCCCGCAGAGCCATGCTTTAGTTCTCTCACGACAATTATCAACCATTAACCACGCGCGACATATACTGAATATCCTCCAAGTCATCTACACCCGACCCATAACCCCCCTTCCTTTTACTGGTCTCCTTACCCAACCATACTCAACACTCAACTCAACAATCATTTACATCTTCCAACCTAATCATAACCAACCCCCCCCTCACCAGCAAAGATGTCTATTCCCAACGAAGCTCTCCAAAAGGTAAGTAATGACGCACCGCTTAGTCTTCACAATCCATGAACATATGTACAAAACCAAATAGCTTCAGAATGTCACTGATGGTTTTTCTTTCTTTCTTTTCAAATATATATATAACAGCTCCTCCAAGAAATTGAAACCCGAGTAATCACCTCCCAACAACAAATCGGCATCACCAAGGCCCAGATGACAACGAAACAGCGCGATATTCGCATGCTCGAGCTCACATCGAAGGAGATCGGGTCGCTACCGAGTGATACGAAGGTGTATGAGGGTGTTGGAAAGATGTGAGAGGCCTTTTACTCGTCATGGGATAGGGTATCGATCTGAATGTTCCATCATGCTAATGACTTCTCTCTCTCTCTCTCTCTCTCTTTTTCTTATGGATAGGTTCGTCGCAGTTCCCAGAACAACAATCGATAAGCGATTAGTGACCGAGAGCACGGAATTGAAGTCTGATATTGAGGGATTGGAGAAGAAGATGCATTATCTGGAGATGACGTTTAAGAATAGTCGGGAGAATTTGGAGCAGATTTTGAAATCGGGGAGGGCGTGATTCTAAATATCATTCATTTCATATACCAGGAAGGGGTGTCTTTTTTTTCATGGTTGTATATTTTGGACGGGTTGTTTGAGTTATTACCTATGATACCGAATGAGCTTGCTTTTTTTTTTTTTTGTGGGTGGAGTGGTACTACATACGTAAGTATGTTGTAGGTGGTGGATTGAAGTGATCCAATCTAGGTAGGGAGCGCGACTCCAGATCATAACAATATACTCATCGAGGAGTTCCTTTACTACCTAGGTAGTACATATTTGGTCCAAGGAGAACTAAGTAAGAATAGAAGGCAATAATCTCAGCAATAAGAGTTCAATCTGAGTTCTTATAAAATCGGTATGACATTATTTGATGTCATGTGAATTTTTTGCATCCTCCATTATTGTTTAGCAACAATAGAGTAGTAACTTGGTCCTTTCTTATGTGTTGTATCACACCAGTGCTTTCAAGTTGATGGGATCAGATGCTGTTATGAAAATGGCTGGATATAAAGATCAGTTCCCGATAAAGTGTTGGTGTTCTGCCATCATATAAAAAGGAACCTTCTTTAAAATATGACTTTTACTGTTCTATACTAATATGTTTTAGGTATGTTGAGTACCTGATTGGCACAACACCATTACTTTTTCCAGATGAGACATTTCCTACGACTCAAAGCTTGTGTACGGAGTATGGAGGTCCTCAAGCACTTCTCTGCGAAGACACTCGGGCATTGTGTGGAAGGTAAATTGTCGACTGCAGCAACAATTCGACCTGTGGAAGCACAGTATCAGGATGGGGTTTTACAGGGCTTTCAATGTTATAGTAGGTCGAGGTGTGCCAAAATTCGAGCTCCTGTAGTGGTAGATACGAAATATGTAGGATAGTTAAAAAATGATTCGATCACTAATATACATAGACTGCCACATCAATAAGTATTCTTGTTGGAGGTCCTCCCTTTTTCCAACAACGCATGTCTGCTATTCAACCTAAGAGGGTTTGTACTTCCCACATTATCCAATATTTCATGATGGGCAAGGTACCTAGAAATAGGAATTTATCTGTAATTCCTAAAAATACCCATATATATATAAGTATCTGGTAAAAAAAAAAGCCTAATAAAGTTACAGTATTTATCTAGCAGGGAGACTCTAATACCTAAGCTAGATAGATTCTGGGAGTCTGGATACATGCTCAGTTCTCCTAAGGGAAAGCGGCGAGGGTTGAGTACTTGGTTGGAAAGAAAGCCAAGTACGTAGTATTAAAGGAAATCCGAATCTGGTATGTAGAGAAGGAGTAAATGAATGAAGAAAGAAAGAAAGAAAGAAAGATGAAACAAAAGAAAGGAAAAGAGATCATTGCTATACATTACTGGAAAACTATTGTCAGACTGCTTGATCAGATGGCAAATTAGACAGTACCTACCTATACTCAGGTACTCAGGTAGCCAACCTAGGTGGAACTTGGGCTGTATATGGTACCTACTAGGTAGAGAGAGAGAGAGAGAGAGATACATACGGAGTATATATATAGTTGCAGGCGGCAGTTGACTGGATATAAAACATAGAAGAAAAGAAAAAGAAAGAAAAATGTTTCAAAGAATAGTCAGTAACTAATCAATGGCTTGGTTGAGTCTCGTCTGAATTCCAAGAATACTTGCGGAATATGGCGCGGGCGTCATTCAGAGATGATCAGCCGCCCAATGATGCCAAATCCCCCACTTCAGCTGAGCCGCCATACGAGATTGGAGATAGCACAAGGGAACTGACTGGAAAGAGACGAAAGCAGGGGGGGTGGCTGGTTCTTTCTTTTACTTTGATCTACTTTCCTTCTCTCTCTCTCCATCTTGTTTCCTTTCTCTTTCTCTCTCTCTCTCTCTCTCCCCGGTGCTTTGTTCTATTCTTCCCGCTCTTTGTTCTCTTTGGTTGGTGGTGACCCTCAGATTCTCTTCGCTCTACGGCCCCCACCACTTACAACGATATCTACTCTCGACTCGACAGCCTTGACTCACCTTTTCTTGCCTATCTATCTACCTTGCATTAACCCTCGTATCCCCCAAAAACCCCATATATACATATACAACCGTATATTAAGTACCTTCTACTTTTGAATTTTGTTCCTTTTCCATCATGAGACACCGTCACGTCTCTATTAGTGACTCGGAATCCGAGTATTCAGAGTCCGACGTCTCCATGATGGAGGCCCCCAGGTATAGGAGACGCTCCGTCTCACGAACTCGTCACAACCCCAGCTATAGCACCACCTACCTCACCCCTGTCATGCAGGATGTCCGCGTGCACCGTTCTGCCTCCACCGGCCGCCGTACTACTCGCCACGAGCGCGAGCTCGAGCGTGAAAGGGATCAATATCACGAGCGCGAAAAAGACCAGTATCGGGAGCGCGAAAAGGACCAATATCGGGAGCGTGTCCAGCCCACGGCTGTTATTGTCGACATCAAGAACGAGTCCGCAAACAAGAGCGTCGACCGTAGCGGCAATAAAACCCGCAAGACCCGTCAGCGTGAAGAAAACACTTACATCGACCCTTATGAGTCCGAGGACGAGACCGTCCTCAGACGTCCTCGTCGATCGAACCGCGTCCAGGCTAGTGCGAGTGTCTCGCGAGATGCGTCACCCCGCCCGCCCGCCCGCGACTATGATCTGGTCATCGATCAGCGGATGCTTGAGAAGAACGACCAGCGCCAGGACCTCGAGCTGCTGCGACAACAACAGGAGATTGAGCGGCTAGAGCGCCAGCTGGCTCGTCACCGGGAGGATAATGAATTCCGGATCCTGAAGGAGGAGGAGGACCGGTATGAAGATGATATCAGTGACCGGTTGCGACGACTTCAGCGGTACGAGGAGAAGGAGCGAGCGGATGAGGAACAGCGTAAGGCAGAGCGCCAACTCAAGCTGCAGAAACTTGAGCAGGCGGAGCGAGCGGATGAGGAAAAGCACAGGACAGAGCGCGAACTCAGGTTGCAGAAACTTGAGCAGGCGGAGCGAGCGCATGAGGAAAAGCACAGGACAGAGCGCGAACTCAGGTTGCAGAAACTTGAGCAGGCGGAGCGAGTGCATGAGGAACAGCGTAAGACCGAGCGCGAACTCAGGTTGCAGAAACTGGAACAGGCGGAGCGAGCGCACGAGGAACAGCTTAAGACCGAGCGTGAGCTCAAGTTGCAGAAACTGGAACAGGCGGAGCGAGCGGATGAGGAAAAGCGAAGGGCAGAGCACCGACTTAAGTTGCAGAAACTTGAACGGGCGGAGCGGGAAGCTGCCGAGAAGGATGAAGTTCGTCAGAAGCTGCACCAGGAGAAGCTTCAGGAACTTCAACGCAAGATCGAGGAGGAAGAGAAACGTGAAAAAATCAAGAAGGAGATCCGCGACGAGGAGATCAGAAAGAAGCTTGAGGATCAAGAGCGACTGGAGAAGGAAAAAGCCATGAAAGCTGCAGCAGTTGAGGAGTGGAAGCTGGCTGAACAAAAGCGAATACTGAAAGAGCTCGAGGAAAAGGCCAAGAAGGAGAAGGAGTTTAAGGACCGGTTACGTATAGACTTGGGCTATACCGAAGAGGAGATTGAAGCCATCATCAACAAGAAGCATGGCAAAGACAAGGAGAAGGAGAAGAAGGACAAGGACGATGAAAATAAAGAGGAAGACCACAAGGCGACTTGGATCAAGGTGAGAAGAATACCCAATTATTGGACGGTAGTGTTCAAGTATGTTTTTGTACTAACTACAACGCGTATCCAGGTCCATCGCAAGCATCTTCTCCCAGACACATTGATCGCCTATCAACTACCCTGGGCGTGGGATGAAGTAAGCCATCTTTCATTTCACTATATACAACCATAATGTTCGAAGCTAACGGGCGTTTGTTCCCCTCAATAGCGTGACGGAAACTATATTATTATCAAAACTTGGGTTAGCGAGGACCTGCAAGAAGAGCTATTCGCCCACACACGCCGACTACGCGAAGGCAAGCTCATCACTCAAACATCCAGCACCCTCACTGAACTCAAGGTGAACGACCGGAAGAAAGACAAAATGTATATTGTGCGAAAGAAGAGCCCTAGTCGAAGGGCATGGATTTTCACCTAAGTCTAAATCATGAAATTATAGCGGGATTTTGGGGGGGGGGGGGCCTGAAATATATACCTATCCTTGCCGCCTTTGCTGTTTTTCCCTTTGTATGAACTTTTGATTTTTTTTTGGTTATCGCAATTTGGTACTTATAACCCTAAGAAACGGTTTGCTGATGATATGTTAAATTGTATTATGTCTATTCCTTATTCAATTATTTTTTTTTATGAGTTGGGATTTTCGTGGTAATGATAACAGTTATATATGATACAGTTGTGATCTATTAGAGATGGCCTCCTCGGGACCATTTTTCTCCAATTCAAGCATGGAGCTACAGAGGGATCGTAGATATATTCCACAAGAGAAGACCGTTATAAGCGTGCTTCACTTTCCGCCCAACGTGCTTCAGCACGAAGGATAAGCTCCTCGTACACCGTCCAAGCGAGTGCCGAGCTCAGAGCCTTTCTCGTAATTCGCAGTCCCAGACCGCCGAATAGACTTCGCACGCCATCCTCGTGAATCATCAACCGGACGGCCCGCATCATGTTCCCGTATTTTCCCGGCATCAACTGCAGCCGGGTTTTGACCGCATCAAACGGATTCGTGATAGCAGTGGCAAACCCTGCCGCTAATGCACCAGACACGAAATTAATGGACGAAGAGGACAAAGCTTTTAGCGGTTGGCTCCGTGCTTGCTCTTGATCCCCGGGAACCGCAACAGTCGCTAGCCGTCGTTTTAGCTGTTCGTAGAAGAGAACATAGAGACCAGCGTAAGGGGCGTCTCGCGCGGCGGTAGCCCCGAATCCCGAAAAGAGGCCCCGGATTCCTTCTGTTCGAACGATATCGCGTCCGGCGCTGTATAAACTCCGATAGGCGTAGTAGTCCGATTCGTATCGGACCTTGAGCACAGTGACTGGCATCATTACGAACCCGGCAGCGACTCGGGCGACGGCTCCTGTGGCTAGGTTTGCGGAGTTCGAGAGTTTAGGGAGGGCGGACGAAGACTTTGTCGCGGGTTGGGCGTCATTGGGGTTGGCGAGGGCACGTGGGGATCCGGATTGCGCTACGCCCTGTCGGAGGGCATTTAGACTTGTGAAGTATAATGCGGAGCCAAACCCGGTGCGTAGCGCGGAGGGGAGAGTACCGCGCCATAGACTGCGAATGGGGTGAGGAGAGTCGAGGATGGTCTTGACTGTGGAGAGGAGAGAGGCGGTTTGATGGGACTGTTGGACGCGGGTCTTCAGGAGGTCTGCTGGCTGGAGAAGGATTGAGGATGTAAGGCCGGAAACGAGACCAGCTCCAAAGTGAAAAGTGGTTTTCGATGCTGAGTTGGGGGGGGGGGGGGGGGTGTGAGATTAGTTTTTGGGACGGAAGATTGATGATGATACATACATTTCGAGGTCGATTTCACCGGTGCAGATGCGTAAGTAGCATTGTTCGGCATATCTCCCGGTGTCCAGAGGAAACCTCCTGGGAATATCACCTTCAGGTGAGAGAGAAGGACTCTCTGATGAAAAGTTTTGGCTTGGTATAATAATGGTTGACTCAGATCTCGGGCATTCTGGGGTGGGACCGTAGACGGTCAAGCTTAGGACAATAGGGATCTCGACCACATTTCAGGCCAAAGGCAAGACAAATGGAAGATGGGCAGAAAAAGAGGGGGAAGGACAATTGGTAGCAGGCGGGTTTGGCTGAGAAGATGAGGCTAGTTATAAAAAAAAGTCACGATGATTTTGGAGGCAGTATGAAGTCATCAAGCTTTGGGCGGGTTGAGGCCTGATTGGTTCCTGTATGCCCCAGGCCCGGACATAGATTACCGTATGGTATTGTCACAGTACTATTGGTGATTAGTCAGTCTGACTCGTCACGCAGTTTGGTCAATCATTACTGGTTCCGTCCAAGGATCTCATCCACATTTTCTGTGATTTTCCCCCACTTTGAAGTCTTGTCTTGGACTCAAGTATGGAGTACATGATAGACGACTGAATACATGATTCAAAGACACTCAGGACTGAGTGTCTCGAGCTTAGGTACCTATCTAGGTACTTAGTGTTGTATACACTCCATTACGTGAGTAGTTTCCCTATGGATCTTATAGTCCCGCACCATGTCTTAAATCTTGAGTACACTAACGGGAACTTTCTCAGTTGCCTGCACTTAACTGTCGCAGTACTCCGTATCAACATTCCTTTTTGTTCGGCAGCCAGCGGAGGCGTTCTGGGACCAATCGGCATGTGAACACTCGGGCTTCATAACCACGGACCGGCTTGATTCGTCGTCAGTTTACCCAGAATAATTAGTTAACTATCGACGTCACGGCAGGACGAACCGGGCGGATGCTGAGTTTAGTCAGGGAAGACAGACGAGTCCTTTTGTTGTCCGCTGTTGCTTGTTCCTGCTGGTTCGAGCCACTCTTCATAAGGCTGTTATTACCTTCTTGCCTTTTAACTTTTCCTTTTGCCTCCGGGCCTACCATGTTTCTTTTGTTATAAGACCAGGCCCATCCCTTCCTACCAAACCTTCCCCCATACCCCCCCCTTCGCCTCGTCTCGTCTCCTCTCGACTGCGTTTCGAGAAACGAGAGGTCATTGAATATTTCACGGAGAGCCTCTGTCTCTGTTGATAATGCGTTTGATTCCGTTTATCCCGTACCCACCCGCAAAGGATGGGTTTTGGGAACCTGTTACCTCGACCTTGAACTGGTGCGAAGAGGTGAGTGAGCAACTTTGCTTTTTCTGAGCCTCTTCTTCGGCACTTTTTTTCACCCCCGAATCTCAGAATTAACGGTTATTTCTCCACAGGACTACTATGCGACTAAATATGCCGCTGAGATCATCAATACTCTGACGAACCTCTTGTTTATGCTCCTCGGAGTCCAAGGCATCCTCAGCTGCCGACGTCACGGACATGATTCGATTTTCCAGATCGCTTATTATGGCTATCTCTTGGTCGGTACAGGCAGTTTTCTGTTCCACTCAACCCTTAAATGCAAGTAACCCCCTTGTTTCGCGGTGCAGCATGCGACCTTTCCACGTGTTTGGATTTGCTGACAGGCTCTTTTCCTGCACAGATCCTATGCAGCTTGTGGATGAACTGTCCATGATTTACACCACATGCTTGATGTGCTACGCCTCGTTTTCCTACTCGAAACCGACAGCCTATAGAATCTTTTTGGGTGCCTTCCTTGCCGGCTTGGCGATATTCATCACCCTCTACTACCACTACCTTCAAGATCCTCTGTTCCACCAGAATGCGTACGCACTTTTGACCACTGTTGTGGTTCTACGGAGTATGTATACTATGGAAGTGACACTTCGCCCGTCTTTGCGACACACCACAGAGGAAGACAGACTCGCACGCCAAAAGCAGGGTCTCCCTGTTCTTTCCAAGGAGCAACAGCAATACGAGAATGCCCGTGATCTAAAGAACCTGAACTTGATGTGGTTCATGGTTGCTTACGGACTGGGTATGTTTTTGGGGGGATTTGGTATTTGGAATCTTGACAATCACTTCTGTACCAAGATCCGCGGATGGCGCCGGGAAGTGGGTCTGCCTTGGGGTATCTTTCTTGAGGGCCATGGCTGGTGGTATGTTTTTGATTCCATATTCGAAAAGCCTCGGCTACGTACTAACTTTTGCTTATCAGGCATCTGATGACGGGAATTGGCGCGTATCTGTATATTGTTTGGGGTATTTGGCTGCGCCATTGCTTGAATAAGCGACAAGAGGAATATCATCTCTGGTGGCCGCATATCTGGAACATCCCCGAAGTTATTCGCACCTCATCTACAATGAATGGTTCCGCTAAGAAATCGAATTAAACTGGGACGCTTGCGTTCATTTTTCAATGATGCTTTTGAGAAGCAGAGAATTTTTTTTTTGGCGTTGTTCGTGTCCTGCATACTTCGCGTGTACGGTTTGTTTTGGGTGAATGAAAATTGCTCATAGACTCTTATTCCGATCTGGGATGGTCAGACTTTGATATCATTTATAGAACTGCAAGTTGAGAATGAAATACTATATAGATCTCTGTATATAAATTCCGTAATATAGCAACACGGGTCCAGCAAGCCAGAAGATCTATCCAGCCAGAGTGAACGCTTTCACCAAAAACACCATATGTCGGTTTATCCTCAAAATGATGTGACATGTTAGTCGAGAATAAAATTTATGTCGCTGCAACTATCAGAGCTTTGGTTTTGAGGGCTCCTTCTTCGGGCGCACAGGGACAGGAACGTGTTCCTTCCACCTGGAATCGATGGTCGCCTTCTCAACCTTGGATTTTTTACTCCACTGCTCGCGGAAAGCTGTTTCTTCCTCGCGCCACCGTTGCAATTCTGGCCCTAGCCATTTACCGGCTGCTCCAGCGCATTTAACTGGTGCTTCCTGGGCAAGGAGATGCCCGAACTCCGCGAACAAGACACCTTTCACACGGCCAGCAGCGACACCGCCACTACCGCCGAGGCCGGTACCCGTGTGTGCCAGTTTATCAGCAATCATGGTTGGGGAACATATGTCTGATTTCCCGCCAAAGATGTAGAGGACGCTAGGACGGAGGTGAGGGATCTGTGCGAATACGCGTGATGGCTCGGGCCGGTAGAACGGCCACGAACCTAGGTGGTCGGGGTCTAGGTCGGGATGGGTGACTTTATTTACGGGGACAGAGAATCCTGGCGGTCCATCGTAGTTTGGTCGGGAGAAGGTGAAGACCTCTTGGTGTAGGGTGGTTCGCAATGTAACTGGGCGGTCTCCGTCTTCCGGCTTTTGGGCAGATTCATTCAATGGATGGATCGCGGTGGGGAGATCGCGGAGACCATATTTTATCCAGCGATCTAGAACCCGGGAATCCCAGGTCTGGTAAAATGGGTTCTTCTTGAAGGCTTCCGCAGCTGCTTTTCGAGAGGGCCATCGATCGCGCCTGTAGGTGGAGAGTTGGGTGGTTTTGGCAAGGACTAATTCCTGCTTGCCAAGGCTTGTAGCATCTAGTTGCGTCGTTTGTCTTTGGATGACGGGGTCAAGTAGGATGAGGGAATGTATGAGACGCGGGTGCATCAAACAGAGTTGTACACTGTAGGGGACGGGGCGGTTAGCAATCTACTCGTTAGCGGTTGTGCAATGGGAAGAAACCAACAGATGTGCGCCGCCCATACTATGCCCAACCCCGACGATGGGGCGCGGCATCTCTTTGCGCTTCACATTGACAAGATGGAGGAGGTCGCGGGAATGGTCGAACCAGCTAGCTATTTGTGCATATTGTTAGTTGTAATTGCCGTTGGGGAGAAAAAAAAAAAGTAGACATGCATAGATGCGGGAGGCCCTTGCTACCCAGCCATCACTCACGATCATTTCCTAGAAGATCTTCATTGGTCACACTGCTCTGTCCCTGGTGCGCAACATCGGCCATCCAAATGCTCCGAATTCGGAACCCATTCGCTTTCGATCGAGCAAGAATTTCTTCCCAGAGGGGCTCGTAAAGTTCCTAGACAAATGTTATTAGACCTGGAATGCTAACTTCCGGAATTTTGGTCTTGGGGTATAGTCTCGCAACTCCAAGGCGCAAAATTTTAGAGGCAGAAATGGCGGGGTACCTTTGGAAAGCCATTCGCATGGGCTGCGAGAATAGTAACGTCTCCTGGACGAGGATTCGGGTTATCTAGCGGAATGTATTGCTTCACCACGAGATTCAGCACATCCTCTTGTTCATCGGCAGTGGCGCCAGGGTATTCTCGGATATGTTGACAGGGGACAACATGCTCAACAACGCGAAAGGGCATGATGCTTGCTAGATTTTAAGTGTTTTTCAAAGGGGATATCTAAACACTATGTCATCTCTAGACTGGAACCCCAGTATTTAAGAAAGAATGGGGAATTGACCCGCCTAGCTGGCAGATCGGTAGTACTTGTCGATCCCCAGTCGGTGAGCCGAGGCTCGCCCGGAAGACTTGTAATGCTCCGCATATTCTTTCGGGGTTGGTATTGAAAGGGCTCTTCACAAAGAAAACAATCCGGATTCATTATTTGTATGCTAATAAATGATATTGAACCAACGCGACACTCTGGACTCGCCATTTATCCAGTTGGGGAGGTTGTCTGCTTCGCACGTGACCTGGTGTCGTCCCGGCGCGTCTCCAAAGCGCGTCGCATAGCCGCCCGATGAAAGTTTGACGCGTGCAGCTAACCTAACTGCAAGACACAGAGATCCTCGACATCATACTGGGATTCTGTTCCCCAAGGGAATTCGAGACCTTTGCGTTTGAAGTGTTCCTGGCTTCGAAATTTCAACAACTCTTTTTCCTCCACTAATCCTGTCGTTGCGAGACAGGGTGCTTCTCCCGCGATGGAGCAGCAGGAAGAAAGCTTTCAGCTGTTCGATCAGTGCAGGATCTGTATAGTGTGCTCCAAAGATCTTAGTCCAGATACGGCGCATCAGGTATGTATGGGCAGCTATCCGTATTGGAATATTCAGGAGCTAGACAGGGTTTAACCGAAATATATGTACTTTCATAGCTTGCGTCTACGCTTGAAGAGAATGGCGCTGAGACAGTCATTTATGACCCCCCCGCCGACTTTCCGGATCTAGCAGAATTTACCCATGTTATGTCGAATACTATTGACTTTCCCGCATTTGACGCTGCGAACGATGCCTTGATCCCTGTTGTAAAGCCTCAGTGGATGCAGTCCTCACTGTCGAAGAGAAAGCTAGCAAACCCGCGACAATACAGCCCAGATCCCCGACTCTTCCTAAACGATGTGGTTGTTACCTGTGGTGATATTCCAGAGGGCGATAAGGATGCAATTCTTGGAGGGGTTCTGGCAAAGGGTGGCCTCTATAGTGCCAAAGTTACTCATTTGGTGACCCATTTAGTCGATTTGACTCTCGATTCTGCTAAGGCCCGACTTATTACGTCGAAAAAGGTCAACATAAAAATCGTTCTCCCTCATTGGTCAGCCTATTCTCTTTAGATTCTGTCTTTCTGGATGAAGTTGGTCTGACGTTTAGTATTGTAGGTTTGATGATTGCCTGAAACTGGGACGAAGAATTGATGAGCGCCCGTACATGCTCCCCGACCCAGAAATCCTTCGTACAGGCCTAGAGGGCCCGATTCGCTCAGCAGAAAATAGAGATATCATCGGAGCATCGACACCAGAGCCCACTACCTTGCCGACTCCCGTCACCTCGCCTACGAACTCTAAGCTGAATGTATTCCAAGGGAAGACAGTCATGCTTTCTCCGGATTTGGGGATTGGCTCACATCTCCTGGGGACTATTTCAGATCTCATCGAGGAAGGCGGAGGCAAGGTAACATCCGACGTTTCAAAAGCAGATATCTTGATTTGTCGCTATAGAGAGGGCTTTGCTTACCGCATGGCGTCGAGACTGCATAAGGATGTGGGGAATCTTTCATGGCTCTACCATTTGATCACATACAACGCCTGGACATCACCTTACCGTCGTCTGTTACATTACCCCGTTTCACGCACCGGGATACCCGGATTCCAGGGACTCAAAATAAGCTTGTCTAACTACGTTGGAGAAGCGCGAGCTTATTTGGAGAATCTGATCACAGCTACAGGCGCAGAATGTACAAAAACCTTGAGACAAGAAAATACGCATCTTGTGACGGCCCATGGCAATAGTGAGAAATGCTCTGCAGCAAGGGATTGGGGATTGCTCGTTGTCAACCATTTGTGGCTCGAGGAAAGCTACGCGAAGTGGAAATTACAACCCGTTACAGATCCACGCTATACTCATTTTCCAAAGAGAACAAACCTGAGCGAGGTTGTGGGTCAGACACGCCTGGATAGGTCTGCAGTTGAGAGTGTTTTCTTCGCCTCGGATGAGACACCGGCACCCCCCACAAGTCCGCGTAGGGCGATGCAAACCCGAGACCAGAATACTGTCGCTGGGAAGGGAAGAGGGTCCATGCAACCCCCGGCAAAGGTGGTGGATACTGACGAAAATGTGGCTTCGAACACGACGAATGCCACCCCAAAATCCGTGGGAAAATCGCGCAAGATATCTGAAAACAAAGGCTTACAAACACCTGCGCGTGCCCGCCTTACGTCCGACGGCCAAGAAAATGATACTCCCTCGTCAACTAGCAGCCGCAAATCAAAGGAGGCAGCAGCAGCTAAACTACAGGAAATTGCTCCAGACATTGCTCTATACGAGAAGGAGAAAAAGCGTGTGGGGGGTGTCATTTACGGTGGTCGAAAGAAGACGGATGAGGACCGAGTGGTCATAAATAACGCCAAAAAGCGAAGGTCCCTGGACGACCAGAATGAAACTGATGAAGAGGATCTCACCGAAGCAAAGAGGCAAAAAAAGTCACGGCCTCCCATTACTCTGCACCTTCTCATAACTGGCTTCCAAAGGTGGGTGGGAAATCTGAAGAAAGAGGACGCTGATAAGGTTGGTTACTCTATGGACTCTCTATCTAGAGGCGAAGACATTGCTAATGCTAAAACAGCGACAACTTCGAGACCTTGGAATTATGGTCGTCCAGGACGCGCGAAAATGCTCGCACCTCGCTGCACCGTGTATACTACGAACCCCCAAATTCGTTAATGCGCTTGCATACGGCCCGGTAATTCTCGACGTGGAATTTATCACACAGTGTCTGAAGAAGAACGAACTCGTAACTCCCAACGACTTCCTTCTGAGGGACGAGGCGGCAGAGAAACGATTTGGATTTTCGCTTGAAAAATCTAAAGAAAATGCCAAGAACAACAAAAACAAACTTCTGAATGGGTATCAAATATTCTGCGTCGAAACCATTCGTGGGGGATTCGATGCATTTAAATCAATTGTCGACGCAAATGGGGGGGACTGCTTCCTCTTTCGCACCCGTGTCTCATATCAAGCAAAGCGTGAAGAAAGCGACGATGATGGCGAGGAAGAGGAGGATCTAAGTCGGAAGGAGATATACCTTCTCAGCAGCGTCTCATCTGAACACCAGAAGCTATGGCCACGATTTCGCCAGGTGGCTCTTGAGATGGGTAAAACTCCGCGGATCGTCCGGGTGGACTGGCTTCTTGACATCGCCATGTCCCAAGAGCTGCGCATCGCTCAGGAATACGAACTCAATGAGGAAATGGCTGAGCAGTCGGAAGAGTAAACCGACCGACACCTTGGCATTTTCAAATGCACCATTCACGACACTTGTACATGGCCGTTTCGGATTGTCTTATCTGGAGTTATGTGTGTATATCCCCTTGTTTTCATAGACAAAAATAGTAGCGAGAGCTTGCGCCAATTTAATGACAGGCTCACTGAAGTGGGGGGCTTTCAGTTCTAGAAGAATTTGACTCCTTCTTGACCCTCACTGCCGAAAACTTGTGCCTTGCCTTGTTTAACGAGGACATTCAGAGATCTGAGCATCACGTCGACGTCCATGCCATGCCATTCTAGAACATTGTTAATATACATGGGAGCAAAAAGGCCTCCCCTACGGCCGGAGGGAGGAGCAATACACACCTTGTGAAGTTGTCGCCTCTCCTTCCAGTAACTCGTAAACTGTAAGAACGATATTCTTCTGACCTGTACTTTCGACCTGGAGAAAGGGTCAGTTTCACCGCTCGAACGGAGAAAAAGGAAAAGAAACAAAATGACATACCCAATCCACCATAATTCCCGCCCATTCTTCCGGCCTCTTCCACCATATCCATGCGGTGGATTTATTTGCACCGTCGATCCATTCAGCCCGTTTCCCTCCCCCGCCTTCTTCGCTACCTTTGGCCATCCAATCCAGCACGGTTCTTGCATCAGCCAGGTTGAGCTGTTTGTGAAGCTTAGAATTATAGAATAGAGGTGATGCGACAGCCTCAGCCAGCGAAAGCTTGAACATGCGGTGGTGACGGCACCAAGACTGGATCAGGTCAGACCATTGATTCATCTGGTTTTGTCGTGTGGTGCTGTTTGGTTGGAGAGAAAAGAAGGCGGGGAAGGTGTAAGCTCGTGGGTATTTGAATGGTGGTATTGATTCTAATGTGGTTGACATTTTGACAAGTATGAGAGATTGCTCCAAAGATGTGGTGAGGACAGGAGAGAAGAAAGGAGAGGTTGGTTGTCTTGTCTCGGTACCTGAAGGCTGAGTGAGGTTCGTTCGTAAAACGGATCTGATTAAATCATTTGATGCGGGGAAACTCCAGAACCTCCTCCGTCCCTTAAAAAAAAAAAAAAAAAAAAAAATTCCGCACTGATACATAATCCCAACCTCACCTCCGGGCCACCACACATTTGACACCGCTCAATTGCCTTGGTTCACCTTCACCACTACTCAATTTACTTAACGACCCAAATACTCGACTCATAATGGGCGCCGCAGCGAAACGCGCAAAGCGGGAGGAATTTCGCCAAAAGGTCGCCAAAGTCACTACAGAGTCGGGAGAAGGCTCCCCCGCCACAGTCCTCCAATTACCCCAAAAGAGATACTACCGGCAACGAGCTCATGCGAATCCCTTTTCAGATCATCTTTTAGATTAGTATGTGCAGGGTTCTTCTGTCCTTTGCCTGATTGATCCCCCCCCCCCCCGCCCTCCTTGCCACCCAGGTTCTTACTTCTGTAACAGTCCCCTCACCCCAGCGCATATGGACTGGAGTACACATTTCCCAGCTTTCGTAAACCCCGACTCTACTCAGAAAACCCTAAGTGGCTCTCGAAAACTTCTGAAGGATGTCGAGGTTGTGGATATCGGCTGTGGATTTGGCGGACTCCTCGTTGGCCTCGCACCAGTCCTTCCCGACACATTGATGGTTGGTACGTTATAAGACAACTTTACCCATCACAAGAAGAGTGAACAAAGGGTCTTTCTAACATCAGATATTTACCGGGGCGGGGGAAAAAAAAAAAGGCATGGAAATCCGCGCCCAAGTCGCCGAATACCTCACATCCCGCATCCACGCCCTGAGATTCCAACAAACCCACCTACAGCACTCCTCCACCACCACCACCACCACCACCACCACCTCCTCCTCCTCCTCTGATCCCAATCTAGAAAAACTGCCCCCCGTGCCCAGCGCAATTCCCACAACAGAAGAATCCGACACCGCGGCGGACTCTCCACCATCCGAGCAGGTTTCCACAGTCCCAGGCGGATACCAGAATATCTCTGCTCTCCGCGCAAACACCATGAAGTTCTTCCCGAACTTCTTCGCGCGCGGCCAACTCTCCAAGATCTTCATCTGCTTCCCGGACCCGCACTTCAAAACGCGCAAGCATAAGGCGCGTATCGTTTCGGAGTCGTTGAATGCCGAGTACGCTTATTCGCTGCGGCCCGGTGGTCTGCTGTATACGATCACCGATGTGGAGGAGTATCATTATTGGATCCTGAGGCATTTCAAGCAGGATGATGCGGAGGGTCCTCCGGGGGGAAGCGGGGATGCTACGGCTCCGGCGGCTTCCGGTACAGTTGAGAAGCTCCCCGGCGTAGAAGAGTTGTTTGAGCGGCTGACTGAGGAGGAGTTGCGGCTGGATGAGTGTGTGCGGGTTATGATGGATTCTACGGAGGAAGGCAAGAAGGTAACTAGGAACAAGGGGAACAAGTATGTGGCTGTTTTCCGACGCAAGGCAGACCCAGAATGGCCTCTTGATGATGATGATGATAATGGTTGTATCTAAATTATTTCCATATGTGCTGGTAGTTTCACAAGCTAGTAGCAGGCGGGTAGGTTCCTGAATAGCTTGCACAGAGGGGTTAAAAAGGCTTGCTCTTTTGGATATATTGTATTGATATAATATAATTCGCTTTGTACCTTGATCAGCCTACGATGACTCCAACATGAAAATATCCAGACAGTGACAGTTTACCGTATGCCGTAGACGCTCCTGCTTGCCAAATGCAGTGGAGATATGGTGCTAAAAATGCTGAAACAGAAAGATTCTCAAAACAACCGAGCCATGAAAATGAAAAAAAAACCGCGTAAAAATGCCCTATTCGAAATTGCGGGCCAATAAAATGAAATTGCCAATTTAACGCCCAACTGCTTATCATACTGCGTCAAGTCATTAGTTCTATGCTGCACCAAAAGGCTTTTTGGATGCAGTGTGATTAAGCTCGGGGAGACGACTTGAGTCGTATACCCTCGCATCTTTCACACACAGCCAGTTGAACAGGGCCTCCAATGATGCGGCCTTTGGCGGTTCTCTTGGGTTCACCTTCTCGGACGAAGTATCTGCCTTCCGGACCAAACCCGTCGCCGCACTCATGGCAGACAAAGCACTCATCATGCCATTTGCCACCAACAGCGGTGATAACAACGTCGTCGAGGACGTGCTTTTTACAACCCGAGCACTGAGGAGCAGTTCTGCGGGAGTGGCATTGCAAGCACCAAGCGAATCCATCCCGTTCCACAAAGGGTGTGTCTGGGCTAAAGGGCTGTTCATGAAAATTAGCAAAATAATGTACCTAATACAGATTGGAGGCGGGCAGGGGTCATACATCACCGCATTCGGCACAGAAGAAGTGGCCAACATGCCATTCGGCACCGCATGCCACGACCACCTCTCCTTCAATAGGAGTCTTGCAGCTTTTGCATCTTGGACTAAATAGTTCATGGAAGTCGAGATGGCAGTAGAACCTCAATGCATGGTCCTCTTCCTCCGTTGAAGGGTCTGCAAGTCGCACATTGCGTTTGGCGTCTGGTTCTTGGTAAAAAGCTACGCATTCTAGGGGCGTTTGACAGTGGTGACAAGTAAAACACTCTGGATGAAATCGTGTTCCAGCAGCAGTGACAATCTTCCCAGAGATTGGAAGAGAGCAAGCCTCACACTTTGCAGTTGGGACACCGGAGCGTGAGTAGGTAGACATCCAGCGATCTTGAGATGACGGTATGAATCTCCTGAAAGAAGAATTACACCGCGGGTTGCTATTGGGACTCGACAACGGCTTTGGGGTTCGCTTTGGAGCCCTAGAAGACAGCTCCATCTCCGCTATGGTGGGTTCCTTATCGTCTGGTAAATTGATAACAGGGATAGAGGGGGCCTCGGAGATTTCAATGGTAGGTGCAGGAGGGGTGGAACGAGACACCCGAGGATCCGGATCACTCCCCTGGACGTGCTCCCGCTTGGGAGGACCCTGAGCCTCCAAAGGTTTCCAGGTCGGATCAAAACTCACAATCGGCCGACCAGCGCGATCACTAACCGCACTTGGCATTGGTAGCTTCGAACTTCGATCCGATCTTTTTTTGCTGGTAGCCGCCCTGATGTCATCACTGCGAATTTCAAGGCCGTCTTTTAGGATCGGTTGGTCATCTCCTTGAGTTGCAGCCTTTGTTGGCTGGGAAGGTGACTCATTGGTCTTGTATTCGGGGTTCCTCGATTGAGTTGGTGGGTGTTTGTGAATCTCGAAGCGGGACAGTTTGTCAACAAAAGGAATACTGCTGAACCGACTCGGGAGAGGCCGAGATCCTTGAGGAAGAGCATTGCGAGGCTTCGTTTTGAGCGCCGATGAATCAGACCTTGAAAACCTGGAACGTTCATCGTCATCGTTGCGACTCAGATCACGAGGCTCCTCATAAATTTGATCATTAGGGTTCCTAAAGATGCCCTTAGGCGAGTCATTGTTGGCGCCCACCAGCCCTAGCCCATAGGCACTATTCGATCGCTCGCCCAAATTGCCCTCCTGTGGCAACGCAAAGTTGACCTTCAGGTTCTTCTTTGGTATTCCGCTCGTCTTGTGGCTCGGGATTTCATGATTCAAGGCTTCCGGGTCTATTGTGTCGAGACCACTCTTGCTGGCAGAATGGCCCTTCAGTGACAAGCGATGACTGTTTCGCCATGAGCTTCGAGCTTCCTGACGGCGATCCAGTACATGCTCTTGCTCCGCAGGGCCGTTGCGCACCTGGCTCATGTCTGGGTTACGATATGGTGCATATGGATTTTTCAACGGAACCCCAGGGTTTTGATGCATCCAGACCAGCTCTGTGGCCTCATCTTGCGCATCCTGATGCACCCGGATTTCGTCTTGGAGATCCATTTCTTGCAATGCATCCCGTAAGGACCTGGCTTCCTCTCTCTCTATCCGTCGTTGGTTGTTCTCGCGGTAGGTCGCCGTAGGGGAGGTTGTTGGCGGAATACCGGAATAAACTCGCGTTGGTGAAATATTTTTTCGAACCGGGACAACTCTGGGCTCTTGAACCAAGGGTCTGCCAGCGGAGGAGCCTTGGGAGCCTCGAAAGGAGGACATTGGTCGATGGGTGGAGAGGGAACTTGCAGCACGGGGATGTTCAACCTCCGTCGGCGTTGTATTTGAGGACATCCTCGGATGCCCGTACGTAGACATAGCAGATGTTGCTCGCGGTGGAAGGTCCTCACGAGGATTGGAGGTCGATTCTGCGTTCCGCGTCGGTAATGGTCGAGATCCACCAGGACGATTGGGTCGATTTGTCCGCAAGTCTTTCAGATAGCTTGCTGCATACGACTCAGACGCCATTAGTACGAGCAGATGCAAAAGAAGATGGGGCAATCAATAATGTCAAAGAGAAGGTCAAAATCAAGCTCAAGGAGTTACACCGTCAACATGGTCCAAGGGCCGCTGGAGAATGCCAAGATTGGACCAACAATGCAGACTCACCGATCTGATCGTTGGACATATATGAGGGGCCAGGAGGAGTGACCTTCCGTTGGGCTTGGGCGTCTTTAGCCCTACTATAGTGAAGTGGGGATCTGTGGAGCATCGCGAAAGGGCAATTAATCTCCTCTAGGACATGTCTCCAAGAGAACGCAGAAAAGAGGAAGAATGAAATGGGGATAATAAGACGGAGCTCCAGCAGGACTATGAGCTGTATGAAGTCGGTCAGTAATATGATACGTGCCGAGGGCCAATGAACGATAAGCAGGTGGCTGGGGGAAAAAAAACTTGATGGAATGGTGGGTTGGTGATCTCTGGAATTAGAGATAGCGTGCTTCTGAAGGAATGAAAAGTAAGTAAAGAATGGGAAGATTCAGTAGGGAATGTCTGGAAATTCCCCTATCTAGGTATGATGATGCTGATGATAAACATAGTTATAGCATTTCACTAGGTAATATCGCCAAACAGAGCAAAACAAAACAAATCAGGGGAGTGCAAACTGTGCAAACTGAACCCCTGTCGTGCAACGCGGGGCATGATGAGTCATCCTAGCCCTATGCCCTAATTTGCACTCCAAAATAGGCTTGGCTGCATGTGACTGGAGGTGGCACGTGGTAACATTCTGGATTCTCTCCGAAGACATCATCAGATCATCTTTCTATACGAATACTTCGTAACAAATCAGCCTCGGGCATTATTTTGAATCACCAATTGTCGACCAATCGTCAACCTTCTCCAAAGTCATCTTCGGTGGGAATGCGCTTCCCCCAGCCCCCATCCAGGGTAGTTACTACCCTCACTGTCCGCAATCTCCGCATCGTTTAGTCGGCGCCGGGTTCATCTTGACCATGGGTCCGATAGCCCAAAACTCCAAACCCACAAATTGGAGGATTTCAGGCCAGTAATAACTGTGCAGGAGTCGGATTGATCGCCGACCCTACCTAGGTGGGTGGTTAAGATGTCTTGGGGTAACTGGGTTAGTGCCGAGGGGGCCATGGGCCTTTTATCTCTCTTGTCCCCTACTGTTTTCTGCGCCCTTCCTACTAACTTCTCCGGACTTCAAATTCTCTCTGTTTCTCGGCCCTTGAAACACCTATTGATGTCTTTTTAGACCGGGTGGGGGTTGGTTCGGTTTTCGCTCTTGTTCGTGAACCCCTGAAGGCAGCTGGCTACTTTCCAATCTTGGATCACCTCGCGCTGGTGGGATTCGCTTGTTGTTAGCTCTATCTTCCTGATCTTTTTTCTTACCCTACCCTTTCAACTCCTAGGTACTGTAGTCCTTGCAAATGGCAGATAATACTCCAATCGACATAATTCGTTCCCGAAGCTATGATGACCCGGAATTTCAAGAGTCCTGTAGAGAAGGACCCCACCAAAATATAGACCATGAGAAAGATATAGGAATCCCGAGAGAAAAATCTGCAGAAGATGTACCCCCGGACGGTGGCTACGGTTGGGTCTGTATAGCCAGTGTTTTTTGGATCAACGCTCACACATGGGGGATCAATAGTGTTGGTGTCCCCGGCTATCAACATCAACACAGAAAGAAGCTTGCTGACTTATATGCCAGAGTTACGGCGTGTTTCTTTCTTACTACCTCTCCCATAATGTGTTTCCCAATACCTCCGCACTCGCGTATGCATTTACCGGTGGCTTGAGTATATCGTGTGCCCTGCTCATTGCTCCCTTGGCTACTTATCTCATCCACCTCCTTGGAACCCGTACGGTCTTGAACTTAGGGGTCTTCTTTGAGACACTGTCTCTCATTGGATCTTCGTTTGTCACGCAAAGATGGCAGATATTTCTAAGTCAAGGTGTGTGCTTCGGCTTCGGGATGGGATTCCTCTTCGTTGGCAGTGTTGGCATTACTCCTCAGTGGTTCCATCGTCGACGGAGCCTTGCCATGGGCATTAATGCTGCTGGATCTGGCTTGGGGGGGCTGATCTACTCTCTTGCAGTGGGTACGATGCTACCTCGGCTCGGATTGAGCTGGACCTTTCGAATATTGGGCATCATAGCCTGTGTGGTCAATCTAGTATGCGCAAACCTCCTTAGAGATCGCAACAAAGCTGTCGGAAGCCGATATAAGGCCTTTCATTTCCCTTTACTCAAGCGCCCCGAAGTCCTCCTCTTCCTTGGCTGGGGTATCTTCACGATGCTTGGCTATGTCGCTGTCCTCTTTAGTGTTGCCAACTTTGCGCTCTCCGTCGGCCTCTCGGCCCATCAGGGCAGTATCATCAGTGCCCTCCTTAACCTCGGTCAGGCTCTTGGACGGCCCTTTGTGGGTATGTTCAGCGATAAGCTCGGTCGGATCAACATCGCAACCTTCCTTACTTTCTTATGCGGCCTCTTCTGCCTCCTAATCTGGACCTTTGCCCACAGCATGGGCCTTGTCTCATTCTTTGCAGTCCTCGTCGGCACAGTTGCAGGTACTTACTGGGCTACGGTAACCCCCGTACTAGCCGAAATTATCGGACTCAGGGACTTGCCCAGCGGCCTGAGTATTACCTGGCTGCTCCTGGTTGCACCGACGACTGTTGCTGAACCGATCGCCCTCGTTCTCCGAGATAATAACTCCAAAGATAAAATCTATCTCCATGTCCAGATCTTCACGGGGCTCATGTATGTCGCCGCTTCGCTATGCTTGTGGTTAGTGCGAGGGTGGAAGGTAGGTGAGGATGCTAGACTTGAGCTAGAGAAATCATCCTTGGCCGTGAACAACAACAACAACAACAACAACAACAAAGAGATGTTTTCTCTCCAACAAGAAGGGGTTGCTCAGAGTATCCACAATGGTAAAAACAGGACTGCACGAGCCTCTACGCCCACCACGCCCTCCCTATGGAACCCGCCTACCCTGCTGCGCCGGATGGTGGCCATGAAACGGGTCTGAACCTGTCAACTTATACAATATAACTAATAAAAACTTTTCCTACGAAGAATATATTCATCCACCTTGGTGGGTATGTCACTGTATCCCGGTAACTACTGAGGATATTAGAACGTAGGTAGATAGGAACACGCAGGCTTCACGCTAGTATTGACTGCTTGTTGGTTGAATTAAAGCGTACGCGGTGAGAGATGATGATCATCCCAATCGAAAAATGTGTCAAGTTTACCCGTGGAGGTTGGCATTGCTCGGAATCTTTGGATGAGCTCTCCGTAGAGTTCTGTGAGGATAAGGAGAGTATCATATCATGGTTGGCTATCTTTTTGGGATGAGTGGGAAATCCCGCATAACAGAAACGAGACGAGAAAAGGGGGCTAGGAAGAAGAAGAAGAAGAAGAAGAAGAAGAAGAAGAAGAAGAAGAAGAAGAAGAAGAATATAGCGCAGAGGCTCAAAAAAGGTTGTACATAATCATACGCGTATGTATTCATTCATTCAAGATTATAAATAAATAAAGTACCTCTAGTTTTTGTTTTATGTCTCAGTTAATACAACTGTTAAGGATCAATATCCTGACCCTTCTCTTCCCTGCTCCACGTCCACTCTCTTCCTTCACGGAGCTGACATTCACCTTGACTCGCTGGAAAAGTTCAACGATGGCGGATCGATCTTTCTCGGATTGGCCCTTCTCGGAGACTTGCAGGGTGTACCCTTCACTGTCGAATTCGCTTTCGCGGCGTACGACTAGTTCCCGTCGTTCCTCGACAGAGCGCAGGGAAGAGTCACCTGGGAGGACAAAATCTTCCAGACGAACGACGCCTTCGATACCGAACCGGGGCACAAACACAACCACTCCGTTTTCAAAAACTCGCATAATATATCCATCTTCCTCGATACCGCCATCAACACCATCCGCGGCCAGCTTCTCTCCACGTGCTTTAAGGGCCTGTCCAACGTAATACTCGATGCTCGCCCGACCGGCATACTGGGCGTTTCGATGTCGGTAATTGATGTTTCGGCAAATATCCTCCAGACGATTCCGTGTCATAGAGCCTTCAATCGAGGCTCGACCATCTTCCCCTTCGTAGCCGATCGCAGCTGCAAGTTGTCGGTGAACTAACAGATCCGCATATCTTCTAATGGGGGAGGTGAAATGTGTGTAGATCGGGGAGGCCAGACCGTAGTGGCGGAACTCAGACTCGGCGTGAGCGCCAGCGGAGAAGTACTCTGCGGACGTCATGCATCGAGTGGCCAGAATACGGACTAGGGTATTAAAGAAAGGGTTTTCCGAGTCAACGCAACGATCGAGTGAGTCTGCAAGAGCTCCTGAACTCGAGACATCAAGGCGCATATCCCGCTTTTTGGAAAGTTGGTTGGTGAGCTCCTCGAAATTCTGCGGAGGGGGCGTAGCGTGTCTTCGTAGCATGGCAGTTTGGGGAAAGACGCTGTAAATTTTGGATGCCACAGTAATGTTGGCGTGAAGCATGAATTCTTCCACAAGACTGTTCGTTGCGAGCATGGCCTTCGTCTTGACATCAGCCAATGGATCTCCGACTTCATCATTGTCGGCTTCGATTCGGACTTCTGGAGAAGCGAGGTTCAAGGCACCAGCATCCATACGCTTCTGGCGTAAGATTTTTGATAAATGAAGCAAGGTGCGCATGCTCTGGGTCAGGTCGTCAGTCTTCGAAGGGTCATCAATCCGCATTTGTGCCTGTTCATAACTGAATGCTTCTCGTGATCGGATCACCGATTTCGTAAAATCAGCGGAAACAACCTCTGCATTCGGCGTCATCTCCCACAGAACCGAGAAGGCGTAGCGCTCCACGTATGGTTTGAGAGAACAGAGGTCAGTACCGAGGAGGTGTGGAAGCATGTCAATACGCTTGTCAACCAAGTAAACTGTCGTTCCGCGAACACTGGCTTCAAGGTCCATGGCATTATTCGGTTTCACGAAGTGAGATACGTCTGCAATGTGAACACCCACTTCAAAATTGCCATTGGGCAGCTGGCGTGCGTGCAGGGCATCATCAATATCTTGGCAGCCCGGAGGGTCAATACTGCAGATGAGGAGATCTCGAAGATCTCTCCGGCCATTCCAGCCACTGTCATCCTTGCTTTCTGGGACTCGCCAATCATGGCCTTGGGGAGGCAGGCAGTCCAGGACAACTTTGGGGAAGGGCTTGTATTGAACGTCGTACTCAAGTAACAGAGCTTCCGTTTCCGCCCCCTTTGTTTCTAATTCGCCCAGTGAACGGATGAAATGGCCAGTGGGGTATCGAGAATCACGATCCCACGCATCAATTGTGACCAAGATTCGTTGGCCTAACAAATCTGCAGCCTGGCGAGTTCGAACCCTAATCTTCGGTACCTTCTTGTCCATTGGCAAAACAAAGACATTTTGCTGGCGCCTACCAGAAGCAGTCTGGGAGCTTGTTGAACCGGAGTCAACAGTTCCAACATATTGCCGCCAGTTGCGTTTGATAACCCCAACAACCTTCGCGGTTGGCTGTGGACGTCCTTCAGAATTTTTCCCATGGGCTTTCTTAACTTCCTCCTGCAATGCCTTTCGCTCCCGCTCGGTTACTACAGCTTCGTTATCCCCGGCATCGGGGTTGTCGTTCTTAGTTATCGCTTCTTCCTCCACAATCTTGGTTGACGGGGACTTCCACTGGTCCTGGGGCAACACTTCAATAACGACAACATCTCCAGAGATAGCTCGGTTGCTGTTTTGACGACCCATGATAATGAGGGGCTTGTCGAACGCAGCAACGTTGACGGAGCCTTCTAGGTAGTTGTAAGGGGAGACATTGAAAACGCCTTGGTGTAAGTTTCCTGCCCTCAAACCTGTCATTAGCTTTGACATCGAATAGTACTCGGGATAGAAGAGCTCTCCACGAGCGCCCTTCGTTTCCCTTGCTTCTCGAGACTCGGTGATCATGTCGAGCAGTCTATCGGAATCTTCGAGGCCAGCAACATAGTCCGTGAGAGACAAGGCGGTTATATTTTCTTCCTTTGCTTTGCGCAGGTTTTCCTTGTCGTCTGTGATGACGACGATAGCTGGGATAGCCTTCTCTTTCTTGGTCTTCTTCGTAACGGCGCGCAGATGCTCCATGTACCATTTTGCGACGGTTCTCACAGCGCGGTCATTCCTGTCGTTGATTGATTCATCTGGGCCCCGCCTAACGTGCGTTTCGAGACGGAATTCGTTAAAGAACAAGTAGAAGCGCTTCTCATCGGTCTTAATCAAAGCGAGGAGACGGTTATAGAGAGGCAGTGACTGATTTTTCAGCTCTTCAAGGACGGTTTGGAGCACAATCACATCGTAAAATGCCCCCGTATGCTCAAAAAGATCCATGCCATTCAATAGCGCATTCGTATCAGGGATGAGATAGTGGCCACGAGGAAATTCAGTTGTGCCAGCGGGATGCTCCGAAAGAACGAAAGGCGCAACTAGGTATTTCATGTCAGCTCGGGACCCCAACAGACCCATGGAGGATGTTCTCACTGTTCCCATTTGCATCTGCTGGAGCGACGGACGGGCATATCGAACATAAACGAGAGGAGCAAGGAATATCCTGTCTTAGGTAGAGCTCTCGAACAATCTTTTGCACCTTCCCACTTTTTGTTGAGCGGACGAAGATTTTGCTGGTGACGTTTGCGGTCTGCGGATCTGACTTGAAATCTCGTCGAAGGCTCTTCATTTTTGCCTTGATAAAAAGACCCGACGTCTGCGGGTCAAACTTTTCTCCAGAGCAAAGTTGAGTCGTGGGGAGAAGTTGGTGCAGTTGGTGATGATCTCAGCGATTGTTCCGCATTCTTTTATCGGCGTCCACGCGCTGATCCGAATCGGGAAAGTCTCCCGATACCTTTGTGACCAGACCAACGACCGACTCACAGAGCGATCCTGTTACTTTACTGTTCCTAATTATCGCATAGTACGTTCCTTGGTCTTGAATTAACTATGGCTATTGCTGTATGTATACTTGGTCTATTAACGACATTACCATGGTACCCTCGCTAACCTCTCAAAAGGCAGTAGGACAACTATGTTCAACCGCCAGTATGGCGGGCAACTTGGCCCAATGTCGAATGCTGGTACAGAAAGCAGTTAAGGCTGGGGCAAAAGTTATTATCTTTCTCCGAATTTTCAGTATAAATCCTGTTATTTCTAACCTATCCAATCCTGCACCAGGCATTATTCCTTCCTGAAGCCGCAGACTATATCGGGTCTTCGCCAGCCGAGACTATATCACTAGTTCGCTCAGTGCAAGACAGTGAATTTGTTTTGGGTCTCCAAAAGGAAGCTCAAGAAGCTAATTTGCACATCAATGTTGGGATACATGAGCCGGCTCCCAATGGAAAGGTAAAAAATACACTTATTTGGATTGATGATAAAGGCGTTATTACACAGCGCTATCAGAAAATCCACCTATTCGATGTGGATATCAAAGGTGGCCCCGTCTTAAAAGAAAGCTCGTAAGTTAGCCTTCTCATCTATTTTCCCTGTTTTGGCTGCTGATCTTCGTCCGTACGAAGGAGCGTTGAGAAAGGGATGGAGATACTGCCGCCGTTTGATAGCCCAATTGGACGTGTTGGTCTATCAATCTGTTTTGATGTAAGTCAATCTAGTCATCAGTCCATCCTAATAAAAAGGAACAATGAATGTGCTCACCCAGATATACTGCAGCTACGGTTCCCGGAAATTGCTCTTGCTTTGAAACGCCAGAATGCTCAGATAATTACTTATCCGTCAGCATTTACAGTTCCGACAGGAATGGCACATTGGGAAACTCTGCTTCGAGCCAGAGCCATTGAGACGCAGTCCTATGTGATAGCCGCTGCTCAGGCAGGTCCACACAATGAGAAAAGGCGAAGTTATGGTCATTCGATGATTGTAAATCCCTGGGGAGAGGTTGTAGCTAAACTCGGTGATGAATACGAGGAACCACAGATCGCATATGCGGAGATCGATTTGGCCCTTTTGGAGAAGGTGAGAAGAGAAATGCCTTTACTTAGAAGGACAGATGTGTACCCCGAAGTATAAAACCTTATAAAGGGGGGGCGATCGAGTCAAGAGAGATGTAAGCATATTCTTTAGTTTTAAGATCATATATCTCAGCAATTCATATCCTACTTATTAGTTTTAGCAGTAATGACTATCCGCAGGCAAGAAACAATAAAGTCTATAAGCAATTGCCTTTTTTTTTCTTCCCTTTTTGTGGCTTTGATGTGCAAGCTTCCGGGAGGAATAATTCACAATGTAAGATAGCAGGTACATGCGGAGAAAAAGAAAAAATCGAAGAACACGAAACAAATAAACCCCATCTAAGTCCGAACCAGCACTTTCCTACTAAGACAGGTGCAACCACTCGGCCGAAATTGTTGTCTTTTCTGATCACTCTATGTACAGTGTACAAGGAAAATGGGACAGTAACAAAATCTACTTGCGCTGAGCTGTATCAGGGTCCTCTAGGATACCCTCAGCTTCCAGCCTCCGTCGGGCCTCCTCAAGGGCCCATGTTTGTATCCTTTAAAAAAACACGTCAGTTCAGTTCAATTAACTTGCTTCGAGAATGACAAAAGCATCATGACAAATAGGGAACAGCTAAACCGGGGGCACGTACGAGGTATCTGGCTTGAAGACATATGCAACTCCAGCAACGAGCAGACTACCAATGAATCCGTAATACCAAATGTTTTCCCAGCCTTCCTTGACGTACTTCTGGCCAGGCTTGACACCGAAAAGCCATCCAGTGGGAGGGTCGTAGTGATCGCCGTGGTCGGCGGCGCGGAGGTTGCTTCTGGTGGAAAAGCCCTGGATACTCTGGGGCCTAGGCAGGGTGCAGCGAGCGCGAAGGCACTGTGACAATGGGCGAGCAGACATTATGAATATGCGGATGTCTGTATGAATTCGAAAATCCCTGGTTTTTGACTAGATAAGAGGTCGAGAGAGGCGGTGGCGATTACAGACCCTTGTCGGCTAGAGTGACGCAAGTGCGGGAGGAATGAGGTATGGAGAATAAAGAGTCCTTTGACCAGAGGCGCCGATAAACTGTCCAATTGAGCGACTTCCGAATAGATTGCGTACGTTGACGTCGCAGGAGGTGAGTGAGTAGAGGGGTGACAGATGGCCGGTGGATGATGTTCAGCAGCCGCAAAAGGCCGATGGAGTTCGCGGTCTAGTCCAAATTTGGAAGGTCGCGGATGCCGCCTTTATGCCTGGGAATTCAGGCGAACATATATCTCCCATACCTCAGGTGTCGATAGGACTAAACGCGTGACGCGTTCCCAATCAAGAAATCACGACGCCAACCTATCACGCCCATCAAGGACCGACAATAACACTCTGTTGAGTGCACTATGATCTTGGATAACCACAAGGGTAGTTTGATTCCCCCTTTCTACCTAGAACACATATCAATTGGTACGCTATATTCACCACAGTTGACTGAAGACTTTACCTATGATGGGCGCACTTTGTTAACTACTACCCAGACCCCTCATCGAAATGTCCAGCTGCTCTCCGGTTGAAGGGAAGAAACATCCACTATGAATCCCATATATAAAGATTCAAGACCTACGTCGATTTCCGCAACTTCCCGCTCGAAATTGAATGCCTTCCGATACAATAACAAAGATGGATGTGCTCCGGACATGCCGCCCTCGAAGGCTTCCCCCCAGAAAACCCAGGAGGGTCATGCGAACAAGGAAAATCAAAATTCATGGTTAAATGGTGTGATGGAACAAATCCAGACAAGTCCAAATAAAGCGCAGCCCGCTCTCGAGTCGGCAGAGACAACGGCTGTCAAAGAGTGTCCACAGACACCAGGAAACAGAATTCCGCTGGCAGACCTTATTGGTAATGCAGAGGACGCTTTCAGCCGAGCTCCTGTAGGACAGGAGTTTACTCCGGAGGACTATGTGATTTGGCAACATGCTCCCGCGAGTTCAAACCCGGATACTATGTCGCAAACACGTGCAACGCAGAGCAAGAAGCGTCGCCATAGCTCATCCCCAAGTAGCTCGCCTTTGGCCGGGAATTCCAAAGGAGCGCAGAAGGGCTCCTTTGACTTGCAAGCCTTTCAAACATTGCTTAAGACCCCGCAGAGTGATCTTGCGACCGACCTATGGAATAATTATGTGGCTAAGACAAGTACGAATGGTGTTTCAGGCCTTCAGCAGCCACATTTTGCAAATCTCCTAGCATCTTCACCACATACCCCCGGATCGGCCCGGATTGGCTCTGATTCAGCTGGGTTGAGACGTTCGAATAGCTGCAATGCCGAATGGCCCAGCTCTAAAGCTAAAAGAAGGAGAATTGATGGAGAAAGCGTTGGCATTGGTCGTACCATATTTTCACGGTCACGCAGTAATATAATGGTCCCAAAGGATTTCAAGGCATCCAATTTCAGCTCGCTTGTGAAAGAGATGGAAAGGAGCCTCCAAAATGCCCCTAATCGACAATCAGAGACCTCCAAGATGCCGCCTGAGCCAGCCCGCGATAAGGTACGGCGAGGTCGCTCAGCATCTCCACCGGATTTTGGAGCTTCTCATCGTGCCGAGGGAAAATCGACGCACCAAAAGGGAACACCGTGTGGCATCCGCCGGGTTTCAAAAGACAAGGTAGCATTACAAGAATCTTCATCTGATTTTGGCGACGATGACTTGGATCAAGATTTCCTTGATCTCGCGGAAGCCTCTCTGGACCCGTTTGTTGAGAACAAAAAGAATGTTTATACCATGGTCGAGAACACCCAGCGGCAGTTTAATTTACCTTCGAATAAAGCAGACGATGACTCCTTTAGCGAGGCAAATCGCAAAGCGCTTCTAAAGGCGAAAGGGAAGTCCCCAAATACGGCCAACTACACCCTTGATGTTGATGAGTTTGATGACGAGTTTGATGGACTTTCAGATAACATAGATGAGATACTCGCGGGATGTGATGAAACGCCTAGCAGCAAGTTCTCCCGAGCCATCCAACAAAGGCCACCACCAGCTTACTCTCCTCTGCGCGCAAGCGCAACGACAACTGAAATTCGCCAAGAAGCGAATCACTATATATCCTCTGGTGATGAGTTCGATGACTTGGACTTGGACTTGGACTGCTTGCTACAACCAGGTGAAGATAACACAAAAGATGTTCGCGGCTCTTAGTGGATGTGTCTATAGATATTCGCTAAGTAAATATAAATAGAAAAATAGCAGCCGTCAAGCTATCAAACGTTATTTGATCGTGGATACAGCTGAATCTACATATGTTACCCCAAAGGGGCGCACACAGGCAGAAAAGGTTCGCTATTGCAGAGTCTTGTGAGAGTTTTATCATCGCTAACATTGTACAAGGTTCTATCGGTACAGGAAGAGAGCTCCAAACGTAAGAAAGTTATTGTACTGCGGGATTCGTGGTACGATAGCCCTTGCGAGAAGGACTCTTACATCCATTTGATCGGGGAATTCGATGCAACAAATCAATGCACTGTCGATGACGCCCAGAACATGATCATTATTCACCCAGATTATCTGATTTCGGCAACCGTTGTAGCGGATTCAATCAGCTGCCAGCGGCGAGCGGTGCTTCAGGAGCGTATTAAAAAGACATCAGATATTGGGAAAGCCCAAGTTTTCGGGAACATATTCCATGAAGTTTTCCAAGAAGCGATGAAGATTAATATATGGGATACATCCTCATTGAGATCGTTGGTTGAAACTATAACTATCAAACATGTGGAGGAGCTCTACCTCATCCACATGAGCATTCATGAGGCTGTTGACCACGTTATGGGTAAAATCCCAGGCATACAAACTTGGGCGGAGCTCTTCCTTCGTCCGAAACCTGGTGTAAGTGCAACCTGTGGCAATTTCTATCGATTGTCTGGCTAATGACCGAATAGCCACAATCGCTAGTTGAGGATCGAAACAGTTCCAAGCTTAAATTGAGTATCAATAAGTTGCTCGAAGTAGAGGAGCACGTTTGGTCTCCCATGTACGGCCTCAAGGGTAATATCGATGCTACGGTTCAAGTTGCCTGCAACGACGGCGAAGGCAATAAAAACTTGGTCGTACCCCTTGAGCTCAAATCCGGTAATAAAGAAACGAACCAAGGTCATCGAGCTCAAACGGCTCTCTACACCTTACTACTCTCGGATCGCTATGGTAAGCTAACTCTAATTATGAATCGTAGATGAACTTTACTGATATGATTCGTTTCATAAGACGTGGAAGTAACGTTCGGTTTGCTTTACTATCTTGAAACCTCAAAAATCATCAGGATAAGGGGTATTCGACATGAACTTCTCCACATGATCCAAGAACGGAATCGCCTAGCAGGCTATGTGCGCAGGAGAACCCATCTCCCGCCAATGGTCAAGCGCCCTTCTATGTGCAACAAGTGTTATTCAAAAACAGCATGCTTCATTTACCACAAACTTGCAGACGACGGTAATGGCGAAACAAGTGGTCTGGGCGAAGAGTTCGAGAAGGCAATGGACCATTTGGCTCTCCCTCATCGGGACTTCTTCCGAAAATGGGACGATCTCCTTACTAAGGAAGAGCAGAGCATGACGAAATTCAAGCGAGAACTATGGACTTTGCTCAGCTGCGAGCGAGAAGCGCTCGGTCGCTGTTTTAGCAATGTTGCTATACAGCCTGGGTCAGCTTGTGAAGACAAGGATGCAACAAAGATCAATCGTTACCGCTATACTTTTACTAAGAGGAACCAGTCGTCTACATTTTCATTCGCGGAGTCGCAAATAACCATTGGAGATCCTATTGTCATATCTGATGAAAAGGGCCATTTTGCTCTCGCAAATGGGTATGTCGTGCACATTAGCCCCAGACGCATTACCGTCGCTGTAGATCGAAGACTACATAACACCAGGACCAGAACCCGTGGATTTGATGCGAACTGGAACCAATCGTTTAAAGGCCTTATGGAGATAACTGAAGACAACCCTTCTTCAACTGCTTCTTCAGTTGAGCCGGAGGAGGAGATCCTTTATCGACTGGATAAAGACGAGTTCAGCAACGGAATGGCCATTGTTCGAACCAACCTTATCGCCATGATGGAAAGAGACCTATTTCAGGCCCGAAATCTGAGAAGGCTGATCATTGAAGGAGAACCCCCAAAGTTTAAATCTACGGCTCCTGGTTTCAAGCCACCTATTCTGGACAAGACGGGCTTAAATGTCGGTCAAAAGCAGGCTATCGACAAAGTCATGAGTGCCCGCGACTACGCTCTGGTATTGGGCATGCCTGGGACAGGAAAGACAACAACTATTGCTCACATAATTCGAGCATTGGTAGCCCAAGGGAAAAGTGTCCTTTTAACTTCGTACACCCACACGGCTGTTGACAATATTTTGCTGAAGATTCGGGATGATAATTTCCGCATTCTTCGAATTGGAGCCACTGCAAAAGTGCATCCAGACATTCATCACTTTGCTGAGCTGGCGGCGGTGCCTAAGAAAACTATCGAAGAGTTGAAAGCAACATACGAAGACTCCCAAGTAGTTGCGACTACCTGCCTTGGCGTGGGCCACAACATCTTTAGTCAACGCGTTTTTGATTACTGTATCGTCGATGAAGCCTCCCAAATTACTCTTCCTGTATGTCTAGGACCGATCCGAATGGCGAAGACTTTCATCCTTGTGGGTGACCACTATCAACTTCCGCCACTTGTGCAAAACAAAGAGGCCCAAGCAGGTGGTCTCGACGTCAGTCTTTTCAAGCTGCTTTCCGATTCACATCCTGCGTCAGTGGTAAACCTCGAACACCAATATCGAATGTGCGAGGACATCATGCTCCTCTCAAACACCCTTATCTACTCAGGCCGTCTTAAATGCGGTACTCCAGAAGTCGCTGCGCGTTCCTTGGAGATTCCTAATATGAATGGTCTCAAACACCACCACCCTGACAGCCTCTCCCAATCCCCAAAAGGCCGCGAAATTTGCTTTGGAACGAGCCAAGGCCGTTGCTGGCTACGGGACCTCATTGATCCCTCGGCTAAGACTTATCTGGTCAACACAGACACACTTGCCACACCGTCTCGGGACATCGCAAATGGCTCACGTATTGTCAACCCTATTGAGGCGACTCTATGCGCCCAACTCGTGGAGGCATTTATATCTTGTGGTATTCCTGTACGCAATATCGGTGTCATCACTTTCTATCGCAGTCAGCTTTCCCTCTTGAAACAGAACCTACGACACCATCTTCCAGGGCTTGAGATGCACACCGCAGACAAATTTCAAGGGCGGGACAAGGAGATTATCATTCTAAGTTGTGTGCGAAGCAACTCTGACAATTATGTGGGTGACTTACTGAGCGATTGGCGACGGGTCAATGTTGCCTTCACGAGAGCACGCACCAAGCTCCTCGTCATTGGAAGCAAAACTACCCTGCGTAACGGCAACGAGCTGCTAGGCAAATATGTCAGATTGGTAGAACAACGCGGCTGGATCTATGACTTGCCAAAGAATGCTACAGAGAATCACATCTTTGAGGATAATAACGCTCTTTCAGCACACGACAGGTCAACGCCCAGTCCGAAAAGGAATCCCTCACAGAAGAAAACCCCCCGCAAGCCATTAAGTCCAGTCCAGGCACGACAAACGACAGGCGGTTTGAGGAAGCCCGCTAAAAAGGGTATGAAGATATTGAGTGGACACAGCGTCCTCGGGAACCGACCTATTATACAAGATGTAGTGAATGACCTTGTTGGGTGATTTTCTTTCCTTATTCAAGGTTTCTTGACTTGTATCCCTTTTACTTATTGGTATCTATCTACTTTCTCCATATCCCCGGAGTTTAGGGTTTTGGTTTACGATTGATGATGAGGTCGATGGAATTGGGTATCACGAGATAGTTATAGGTTAAGATGAATTTATCCCAACTTTTAATATATCCATGTTAACTATTCCGCGCAATATATTTTTACATCAGAAGAGCTAAAACAGCTAAATTCTATAGTGTTGATGCACCGACATATTCCCAACAGACAAAATTACGATTATCCTTGACGTTATTGGCTTCTTCCTTCTCCACCCCCCCCTCGACGCAGGAGGACCTTCCAGGTGGGAGTACCATAATCGTGTACCCATCCTTGCTTTCTACCGCATCTCTCCCCAGTGCACTCGCAGATAAGCTAAACCAGACAGACGATCCGACTTTCTGCGAAGTAGTTTCACGACTATCCGAATGTGAGGACTGGTTAGTCTCTTTTTGTTCCTTGTATACGGAGCGGGGGGGGGAAAAAAAATGCACACTGCGAGGATACGACCTACCAAAGCGTAATGAATAGCTGGGTAATCCACTTTGGAGGGATAAATCCGCGCCATTTGAGACTAACTAAATCACAGGATCCGGCCTCCCCGATTTCTGGGGCATCGTATCGAGACAGATATGAGTCTATATCATCATTTGCAGATACCCGACCTGATTCTAGAGAAACCATTGCTAGCCACTCTGCAATATCGCCACAGGAATCTTTCAGATGCGGCTCCAAAGATTCCTCGGTAATTTTCCATTCGTGGAATGATGGAGTGCTGATATTTCTGTGAGTTGTGCGGGAGGGGCCGCGGGAGATGATTTCTGGATGATTGCCCTTCAATGTGATATCATCTAGGAACGGTCAGTATACTCATAGCTCATGTGATGAAAATGTCTCAAACAATATTGGTACCATCTTGAATGCCCTTTGACTCGGTTCCAAGGTCGAAAAATAACCAGGATACTGGGGTGTTGAGGACATTTTTGAAAGCCCACTCTATCCTTTGAAAGCCTTTCTTGCCATGTAACATTGAAGGAAGCCGGAGGTTGATTTCGACCACTGTGGGGGATAAATTGTGAGTGTTATTCTTGGAGCTTCATTGCGCCAACAAGTCACATACGATATCTTTCTTTGGTGTGTTTCTTGCCACCTGTGCGAACTGGTTTTCCTGTAAACCCAGTCCGTTCGAAACATTCCTTCGCAAGCTCTAGTCGCAAAACTCCTATACTATGCGTTAATTTAGGAAAGTCTCAGAAAGTTTGTGTGTGTCTTTGGCGTCAGAGGGAGGGAACCTACCATCTCTAAGAGTAAAGACATTTTCTGAGCTTGACTGGGCCTCAGATATCATGAGAATGTTCCCTGTAGAGAATACCATGATCAGAAATTGTTCAACGGTTAGAAACAAGATAGATATCCAGAAAAAGCCTGTGGATTCTTCGTTCGAATTTTCGGGTATAGCTAAAGAAAAATCCAACGAATTCAAGATAAAACCATAAGGTCCATAATGTACCTGATTTTATATAAGTGTTAAAGAACTCTCCATGGATGATTGAAGAGAGAGTCATAGAGACTCGAGCATATTGGAGCTTTTGCAATTTTGAGTCCAATGAGCTTTCAATCGACGAGTAACCCTCCATGGGCAGAATGACTTCGACCTATTGATATTGATTAGCAAACCTTATATACAGTCATTATGGGAATCTCGAAACGAAGAGTTGGATGAGAATACCGTATGAATAAATGGATGACTTAGGATTGCTGGGAATGGAGGCCTTTTTGTGGGTGGTTGCTTAGGATCGATGAAATGAGGCAGTTGGGTCACAGTAGTGTAGCACTTTTCGCGCCTGGAGGCGTCATCATCTTCTAAATCGAACATGACTATCTCTGAGCAAGAGAATTTATATTTGATATCAACTGATTCACTGTCGAGCGCGGTATAAATAGATTCCAGGCAAACTATACAGAATTCTTCTTGCCAGCAGTCGCTCTTGGGTGGTGATGTTGAGAGGCAGAAAAATGCGACCACTCTTGACAGGAGGTTTTATTCAACCTGAAGAGCCCGTGTACTCTGGATTGAGCGCAGTCTTCTGGTTATCAAGGAAATAAAGATTGGTAGTGAATTCCCGAGCTTGAAAAGTTGCTGTAGAGGTCGTCGGAAAAGCTCTCAAATCCACACTTGAGGGGGCGATGCAAGCTTTGAATCGTGAAGAACTGAAATAAAGATGCCAGAAGTGTTCATGGTCAGAGGAGGGGGTTTTATCATAAAAGAAATATCCTACTACGAGGTAAATCTGGTAAAATGAAAAGAAGTCTCAAATTGAAATCGCGATCAAGGTGTAGACGACCCTTTCAACCCTGGTGCATGCCTCAGGCACCACGGCCGGGGATGTCACGGGCGATTCTTCAAAGAATCCCATGAATCGATTCTTGAATTCGGTCACCTCGCTCTACTCTCTCCTTAACCAGTGCTTCTACTAGCCATTGCCATCGCACTCCGTTACGTCCGCGGTTCATTGCCAACCCTGCCTAATTCCTCCGTCAGGAAAATCCTCGCATACAATCGCCCCTCGGGGCTTGCCAGCTCCGCCAGCTACTGTAGTAGCAAACAGGAATGGCTCCTCCCCAACGAAACCTACTTCCCAAGGAACGATTTGCGTTCGCCTTCGGGTCCCTTAAGACTCAAAGCTATCATGATCCGATAGCGCGCGGACCTGGCTCTCATACGTACGTCTTCATCGGAAGAGCGCAAGGCAGCTAGCTACCATGCCATCGACGTCAAGAATAGAAGCAGAAGCTCATACTGATAAAAAAAAAAATCTTATACTATAGAATTCGCACAATCGCATGGAATCCTAGCGGCCAATTAATTGCTACCGGTTCCGCTGACCGTACCCTTCGAATCTGGAATCCGGAACGCTCGCAAGTAAAATACTCCACGGACCTACGCGGTCACACTGCGGGGATTGAGAAGGTCCTTTTCAACCCCGTGCGCGATTCAGAACTCGCCAGCTGCTCGACCGATGGCTCCGTCCGAATCTGGGACGTACGTTCGAAGACGTGCGTGAGTCGCCTAGATGTTGGCGGCGAGGCTTTCACTCTCTCCTGGTCAGCGGATGGAAGCGTCTTGATCGTAGGAAGAAAGGTAAAAATATCTACATCCCATCTGCATACTTGTAGATCTAGTATAACTAATTGATGCAAACTTCAACCATAGGATGATACTCTTATACCCATATCCGTCGAATCGCCCTCTACCCCGTCTATACTTAACAGCGGTATGCCCACAGTCCCTAGCCTACAAGCACCCAAACCCGCCGCAATCCCAGCAACATACAAGGTCCTTGAGCCACATCCACAACCTATCCAAACAAACGCAACAACCTTCTCACACCATATCCCTGCGCCTTCCTCCCCGGATCTCCATCTCTTCGCAACAACCGGCGAAGGCAACGTCAAAATCATATCGTACCCATCCTTCGAGGTCCTCCACACCCTCCACGCACACACCTCAGCGTGTCTCTCTATATCCCTAGCACCCACAGGCCGCTACCTCGCTGTCGGCGGCAGCGACGCCCTGATCTCCCTCTGGGACACCACGGACTGGATCTGCCGACGAACAGTGTCTAGTAACAATGGTGGCGCTGTACGAGGTGTAAGCTGGAGCTTCGACGGCAGATTCATCTGCGGCGCTTGCGACGAGGTCGGTTGCGGTGGCAACGGAATTGAGATCTTCCACGCGGAAACGGGCGAAAGTGTTTATACTGTGCCTACAGGCGGGGGTTCGAATACGGGTATCCCGGCCGTGGCGTGGCATCCATCGCGATACTGGTTGGCGTATTCGACTACGGCGGATGGTTCTGCTCCAGGAGGATTAAGGATTGTAGGAGCAGCGGGTGGAAGCTTATAGTGTTGGTTGGTTGGTTGGTTGGTTGGTTAGTCGGTAGGACCCCAGTGTGATTCTTTTTTTTTTTTTTCTCAAGTTCTGTTTGGATATGATATCCTGCGGCTGTATTTGATAGCCATTCATCATGGACGTTATGGCATATGTTACTCTCAAAGGAGAAGGGGGGTTGCGGTTCTATGAGGCAGGACTAGATACCTATCTCCTAATATACGCCGGGTTGGCCAGCTAGTTTTAGCTAATTCTTAAAAGATCAAGTTACCAAAAGATCTAGAAGGGACGATCCGTTCATATTTTATATAAATTTACAACCAAAACCATATTTCCTGTCATATACGACATACCTACCTTTATGTGCCAAATATTGTTCGACAAAATATTAACCAAGTCCTGAGGGGAGAAGAGATCTATATATAACCCAAGAAAAACAAAAAAAAAAACAAAAAAAAAAAAAAACCTCCAGGGGGGTCCATAACCTAAAACTCCAGTCCCAATCCCATTAAAGTGCAGTCATGACAAATTACAAATCGTAAATGTGTTACCGGGCCACAGCTGTGGCAAGTCACGCGAATTCCAAAGCGTTGGCAAAATTAGGCTGAATGATGGAGGAATACGATCACTGGATCAAGGCTGTCAGTGCTCATGGATTCCAACCCCCCGAGCCCAGAATATTTGCCCACTGGGCCCCATTGAGCGAGTCCAATCCCGCTACCATTAGGTCAATATTGTCGTCGGTGGAGTTCGAGTTGACATTCATAGGGAAATCCCAGGTAGATGGCATTGGAAGAGATCCGTCGGATTCAGTAGAGTTTAGGGGAGTTATTATACCGGTTGAGAAGAAAGGGTTGGATGTGGAGGTGTTCATATATTGGTTGATGTTTGTTCCGTCGAATGAGCCGACCGAATCTTGGATGGAGGTGTTGAGGGACGACTGTTGGGTTTCTTTGGGGGATGAAGATTGATCAGTTCTCAAAGTGGAGGCACCACTAGACGATGAGTTCATGGTGGATGGGGTGGAGGTTTCTGGGGCTGAGTTGCTTGGGACAGAGGTGCCGTGGTCGTTAAATGTTGACGGGAGCTCCAGATCTAGGACAGTGCCCAAAACCCTAGATTCGGTCCCGTCGAAATTATAAAGGGTCTTGCTGAACCCAGGAAGGCTAGTGGCGGTGTTTGCGGGCTTTTTACCCCGGCTTGAGCTTGATTGTTCTACCCGAGGTTGTTTTGATCGGTTTGGAAGACAGACAGGAAGATTTGACCGAAGACCAGCAGGAGGGCCCCAGGTTCCCGAGTCCTGGCGAGGATGGCTCCTATCAGGTAAAAAATGACATGGCATCTCGCCCACCGCGGGTGAAATCTACGCGGTTCAATATCAGCAATGAATATCTTCAAAACACCTCATGATGATGTTACCTTATTTCCTTGCATATGGATGAAAGGCATCCGATTGCTTGTAGGCAGACGAAGGTCTTGGAACGGGGTACCCTCAATATCAACATCCAATTGAACAAGGAAAGACTCAGTCAAAGGATTCTTATTTTTCAAGGCGTCAAGAACAGAAAAGACAAACTGCAGGGAAGACCGCGCTGCGGTGTCATCAGGACGGAACTTCAGATATTGAACAAAGACGCGTGCAGCCACGTAGACACAGAAAGCCATGAAAGGATTCATCTGCCTGCTATTAGCTTGAGTCTGTAGAAATTCGTCCGAATCATGAAACTTACAGTGGCCATATCCATGCAGCTAACCATCTTCATAATGCTCGAAATTTGATCGGCAGCAACAATGCACCTGCGTTTGCTTTCCAGGATAATCTGCTCCGCCATTTTATTCTTCTCGGCCTTGAAAATCGCCGCTTGATGAAGACAAATCGTGGATGTGTGGACAGCCATATTGCAAAAGATCACATTCGGATCGGCCATCCCTGTAGGCAATCTTAGGCAGCTTGGCATGGACAAGGCGAAGTGAAGCAGAATATTATCATGCGACCTATGCCGCTGCCAGAAAATTCCATTCAGGTCGCTATCATTGTCCTGGGGCTCGGGGCGATGGAGATGGGTCAGGTTTCGCCCAAACATGCATGATAAGAACGCGACACTTGCAAATGGTGCCAGTGTCGAGAGCTTCTCACCCACCAAAACTTCGCTCAGGCGGGCAGTCTCCTCTTGGTTACCTTTAACGAATGAGTCCTCGCTCGCAGGAAGATTCGTCAAAATCTATTGGCTGTGATCAGCGACCTTTCAGCTTTCGAGGAGCGACATACAGCATGACTTACATCGTTCTCATCAAGGACCACCGGCCATCCGGTTCCAATGCTTGCATATCTGTCGACACAGAACGTCATCCAGAAAACCCTCCGTCGCTCCTCCTTTTCCACCCAATCCCTTGGTGGTGCTAAGCACTGCTTCACCTCAAGACCAAGACCATCCAACCGGTGAAGCCCCATCATCAGTGCTAGCCTCGCAGTTTTCCCCGAACTAAGCCACGCCCTTGGGAAGAACATCATCTTGTACTCGTATGCCGCAATAAGTAACCATGTCTGAGCATGTGCCAACGTGAGGATGCACTCCCCAAGGCCTTTCATCTCATCCAACTCGGCGTACTTGCGTGCACGTTGATAAAATAAACCGTGCAGATTAGAATATTTATCGTCCGTCGATGCAGCTTGGCACCAAATAATGTATTGCAAGCATATCGGAGGTCTAGCGTTAGGAGCGAAATCCATAGCGGCTAGGTGTCTAGGACGATGTATAATTGGCATAACAGGATGAATTTTCTCGAAGTAGATTCGGGTTCTGTGGATATCATGAGAAACGCTGTTTAAACCAAAGGGGGGGGGAACATACAGATCATCTATGATCTCCTGAGCGGGGAGAGGTTCCTCCAGTCCCAGACTAATCATATCCCACCCAAATGTATTCGGTCTACTCATTCCTTCGGGCACGAATGATGGCGCGGGACCGGTATTTGACGATTCTTCAGGGAGAGGAACAGAAGGGTTGAATTCATGTCCAATCAGAGGAACATCGGTCATATCTGTTGGTTCATCGGGTATTGGAACGGGGAAGCTCGGTGCTTGAGTTTGCGGGATAGTAGGAGGTTCTTGCGTTTTGAGCAGCGTTTCAACCTGGGCTTTAGGACGAAGGGGCAGCGTCAGTTGTCAGTGCAAAATTGCGCGAAGCAAGATTAAGCAACGCAAGATACACAAAGATAAAATATTTCCCATCGACGCACCTAATCGAGCTTCCAGCTGCTTCACATATCCCCTTTTGGGTCCACTCTTCTTGCGCGCCTCGTCGTAGGTGCATTCATGGCTCAACCGAGAGCAAGTTCCGCAGCTTGGTTTCTTTCCATCGCATCTGAGCTTCCTTCGCCGGCAGACGGCGCATGCGATACGCTTGGGGCGGGGAATATAGTTTCCATCGCCGCTACTTTGGCCTGCCGTGCTAGTATGCGACTGGCTTGTGGGGCGCTGTCCTGAATGGGCAGAGGAGTTATCGAAGCTAGACTGCGGCAGATTCTGGTGGTCGAGGTAGGTCGCCATGGCTTGTCGACAGCGCGGCGTGGGGCAACTCGGGGAGGAATTTAAGGACGGGAGTTGGAAATCACGAGGTGTTAGACCTCAGTCACAGAGGGGTTTCAAATGGCTTGTGAATGCCACATAAAAACAAGGATCAACGCAGAATCATAGAATCGATGATATTGAAGAAGGTTGAAAAGTTGGAGGTCTCTCGAACAAGCATGACACTGATATATGCCACCGTCGTATAGAAAGTTTCAGGCCCTCCGTCCTGAGCGAAGAGTCACCACACCACACACCTTGTAATCTTTCTCAACAGCGAAGATTTCACAACGAACGGCCAAATGATATAGTTCAGAAGAGTGACAGGTCAGTCTCAACCCTGCATATTCTTTCCCTGTCGTGGGTTATGATGGTTGGAGTAACTGAAGAAGTGACATTCATTCAAACTTTGAAACTTCTGGTGCCGCCACGATTTGTCAGACTTCCCGATCTCAGCTTCAAGTTAAATCAGACAACGCCAGCTGGACCTCTCAACTTAGGGCCATTTTTTTTCCCCAACCAAGGAACGTTCTTTTGGTTGAGCTCAGAGAGCGTCACTCCTACTAAATCCTTCCCCAACACAACGCAGAACAAGTAATTTACTCAGAGTGGAGAAGGAGACTATCACGAAATACAGGCCTAGGTATTTTTAGGAAGCCTCCCCGAATATGGTACAGAATCAACGTAAGACTCGGTCTAGAAATGCGGCGGTGGACAAAGAAGCCTCTTCAAAGTAGACAAATAAACAAACGCGCCTTGCGCCCAAGAGGCCGAAGAGGACGAGCGTACAGTATAATACATTCGAGGGGAAGGGAGTAACAATATTCATAATCCAGGGACTAGAAAAGAAAAGGGAAAGAGGTGTACAAGGAAGGGGGGTAGGTTTAGTTGTATCCTCTGCGACGCTTACCCTGGTTGCGGACTCTGGGGACAACAACAGCCTTATTAATCTTCCACTTAGGGCGGGTCTTGTAGCCAGATTTCGCCTAGATATCCCATTAGCATGTTATTGCAGAATGTCTTAACAGGTAGAACACATACCGGAAGGCCCCAAGGACTCTTTGGATCAACGTTACCCTTCGACTTTCCTCGTCCACCACCATGAGGGTGATCCATAGCATTCATAGCAAGGCCACGCACGGTGGGACGGATATTCAACCAACGTGATCTACCAGCCTTTCCAAGTTGGGTGTACTGGTAGTTCGGGTTGCTAGCAACACCAACGGTAGCACAGCAGTCCTTGTGAATCAAGCGAACCTCGCCACTTTGCAGACGAATAGTGACATGCTGAATGATGCGTTCCTGCTTCTGTTTCTCGCGCTGCGTCATTGGCTTTTTTGCTTCTGACCCATCCTCGCCCTCTTGGCTCTCCACCGGGGCGGACTGTTGTGTGTTACTGCCCTTAGCAATAACTGTGGCAAAGGTACCGGCACTTCGGCACAGTTGACCACCTTTACCTGGACGCAAGCCGACGTTGAAGATCAGCGTCCCAACTGGGATCATATGTAACGGCAGGCAGTTTCCTCGCCAGGCGGTTCTGGCCGCAAGAACACCAGGGTCGACAACCCCTCCCATGCTTTTCCACAAGTCTTCGGGAATACCGGGCATGTAGCTCTGCACCACATCTCCTGCTCTCATGCCATCCGCCGCCAAAATGTAGGTCAGCCGTTGAGTCTCCTGGCTGCGAACAAGGGCAATATGGGCGCTTCGGCCGGGATCATGTTCAATGCGTTCGACAAGGTGTGGGCCGGGGGCGGCGCGCTCGAAATCGACAATCCGTATACGACGCTTATGGCCACCACCACGGTGTCGGACGGTAACCCTACCGCTGTTGTTACGACCACCCTTACTTTGGCCTCGCTTAGGGAATGTCAACTTCTGGACCGGTCGTCCCTTCCAGAGGTGATCGTTAATCGGCCGTCTTAAATGTCGGATACCGGGAGTCCGGGGCTTGTATGATCGAAGGAGCACACCGGAATCGTCGCGAGTGGGAGGAGGTGCAAAGGCAATGCTTGGGTCGAACGTCGAAGTCGTCGAGGAGGACTCTTCCGCAACGGGAGCTTCTGTTTGGCGGACACTGGCCGAGTAAGGTCGAGAGGGAACTGATGACAGAGATCTAAACGGAAGTCGCAGGAAAAGGCCCCTCAAGGCCACCTGAGCAGTCCTCTGAGGTTGAAGCATATTGAAAACTGCAGGGTGGTTGAGAAACCGGTGACAAATCGCCTGCGTCCCTGATGGAAGCAAAAATGTCTTTGGGGGGACGACTAGCGGATGTGGCTGATAAATACCACGTGATCATATACACCGCCACCAGGAAACCCAGCAGTGGCTGTGCAGAAAGTCACGGGATGGCGCGTGTCGGGGCGTCTCGAATGGTTGCTGGGCAACACACGCATTGTTTGGATGATCGTGGCCGCGCCGCATCACGTTTTTTTCGGGTGCTGCTATTCTCACGGCTCAGCTGGTCATTCTCACGGCACAGCTAGCCCTTTTAGGTTAGTGGGTGGGGTACCTAACTAACTATAGTTAGTTTATGGGTCCTCGCTAGTTAGCGTGTAGTTATGTGTGGTCACATGTTGGGGTTTATTCTTAATTTTTAGTGTATGGATATGCACGTGACCTGGTGGTCTAGCAGGATATCACGTGGATTCCTAATTAGGCTATAATGACAGATCAGAACAGGGGTAATTATGTAATAGAGGTAGTTATTTAGTATCAAGCCAGGCAGGTAGGGAATCAATTACTTAGAGGAAGTAGGAATAGTCAGATTAGCACGTAGTAAAGGAAGGATTCCTAATTAAATAAAGCCTTCTAATTAGTCAGTAAATATAGTCTTATTTATTACTTTAAAATTGAATTCTTAAGTGTCATTTTTATATAAGAAACTGATAAAATAACACCTTGAGGTTCTCTAGCGCGTTTTTCATGATCATGTGACTAGTCTAGTCTTATTTAGGTCTAGCTAGTTGGCACTATTCTATAAACAGTCAGGTTCCTGCTGATGTGGAGCTGCTATGCCCAAAGAGGCTAGCTGTGCCGTGAGAATGACCAGCTGAGCCGTGAGAATAGCAGCACCCTTTTTTTCTCGTGATGGCGTTTTCCCCCATTCATCCATTCATTGCCTTGACAACTTTCAGGTGTCGCTCGCCCTTCATCCTGTCTGCCACAGCAAATCGTGTATTTGAAAACGGTATTATTACCACCTTGCGTCCTCTCTTTCTTCCCTCTGGCCTTCTAATGCCGTAATTATTTGGTAGTTACCAGTAGCCTGTAGGTCCCGTTATTTACACGGTGTACGCATCCTGTATCTCTGCATGTACAAACGGCATGCATACATACCTACGAGACGCTCCCGCCCTCTCTTCTCTTTAATTTCCCTTGTTTCGTCCCTTTCCCTCTTTTCAGCCCAAGATCATCAATCTCCTTTTATTTGCAAGCATCCTTAAATTACTCCCCAAAGGTACATAGACTATTCCACGCGACTGAACGGAGTTGTGCTGTGGGGCATCCATCTTTCCCAGCTTGGCTGGCTTCCACGCTAAAGAGTAGGGCCAAACATCACCTGTGCCCTGTCAGGTTGTCGACCATCTTTTCCTACACCATCTCCTCCCCCCATCAACACCTCCTCCAGAGATCCTCAACCTCCAAACAACCCTATCCGATTTCTTGTATTTTCTCGCGTTATTGTTCATATTTTACCTTCCCAAGTGTTCTATATCTGCTTCACACCCTCCCTCCAACTTAATTCCGTGGATTGCGCGCCGTGACGGTTACGTGACCTGTGTCTTGAAGGCCCTGTCAACAACGTCAACAATCCCATAATAATCCCCAAAACAATCCCAAGGGCCCATTATCCCAAGTTTCTCTCAAATTCCGTTCTATTCCTACACCAACCCTGCATTGCTTCAGCCGATTGCTTGACGCTGGACATACTCACGCCTGCTAGTGCCACGATACCACTGTCCCTCAGGTATTTAAGCTCCACTCCAGTAATTTATCGCGGAATGCTGACCTAACACCAATTCACTCAAGTGGCAGAACCCCAGGAACTAGCTTCACCTTTTTCACTTTCTCCTTTCTGTCGAGGTCTACTTCCTTGTACCTCCCCCTCTTCTCTTCATCATGCCTCCGGTAAGGATTTCTTGAAAAAAAAAAATCACGCGTCAAGCTTCGGTTATCCCTTTGCATTGACCGCTTTGGATGTAATTGACGCGATAGCCGGTAATTGACTCGCTGATTCATGAACAGGCCCGGAACCTCCGCACACGAGGCGCCATGAATGAGAATGACGAGAACGGTCCGCTGACGCGGGCTAAGGCCGCTGCTCTGTCAGGAGACGCTTCCTCGACAGGGGCTATCAAGAAACCACTCCAGACCAAGAAAGCCGCCACAACTGCCACCGGAACACAAAGAAAGCGCGCCGCCCTTGGTGATGTGAGCAACGTTGCCAAGACTGAAAATAGCGAGGCCAAGGACGCGAAGAAGTCTGCCACAACCAAGGTTGGTTTGACATCAAAGGCTACATTGCAAGCTGGGGGAGTCCAGAAACTCAGTCGTAATAATTCGTCTCGCACCGCCCTCGGAGCCAAGGACAATAATGCGAAGAAACCGGTCCCAGAGGCCAAGCGCCCTGGAAGTGGATCCGGAGTCGGTAGCACACAGATGAAGCGCACAAGCAGCCAGAAGTCACTTCAGGAGAAGACATTACTGGCAGAGGAACCACCACGCAAGAAGCTCGAGCTCGAGAAGAAAGCCACAGAGAAGAAGACCGAGGTCGCCTCGAAGGTGAAGGATGATGTGCAGCCTCAGGCTCGGGCGGAGGATCTCCAGAACCCCCCCCAAGAAGTCATTGATGACCTCGACACCGAAGATTTGGATGACCCCTTGATGGCTGCCGAGTATGTGGTTGAGATTTTCGAATATTTGCGAGACCTCGAACTGGAAACATTACCCAACCCTCTCTACATCGATCACCAGCCAGATCTCGAGTGGAAGATGCGCGGTATCTTGGTCGATTGGCTCATCGAGGTCCACACCCGCTTTCGTCTCCTTCCCGAAACTCTTTTCCTCGCTGTCAACATTATCGACCGTTTCCTCTCCGCCGAGGTCGTCGCCTTAGACCGTCTGCAATTGGTTGGTGTCGCCGCCATGTTCATCGCATCCAAATACGAGGAGGTTCTCTCGCCCCATGTTGCCAACTTCAGTCATGTCGCGGACGAGACCTTCTCGGACAAGGAGATTCTTGACGCCGAACGCCATATCCTCGCCACGCTCGAATACAACATGAGCTATCCCAATCCAATGAACTTCCTCCGTCGAATCTCCAAGGCGGACAATTACGATATTCAAACGCGTACTCTCGGGAAATACCTCATGGAAATCAGCCTCTTGGATCATAGGTTTATGGGTTACCCCCAGAGCCATGTCGCTGCTGCCGCTATGTACCTGGCTCGCGTCGTCCTGGACCGTGGTGCTTGGGTAAGCTTCAATCGTACCTTGGATCGTTGATCGATATACTAATATGCATATTCCAGGATGCAACTTTGGCCCACTACGCGGGATACAGCGAAGATGAGATTGACCCGGTTTTCCGATTGATGATTGACTACCTCCACCGCCCCGTTTGCCACGAAGCATTCTTTAAGAAATATGCAAGCAAGAAGTTCCTTAAAGGTATGAGCCTTGTTGAAACTTGGTCTCGATTTCTATTTCCTAACTCTCTCTCTCTCTATCCAGCATCAATTCTTACCCGACAATGGGCCAAGAAATATCACCATCTCTACATCGAAAGCGCCCTCTCGGAACCGTACAACTCCATCAAAGACGAATAACCGCGTCACTGTCCTTTGACAACCTGCTTATTCCAGTATTCGGTGAAAATTATGGTTGAGGAGTTGGTTGATTTCAATATGTTGGCATTTTGTTTGTGATGGGTATCGGGCACCTCTTGCATATGTTTACGACGGCATCCTTTTCAATTGCGGACATTGGCATTCTTCACTTGTTCGGGGGTGTCTGGCGCTTTCTATTCCTCTAGCTTTTTCTTCGCTTCGCTTCTTCACTTCATTTCTTCATTTCATTTCTTGGCTGTGACTCCAGGTTATTCCACGCCTGCTTAATGATACTTTTTTTTTTCCCTGATGATTCCTTGTTACCGATTGAGTCTCTGCAATCCTTGTTTTCCCGTAATATCCTGCTATTGCGATAGACCTGTCATTTTTTTTCAACTTAAGAGAGCTTCTATATAAAGTGGCGCCTCCCTCCAGTGTAGTATTTTCAATCCCATGTTATCCAAGGCACATCAACATGTACTCCATCCAGTCTGTCCGCTGCCCAGCTCACGAGAATTTGCAAGCTACATTTCTTGCTCTTGGCCATGTAACAGAGCTTAACGGCCATCAAAACAGAGCTTTAGTGAAAACCACTTCACAATCTCTATCTCGTACTTAGTATGTCGCTGTCAACTTGAATTAGAATATTCCACCTAGATTGATACAACATAAAATATTTGGGGATGTCTATAGCTTATATATAGACTAGCTTCTCGGCAAGAACCGAGGCTCGGGATCTGATCTGCCTTACAATTACTTCTTCAACTAACTAACTAGTTACTCTCTCTCTCCCCGTTTAACATCGATTCTATCAAGTCAATAATTGTATTATCGCTTCTACTAGACAAGGAACGCACGTTTTTAGCATAGATGTCTTCCTCGCCAACATGTCCCTTTTGTAAGATCGCAGCGGCATATCCTCCGATTTCCCCATCGACACCAACACCAACATCAACATCAACATCAACATCAACATCGAGTTCTCCCCCGGAAAATGCACCGGTTTCATCGGATTCTGATTCCCACGCTTTCCTTATCCTTTCCACCAGACATGTTCTGGCCTTTCTCGATACCATGCCGCTAACTCGTGGGCATATTCTGGTTGTTCCAAGAGACCACTACGAGAAACTCGGCGAAGTAGGCGTTCACGTTAGTCGAGAGGTAAGTTTACTCACCTACCCCGACGGGGTACTCTCTTCCGTTCAAATAAAAAACTAACCAAGAGGGGGGGGGGGGGGGAATCTATCGATCGGCCAATGGCTCCCTATTCTCTCGCGCGTGGTGATGCGCACTGTCTTTGGGGAAACTCCCGAGCAAGACCGAAGAAACTCTGATCCAAGCTGGAACTGGAACTGGAACGTTGTTCAGAATAATGGTATGTTTTTTTCTTCTTCTTCAATCTCGGGGAGGTTGGTTTTCTACTCTAGGGGTTTTGTTGTTGCTGAGTATGTATGTTGCTGTCGCAGGGGTTGGAGCGGCTCAGGTCGTCCCGCATGTGCATTTTCATATCGTGCCGAGACCTCCTCTAGGTGCGGCCTCTACGCCGGCGAAATTGAGTTATGTGATGTTTGGGCGGGGGCAGAGAGAGGATTTGGATGACTGTGAAGGCGAGGGGTTGGCGCGGGAGCTCCGAGCTCAGTTGGCGAGGGAATTGCAGCGTTTGAAGTATGAAGAGGGGGTGGATTTGGAGGTTGATTCTTTTTCTCAGGAGAGGAATAGGTTCCGGGGCAAGATCTGATCTGATCTGATCTAGATAGATAGATGTCTTTTTGTTATGTATTTCTTTTAATTTTGGCTAAGGACGGCTCCTATCTATACCCACGTACACGTACATGACCTTTTCTTTCCTTTCCTTTTCTTTTTTTTTTTTTTCTCGCAGTCGTGATTGTTGAAACATTTAACCATACCATATATGTAATGTAATAAATACTGATATATTTTATTGAGCGGGTGCCCCGTTCTCTGAAGATGGTGTATTCCTCGGCGACTTTGGATGTCGGTGATGTCTTGTAAAGTACTATTACAGGAGTTAGTTGGAGTGTGTTAGGGAGTATGAGCTGTAGTTTATGTCTTACTTTTCTTCTGAACGCATTCAGCTCATCCGCAGAAACTCCAACAGCATCGCCTTTTTGCCTTCCCAATGAGGTGTCCGAGACAACTCCTTCTGGAAGCCTCCGATAAGTGATAAGTCGGCGGGACCCTAAAGAGAGTAAATAGGAACATAAGTCCGTGGTCTAAAAAGACTTGCCAACTTCCAGATAGAAAAAAAAAAAAAAATACATACAAGTGTTGAACGATTGCACGGAAACACTGATAACTTCGAGGTTTGGATGCATGGGAATAGATAGCTCCCCATCTTCGTCATTAGAGGTTGGCATCCACATGGATAGACGCCCGTTCGTGACGAGAGTCCGCGAGGCGAAATTTAGAATGTCGTGCAACATGGCTTCAAAGCCATAGGGCTTTTTAGGCGCAATGTAACCGGGTCGACTAGTCGAGAGTGGTCAGTCTATATTCAGGCAGAAGATAATACAATGCCAATTCGACCCCCTCGCAGAGAAATATATAGAGAGAGAGAGAGAGCGTACTAGTGTGCAGGAATGCCATCAATAATGACTTCTTCGTTCCGACGTCCTTCTCGCGACCCGAGAACTCTTAGACCTTCTCGAACACCGTAAGGAGGATCGCAGACAATGCCATCGAGGAATTGTTTATCAAGTAGAGGCGTATTCGTAAGATCTGAGGTGAAAGTATCCACGAATTTATCCAGAATCCCATACTGCTGGAAGTTCAACTCCACACCCATGAGCTTCTCGTTCTCCGTCTCCTTACCGCGGAAGCTTCGTCCATCAATATCAGAGCCAAAGACGAGGGCTCCAAAATGCGCCGCGGCAACGCAGAAGCTCCCCGTGCCAACGAAGGGATCATAGAACAATTTCCCCGGTGCCGCGAGAGCCATATTCGCCGTGATCAGGCTCAGCTCGGCATCCATCGACGTAGTACTAATATACCGACGCTTCTTCAGATCATACTTATTTATAACCTCGCGACCGCTCTCGGCAAGCCAGCGTCCCAGATAAATCTTCACGGGATCCTGCTCCAGAGCCGGATTAGTGCTCCTGGGAGTCAACCCGTTATCGTAAGGGAACTGCTCGAGAACCCAAAAATCCTGGTCCGGGTTCTTCAGCTTAATTGGGCCCCGGAAGCCTACGTAGGAAAAGGACTGGATGAGCTCTCGCTTTTCAGTGGAGCTCCGCTTCCCGCCAAAACATTCAACAGTAAATCGAAACGGGGTGTCCAGGTATTTCCCCCAGAGATGCTGCGTCCGCCTGCGAACGTCGGCATGGAGGTCCTCGTAGGTAGCGCCTTCACCCCATAGTTCAAAGATATCCTTGGCTATGATACTGCGAGAAATGAGAGTGCGTGCAGCTTCCTCACTTGGAAGTTTTACAACGCAATATGGGGACTGATTGTTGTTAGTGAAGGAGGTTTTTTTTTTTTTTTTTTTTTTTTTTTCCTTTAGTGGGGGATGTGCGGGGAGGTCAATCAACAGCGATGTTGGTGACTCTTCATGGAATTTGCAACAGAAATTTGCATGAGGGAGAAGGTCGGAAAAACTTGAAAGAAAGATCACATACGAATTCATGATAATATATAATTTCAATATCGATTCCGGCCAAATCAGCCAATGCCTCTATCTCCGGTTTTCGAAAGGTCTCGTGTACTTGGGCCAAGCGGATGAGATATTCCATCTTTCGCGAGATGCCCTTGAGAATCCAAATCAAATCCTTCGAAAGGTTTACTTAACGGAAAAATCGAATAAAACAAGAGAAAGTGAATTGAGATATTCAGTTTCCTTGTGGGTGGGAATGTCGTTCAATGAGGGTTCAAAAGGTGGATTGGATTGTAAATTGAGATTTTTTTTCTCTCTCCCAAATTATACACCAGAGAAGTGAAGTTCCGCTGGTTGAAAACTTCTTCCCAAGTAACATGGAACAACAACTATCAGGTACTACAGAGATTCGGAAAATGTGGACAATGATGGAAGCTTGGTTGTTACAAAAAGAAAATCTATTCTCGATTGTAGATACAGACTTGTCCAATAAGCTGGTCATAATCGTTCTATACATTAGACGGACGGAGCCAAGTGCTTTCTATTAAAGCTGCATCACAGTACATCCTTCAACAATCATATCTGCAACTGAAAGCCATCAACAGGGAAGAATCTTGAGCAATAAGAAAAAAAAAAAAAAAAAAAAAAAAGACGCCGTTCTTCCGCAAATACACATAGAATCCTAAACCAGCCGACCAAAAACTCCGTCGCTATGCGCCAACAACTTGAAAGACATGTCGTGACTCATAACCTTCGACTGGGGTGATTTCGACCTTCTCATCAGGGGGTATCATTTCGTGTTTCAAGTCCCAACCGGCCCGACGGCAGAGTTCGGACACCACCACGTCGCAGTCGCCCAGTAAATCTATATCAAAGCCTGTATGTAGCACAGGCTATGTGGAAAAGTGAGTGAAATGAGCAACATTTAGGTTTCAAGTAAAACTTACAGTGCGAGATATGTAAATCTGCGGCACATGAGAGGGTAGGACGCCTGGAACCTCTGCCACGGGAGCAACCTTCAAGGAGGTTCCAATGACAATGACAAGATCCACCTTGTCCCGATCATGGTGAAGAAGACGGCGACCGAATTCATCAGGAAGATCTTCGCCAAAGAATGTGATATCGGGCTACAAAGGGCTCATGTTAGCAAATGCAACGAGTTCATGTTACTAGTCGACTAACCTTCATCACTCCGGGAGTCGGAATTTCGTAATCCTCCTCGTCAGAGCTATTCTCATCATCCTTTCGGCTCTTATGCGGTCCGTTACTGCTGCGCTTTCGCTTTAATCCTTGGGCTTTCAGCGCATCTTCCGCTATCTTCTCGCGACATTGAGCGCATTCGGGAACAACCCCCCTCCTGATTTCGTCGAATATTTCGTCGCCTTGGACCTTATAATCGCATTTGACACATGTGGCTGTTGCAAAAGAACCATGGCACTGCACAATGTTCTCTGCAAGCACTCCTGCGTTGGCCTCGATATTGTCAATGTTTTGAGTATAGTTAGTCAATAGTTTTCCCTTGTCCTGAAGCAACCGAATAAATCCATGAGTTGGAGAGAATTTCTTCTCAGTGGACAGGATATCCTTTGCGATCGAGAAGAAAATACCGGGGTCCTCGCGGAAGATATGAATATCGAAGACTTCCTGGGGGTCGCTCAAACCCAGGTGCTCCAATTGAGAGTAAAGACCGGTATCCTTGGATCTAAAATCCGGGATCCCAAGACTGGTAGAAATCTATGTCACTCTCTTAGTCCCATATTCCTTCTAGAACAAGTGCGACGTGATACTTACACCAGCTCCGGTTAACACGATAATGTTCTTCGACTCCTGTAGGAGCTTGACCGCGTCATCAATCGAGTTGTACTCGGGCAGCTTCTGACGCCTTGTGAACTCCCGCGAAATAGCAATGGCCAATAAAGGGTGATAAGCCTCATCCGGTGCACCTTTCAGAAATTCTGGCGGTGCTATCCCAAAAGCGGTGCATAACTTCTTCGCCGTTACTGTATCGCGGCCGATAGTCTCCTCCACAAAGGCTGCCTTGCCAATCTCATGGAGCCGCTTCCGGAACGCAACTGCTTCATCTAGAGTACAGGCGCCAGGGAACACTAAGCCAGGACACAAAGGTTAGTTAAATATCCTGACCCATCGACGGTATCCATGGAGCATTACTAGTAGTACTTACCTCCGTCGCGCAGCTGATCATCGCGGAGAACTTGAATAGCATCCTCGTAGAGAGACTCGTTTTCCCACTCCTCTCCATCGCTCTCTGTCTCGGATTCCGACTGCGAGATCTCCTCCATGGTAACCGCGGTTTCTGTGGTAAGAGTTGCTTCAGCCTCTGCGGGTGCCATGTCAACGGCTTCCACTTCTATCACAGGAGTCTTCAACGCGGAACTCTCCGCACTAGGCGTAGATACCGGGTCCATCCTGTCAAGGAAGATGAGACAGACACCTTCAACCTCTAGAATGCCGACTCTACGCTCACATTGAGCTTTTTGCCACGCGATATATAAAAGATTGGCTCTGGCATTGTACGGGGAAAGCCGTCGGAACTAGTTTAATCCGACGCCGCCTCCGACATCGAATGATGGGGAAAAGCGGAAGTTGTTTCTCTACAACAACCACTCACTACAGAGTAACTGCCCAAGTTATTGCAACTCCTAAAGAATCAGTTGAGTTAAGCAGCCATGAAATAATAACAGGTATACAGGTTCAAGCTCTTCCACCGCCTGGTCTGACTAATATACAATACTTCCAAAGGGAGCCTAGTGGTTCAACAGAGACATTATTGTTCTCCGGCTCTGTCTGGAGGATCTATCTTCTTAATCTTCTATCCTCATCCTCGATGGCGATCGCGATCTCTCTAGAGAATGCATAAAGTGGTCGCCCCCAAATTCTCCTCCATTCACGGTTTTGCCTGTAAGTTTATGGGATTCATGTCAACTTCCTATTATGTATGACATAACGCTCATCCATGATGAACCGTTCTATACTAGGCCGGGCACTTTATCGCGCACTTCTTCGACAATGTAACAAGTTACCAAGCACCGCACCCACGCTTGTTGCGGTCACACCGCATGTTCGCGACAGGTTTCGGAGATATAAAAATCTTCAAAGTCCATCTCAAACTGCCAACGCCTTGAAGGCTGGGTATGAGGTATACAGTTCTTCGCCTTCTTCGCCGATAATAGCTAATTTTTTTTCTCTCTCGTTTTGGTTGCCTAGGCCCTCGACTTGCTGCACTCAGCATCGCAAGGGAATCAAGGAAATTCCCAGCTAATTAGAACAATACTTGCCGAATCGCAATCAATAAAAGAACAGAAATCTAAGATGCAAATGGTTTTGGAGGAACGGTCTCGCGCTGCAAAGAAAGCAAGGAAGCCGTCAGAGAAGGAAAAGAAGAGGGAAGAATCCCGGCGTTTCCAGGAAATGACTGAGAGCCGGCATCCAGACACCGCTTCTATACTATCACGCCCTCGACCTGTTGTAAACGGCCGACGTCATGTTCCCGTGCTCATCAACGCCCGCGGAGTTCCGTATCTACGCATCAAAAAGCCGCAGCCGAAAATCCTGAGCGGGATAATAAGAACGAAACTAGCAAAGCGATGGAAACGCATCGAACGCCGGGAGAGGCTGGAGACCGAGTTGCTTTTTGGCCAAGATGAGGATCACTGGGATCGGTTGACTATCGGCCAGCAGCCGGAAACGTGGGCCAGCGAAATTGCGAGTGCTTTGCAAGAGACGAGGGAAGTGATTCTGAGCAATGATACCAAAAACCGAGAACTTGCAGTTGCCATGTGGAATGTTGTCCTTGCTGAGCGCAAATTGGCAGAAGAAGAGAAGCCCAAGTCGGCCGAGACATGAAATGTTGTGGGTGCAACCCAAGATCTTGTTTCATAGCTCAAGGAAACCCTCAATGCTGATGGGAAGCCGTTACAAGATCCCAATCTGTCCGTACGAGAGTGACCGACTAATCTTCGAACCCCTGGACGAGTAAAGACTACTGCCATCGCTCTGGGTATTCGCCACATACAACGATAACTGGACCTGACCCAAGCAGCAGACTAACAGGCGTGCGAATTGGTTTTGGGTAACCGAGCCCTCATTCGATTAACACGATGACACTGTTGGTCAATATATAAAGTTTTGAGGATTCCTCATGATTATCCCAACTCCATTCGTCTACGACTTTGCGTGGCTCAACTTTGTACAATAAATCTCAAGATAAAGAAGTATATCTCAACGACATACATAAAGTTTGTACACATCATACTGTACATTAACATCGGCTAGTCCAGCGTGTTCCATATCTCAAGTCTTTCAATAGCTAGTGTTAGAATAATTATAAAGAAGCAGACAAGAGGGGCGAATTGGAGGGGTAGTGAAAAGCATTTAAAGGAGGATTTTTTTTCTTAGATAGTTCACAACTATTCTATGCAGATATTTTCACCTTTTCCACAGCAACTGGCAAAGCATCCTCATCCTCTTCATCAAAGTCTGCTTTCCCAGCCAAACCACGTTCCCATAATTGTCTCCCTGTAAGCTTTTTCTCTTCCTTGACCGGGGCCTTTTTATTAGCTTTCTTCTCCTCCGCCTCCTTCTCGTCACGCTTCCTGATTTCCTCCTCGGCCATCTCTTGTAGGAACTTTGCGTGCCATTCTAAGAACGTTTCCCGGTTTACAGCCGTGCCCTGAAACTTCTTATTCTCTTCCTCCTCGGCCTTGGCGGCCTCCATCTCTTTCTCCGCATGGACAGCGTTGACCCGTTCAGCCATCAGAAGCTCAGCGCTCTCCTTCAGCGCGCTAACTAGTGAGAAGACCATAGCCATTCCCATATTCTCCTCAATGGTAGGCTGTAACGCTTCGAGAAGCCGGTCGCGGTCCTCGGTGATATCTAGACGAGGGTGTTTCGATGAGTTCGGCGGAGAGGTAAGTTCGAGTTCTGGAGCAACATCCGGGTATTCTTCCGGGTATGAGACTTCCAACACCAGGACTGGCGGCTCAGCTTCCTGCTCGTCATTCTCAGGGGGGTCTAATGTAATTGATATCCGGTATGCAGTGTCGGATATGTCTGGGGAAATCGAGTTCGCGTCAGTATCAGCGTCAGTGGTCGTCGGGATGATGCTAAGGCAAATAAATAACCCTCAAGAGGGCCGGCTAAGAGGCTAGTCTCACCTGTAATCTCTTCTGGGAAAATAGAGTCGAGTACTTCGCGCTCTTCAATCTGATCTTCGCGACCCATCTTGCTTCAAAGAAGATGCTGGGGTCAGGGTGAGGAGAGGAGGGGTAGTAGTAGGTATTGTTGGAGAATCTTCAAGAGCCCGAAAGAAAATGGCTACTGTCGCAAGAATAAAATTGGCAAGACGATGGAAGTCTGGGTATCTTAAAACAGGACGACGAAGAGAAAAAATAAATAAAAAAAAAAAAAACCCTCGCTGTGGATTTCTTAAGCTGGCGGGCGTCTGAATTAATTCTGCATACTTCGTTGCCCGCAATTCGACATCGCTGGTCGCCATGCAAACTGAACAAACGGATAAGAAAAATGACCCAATTTATTCCGCCCGAAAAAGGAAATCAATTCAATTCGCTTCGTTTCTAGAGAGAAAAAAAAAAAAAAAAGACCAAACCAAACAACTATATATTTAATTATCGGAGCACCATTTAATTGTCCAGATCGAATATTTTAAATCATCGAGAAAGCACAGTACGTTTGAGAGATAATCCTACTACGGCAGTCATACAATGGGGAAGCCCAAACCTCACAAGAAGAAGGCTTCCAAACCTCGCGAAAAGTCGGTTCTGAGCGCTGGCGGCTCGATATCGAAACGGAAAATGAACGAAGACCCCTCTAAGCTCCTTGAACAAGCGACAACGCTCCTTCAGACTGGACAGCCCGATGCCGCGCTTTCGTTGGCCCAGCAAGTACTCGACAATGCGCCGGCCAACTCCCCCACCCGATTACTAGCACTGAACTCGGTTGCGGAGATCTACGTGGAGCTAGGAGAGATTGATATTGCAAGGAAACATTTTCTCAGCGCAGTTGAGTTGGATCCGGCGGGCTCCATACCGGAGGCCCAGGGAGGGGGTGCTGAAAAGTTCTTATGGTTGGCTCAATTGAGTGAGCTTGGAGGAAAGGATAGCGTTCAATGGTTTGAAAAGGGGGTATCATCTCTCAGAAACACTGTCCAGCAATTGGAGGTAAACCCGGGTCCGACAGAAGTGATTGAACTGCTCGAGAAGAAGCAGAAGATGGCAAATGCCCTCTGCGGCGTTGCTGAAATTTATATGACCGACCTTTCGTGAGCTCCCTCCCCCCCCCCCCCCCCCCCCCCCCCCCCCCCCCGCCCCCCGCGCTGCGCATATCTCTCTTCCTCTTTTTACACAACTGACAGGGGTTTAGGTGGGAAGAAGAGGCAGAAAGCCGCTGTGAGTCCCTCATCACGGAGGCTCTACTAGTCAACCCGACTTCGCCCGAAGTCCTACAAACACTTGCATCAATCCGAATTTCACAGCTCCGAGAAGACGATGCTCGCGCGGCACTTTCGAGAAGTCTAGAAACATGGAAGGATTTGCCACCTGAAGACCCCAGTGTTCCAGATTTTGCAACTAGAATCAGTCTTGCTCGTCTCCTGATGGAAGTTGGCCTGCTACTGGAGGCTCTGGAGGTCCTTGAGCGTCTAATCCTCGAAGACGACCAGAGTGTGGAGGCATGGTATTTGGGCGGCTGGTGTCTGTATCTCCTAGCGGAGAAGAAAGAAGCACCCCAAGATGCAGATGGGCTGGAGATCAACGAAACACCGGAGTCCAAGCGACATGCTTCGCTGATGGCTAGTCGGGAGTGGCTCAAGCAAGGTCTGACGTTATATGACCTTGTTCAGTACGAGGACACCAAACTCAAGGAGCACGCTCTTGAGCTCGTGGAGACCATGAACAAAGAACTGGGAGAGGAGATGGAAGATGAGGAGGATGGGGTGGATGGCGAAGGTGACGAAGATTGGGATGATATTGACTCGGATAGTGACCATGAGATGGCGGATTCGTAATGTCCTGAAAACGATATTTGCATAATGATACCAAGAGAAAAGTTGTTCGAAAAGTAATCCTCTGAACTTACTCCTATATTAGGGAGGTGCGATAGATAATCAGACTTGTTCTATGTATTGAAAATGCATGTGGTGTTAGCATATTGCAGGCTTCTAGACTCCCCCACCACTACTACTTTTGATGGCAGCTATAAGTTACCGTCTTCTCTAAGGTCTAAGGAGAGGAGAGGCTAACACTCTTCAAAATGTGACCCAGTTTCTAAGTGGATTTGCCTGGTTGACTGTTCTGACTATAACTTCTCTAGGAATGCACTGACAGGCACCTGGGCACTACCAGCTTCTAATCTAAGCCCCCAGCATCATTGCTTAAAGCGTACGGGATTTGAGACGAAGCAAAAATGTTCATATATTGCAGCTAGGCTTCGCATAGACTACAAATGCTCTAATAAACTGAGAAAATAGGACTGCAAATAAACCTGATGCGAACACCGACCGTAATACTCCGTTTTGGCTTGCAAATCGTTCAGGAGACTTAAAAATTGGTGCCTTCCTGAGGCTGAGGAATTTTCTTGTGTTGTGGGAGAGCCATGTATCTGAGATTACCAGTATCAGCCATGATTCAATGCCCAGTTAAATCAAATCATCTTGGGGCGTGAAGAGCGAGGGTTACCTTCTAAGCTCAATCAAGATGGTCTCCATAGTATACTCGCGTTTCCATTGAGCAAGACAAGGCAACTTAGAGGGATCCACCTGAGGAATGTTAGACTAGATGGAATTGATGTATTGCTTTTTAGAGAGTCAGAAGAGAGAGGGAGAGCCAGACCCTGCCTGTTATGGGGTCTACACAAGGAAGGTTGATGCGCGAGACGAATTGAAGTGTAGGAGGGTAGTCGGGATAATCGGGACCGCAATGAAGATTGAGACTGTATATCCTATTCTCATGGACACTCTATAGTCAAGTAATCGCTGGTATTAGAAAATTGTGTCCATATGCTGCACTTCGAATGCAACTCGTGGGGAGGAGGACGGACGTGAGGGGGACCAAGGACAGTTCCGTTCCAGTTGCTCATCATCATATCGTCGCCATCTGCCAGACCATAGGAGCAAGCCTCTAGTTCGCAAGAAGAAGGTGTATATTAGCGGGGTGGTTCACTTAACATGATATGATGTTTTTGGTGTCGCATGCTTACCTGCACCCAAGCCCTTCTCACCCTTTTCCAGCTCCTCCAGAAGCCTAAAATTTCTGGGTACCTTCGCGGACATGATGAGGTGTGAAAAAGGTAAAATAAATAAAAGCCAAACGGAATGGAAAGGGTATTTTTGTAGTGGGAGTCAAAGGGTACGGAACTCAGAACAGTCAATAGTAATCTAGAGTGGAAAGGAATTTCCTGAGTTATGAGTTATAGTAAAAGAGGGGCAGCTTTCTTCGTTATCCCACTCCGAAGAATACCAGTGACGGAGTTGTCCACATATCAGATTCCAAGGCACTTCCCGCGTCATAGCCGGTGGTAACTGGCTTACCATACCACAGCAAATACCCTCATAACCCGGTAACACCATACTGTCACAATCTCACGTGATGATAAGCAATGTGATCACGTGCGATACCGCTATCGGCATTGGTGCCTTAGCGTGTCCCGGAGCCTCCTGATGCGAGGTGTTCATGGGAGACAATTCGACTACTTGTGGGATGTTGACGATGGTGGATACTACTGCAATCACGCTGCATCTGAACACCTTTTATTCTCGCTAGTCATAAACTGCCATCTATTGCTGTTGCCCTTCACATGGAGTTAATGTTGACTTGTTGTTGAACACTTTCATCCTTCACACCCTGTTCGACGGCTTCCGAGGCTGGTCCATCGGATCGGCTTGCTATTATTCGAGTGATACCTACTTAGTTGGACAGGGACTCGGCCATGCGTTGACCTACAACAATTAATTGGAAATGTCCTCTCAACTCTTGCAGACAGAGCTTCTGAATCTTATTCAAGAATCCAAGAGAAAGAATTCCGATTTGCGAAATGTTTGTTCTCCTTTGTATCTTTGTCTTGGTTACGATGTTGAAGCTCTGAGGCTGACTTGGACTGTAGGCGGCTGAAGAATCACTCAATGATTTGAAGGCGTTGCCTTCTACCTCTGAAGCCCAAATCTCTGCTGGTGAGTGTTAATCCCCCTGGGGCCGTTGTGTGAGCAAGTCACTGACCGCCACCAAGACTTGGTGCGGAAGCCTAGGTTCGTCAACCCATTCATTTTGGCCTGCCATAGTCGCCATGCAAAGCTTGCCGGTATTGGTGTAGTTTGCTTGCAACGCCTGGTAGCGTCCAGGTCATTGCCATCCGAGCGATTAAAAGATGTTCTGGGTGGTTTAAAAGAAACAACAAGTTTGAGTAAGCTTCTTGATGTCCGGAACCTACCTAATGCTAACGCCTGTAAGCCTTGGAAATCCAACTCAAAATCTTGCAGACATTGCCATCACTATTGCAACATTATTCCCATGACCTGAGCGGCGAGCTTTTTGTGACGACCCTTGAAATATGTGCAACGCTGCAGTCGAGCAAGACTATTGCGGTCTCTAGTACAGCAGCTGCCACACTTCAGCAGCTTGTTGTGTCGACGTTTGAAAGGGTGTCAATTGAAGATCGTAAGTAATTATTTCCAATGCGAACCTTTCCATCTCGCATACTTACATAGCGGTTAGAAAGCCCCCCAGACTCACGGCCGACCATTAATGTTAAAATTGATGGCGGCTCGGTAAAGATAGGATATTTTGCATTCGATGCTTTACGGGTAAGCTCAGCCTGAGGATGTGGTTTCCGGCTTGACTGATCCTCCCTAGGTTTTGGATGACCTTTGTCGTCTTGTAGATGGCGAGCCGTTGCAGTTCCTTCGAACCAAGTCGCTCTCTCCAACATTCACCCTGGAGCTTATTGAGAGCGTTTTGCTCAATAGTGGCCGACTTTTCGTCAATCACCCTGAGCTTACGCAAGTCCTGCGTACCCACCTAATGCCGCTGATTGTTAGATACTTATCAGAAAGGCATTCGTTTGCTCTGACTGTACGGATCACCAGAATTTTCCTAATCCTTCTGAAGCGCCACCTATCACTACTTACTGCTGAATGCGAGATGGCACTTTCACTCTTGACCCATTTACTTGAACCTGACGGGTCAACGCCTTGGAAAAGGGTCCTTTGCATGGAAGTTTTTCGCGGGTTGTACGCTGAACCGGGACTTGTCAGGCTCGTCTACTCATTATATGACGGAGAAGAAGCAAGGAAAAATATTCTTCGCGACCACATGGCATCGCTTGTACGTTTAGCCGCTGAGAAACCTGCTCTGATTGGGGTTAGCGGTCGCTCAACCGTACCATCACGTGCGGAGCACTCTCGATCTATTACCGAGGAGCAAATAACTCTCGAGGCTGGAGGAGTGGCAGGCGTTATTGGAACCACAGTTCCCACAACTGACACCAATGTGCCGGGTATCAGCAGCCAATGGAGTGTAGTCCGCACCCCTTACATGGAGGTGCTTGATAAGCTCGAACCCCCGCCTCCTCCAGACACATACATCTATAGCCTTGTACTTAATTGTATTAGTACATTTTCCGAAGGACTTGCAAAGTTCATCCTGCCGCTAACAGTTCCTGACCTCAAACAGAAGAGGAGGAGTCGCGTTATAGGCCCTGATCAAAATGGCGGCTCCACGACGTCTTCGCAAGACCTTCAAAGGGAAGAGTCCCTTAAACATGCAAAGTCAAACACGAAAAGACTTTCTGTGCCTATTAATCCTCTTCAGCTGGAGTCTCATCCTCAACTTCAAGCAATTCGAACGTGTGCAGGGATTATTGAAGATTGCTGGCCTGCTGTCCTTGCAACATGTTCGACTTTTCTATATGCGTCACTAGATGATGACTTTTACCATAATCTCGTCCGCTCATTTCAGAAATTGACTCATGTGGCTGGTCTTCTCAGGCTTTCTACTCCCCGAGATGCCTTTTTGACCACCCTTGGGAAGGCTTCTATGCCAGCTGAGACCACCGTGAAAACTGCTGGTACCTCAATCATAACACCCAATCCCCAGCATAATGAAGTGAATGAAAAACGTAGAGGGGCGGAACCTGCCGTTGTGACTCCCCCAACGACTTCAGAAGCTCCAACGTCTCTCATAAACGATCGAGCGGTATCACTAACCCCAAGGCACCTGCTTTGTTTGCGTGCTTTGCTCAATTTGGGCATTGCTCTAGGCCCTACCCTTGACCAGCCCGCCTGGTCTATAATCCTTGGTACACTTCAGGATACTGACCTACTTAATAAAACGCCTTCAAAAGTACAAACTACAGTAGTTAGCTCTGGCGACATTCCGGGAGGCACTGGGGACTTACCTAAAGTCAATTTGGGCACAGAACTTATGGCTGTACAGGCTGCCTCAGCCAAGATGTTCGAGAGCACCAGCGACTACTCCAATGATGTATTCCGAGGCCTCTTGATAGCACTGTTGGACCTATCTGCACCAACAGAAGGACAGCAAACACATGAAACATCTGAAGCAACAGGAGCACAGGCTCCTTCCCTACAGCCGAGCTCTGGGCGTATGCGCAGGTCATCTCGGCGTGTGTCGCATGCCATGGGCAAGTTCAGAATCCAGGACGAAGAGCTGAGCTTTGTCTTAGAGAAAGCAAACGAATTAGCCAAAGCAAATCTTGAAAGGCTTTCTTCATTAGCCGACAGTGACCAAAGTGCTTGGCAGATTCTTACCGAACGGCTCATGGCAACCGCTGCGGACCGACAGATTGATCAAAGCCTTCGTTTGCGTGCTAACGAAGTACTCAATAATCTGGTTTTTCAAACCATGAAGCAGGGGGTCGACGAGGCTGATTTGGAGCGCGACATGCGGCAGTTAAGGAACCTGGAGACCTTGAAATCGCAAGTGAAGCTACTGTATGAAAACGGTGGATGTTCTCTGGGCTCGCCTTCAACAGTTGTGGTTGAAGTTCATGAGCAAATACTGGAAACGCTTAAAAGTGTCCTAGAGCAGTACGCAGAGACTTTTATTCAATGCTGGGCCCCTGTTTTCGACCTCATTTCCAGCGTCTTCGGGCAATTGCCATCAGAAGAATGCAACAGCGACGCAAAAATAGCCCAAAGACAGAAGAAAACATTACTCGCAGACTCGGCTCGACTTATCCAGGTTGCATATAAAAGTCTGCAGCTTATCGCATCCGATTTCATATCCCAGCTCCCTCCTTCTTGTCGTCTAGATCTCGTAGACTCATTTTCCAAATTTGCTCTTCAACAACAAGTTTTCAACATCTCGCTCACGACAACCTCATCCTTCTGGAACATTTCAGACTTCCTTCAAGACCAGACCGCACGATTTTCGGTTGAGTCAGGGATCAACCTATCTGTTAGTGAAGAGACTCTCGCTACGCTTGCCAGGAGTGATGATCTATCTGTTTCAGGAGATGCCCTATGGCTGTTTTTGCTACTGCGGATTGTAGACCTCACCACGGACACCAGGTCAGAGGTTAGAAATTGTGCGGTTCACACATTATTAAGAATTTTTGATGCCTATGGCCAACAGCTATCTCCACCGGTATGGCGTTTATGTCTGAACCGGGTGTTGTTTCAGATGGTGGAGGAAATTGGTGTCAATCTTTCTAGTGTACAAGGCAAGTACGGCAGGGATTCCGATGAGATTAAGCTATGGGTTGAAACGGCAGTTGTCATGATCAAGGGGGTTTCAGACTTGATTACCAACTTCTTCGAGACTATCATCCAGGATAGCGATTTTGACCAATCTTGGAAGCGATTACTGAACTACTTTCAGAGCTTGGCCGGCTTACACCTTCTATCGTTCAGTGAGGCAGTATTTTCAAGCTTGTCCGGCATACTTACGCGAGTCCAGTCACCAGATGGGTTAAGCAAACAATGTCTACAATCAGCCTGGTTAGTCTGGGTGAATGGCCACCCTATGGATAAGGAAGATCTACTAGACTTGGGGCATCCTAATCAGGACGCTGCGGTATCTTACTTGCACACTCTTCAGCAAATCTATCGCCTGCATAAGGATGAGCTTGTTAACAAGGATGTCGAAAAAATCCTGCAGCATATGCGGCTTCTTGCATGGAACTCAATATGCCCTCGGTACTCGCCAGACATAGATCGTCCATCCAATTTGCAGGCATTGATTCTCGATTGTGTCAAAATGATCTGCTTGGAAAAGGACGACTCTCAGGGAGAAATTCTCCGATGTCTCGCAGAATATGTGGATTCCGCGCTCTCAAAATGGTCTCCGAGCAGTGACCCAAGGACACCGACTTACATTGCTTTCTCGAAAGAATCAATAGATCTTCTCAGCTGGTATTTGGCCGAGCATGGGATCAAGCAAAATATATTTGCGGACGGATCCCTCTCGATTGTCCTTGATCACTTGGCGACCCCTATTGTTCAAAGATATGAATGGCCAGGGAAAGACCGCGAGCCCAGTTTATGGCGAAAGTCCACCACAGTATCATTAAACGTGCTCCAGGTCACGATCCCTTACGTCGAGGAACAATACGAGAACTCAAACACGGCCGACATCTCGCGCTTCTGGACCTGCGTAGTTAATATTGCGAATGGTATAACTGCCGCTAGAGGCTATCGGACCATTCCCATTCCCAAGGCCACGGTGTTTTCGGACGAAACCTTTGACATTGACGCGTTTACGAGATTGAAAACGCTTATCATTCCATCGCTTGGCGCTCCAGCTATCCCAGATTCAACCCGAGAAGATTTTGCCGGTGCATTGCTGCACTCCTCTTTCATCTATCTTCCGCAACGACTCGACCTTCCCGCCAAGTACCGCGAGGACGGCCCACTTGAAGGTCTGTACAAGCTACGCCCAGGAAGAACCTTCGATCCGCCCCCAACGACGCGAACTAGAATGGCCTATGTTGTCCTAGATACATTGTTCGAACTATCCTCCGCGCCCTCGCTTTTAGATGGGGCTACGGGAGATGCGTTCGAGAGCGATCCCAAACCAATACTACTCGCACGATCTATCGCGCCGTACCTCATCCTCCGGTGTGCCGTATCACTTAAATGCTACATTGCCGACCAGCCACTCCGCGGACTCATGCCGCAGCCGACACCGGCACGCAAGGCACTACTGCATCTTATCCGGGGCATGGTCGGCCTGCGAAGTGAGCCATCCACGGTTCCGCCACCTCTTACAGCGACGGTCGGAGCAAAGGCCGAGCGAAACTACAAGCGGCACCTAGAATGGATATACCCCCTTGTCGTACAGGCCGTGCAAGTAGCAGGTAAAGAACGGGATGATGGCGAAGTTCTACGTGTGCTTGGGGAAGTCCTGCATGAGGTTGGTAGTAATGTATAGTAGTTAACCAACTATCTATATATCTGTATTCTACGGGGTTTTCTATAGAAATATTTTTCAGCTCTGAACGAGCTGTAAAACTACTATTACCACCTCCTAGGCACCTCGATAATATGTTGTGGTATTGACATAGAATGGTGACACAATCGATACTACTTTAGTAACTATAGTTAGTTAACTAGTTATTATATCCATGCACCTTACAAATAATACTGTAAATACAATAACCAATTAACCAAGTCATTTTATACCTTATCTTATACCCAACATGACCCCCAAAACCCTAAGAGGAAAGTCTCTGATGTCTTGATTGGATGGGATCAAGGTATCCATCAATGTAAATACAAAGCAGTCAGTCTCCTGGTGAGTTCTCCCTCTCAGGACACGAACCAGACACCCTCTGATTCTTCTGCATTGCACGAATGCTCTTCAACGCTTCTCAATAGTAGACTAAGCAGTAGTAGTTGATAGATAGCTAGGTGGTAGTTTAACTCCAGAGACGCCTCCAGCCACCCATGTATTCATTCCCTGTGATATAACCGCGCAGAAGAGACCAAAAAAAAAAAAAAAAAGAACAAGAACAAGAACAGAAAGAGAAACACGGATACGGATAAAAGGGAAAGAAAAGAAAGATAGCCTAAACAACTACTGATACTCTGCGAGTTTCCCCTTTACCACCCTTACCACCTCCTTTTGGACATCAGTCGGGGATCCATGAACATCCACCACCAGGGTATCCCATTCACCCTTTGGCTCCTCGAGATCCTTCAGTTGCGACTGGATCATGCCTGGTTTCATGTAATGCGCCTGGCGCGCGGAGACACGCTGGAAGAGGGTTTTCTCGTCGAGCTTGAGGTATATGAAGTGGATCTGGACAGACGAGGAGCCGTATGCAGCAACGCGCATGACGTCGCGGTATTTCTGCTTCAGGGCGGAACAGGCCACAACGACCCCGGAGGGAGGGTGGTAGTTGTTTGTTTCGGAGGGGGAGAGCACGGTGATGGCTGCGTTACGGAGGGAGATGAGCCAGTCCCATCGGTCTGCGTCTGTGAGGGGGACGCCATTGCCCATTTTTTCCCGGTTGGACTTGGGGTGGAACTGTTGGATTTGGAAGAAAAGGATTGTTAGTTAAGGGATCTTTTATTATTATAATTTTTTTTTTTTTTTTTCGCCCCTGCTTTGCTTTTGGGAGAGGGAAGGGGACATGGATATTATACGGTTGTAACTTACATCATCACCCTCAAGGAATGGCACCCCCAATTCCCGCTGGAGGTATCTTCCCACAGTACTTTTCCCGCTTCCAGCTGGGCCGGTGACCACCCAGATATGTTGGATTTCCTGTGGATTGGGTTTCTCTGATCGCATTGGGAGCGTAGTGTGGTTGAACGAGGAGGGTTTGGTAACGGATGCGCGGGTAGAGTCTAGTATACCCGCAGGACGACCTTGGGGAGACGGCTGGGGCCGTTCGCCGGTAGACAGCATTTTGAGGAGAGGAGAAAGAAAAAGCGCTGGTGATTTTATAATATGGGGGGGGGGGAGAGAGAAGAGGGTTATGCCGGAAGCGCAAGCAGAGAGAAGAAATCCGGAGTACACAGACAGGATTCTTGGAAATGCTCTGGGTGGTTCAACCAGCGCTTCAGATAGTAGTAGTATTTAGACTGTAATACAACCGGAGTAAAATAATAGTAAAATAGACAAGACGAATATTTGTCCTGGATTTGGGGCAAGAGCAGAGAAGTCGTGAGGTCAGAGGGGATCGAGAGGGAGCGTCCTAGGTAACCTGCAGCGTATAAGGCCAGGAGAGCGAAAAGGAGGAAATAAGAAGAAACTAGGAGCTGGAAGAGAAATTTGGTCAAGATATAGCCATCAATATTAATAGATTCTTGCCTCCCTGTTGCAAATTCAAGCTGGTGGGTGGGTCATGGTAATTTTATATCATGAGCCACCTTCCTCTATACTACCAGCAGTACCAGGCTGTATCACCAACCCAACACAAGAAAAGAAAGAAAGCAATAAATACAGGGCAAAAATAACCATCACAATACCAGCTGAGTGGGGGAGAGTGGGGGGACCAGAAGTATTGGAATTTGGAAATCTGTAACAATATAAAAGGAAGCAAAGACTGGTTGTTAGCGGGAGATCTGATCTAGTGTATAGAGGAGGTAATCCTGTACAGAGTATTATTACACAGAATACGGAGTGCACTCGGTGCATCCCCCAACTATTGTATAAACTGGAGTAGAGCGGGTTGCAGGTACTAGGATCAATGAATGCATTATTGAAGTTCAATGGCTAAAATAGATCTGAACAAAGTCCATGATGACATCCATGTCGACTCGTTGGAAATCCGACCTCTTCCCCATCCGTCCATGATGTCACCAAGCTTCCCTGTCCCGGGAGACCCGCGGCCTCTCTCTATAGAAAACCCCCTCCTCCCCAAGTTCTATGCAAAAGCTGGGGTCGTGTGCCAGTATACTTAGAACTTATACCCCATCCTTTTTCGAAATATCAAATTGGTCAAACCCATCCCAATCAGCCATTTCTTTCTAGAATTCAAATCCATTACCTACTAGTACTTTGTACATCGCAGAGTTACAAACTTACGGTCGGTTACCTGTAACGCAGTGGTTGACCCCCACGCTATGCCTGGTTAGGTATTCAGAACCCCCCACGGAATTCCAAGACCTTCGTTTCGTTCGAGAAAAGGAGACGACGGCAAACGGATGAGCCATTTCTACACCGGAATAGATACGACTTATTCCGGGCAGGACCCAGTCCGGAGTACGAAGGAGAACAAGGAACAGGTCAGAAAGTATTATGATTGGTCCACACTGTGGCTGTCCAATGTGGCTCAATCTGGGGAATTATGCAACGGAAATGGGCTGATGAAATTGTTTGTTTGTGCAGAGAACTTTGCCCAATTACTCCGTAACTACGGAGTGCTAGGTGATTGTTTCGAATGCATCCCCCTCTTCAGAGAGCACGACGAAGAGAAACTGTTTCCTGGGGTTGTAGAAAGTTCTCACTCATGTCCCAGAACCACCTGGTGCAGCTACCCCTCATTTACAAAGCCCTAGGCGTAAGACAAGCATAATAGGACTATTGTTCTTTTGATCCTATATCGTACTAAGATGGAGGTGATCAATTTAGTCCATATTTGCGCCTTGTTCGGGGGTAGCCCTTACATATACTATCAACTACATATCATATCATATCAACTTGGTACCTGGGGGCGGCGGTGGCATTACATAATCCTTGATGATGCTGCCGACCGCCAGGCAGTAAGTAATTCGGGACGCCGACAAACGTCAGGTAGCTTAACAGAGCTCTACGGACGAGCATTATTGGCGCCATTACTTTTATCTGATCTGTCTGGAGCGACTAGTACCTTTAGTGTCTTCCCTTTCTTTGTCCTAGATCTTCACCCACGATGACTTCCCTTTTCTTCTCTACCCCCGTGGACATCGACGTTGTCCTCGAAGACAGCGATGAGCGCCAGATGGTTGACGTCAAGCTCGACAAGGGCCATAAGGAGAGAGTGCCTCTGTATATGGATGGCGAATCTGTCAAAGGGGCCGTGACTGTAAGACCCAAAGATGGAAAACGATTGGAGCACACAGGCATCAAAGTGCAGTTTATTGGGACGATAGGTATGGAAAGCTGGCCTTCAGTGCTATAGGCTCCACGAACTCGCAGTCAACACCACATTTCGAACGTGGCGATCCCGTAACTAACATCATGCGCCTGTCTGAATATAGAGATGTTTTATGACAGAGGCAACCATTACGAGTTTCTATCCTTAGTGCAAGAACTCGCTGCTCCCGGAGAACTCCAACACCCGCAAACCTTTCCCTTCAACTTTAAGAACGTCGAAAAGCAATACGAATCCTACAATGGCATCAATGTTAAGCTACGATACTTTGTCCGTGTGACAGTCTCCAGGCGCATGGCGGATGTGATTCGGGAGAAAGACCTATGGGTTTACTCTTACCGTATGCCCCCCGAGACTAATAGCCCAATTAAGATGGATGTCGGTATCGAGGATTGCTTGCACATAGAGTTTGAATACTCCAAATCCAAATATCACCTCAAAGATGTGATTGTGGGACGCATCTATTTCCTGCTTGTGCGGTTGAAGATCAAGCACATGGAACTATCGATCATTCGACGAGAAACGACCGGGTCTCCTCCAAACCAGTACAATGAGAGTGAGACGCTGGTACGGTTCGAGGTGAGTTTCGGCGAAAATTATATCCCATGAATTGGCACGGATGTGGTTGTTAATGCATAAATGACACATAGATCATGGATGGATCACCGTCGAGAGGTAAGCTTTTTGTCCCCTCGTCCTTGTATCTGCTTTTGAGCCCTCCCCCATTTTCGGAAGAGACCTCTTCATGAGTCTAGGAAGAAGAAAAAAAATCAAATGATCACGGCAAATACTTACTATTACCAGGCGAAACCATTCCGATCCGTTTGTTCCTTGGTGGATTCGATCTGACACCTACCTTCCGAGACGTTAACAAGAAATATTCGACACGTTACTATCTGAGCTTGGTCCTTATTGACGAAGGTATGTTGACGTGTATACATGCGCCCATTGGTGGCTCTCTTTCTTTTATCCCGCACCCGCATATTTCAGCCTTTTGTTCAGGAGACCCTGAGCCATTCCCCGCACACTGGGGACTCAGTTGTGCATGTGTTGGCGCCCGAGTTATCTTCAGACCCCCATTGTCACAAGTCAATAGCCGACCGGCTATTGATCATCTGACCGTGGCCAGCCAAAAACTCGTGCGAGCTCGTCCGGATTGGTAACAAGCCGGCCTCTTCACAACCCCCACGCTAACCCTTACTTGGCCTCCCTCCTCACGTGGTTGTCCCCACTGTTCCCCAGTTTTTCTTTTTCCACCACCGTTTTTATTTTACACTATCGTCACGTCACGTATTCCCAGGGTTTTCATTTCAACCACCAGCTGCATGTATCTTCTCGTATTTTGGCTGACTTGGACCCCCTCAACTAGATGCCCGTCGGTACTTTAAGCAGTCCGAAATCATCCTTCACCGTCTAGCTCCCGAGGTACCTACGACCCCTCAGGTGGCCCAACAACAACAAATCCAACAGCAGCTCCTCCTGCAACAGCAACAGCAAGCAGTGCCACTCCCTCCTGGCTCAGCCACTCCCGGCCCAGGACGAGAGCCGCATCCTAGTCAAACAGTCACCGCTCCTGCGGCTTAAGTATCTATCCGCCTTTTCAAGCCAAGTCATAAAGCTCCAATTATAATGACTCGCTCGGTTGAGCTGCTCTTGATATTCTACATATACCCCGCCACGCTGGCTACTATGTACCGTACCTACTCTGTATCCGTACACTGTGTGTCTCTCTTATCATAGTCGTCACTGTCATCGTCCTCTATTTTGTTGTCTCTATTTCACAAGAGCCGGTTTCTCTCTTATCTTTCAATGACTGATATATAATTGACGCTTAAAAGTGTGGTTGGTAGAATCTGTTTCTCCTGCAGTGTAGCTGTATTCTGTGGCATGCACATGCCCAAATCATCGCCAAGAAGCTTTTCATCCAACATTTGTTCGAGCTTGGCTTCATTCAGAGACACGACTGTACGGAGTACTTTCGATGCAAACTACGGAGTAGACAAACGTATATTTAGAGTGACGAGGGTCGAACGCAACCCTCCTGTTACTTTGAAATATTACCATTTTGGGAAAGTTGTATGGCGTCATTGCCTGTACTTTGGGTCAGTATCATGTCACCTCAGTGAAGATACTCCGAGATACAGCTGTCGAGGAAATTCAATAATTATTGATCTCTTTGAATGGCCTCCATAAGTAGCTCCAGTTGCTGGGTTTCTAAAACCAGCTTATTCTGCGCAGCCCCCCCTTTCTAGGATGCGAGAATGCTAGCTGGCAAACTACAGCACTACTGAGCTTGCTTTCATACTCACTTTTAGCTCATATAGATGTAAATAATCTTACATGGAAGCCTTTCATGTGCATGTATATCCGTGTTTTCCGTATAGGATCCTTATCTGAGGATAGATCAATAGAATTGGAGGTCGAAGAGACTAGCGAAACAACTTCCCTTTCCCCCAATTTCCCCATTATCATAATAGGTGCCACTTACACTTTACTTCAAGTATCAGGGCAAGATTATATATGGGATGGGGAATTCTTTGTATCTCGAACCTCCGCACTCTCAAAATGCGGAGAAACCCCACGTGATATGACGCTGGGGGTCGGTTATCATCGGCGCTTAGAAGATGCAGAGGGAAGGTATATGAGGATTACGGCCTCTTCCACGCTCTAATGATTATCTTCTTCTTTTAATGACCGTCTCCCCTACCCAGCGTGGAAGCGACAATGAATGTTCTCCGGTGGAGTCGAGGTTTCTCCAGGGCTTGCATGTCCCCTAGACCCTTGTCAATCGCAGTTCGAGTTCGCCAACGACGGACTTTCCATGCTGCGTTATCTTTAGGTGGGATCCGGTCTCAGGTTTTGAAAGATGTTGGAGAGGGTGAGTTACGGATTCTTTTTTCGTGTTCCTTTACACTCGGTGTGCTTTTCGTTACTCTACTAATCAACATTCTTTGTTTGCAGGGATAACGGAGGTCCAGATAATCCAGTGGTACGTTGAGGAGGGTGCACGGATTGAGGAATGGAAACCTCTCTGTCAATACCAGTCAGATAAAGCAGTTGATGATGTAGGCTCCTTGCCTTGTCTCTTCTCGTTCCGTTCCAGGGCTAAATAGGTGCAGATTACCTCGAGGTATGACGGAGTGGTCAAACGGCTACACTTCCAAGCAGATGATACTGTCCCTACGGGAAAGGTAAATGCAACCCCTGAAAGACGTATGGGGGTCCTTCGATCACTAATTTCAATTTCGTGTAGGCTCTTGTTGATATTGAGGTTGATGATGCAAAATACCCCGAAGACCATGCGTCTCCGAGTCCTGCACCAGAGTCAACGCCTCAACAACCACAGACTATAGTCGACGCTCCAGCAAAGCCTCAGCCTGCAACTACATCACCACCACCCCCACCCCCCACCGCTTTAGCCAACGAGACTTCTGTGAATACGCCGAAATCAAAATATGCTACCCTCGCAACCCCAGCAGTCCGCGGCCTGCTCAAAACACTGAGCGTGAATATCGAAGATGTACAAGGAACCGGGAAGGACGGGCGTGTCCTCAAGGAGGACGTCCATCGATTCGTGGCAATGAGAGAGAGCCAGGTTGCTGCTCCTGTCCAACAGGAGGAAACAGCAGTCAATCTCACGCCGATTCAGTCGCAGATGTTCAAGACCATGACTCGGTCCCTTAGTATCCCACACTTTTTGTACGCCGACGAGCTAAACATCAACAATGTATCGGCGCTGCGAGCGAAAATCGCCAATGGCACCAAAGACCCCAGGAAAATCACGTTTCTTTCCTTCGTTATCAAAGCCGTCTCTCTCGCGCTGCACGAGTACCCTCTCCTCAATGCAAAACTGGACACCACCAACCCCGATAATAAGCCACACCTGATCATGCGACCAAGACACAATATCGGCGTTGCGGTGGATACGCCGCAAGGGCTGGTAGTCCCGAATATCAAGGACGTTGGCAGCCGCTCCATTCTCGAAGTTGCCGCGGAGCTCTCGAGACTAGGCGCGCTTGGGAAGGAAGGAAAGCTTACTCCTGCCGACCTTCGCGGCGGCACGATCACCGTCTCAAACATTGGAAACATTGGAGGCACTTATGTCGGTCCAGTGATTATTCCCAATGAATTGGCTATTCTGGGGATAGGAAGGGTCAAAACAACGCCCGTCTTTGATGCTGCCGGCCACGTCACAAAGGGTGAACTGGTGAATTTCAGCTGGAGTGCCGATCATCGCGTGGTAGATGGTGCGACGATGGCTAGGATGGCTAGTAGGGTTAAGGAGTTTATCGAGTCTCCTGATCTGATGCTCTTACATTTGCGATAGCCTTCGTGGTCCTATTCTTAGAGTTACATAGAACAGTCATTTCCTCCCCCTTTCCCTCCTTCTTAAAGTTTTCATGTATACCTGCGTTTCTTCTTGTAGTTTACGTATACCGGTAGGCAGGTCTCTACTGGCAGGGACGAGACTAGCTGTGGAATATCACTTGGGTGGTAGTTGAGGTTTCAATGTTACTTGACAAAAACCTAAGTAAAAAGTGTTAAGGAAACCCCTTAATTAAGCGAAGTGTGTGAAGAGTATTCTACTCATTCGTAGGTGTCTAAAAAAAAAAAAAAAAAAAAAAAAAAAAAAAAAAAAACATTCATAAATCCAGGATCATTTCTGTCCAAGCTCTTGCTGCTTGATTTGTCGCATCATCAGCCGGGCATTCATTCCTACAATGCATCGCACAAGGTCCCAATCGCCATCCAACCCAACCCAATCGGTGACAAGGATACCCGTAGACCAATCGCAGTCATCCCCTTCGCCGTGGATTCTGCAAAGATGGTCGACGGTGGCGGGGTTCAACTTGGCTGCAATCTTTTCGGGCCAGGTATTGACCTTCCAGAAGTTGCTTGCGGACAAGAAATTGACATAGAATGGATGGGCCCGGGTTGCGTTGGGGCCCGGAAGGATACCGAAGGGATAGCATGTTTCGCCGGCCCGCTTGCACTGATCGACAACGTACCCGATTTTCTTCTCGATATTCTGGGTTTCCATGACTTCGTAGAAATCCTGGATGCAAATCTGACCGCTTGGGCAGGTGGCGTTCGCGCAATTATCGGCCCACCCGGTAGCATTGATACCCCAGCCGCGGCCGCCGCCGTGCACGTCCTTCAGTCCCTCGAGGATGTTGAACCGGCGCACGAGGACCACTTTCCCGCGAGCCTCGCCGAGCGTGGGGATCTTGGGATCTGTGTACCACCGACTGTCGGGACGGGCGTAATGATCGTGCAGAATTCGGCTTAGCTGTTCGTCGGTATGGGTTCCGGGACCCTCGCGCTTCAGAGACATGATGAGAGTCTCTGATGGGTTCTGTTCTAGGAAGTCGTTCACTTCGCGCATAAGCTCGCGGAAGTACTTACTTCCTGTTAGGGAGATAGGGAAGACGCTGTGCACGAGGATAAGCTCGTCTTTAGCGGGATCCTCGGGGTACTGGGGCTGCACGCGAATATCGAAGAATCGCACGCCATTTCGGAGTTGTTCGCGTGGGCTGACCGCTTGGCAGCGAACGGAGGGGGGGGCAAGATGACAAGTCGGGGAATTGTGTGTTCCTGGGATGGACAGCGCTGAAAGTAAGGTGTTGTCCTTTAACTCACGCATCCACGAGTTGAGGTTTGCGGAGGAGAAAATGGCCAGGTGAGATTCGCGCGTTACGAAGACCCCCGTAAATTGGAGTTCAGGGTTTGGGGACAGCGGCTTCATCGTAGCAGATTCGGCTGTAGGCACAGGGGTTTGGACTTGGTGTCTCTCTCCCTGTGATTCAAAGACCCAGCGCAGGCGCTCCTTGTCTGAATCGATGAAGGCGCGGAGCTGGGTGCGCACTGTTTGGAAAGGCTCGACATGGATGTCAACGTCCTCTTCGGCGAATGGCTTAGTGTCATCGTTGATCACCGCAACAAGCGGCCCGGCACGGGTAACATTGGTAAATACGCGTGTGAAGTTCTTTGCTAGGGATTGGATGTTATCGCGAGGCTTCTGGGCAGCGTGGAATCGTTCAATGCGCTTCAACGTAATTGGCGTGGAGGTGAGGTTACGAATCGTCAAATGTTCTGCAACCATGGCGGTGATCAATGCAATTCTCTCAGCAATTAAGACAAAGACTTCTCTGTTAAGGATACAGTGCCTATGTCTCTAGGGGTACGACGACGCTTTGGCTGGCCTGGCAAGAGGCTGGAGGGAGGTTGTCAGACGATTGAAGCGAAACGCGAAATCCACGAGCAGGGCCGAGCCTTGAGGGAACACAGGCGCCTCCGACGCCAGGAGGGTTGGCGCTCACTATTGGTTCCGTCCAGCTAAGGATCCAATTAGTCTCCATCTTGAGTCCTTGGCCTTTTGACAACGTCGAATCGCTGATTTAGATTAGTCTTCACCATCTTTGGTGGTAGGTAGAGCTGCCAGCGGGGTGGGGTGGGGTGGAAAGGCTGCAGCGGAATACAGAACCACTGGATCCAATTCCAGTTCAGTTGCCTGGATATGTCTCGTCCACTTACTTATAATGAGTCTGGAGACTCCGTAATCCTGGTGTGCTTCTTAACTGACCTCTTTCAAACAAAGTTGAAGCTATTCATGTGTCCATCACCTGCCCTTGTTGGTGCCTCTGCCGTCAGGTGTAGAAACCTTGAAAAAAGCCCCCAAGAGTTTTTTTTTTATAAACAAGGGGAAAAGCACTTCAAGCTCTAAAGGAATCATGATCTTTATCAAGGAGGAAATAAAGTAGAAAAAAAAATACAAGTAGTTATTATACATGAAAATGCAAGACAGCCTTTGTGCTATATCGATTTAAGAATCGCTCTTGTTCTCACCCGATGCACCTTTCTGCTCATCCTCCAACACACTTCTCCTGCTCTCAAGAGTAAAGTAAATGCTCCTGCTAGCTCCATCCAGAGCATTAGTAATGCTAGATCCCATGCTCTGCAAGGCCATGATGAGTTGCGACCGCAGTCCATCCATACCACCCTCAATGCTTCCAACCCATTTCGTTTGGTCGACATCAAACACTTTATCATCCATGCGAGCGGCGAGTACGCTCAATTTGTTGAGGCCGTTCTGCACAGGGAATTCATGCCATGACGGGTTCGCCTTTCGGGTAGGGGCGGGATAACCAAAGGATTTGGGAGCAAGAATGGACATAGCGGCCTTCAGGTGTTCGGGCGACATGTGGGGGATAGAAAGCACTGCAACCGGCCCGACAAGAAGGGAAGCGAGCTCGTGCTTTCCCTTCATGTTTCGCACTGCGTCGTGAGCAGCGCGTGAGAGATCGTGGGTCAATGACGGGTCATCTCTGGATCCGGCTCTGGCGGATGTTTGTGAAGTCAACGCGGAGGTTTCAGGCTGGAAATACTCTACAATCCGCAGAGCCACCTCGAAGATACTGGTTTGGACGATCTGGACTTTGACATGAGGCGCTAAAGCCGGGGTAGATCGACCTGCTGCGGCAATCTGCGCGTCCACCTTCTCCATTGCCTTGTTCAGCTCCCGACGGATTGCAGCCCATTCCACTGACTGAAGATTATCGTGTTGGAGAAAGACCATAAGAGGGGTGGTGCGAATAAGAGAGGTGTATTGCCGGAGAAGTTGCGAGCGTCGATACTCGGGGTTGCGGTGTGACGGAGGTTGGGAGGAAGGAGTTCTAGCGATGGAGGGAGCAGACACGGTCATCTGATCGATTGACGGAGCCGGAGTCGTAACGGTCGCAGCGGTACTGGCATATCGCAACGCGATAGGGAGTTCATATTGGCAGAGAAGCCTTTGACTCCGGACAGGTTGAGGAACCCGGGCGCTCGAAAGACGAAGCCTGGGAGGCATTGTGGATGAGAAATGTTCAATATGAAATTAAAATCAAAGCCAGAAGGTTATTCAGATACACCAAGCAATTGGTAAACCACTCGAAGCGCGGGGAATTGGCAGATACCATCAATCCAAGCCGTCTTGAAGATGCAGCCAGACAAAAATAATACGAGACGAAATCTGAAGGCCCAAGAAGGATTAGCGGGGATTTAGCGGTGTGTTTCTGCCGGGCGCTATGACCCGCTCAGCTCCGATTGCCGTATGAAGTAAGGACTAAATAGTTAGTTAGTTAACTAGTTATGTGTCATCGACCGTCTTGAACAGTTACTGAGTTATAACTATAGTCTGTTCTCCCTCAGTTGAGAGCTCTCTGCCTGTTGACCCTACTTTCAAAAGGTCTTAAATCCATTCTGCCTCTATTTCGAGCTCCAATGTCCGCTTCACTTCGCCAAAAGCCGGAGAGTATCTCCATCAGTCCCCTCCTTAAGAAGCTTGCCTACCCCGCGTCCGAAGTCGCGGTAGAAGCTTCAGAAATCGCTTCAGCATTCGCATTGATTTTCGAAGATCGTCTTTCAGATATTCAAACAGCGGCCCTGTTGACTCTACTGCACTCAACTGGAAAAGATCGAGATGCGGAGGTTATTGCAAAGTGTTCGCATCAGATGAGAGAAGCCGCTCGCCAGGTCAACAAAACTGCTTTGAGACAAGCCATTCAAGCCCGTGGCAGGAAAGAAGGAACCTACCGAGGTGGTTTGGTAAGTTTTTCGGGATACAATTTGCTGTTCTTTTGTTCATGATTCTGACCCCTTGCGTTCTCAACTGCAGTGCGACATTGTTGGAACCGGCGGTGATTCGCATTCCACCTTCAATATTTCCACCACCTCTTCTATTCTCGCCTCACCGCTCCTCATGACAGCTAAACATGGAAATCGGGCTCAGACTTCGTTTTCTGGATCGGCTGATGTCCTCAATGCCATCTCTCCCGTTCCCCCCAAAATCTCCGCCGTTACTGCCCAGAACCTCCACGAAGTGTACGCCGCTACGAACTATGCCTTCCTTTTCGCACCTAACTTCCACTATGGCATGATGTATGCTGATAATGTGCGCCGAAATCTTGGCTTACGAACAATCTTTAATCTTATGGGCCCCCTCGCAAACCCTGTCGATTGGGCTATCGAGGCTCGTGTCGTCGGCGTAGCCTACCAGGCTCTTGGGCCCGTGTTTGTTGAGGCTTTGCGCCAGAATGGATGCAAGAAGGCACTCGTTGTTTGTGGCATGGAAGATTTGGACGAGATCAGTTGTGCTGGGAAGACCAACTGCTGGCAATTGTCCGAAATCCCTAACCCAGAGTATACCGAGGGAGAGGATTCCAATGATGACGAGGAGCGTGTCCCCCGTACCATAGCCAAATTGGAATCATTCCAATTAGAGCCCGCCGATTTCGGCCTTCCGGTCTACCCTCTGACCGCCGTCTACGGTAGGAAGATGCCCAAGGAGAACGCGGCAAAGCTGATGAGCATCCTACGGAACGAACTGCCTCGGGATGACCCGATTCTGAGTTTTGTTCTTATGAATGTGGCGGCTCTTTTGGTGACTTCGGGAGTCTGTGAATCGGACACCAGCAACATGGGTCCTGGTGACGATGGCCAAGTGATCACCGAGCGCGGCCCAGGTGGTGGCCGTTGGAAGGAAGGTGTCCGGCGTGCACGCTGGACCATTGAAAGCGGCGCCGCTCTCAAATGCCTCGAGGGTTTTATTGAAGTAACCAACAAACTTCAGTAAAGGCTACGAGTATATGTATTTCGGATCTCTCTTTTTAAATTTTTTTTGTGATATTGGAAACGGATTAATGAAAAAAAAAGGAAAGGGAAAAAAAGGTTTTTTTTTTTTCGGTATATGATTATTATGTTGGATGAAATCATTATAAAGATATTTTCTGGGGAATTTCTGCAAAAGTTGGCCAAAAATAGTCTGTAAGTCGCTAGATATCAAGGACTATTGTTCATACTTGTCTCCTCTTCTTCAACAAGCCATGTAAGACAACCATTGCAGTACTGCATAATGTACTCTTGAATCACTCAAATCCCAAAGCGCCAACAAATGCACGTAAAAAAAAAATAAATAAATAATCGTAACTGGCAAACAACGAACGCAATGAATCTTTCTCACTCCCTTCATCTCGGGCCCAATCTCCCGCAACATACACGATATCAGATCTTCTCCGCTCATCGGGCTTCGAATTGAACCATACTATACACGAAAGAATCAATCGACATTAGCCAAAAATAAATTCTCGATGCATTTGCCGCCCCCTCCAAACATCGAATTAACAAATGGCCCTCACTCACCGTTTGGTTCTTTCCTTGTACAAGACACGATGTCCGCACTCCTTGCAGCGGATCTGGTCACCGCGTTTCAGCGAGACACGGGAGTTGCACTCGCCGCACAGGTAGGCGACGATAGGACCGTCCAGGGAGCTGGAACCGAGGCCGTCGTTGCTGAAGGCGTTTTGGCCGCCCAAGGTTGGGGGGACTTGGTATGCTTCGCGGGACATGATTTGGTTATTGATTTTTGATTTGGGTTGGTTTTTTCGAGCAGGTCAGAACTGATGCGATCCAGGTGTATTGATGAGATGAGGAAAGAGGTAGATGGTTGGTTGGCTTGAGGTGATAGAAAAATTGGAGGTCGTTTCTTTTCTTTTCTTCTTCTTCTTTGCGACGGATCTTTTTTTTGATGTGATGAGTCAGCAGGGGCTCATCTATCTTTACTCATTGGGGCCTGAGGCATTAATTTTAACACATTGGCTCTTTTTTTTTTTGGCTTTTCCTAAACTCTACAAGTTAATCCGTATCTTTTATTATTATTATGATTTACACAGATTGGTTATCAATTTCATACAGTACAGGAAGTTTTACTTATATGCATGCCTGGATCTCCTTCACCATTCATCAAGTTTAAACCATCCCCAAATAAATACCGATTGCAACTGCTAATAAATACCAGGGAAAAGAGAATATTTCACCCGGGCCTTGATCTCTGTATAGGCTTCGCCATACTAAGTTTATATAGAGTCAGATTTTCCAAAAAAGGCAATCTTTCCCGATAGGGGGGAGAACACGTACCCTTCCAACCAAGTACTCGTCCATGACAGGCACACCACGCGAGGCAAAGTCATTGAAGAAGAATCCAAACGTGAGGATACCCCACGGCCAACCACCTGCTACCAAAGCGTATCCGGCGCGCCACAGAGTGTACCCGCCATAGTTGATATTGGTAGCGAGCGAGAACAGTCCTCCTCCATAAGGCTTGCCCTTGTTGGCTGGATCCTGTTTGAAGGATTTGCGCTGGAACTCGGACACGGCTTCCGTGAGGATCCCGATAACATATAGCCCCAGCCCAATAACCAGCACGGGCTTTTGCAGAATGTCCATGATGCTATCGGATTCAGGGGCCGGGGACGCCAGAGCCCAGAGAGACAAAAGCGTGTTGGCGCTGTTGCAAAGGGTATTGAATGCCGGGACAAAGAGCGCAGTGGAGACTGGGAATGCTTGCTCCGTGATGAGCACTATCGTGGCGAGTTGCTTAAGCGTACTCCCGAAGGACAGGAGCCATATCAGGCAGTAGTAGGGCTGGAGATGATTTCCAGCATGGCTCCAGACCTGGCTAAAGCTCACCGGGTGGCCACCGAGCGTTTTGATGAACTCGAGGCCCCAGCCACGGCTGAGGAGATGATATTGCCAGAATACATCTACCACTCGAAGACTAGCAAAGATGGACTTTCCCAGGGGAGAGGGCTTCTTGTCTCTTGAGACGTAGTCGTGAAGCTTTTTAGGCGCCATATCCGTGCGTCAAAAATGTAAATCATGTTTCAGCTCTGCTAGCCAAAAGAGCTCTCGTTAAATACTTTATTTTCTTCACATTAGCTCATCAAACCATCATCCTGCGATTATACATACTTCTCCTGTTGGGTGACCATGATTTAAGCGCGGCGAGATCAGATGATGTAATCGAAGTAATCCCGAGTTCTAAAGGAACAAGATATTAATCATATGCGTTCAGAAACTGGCTAAATTACCTAGTAGTAACTATATGAAGTAGCTGAAGTCTTGGGGTCTCTATCACCGACCCCGATTCCGGTTAAATGTATATTAGATGAATCGCTAAGTGTAATGCCTAGTAATCTATTGTTCTCAAATGAAGGTCTGATTCTCCTAATCCTAGTAATTTGGTTGACTTAAATACATGAATAAGCTAATGTGATTTAACTGGTAACTAGTTAACTATCTTAAGTATTATAAATAGCTCTTTTTACTCCTAAAGAAATGCGACTTGCTTCTTTGCTGCCATTTCCGGCAGCAACTGACGCCGAAAATGGCAGCCTTCCAGCAACCGCCTAATGCCACGCTCCCGCACTCTCTGTGCACGCATCCATCGGGCGCATTTGTTTCTGCCTGAGGAAGCTTTGTCTCTTGCGCGCTTCGGCTGTCATCCTCTCTCGTCGTCGCTGAGGTCCCTTGACCCCTGCAAGCTTACTCTGGATTCTATTACCTTCCATCCTTCTTCGCCTTGCATCGTTGCATCCCTGCTTCTCAAGCCTCCATCTCACCTCGATCTTCGTTCAGCAAGGACTTTGATATTGTCTCGGCAAAAGTTCCGCTCTGCCTCTCAAATCAGCACCAGTGAAACTTCGAGCACATCTGCTGTCACCGACGACGATTCACCTTACGCCTCCGCGACGGACACAGAACTTACGGATCTAGAACGTGCTTCGTCAAGGTACCGAAAAGCCAAACGGGGAAAGACTAGCATCAATGCCAGTGTCCAAGCAGGTCCTACAAATTGTCCTCCGCCATCCGCCAAGGATGTGTGCGTGTTGACTGTGGAACAGCTGCATCGTGCTCGCTATGAAGACCCGGCTGATGATACCGACGAGGATCTTGCTAATGTGCCAGAGGATTATGGAAAGTCTTCCAATACCAAGATTCAGAAACTTCGGCTGAAGAACCGCTGGGCGCGGTGAGTGACTCCTGGTTCAGACCCGTCCTTAGGGGTCTTGTTTGTTACCTGGTGGTTCTCATCTGACTTACTGTTATGGGTAGATACTGTCGGGTGAATGCAATCAAACCGTCGGCCGATCCGAAGTGGGAGGATGCAGAAGAAGCCTTACAGCAGGCAACACCGAACGATATGCATCGGTTCCTCAATTTTTGTCTCAAGTTAAAGTACAATTCCGACGGTCGCCGTCTCAAGGGCTACAAAAAGGCGAGCGCTATTCAAGCGGACTGGAAGTATTTCCGGGTCTACTACACACGAGTCACCAAACATGAGATGAGCGAGGAGATGGGTGAGGCCGTTCGCACGGTAAGCTGCTCTCAGGTCCAATGGTGGCAGTCACGTGGTTTGATCTGACATTTGACATTGCCGAGCAGGGTTTGAAACACTTGATTGATAAACACGGACTTGATAAACAGCCGCGGGAGAATGTTCCAGTCTATATTGAAGATATGGTTCCCTTAAACGAAACCATTCTCCAGACCCGCGAAAAGCGATTTCACCTAGGGTTCCAGAGGATAAGTCTATGCCTTTACAATGTCATAGGACTGTTTACCGTCAACCGGAAACATGCAGTCCTAAGCCTGCAGTTCAAACACCTCCAGATCACTCTTCAGCGAGATCCACACGGAGGACCTCCTGTGCCAATGATCGAACTCAAACCTGAAATTTTAAAGAACCTTGGGATGGCAAAACTGTATGGAGCTCATCGTTTCGAATATCCCTCACATGCTCATATCCAGTTTCTTCTGCATAGTAACACATTTGCTTTACCTGAAATTGTATACGGTGTATCGCTTGTTTTCAGTCCACACGTTTTGATTTTCAGCATCTTGTTTTATGCCCGTGCTTTTGAGGCGCCAGACTTGAAGTCAATGGATGACCTTCGGAGGCTTCTGGTTGAGGATGACCGACAGGAAATGCCACTCCCTCTGAAGCCCGAAATGGACAACTACTATGTCTTCCCAAGAGTTGACTTGGTTAATGGTCAGCCTAAAATTCTCTGGGAGACTCCGCTGAACGGCAACAAGCTGCATGGCCAGCTTCGGAGTCTGAGTGAGATCCATGGGTTTCTCAATCCGTTCTTCTCCCATCAGTTTCGGTATGGAGGCGGGCAGCTGCTTGACGAAAGCGGTACGTGGTTTTCTTTTGCCCATCTTTGTGCGGGTTCAAGAACTAACTATTTAGCCTAGGATTCGTCAGTGAGGCTCAACGGAATGTGATCATGTTGCACGCGAGTAGTAAAACCTTTGTCCAACACTACCGTCCGCGCAGACATGCTGGATTGCAAGAAATCATGTGTGGCCTAAATCCTGACGTGGAGTTTTCCCGAGCGGTGACACGGATGAGTCGCTGGATCGACAAGCGCCGCCCTCGATACCTTAGCGAGTTAGACCGGGCATTGGTAGAGAAGGATCCGGTGCTCCAGGCAGCTGTCCGATGGCAGGCTGATTTGGAAATTCAGCGCAATCGCTCTGAAGATTCGGCGTTGGACGCACTGCTGGAGGACCAGAAGTAGAAAGTCAAGAATCTGCGCCGGAGTCTGCAGGAAAAAACAACGAAAGCAATTACGCCGAGATTTCAGCCGGAAACAGGCAGTGATCGATATTCAAAGGCAGCTTAGTGGTGGTGCAGTGAATGACGAGCCCGCGCGCGAGATCTTACGGCAGGAGTTCGCAATGCCCCCGGAACAAATCCTACTCATTGAGACCTTCTTCACGTGGCCTACTTCGGATTCACTAGAGGACGAATGGATGAGGCGTAATCAAGCCGTTGCAGCTGCAATCCAGTATTGTGGGTTTCCTGAAGGTGGCCCACTTCGGGGAAGGCCGAAGCGCCCTGCACCGGCTGAGGATGAGGAGTGCATTGCTCGACCACCGGCTCGCAAACAGAAGTCCGAGGTTCGTCCGAGTATATCAGCCTGGGAAGAGCAATCCGCCGCCCTGGATGAACAAATAAAGGAAGATTTGAAGCCTCAGGTGTGTTTTCAGTGCCGCAAGAAATACTCCGACCACTACGGGCTGAGGAGACACTTCAAGATGTCTCATTTGCAGGACCGCAAAATGCAACTTCTGTGATGATATAGAATTTCAGCATTTGATGCACTTACAAAGACATGCAGAAGATGTACACCGGCTTCGTACATAAGATGCCTGTCTCTTTCTGGTTGAATTTTTTGGAAATGATCAAATGGAAAGCAGTCAGCTTACAATGAGATGCATACGTGTGAAGTACAGTGGGCAGACCGGCTGCGGGCTCAGGTACTTTTCTGCTCTGTTCCATCAGCTTACCATTTGTAGCAGGACAGATGGTATAGATCGTATTTGAGCAATAGAGTGCTCAAATAGTCATTGATCTTATTAGTGTCATGTGAATTGGTTATTAGGTAAACAAAGCTTCAATGGGTTAAGGTGCGAATCAGTTCTGGGAGACCAAGATTGAAAAGCCCTCTTGGTTGGGTGGTCCGGAACGCGCTTTGACAAATGCTTTGCTTGATACAGACAATAGACTTTCGCGAGATAGCTATTTTAAAACTAATGCTTGCATAAGCATTTGCTACGTCACGCAACTTGGTTACCAGAGAAATCAAGCTAGTAAACAGCTAATACATTTGACTAGTTCCCCAGCCGTAATCTTACAAGGCGTCCTAGATCTGTGGAGCCATCTGCACTGACGCAAATTTCAGTCATCTCCCGAAGCGTCCTGTCTATATACTCTCCCGCACCGCTGAGTTTCAGAATATGTGCAATAGCACAGTGGACCTTTAGAAGCTTACTAGCGGGTGGATCAATAATAGTAAGTTCAGGACTTAGATGAAGTTTCCGGGTAACTGGAAATAGAGGATCGCGCAAAAATGGCCTTTGTTCGGTAGAGTCGATCGTATATGTGCGCTCCATGGTAGGGTCCTTCTGTTCGAAATATATCTCAAACTCTCCAAACAGCCGATGGTAATTGTGGGTTAGCGTCAAAGCATTGTAGGGACTATCGATCTCTGGCCCTGCGATAAGAGGGCCTATGTCCGGATCAAACATATCCAGAATGTACAAAGCAGCCTTTTTTGACTCACTCTATGCTTATAATTAGAAAGAAACTAAGAACCTGGTCACACTATGGGACCATATACCAATTCTGACTCTTCAGAAGAGACCGTCACAAGTGAATGGGGAATTATATGCGCCACTTCTAGATATTTGAATTGGTCACTCTTTTGATTTCTTAAAAACTCTCCATCATCATCTTTGCTATTCTCGTTCTGCTCAAGCCGCTTTTTCGCTTCAGCTCTATCAAACTTGCGGGAGACAATACAGCGATAGTGATCACGTTTGAGGCACTCTTGTCGTAACCTAGACACACGACTTTTGGTGCCCGTTGGTGCATTTTGATTCGCGGATAACGCTACAGGTGTAGGCTGTGGTGTTTTCACTGATGACGCCCTAACTACAACATGTCATAAAAGTTAGCTCCTCCCCGGATAAATCGAGCTCGTAGGCGGACATCAACTCACGTGGCATGAAAAAGTTATCTATCAAATATTCTGCAAAGTTGTCGATGGTATCCATAGCTGTGTCTTGATTCTTCGAACCCCACGACAAGAAATCGCGCAAGTAGGTGAAAACTTGAGAGAAATCCGAGCCTGTTCTGCGCTCTTCTTCCGGTGTTACATTCGTGTATATGTAAGTAAAGAAGTACTTGAGGAAGGCATCCTTGCATTGAATGCGTCCAAATGTCTCTTCTATGAGAACCGCCGGGTTGTACCGCCCTCTTGATGAACGCTCAGGTGCATAGTCAATCAACGTCTTGAACAAGATTCGCGCTATTTGACTCTCTTCCGGTGTCAAGAGTGGTTTCCGAGGCGGATGAATAAACCCTGTCAGGGACAGCTGGTGGCGGTGATGTGCAGTGGCCATTAAAAGTCGAGTCAAGGACGCTTTTAAATCTAGTTTTGCGATTAAGGATGAGATGCGGTTGTGGTTGGGAGGAAAGCTCTCGCCATTACATACATAGTCAGCTGGTTGTCGGAACAACATTCATCCTAGAACCCACAGGAGTATCGTCTGGGTACAGTGGACGAACTGCAGTCGTATGAGATTAACAAGCTAAGTAGACCAGAAAAAGTTCAATACATATGCAATGCAATGCAGATAGCAGTTCCATCACTGAAGATATCCTCTGGGACATCGTCGTGGCTGTCCAATTTGCCACCACTGTCCACGTGGGCAGTGAGCTTCACAAGGTGGAGTTTTCGTAGTCTGTAGTGTTTCCTACCCTTGAGATCCTGCCAACACCACTGGCCAAAGTCGCTGCATGAAGGCACTGAGTTTAGGTAAGACTGTGTGGCTTCAGGCTCGAGCTATTGGTAACGATGCTCGATCGAGGATCATCATAACTCCGGAGAAAGCTCCACTCCTGATCGCCATCTCCGCAACCAGCGTCAGCTCTATATAAAAAAGCACGAACTCATCTCGAAGGCAGGTCAACGGCTGCAACAAGGAGAATGCTTCCAAATTTGCGTCTAAAGCCTTATAGGAGACTGCTTCCTATTCCATTCCATCCCATTACAAGAACGCAGCTCCGACTATCATTCCAGTCGCTGAGAAATGCGAGCTCAACCCCGTCGAGCTTTCCAAGGGCGAAAACGGGGGAAGAAGAAAGAAAAAAACCAAGAGAGCCATCTCCCAGGCTACACAACATGCACACCCAGACCAGAGAGGAGAAATCAAGAAAACCCAAGAGACCGTCTCCTCGACCAAGCCGCACGACAGGCGAAGCCGGAGACAAGAAAGCAGTAAAACGACCAACCCGGCCATCATCTTATCGGCCACGCACCACCGCCGCGTCGACTGAGCCAGTCGACCGGCTGGCCCAAGTCTTCACGCCTTCATTACTGCCCCGAGTGTACAGCTTCTGGTTCCAACACGTAGAGAAAGACGAAAACTTTACACTCCCAACGCAAGAGACATTCCAGCGCTGGTTCAGCAGAGATCCCGAGTTTGACCTCGGATGCATGTAAGAAATGCCCTCCCCTTCCCTACATCACATCACACCTTCTTCATCTTCTAGACTAAGAACCGTAAAAAAAAAAAAAAAAAAAAAGAAACGAATTCGAATCCATCCTAGAAGCTATCCGCAAGGAAGGCAAGAATGCAACCGCAGATCGCATCATAGAACTAGCGAACCCCCGTTCTGCGCTCGACTGGCTCAGCCTCGTGATTCTTCTCGACCAGATCCCCCGGAATTGTTACAGGGATGCAAAGTCGGCGGTTGTCTTCAAGTTCTTCGACACGCGAGCGCGGCGCGTTACCTTCCAGGCCTTTAATGCGGGAGTGCTCTCCAGCCCGGAGATCCGGTATCGCATGGCGCTGCGGTTCTGGTTTTACCTGCCGCTGATGCATTCGGAGAGCCTGCGGATGCATGCGGTAGCGATGCGGAAGTATCGTGAGATGGAGAGCGAGCTTCTGCAGCTCTTGGAGGCGGGTAGACGACGGCCTGAAGGTGGGGCCCCGGTTGCAGCCGAGGAGGTTGACGACGAGGAGCTCGAACCCAAGCAGTTGGAGAACGAGGAGGAGGAGGAGGAGGAGGTTGAAGATGAGGTTCAGGACGACTTCAATGACAAGCTGCTTGAGCGCAAGGAATTCGAGTATGCGTGGATGCTTGGGAAGAACCCCGAGGCCGTGAAGGCGCTTTGTGCGCTTCTCGTGAAAACAGAGGGAGAGCATCGGGAGATTATCGCGAGGTTTGGGCGATATCCGCATCGCAACCAAGCGCTTCAGCGGACGACGAAACCAGAGGAGGAGAAGTTTCTTGCAGAGAACCAGAGTTTTGGGGGGTAGTATGTAGTAGTATTAATTGCTTTTATTTCCAAGTCAGATCTAATTTTAACACATGTCGCCGCTTTAACTAACTACAGTTCAACTAGACTGAATATTTACTTAGGAAGCTTCTACTGTCTTGATAACCAAAGTAATTCACATGATTTTATTCTAAACCTGTAAATTGAATATAGGGTATCGATATTATACCTTAGGTATCAACTTCCGTGTGAGTTATCTGATGGGAGAAAGTCACCTGGTTGGCCACAGATTGATAAATAGCCATGGGCATCCGAAGTGGACTCGGAGTATGGAGGACTTTTTATCAGATCCGTATAGTATATATGTACGTCGCTCGCTGTGGTTATGGTTCTTGTTCTCACATTTTGGATGGATGCGATTGATTCAAGGGTTATGGGTATATCTTGCCTAAACATTATCTAGAAAAGATCGACAGCACATCGTATATATATATATAGATAGATAGACTAAATCAAAAAAATAATAAATTATTTTGCAGGAGTCATTTCAATCTGCACGGCCTGGTCAAAAATTCCACTGTGAACCTGCTGGACAATCTCGTCCGGTCGCTCTCGCATCACGGCCAGTTTCTTCTCCGCATAGCCCTTGAACCCCGGGATGCGACTGACCGTGCGCAGCATGCGCTCCTTGAAGGTAACCATGCCGTTGCGCTCCTCGTACAGCAGATACGCGACGGAGAGGGTGATGAAGATCCAGTAGACATTATACGAAATGACGGATCCATAGGTGCCGGTGTTTTGCCAGCCCAGGATAGCATTGAACACATCCCATCCGTTGTCAATCTCCGGGTTGCAGCAGTTGACATGCCAGACGGTCTGGCGGATGTTATACGAGCCGGGGCCGTCTCCTGCCTCGGCCACGTCACTCCCGACTTTCAGCTGGAAGGCGTAGAACTGAAAGCTCCAGATGGAGCGAGAGAACATGCCCGCGGCGATCAGGTAGAGGACGCAAGTCGAGGCGATGAGGAAGATCTGGATGGACATGGCATTGCCGCCACGATAGAGGAGGTATCCGACCAGGAATCCCGCGAGGAATCCGGTGAACACGGGCAGCGGGAACGCAGACGCAGAGTACCCGAGAGACACGCCACCGACGAAGACCACAGCTTCCAGACCCTCGCGCAGGGTGGTAATAAACGGCAGCAGGAACATGGAGTAGCGTCGAGCCCAGTCGCCCAGTAAACGCGACTTTTTCCCATGCGTATGGTTGTCCAGCAGGGCCTTGGCGATCTTAATACGCCACTGCTCCTTGGATTTGTTGATGCGGAGCAGGGCCAGACCCATGATGGTGACGATGATGGTAGCGACGAGGTAGAAAACGCCTTCCCAGATATCCTCTGAATTGGCCCAGAGATCATGACCAAGACCATAGAACACCCCGATAAAGGCCCCTCCGATAATCAAGCAGATGACAACCCCCGAGATCGAGCCAAGCCAGACATGACGGACAAGCTTTTTGTACATAGCTTGATCTTGGTGCGGCTGGCCCAGACATTGGCGCAGGAACGCCAGCAGCACGGAAACCATGATCGAGGCCTCGAGGGTTTCTCGAAACATGATGAAGAAGACTTGAACGGCGAAGACGTCCGGCATGATGATGATGATGTATATTTCTCTCTTAAAGAAGGTGGGGGAGTTGAGTTCTTGAACCGGAGGGGGAGAGAAGGATTTATGAGGGGAGGAGAAGAAGGGGAGGAAAAGGGAGAGAGAAAAAAAAATAGATTAAAATGCGCGAAATATTGAGTCTACGGGGACTCCAGACTGCGCATCAGGCAATCTGCCCTCTTCTACCATGGACCTTTCGCTTGCGATGATTCACGGATTCCCTTATTATTGGCCTGAGATGCCATTCTATCCCGTTATCGATCAGATATGGACCTCGTGTTCAAGTCTAGCCTGCACTAAAAAAAGCTTCACGACGGGGTTCCTTTTCCCGGCCTCCAATCGTCTCCCTATCTGATGAAAATTTCAGCACGCTAAAGCATTTCTCGTATTTTATCAGATGGAAAACTCCCTATTGATCGGGGTACTACTAGGAATCTATGTACGTTTAAACCCTTGGGAGTCCCTCTTCTTCTCTTTTTCACATCCTTCACCCTTCTCTTCCTCTCTTCCTCTCTCTGTAATGAGGACCCTCATCCGCTCCGCTCTGGCAACGGCGGCCGTGCTCTGCATCGCTAGCCGTGCCACTGCAAAAGATGTCGTCCATGACTTCAATGTGACTTGGGTGACGGCCAATCCGGACGGATTGATGGAGAGGAAGGTCGTGGGGATCAATGGTCACTGGCCCCTCCCTGTCATCGAGGTCGACAAGGGCGATCGCCTCATTGTCACCATGTACAATGGACTCGGGGACCACGATGCCAGCATCCACTTCCACGGGATGTTTCAGAACGGCACAAATGAAATGGATGGCCCCTCGATGGTCACCCAGTGTCCCATTCCTCCGGGCCAGAGCTTTACCTACAATTTCACCGTCAATCAGAACGGCACATACTGGTACCACTGTCATACCGACTACTGCTACCCGGATGGATATCGTCAGGCCCTCATCGTGCATGATACCGAGGCCTATTTCCACGGGCAATATGATGAAGAGTTCACCATCACCGTCAGTGACTGGTACCACGAGCTGTTGGAATATATCAAGCCCGAGTTCATGTCGCTGTATAACCCGACGGGCGCGGAGCCCATCCCGAGCTCATTCCTCTTCAACGACACCCTGAATAGCAGCCTTTCGGTCGAGCCGAACAAAACCTATCTCCTGCGGATCATCAACATCGGAGCCTTTGTGGCGCAGTATTTCTACATTGAAGATCACACCTTCAAGATCGTCGAGATCGACGGGGTCTACACCGAACCCACGGAGGCGGATACCCTCTACATCGCCACGGCCCAGCGATACGCAATCCTGCTCACGACAAAGAACTCCACCGAAAAAAACTACCCCATTGTCACCGTCGCGGATTCGCAACTCCTGGACACGATCCCCACGGATCTTCAACTCAACAACACCAACTGGCTCGAGTACAACTCCAAAGCAGCGCACCCGCAAGCCGACATCACCGTCGACCAAGCCTCCGACCTCGTTCCCTTCGACGACTTCACCCTAGTCCCCCACGACCACAAGGAACTTCTCACCGACCCGGGCCTCACGATCAACCTCACCGTAACCATGAACAACCTCATCAACGGCAAAGGCTACGCCTTCCTCAACGACATCTCCTACACCGCCCCCAAAGTGCCCACGCTCTACACCGTCCTCTCCTCGGGCGACCTGGCCACAAACGCAACCGTCTACGGCACCTTCACTCACCCCATGGTCCTCGACCACAACGACGTCGTCGAAATCGTGCTCAACAACCAGGACACGGGCTCCCACCCCTTCCATCTCCACGGCCACAACTTCCAAGTCATCAGCCGCGAACCCGGCTACGGCGCTCACTTCTACGACTACGTCGACACCGACCCCCTCCCCTACGATCCCTCCAACCATTCCGCCTTTCCTACTTACCCCGCCCGCCGGGATACCCTCGTGCTCCCCCCCCAGGGCCACTTCGTCATCCGCTTCGTAGCCGACAACCCAGGCGTGTGGATCTTCCACTGCCACATCGACTGGCACTTATCCCAGGGTCTTGCCATGGTCCTGGTCGAAGCGCCCCAGCAAATGCAGGAACGGTTGTCCATCCCGCAGGACCACCTCCAGGTGTGCCAGGCCGCCGGGATCGCAACCAAGGGCAACGCCGCCGGCAACACGGAAGACTATCTCGATCTCGCCGGGCAGAATGCACAGCCGGCATTCCTGCCTGCTGGCTTTACGGCCCGCGGCATCGTCGCCCTGGTGTTTTCGGTGATGAGTGCCTTTGTTGGCATGGGGTCGATTGTAGTGTATGGATTGTCGGATATGAAGTTTGCGTCCAAGGCTCCACCGGTTATGCCCGAGGAGGAGAGCCGGCCTGAGGAAGATGAAATTTAAAATTAAATGATTTTTATGTTATTATTGTTGTTGTTATTACCACCGTTATCTGGTACTACTACTACTACTACTACTACTACTACTATACCATTAGTACTATTTCTATTTCTATACTATTACGAGTTTTTTTTTTTTTTTTTTTTTCTATCTAATAGGGTCCTGGATCAATCTTCTACTATTTAATTGCTTTTAGATTAGGACGGATCTGATAATATAGATTTGTGGAGCAGCACGTGGACAACAGGACCACATTTTTCTACCATTACTTAAATGGCATCTACACGAATGTACTCCGTATAATGGATCAAACCACGGCTGGTTCTTCCTGCAAAGATGAGGACAATTTGAAATGGATCTTCTAGTACTCCGTATTTATCTCTCTATCTCTCTATATGCTATATACACTGCATGCAACCGTAAATGGAACCAACCAACAAACCGCTCGCTACTATCTGGGTATAGATGTTGTTAGAAAGCGAGAAAGCCAAGAAGAAAAAAAAAAGAAGAAGAAGAAAAAAAAAAGTCTACCAGCCACCGCCAATTTTTCCCGCCAACTCAACGACACGAGTCGTGTCATTCGGTGCGGGCTGCTTCTTGCCGACATCGCTCTCCACTTCGCGATACGAGGTGTAGACTAGTTTGGAAAGGGGAATCCCCGTCACATCCGACCAGCGCTGCAAGGCTGCATGAACCATGGTTTCGTTCTCTACAACGGAAGCAGTTTGAAGCCGATTTCCGACTTCACCCTCTTGATCTAAATCAGCGGAAGAATAGTATGCTTCATCCACGCGGGCGAGCCATGAGCGCAGCTCATGTGGCGATGGTTTTGAGACAACGGCGTTCGATGACTCTGAATCTCCTGCTTGGTGGTGGACTTCTCGGACATCCTCGATCCGAATCTGGCCGCCCCCGTTGGTACATCCACCAGGGCAAGCCATAACCTCCACATATGCATAGTCTATAGTTGATCCCGTAGATACGCCGCCAGTGCGCGACATCGGTTGCCGTCGACCTCCGGCTGCGGACCCGGTAGATACTTTGGCTCCCGGGAGTCGGGATATGCGCGCAGGTTTGAGTTTCCGGACAAGATTTTGAATGTTCCTAAAACCATAGTACCGAGCCGCTTTCATGATAGGTTCACCCGAGGGTGAGGCAAGGACATATTCCACTACATCCGCATTCCTTCCCCGCTGAGTGACAATCTCACTGCCGGGATTGCGAGCTTGGAAAGTGGTGAGCACATGGTGAAGATAGCCTCCAGAGGTCCCAGCGGACGTGGATTGGCCCGACAAAAATCTTCTAGAGAACAGAAAAGCGTTGAGTGCTGGATCAGGGAATGATGGAGAGAATGACTGAGGGAGAGGCTTCAGAGGCAGTCCAGAAAGAGATATGCCCCGGGAGGAAGCAAGGGTCAGAAGCTCACGCGATGTGATGACACAATCAACGTCGCGAACGGGGGTTGAAGAACCGGACGATGACGAAGAAGTATTCCATGAGGCATCAGTAAGTTCTTCTCGACTAGCTTCAAGCTTTTTATCAAAGCAAGGCATAACTGCCAAATGCCAAATACGGGAGGTCGAGACACCAAGAGCTTTGCTTAGCACCGTCTTTATCAAGGTCCCAGCCAGAGCTTGGGGTGACTTGAGTCGAGACAAATGAGGTAGAATGAAAGGGTGTGTCTTTTCTGCGTAGCATATCCAGCCCGGGCATGCAGATGAAAGAATGGGCCGTTTGGGAGCTTCCATGCGGTTCGATGCCTGCCCCGCAAGTGACTCATCGACTTCATCAGCTGTTAAGACCAATACCGCCTCTCTCAAGGCATTAGTATCGACAACCCAGTTGAATCCACTGCCGTGTTTCCCTCCTGCTCGTAAACCTTGAGGACCGCTGAGGAACTGGTCGATCATATGCGTTGCCTCCTTCTCCGATATTCCGTATGTAGCGGCGAGACTCGCCCTCACCTGTGGGCTGACACTCGCAACAAACATCCAACCATCTTCAGCCTCTTGTCCGTTACCCACCGCGGGTGGTCGTCCATTTTCGCTGTCGACCAGTCGAATCTCGGGGTGCGCATCAAGGGTGTTGAGAACCTCTGCATGCGACTGCAACGAAATGAGCACAGCTTCCGCGGATGTCACACAACCAGAGCATGCCAGGCAATCAGTCAGCGAGATCTGTGCCGGGGGTAGATTTTCAGGCTGGACTTTGTCTTCTGTCGTTACTTCGTAGGGGTTCTACTCGATTGCTAATCAACAACCATTCATTGGATGGTAGACGAAGGGGGTAATGAAATCAGCCAACCTACCTCTGGATTTGAAGGTTGCTTCTGCGGAAGGGTTTCGACAGGTTTTATACAAGCGACACCTGGGGAAATAAAATCGTTCAGGTCGTCAGCGGAGAGAATTGCGCTCATTGTGCCGGCAGGCGGGGTGTCCCCGCTGGACGGTTATAGGAGGAGATGGTTGCGCTTTTAGAGAAATCGATATCCGCACGCCTCACTCTATATTTGAGTGTGCAGATCAGATATTGAGCAAATTGAAAAGACGAAGGGAAAAGGAGCCAGAGAGGAGGGAAGGCCGTTGTTGGGGAGGAGGAAGAGAAAGAAAGAGAGGAAATGTATGGTAGGTATGCTTTGTCATCTGAAGTGGCAACAATTTTCACCATCCGTTTTGCAGCTCCGCGGGACTGGCCGCAATTGGGGCAATATTTACATATTATTATATATATATAAACATTTTTTTTTCATTAGTTGTGAGTATTATCCTCGCGGTTTACCGAGAACTTTGTAAAAATAGTAGTATTCGGGATAGTTAGGGGGGGTATGTAGAACTAGCGCCAACAATTTTCTACCCACGAGGAGCTGTATCCCCAACCTCACCAACTCGACCACCAACGCAGCTGCCACGGATATCGTGGTCAGAGCTGGTCCATCTGAGCCAAATCAACCTAGTTACACGAAATCGGCCCGCTCAAGCCCTAGAGTTTCGAGATTGCGTGGATCGCCACGTCGCTGGTATTATTGTGCTTGTTGCAACCTCCTCAGCAGGACTGCCTGGCTAATCAATCGAAATCAACTAATCGAGCATCATCCTCAACAATGGGACACCCTCCTGAAGGTTTTCTGAAGTATTATGCTCAGGTCGGTCATGGGATCAGCTGCCTGAAATCCAAACCCTAATGAGCTATTCCTAGCATCCCCATCCAACCATTCGTGGTTATCTGGCCGATATTGTGGCCCAGGCATCAACCTCCGATGTGATCTTCACGGATTCGCTCCGCAATCAAAACAGACCAATCATCTCGCCTGATCAGTTCAACGCCGCAACAGACCTGACCGCACCGCTGAAAGGTGGCGCTAAGATACTACAGGTATCAGAGCATACGATTCTGAAGGTCGGCTGGAGAGTCCACATGGGCGAAGCAGAGGCACTAATCCTCCTTGCGGAGAGATCACAGATCCCTGTCCCCGAGGTTCTCAGTGCATACACAATTGGCGACATTGGGTTCATCCTCATGACCAAGATTGACGGCCAGACATTGGGCTCATGCATGGATAGCATGTCTCCGGAGGACCTCTCTGCCATTTCGCGCCAACTGAAGGCCTACGTCCTTGAATGGCGTGCATTTGGCAGCTCGTTCCTGGGGTCTGTGGACGGCGGGCCATGCCAGGATATCATATTTCAACATCCGTGGGATTACAAGTCAACCAGGAAGTATGGGCCTTTTGATTCCTTTGAGCAGTACAAACATGGCCTTGTCGAGGCCCTTCGTGCGTCGAGGCCGAATGGTGGTGGCTGGTATGACGAGGAGGAAGCCTTGAAGCAGAAGATTCTAACTGCTTCTCCGGCTCTGGCGGATGAGCGGTCGACTACTACCCTGGGGGTCTTGACCCACGGGGACGTCCATCCGGGGAATATCATAGTCAGGGACGGAGTCATCACAGCGATAATTGACTGGGGGAATTCGGGGTACAGCCTGCCAGAGCGGGAGTTCTTCGCCGCCAAGCGGATTGCTATGGATCAGCCCTGGGTTAAGATGATCGACGAGTGTATTCCGTTTTTCGCAGAGCAGTGGGCGTTGATGGATGAGGTGGACCGGTCGATGATGCGGTATTCGCCTGTATAGAGTGTGTCCTCTTGCTGCTATATCCACATAGACATAAGGCTCTTTCGACATATCCTTATCTTGTTAAACCTAGTTACGGCCAGAATACTGATTGGCAATATGCCGCTTTCGATACATCAACCACTGGCTTATAGCCAGTATTTGGTATCTAGTTGTTGCTCAACGATTATTCAGTGAGTGCCAGTCCCTACCAGCCTCGCGTTTGATGACATCTGTTCTCTTGCCAACCCTTGATGTCCAGATTGCCGTCGTCCCATCTGCAACCAGTTCTTCCACCTCAAGCGCGACCAACCCATCTAGCACCCAATCCTGGCAGTTTTTCATCCCACCTCTTGGGGCCGGCACCTCTCTCTCCAGGATGGAAGCCACCTTGAAGCGCTGTGCTCCATCCAAGTCTGCTATTTTGCACAGTCCGTAGGCGCCCTGGGAATCCAGTAGGTGTGGGACTCGAGGCTCAAATTGGAATATGTTCATGGGTACATCGATCACCCTTACATGCAACAATTCACCAGAATCGTTGGGTGGTTGGTGGATGACGAATCCCCAGTGAGCAGGCTCAGATATACCTGGGCCGAAAATCGATACGGAGAGCTGATAGGCCATGGCGTTTGACAGAGGATTGGGTATAGTCTGATTAAGATTAACAGGGTCCGTGGCAAAGGGGATATCAGACCAGTTGCCTGTGCCAGAGGGAGAAGGTAACATTCAATGCCAACTTTGTGTGTACAACTTTGGTATATAAGAGCCAGTGATTGCTTTGCGATGTTACCAGACCTGACGGGCGATGGGATCTATTTATGTTTCTCTCATATTATAGTGACAATTTCTTTATTTAGAGTCAGTCATATTTATAGCAAGCATTAGATACTGGAGACGATAATCAACCATGGCTGTTTCTTAGGCGCCTGCTGCCATGCGCCGGGGCTGGCGGTGCAAGGAGGGAATGAGGGTTCATCATATCCAATACTTAGCCGCCGCCACCTTCCTGTCGTCAATCGACTCCACTCTATCCATTAGACTAACACACTCCGTCACATTAGAAGCACTGTGTGGAGGTCTATCTCGCAACAAAGCTGTTCAGGGCTCATCCAAATAGCACGAACTAGATAGAGCCTGTGTAGAGCCTGTATAGAGCCTGTTAGAGTAATCTAAGCGCCAACGGGGATAATTATTCGCTGCGAATGAGCGCGTTGCTCAGCTGCAGACCAGCCCACATGAGAGAGTCCATCCACCAGTCTAGACTGCCTGACCGTTTAAGCGGCCTCTCCCTCGACGCTATTTAACTACAGATCCCACACTTGCGGTCTTGCGTAGAGATTCTGTTGTATCCACCACCATGTTCCTTGCTCCCAGGTACCTGTTCCTCCACTAGCAAGGGCCGAGGATGTGCCCTTCTTCTCTGTAAGTGTTTCGCCTCTTGACTCCAGCTGAACAGGATATTGTTTTCTACTGCTTAGGCGAGCATACCTCCAGCGATCTTCACGGGGCTCGGGTATTCGCAAGAATCCAAAGCTATCAATTGAGCACGCTTCTCTCTTCAAGAGAGGAAACTCAGCCTCTAAATAGCCTTCCCAATGCAGTCAGTATCTCAACATCACTCGCCAATACAAATCACGATTCTGTTAAGTCAAGTTAATAACTAGCTATCTCGCATTCGTCGAGCTATCGGACCGAGTCAATTGGGCTCAAGATACCCAATCCGAGGCTGGTAAATTCGGGCTTTGGCGAGTCAGTTCGATTACAATTCATACAATTAGGGATAAAAAGCCATAACCCATTATGCTGGCTAACCGTTAAAACGATTTTCTATCTAATAATTGTGCTTATAAATACACTTATTTCAGAGCAATCACATCCATCTCAAAGGAATTTCCCTCGGGAGGAATCTTGGATACCTCCATCACACTTCTTGCGGGAAGGTGAGGGAAATACTGGACGTAGACCGAGTTGAAGTCATCGTAATCACGATCAATATCCAGGAAAAAGACCTGCGATTCCATATATCAGATATCCGTAAGCTGTTGTGTAGACTCGGGTACTTACAGTAACCTTAATAACCTTCGCAGTCGAACTGCCAGCAGCCTCCAGCAAAGTCTTAGCGTTTTCGCACACGAGTCTGGCTTTATCCGCAATAGAACCCTGGAAAACAGAGCCATCGGGACTAATAGGGCATTGGCCAGCGAGGAAGACTAGACCGTCGAGGGGGGCAACGGTGAAAGTGCCATGAGACTAGAGACCCGTATGAGCTTTATGTATATATATATATATATATATATATATTGGTTGAACCAGAGAGGTAAATGATATACTTACGTATGGGCCCATAGCTATTAAAGAGAAGAGGGTTGTTAGTTAGTTAGAACATACTGGGTGATGCTAGGTATGAAACTTACGTCGCTCAATCCGGTCAGACATTATGCTCTTCAAGTGCTTGCTTGACTCCTGCTTCAGGGTCTGGACCTCGGCAGTCTCCTGGGGCTTTGTGTACTTGGGGGTTTCCATTGTAGGGAAAGTGATAGAGTTAATTCTTGCAAAGCACTGCAATGTATGATAATGAAGCCGTGAGGAAGAGGATATTGAATTGTTTGAGTCGTTGTTGATTTTTCTTGAGAAACCGTTGCGTATTCTTCCTGGGTTAATATAGGTTTCAAGATCTAGTAACCTTGTAGATATTAGAAGACGGTTGAAGCTAGAAAGTACGTCACAACCCAGCTTATCGGCTGCTTCGGCGTCCATGAACAAATGCAATTCGTATTGCGAAGAATACATCTCGGAAGCAGTACTGACCTTACATTCGGGTGTCTACTCCGTAGGTTGGATCCTAGCTAGGCGTGGATTGGAGTTCAGCTTCATCTAACTCTACGTGATCGTGTTTTCCAGATCAAAGGATAGGAAAGAGACAGCGATCCAATGGATTGTACTGTAGGAAGATGGCAATGCATTACCTCCAAGTGGCTGAGATCCCTTATCGGATACTCCATACACGACTCCAACATCTTTAAACTATAATACGCAGGAACCAAAATACTAGTTTAAACCTTAGTATTCGACTGAAACAGAGAGTAACGAAGGACTCCGTAGTGCGCACAATCGGAGACAGAATTCTCATTCCTCATCTAGCCCAATCCGGAGCTAACATGGTATGCTGGTAGAGGCAGCCCAGGTGCCATCTATACAGCAGCAAACATGTCTACTGTGGGCAATGTGTGGGGTAGGCAACTGGGGAATAAGAACCTTGCACCGTTTACTTCGGTATAGTATACCACTACACCAGAATACAGTAGCCACATCAACTGTGTTCCTATTTCACCAGAGATTCCTTATCATGGCGTGGCAGCGGTCATAGTAGCCTCTGGGCTAGGAGTAGATTGCTCAGTGCTCACCCAATGGCAACCTCTTCCGGTATAACCAGTTACTATTGAGTTGTGGGGTCGAATCCACTTTGTCGCCCACCAGATAAGGAACTGATCACATAAGTACACTAGTATTCCAGAAACAACGCGTAGCCTGATTAGGCAATATAATACCATCCCACATACTAGTAGGTACTCCGTACATGTCCCCGAATTTGAAGCCCTTCCGATCTCCCAACACCCAAATGCAAGGAGGTAGCGGCATAATATTGAAGATCGGGTGTTCATCAAAACAATCGCCCTAGCCATGCCTCTCACCGAGTGCAAGCAGTCATTACTTACGACAAACCAGCGGTATACGAAATATTTTGGGTGTACTGAACAGCTTCAAATTGAAGATACAATACGCGTTTTTGTTGATTTTCAGAACTAGTGGGAGTAATAGAATGTACAGCTCGCCAGGTCGCCAGGTCGCCAGGTGGCTACCAAATTTGACTAGTTGGGACCAGGTAGGACTGGTAATGACCAAATTCTATTACTATATATAATAATACTAGTAGTAAGTTAGTAATATATTCTATAAAGCTATAGGATTCAAAATTACCTATCTAGTAATACTAGTTATGACTAGTTAGGACTAATTTAAGTAGTAAAATACTACCTAGTAAGATAAGATTTAGTATAGTATACTTTTTATAGTATATTATAGTAGAATATATATCTAGTTATTACTAGTAATATCTAGAAGTTCTAGTACTACTAGTAATTACTAGTAAAATTAGAAGTTCTATGTCACGGCGCGAAGCTGTAGTACCTATCTAGTTAGATTCTGCCTTGACTGTCCGCCCTTATTCCTATATTTAAGCCATATTATCCTTGATCCTATTATAGCTCTTTAAGCTATATTCTATCTATTACCTAATATCTATTATTCTATTATTCTATCTAGTTAGCTCCTAGTTAATAAATATCTAAATCTAATTTTATCTCCTAATATTATATAGCTCCTCTTTACTAGGAATTAATTATTATTATTATACCTATCTTACTATTTATACTACTTAAAAATATAAAAACCCTCCTATATAATACTTTTAATAAATTAAGATAGTATATTATTAAGATATATTAATTTTTTATTACTATTATAGAAGAACTCTATAAATTATTTATCTTATACTTTACTATTACTAATCTTTTTAATTATATTTAATAGAAAAATAGTATAATTAAGTACTAGAAGATATAAGCTAAAAAAATCTAATAAGAGCTATTTAAAGTACTTACTTAAAATAATATATTTTTTTAATTATTATTTTTTTTTCAAAAAAATATTAATATTATTACTCTTCCTATTATTATTATTACTCTTATTATATCTATTTTTACTATCTAAATTTTTAAATAACTTCCTAATCTTAATAAGTTTAATAATTAATAAAATAATTTAAGATATTTTATTTCTTAAATTTACTAGAAAATAATTATAAATCTTAATTATTTTCTAATCTTAAATAGTAGAATAATTTATATAATTAATTATTTTAAAAAAATTTTATATACTTAAATCTTATTATATATTTAAAATAAAATTTATAAATTAAATAATTATATTAAGATTTTAGAAATCTTAAAAAAAGTTTTTAGAAATCTAAATCTAAAAATTAATACTTATATTAATTTATTTTATTTTTAATAAATTTATTATAAGTTTAGTATTTTTTTTATTAAATTCTAATATCTTATATTAAAAAGAAATATAAATAAAGATATCTTACTTATAATTCTAGAATAAGTTATTAGCTAAGAATTTTAAGAAATATTAATATATTTTAAGGCCTTATTATAATACTATAATTTTATTAATTATTTATAAAATCTAGAAAATTACTATTATTATTATATAAATACTACTCTACTCCTATCTATAAAGAATTCCTAGCCTTCTTAATCTATTTTAAAGCTAATTTTTACTGCCTAAATTCCTATAATCTCTATTAATCCTATTATTACTATTACTCTTACTAAAGATCTAATAAATTTATTTACTACTTATTACTTTAATTATCAAACCTAATACCTGTATTACTACTATAGCAGTACTAACTATCTAGTAAGTAGCTATCTATACCCTAACTAAAGACTAACTAGTTATATCTTTATATCTATTACTAAACTAGACTTATACCTCTTATTAATTAAAATCCTGCCTGCTAAATACTCTATATCTCCTAAATTAGAAAATAGAGTATCTCTAATCTAAATTATAATTAAGAATATTCCTAACACTCTCTCTATTTATTAAAGGCTATAATAGCTAGAATAATAATAAAAGAAAAAAATTACTAATCTAAACTAATAATTCTATTTATTAATCTAAAAATCTCTAATAAGACTTTATTAATCTTTACTATAATTAATTCTAGAGCTAAAAATAAATATTTTATAGATTATAATTAGATTATAGATAATTAACTAGAAATACTATTATTAAGAAATTTTATCTTATTAAGGAGATTTAATAGTACTCTAGTAAAGTCTAATTATATTATTTATTTTATTTATTTAACTTAAAGAATTTATAATTATATTAAAAAGAATATTACTTTTTTTATAATCTAATTTATATATTTTTCTATTATTCTTAACTTATCTTAATTAAAGACTTATAACTTTTAAATTAGATTTATTAATTATACTATTCTATTTAAAAGCTCTTATTATAAAAAATACTATAATATATCTCTAAAATTTATAAAAATTTTAATATTATATAATATACTATTAAAAGCTTTTTTTTAATATTTTAATTTCTATCTTAAATCTCTAAAGAATTAAGATATTACTAGAATCTTAATTACTACTTATATTATATATACTTGTTATAAATACTAGATATTTACTATTATTATTACTAATATTAAAGCTATTTTAAATCTTATTATTATTATTAAATCTAAACTATAAGAATAACTACTTCCTAAATTTATTAAATTTTATAATATATTCTTACTAAAGGAGGCTAAGTATTTATTACCTTATTAATTTAATAATTATAAGATTAAATTACTACCTAGAAAAACTCTACTTTTTAGGAGCTTGTATAATATATCTTAAGATAAACTAAAAATTTTAAAGAAATAGATTAAAGAAAATTTAAAAAAAGATTTTATTTATTTTAGTTTTTCTCCTACTATATTCCTTATTTTATTTATAAAAAAACTTAAAGAAGGCCTATAATTTTATATAAATTATTAAGTCCTAAATATAATTATTATAAAAGATTATTACTTACTACTATTAATAAAAAAAATATTAAATAATTTAAAAAAAATAAAATATTTTTTAAAAATTAATATTATTTTTACTTTTAATAATCTATAGATTAAGAAAGGACAAGAATATTTTATTATTTTTTAAATTTAATTAGGCCTATTTAAATTCTTAATAATATTATTTAAGCTTACTAGAGCTCTAGTATTATTTTAGAAATTTATTAATAAAGTCCTATATAATTATTTAGATATTTTTTATACTATATATCTAGATAATATTCTAATTTATAGCTAAATCTATACTAAATATACTTATTATATTTAATAAATATTAGAATATCTATAAGTAGTAGGACTTTATACTAAATTTAGTAAATATAAATTCTTTATATATAAAATAAAGTTTCTAGAACTAATTATAGATAGAGATAGCTTTTAAATAGATTCTAATAAAGTAAAAATAATTACTAAGTAAGAAATACTAATCTATCTAATTAATATTTAAGTCTTTATTAACTTTAGGAACTTTTACTACTAATTTATTTATAATTTTTTAAAAATTATTAGACTATTA